CTTGGAGTTACGTATGCGGTATATGAGGCATTGGGGGAGGGAGACTGATGTGGTGAGGTGAGTACGCACGCCTAACATTACTCCCGCGTTCATCTGATTCGCGTAGGCCACGGCAGAGGGTCTATCATCGAACGTGGCGTATTTTGCGCGTCCCGTCGGAGCGACAGCGCCAACACCATGGGTGGCGAGGCATGCCCACGAGAGAGAGTGAGAGACCTTCATCGCGTCAAAGTCTGGTGGATCGGTAGTCGCTGCGAGAGGCAAAGGCGTCGCGTTTGGGTACGAGCAAGGACGTGTTGAATATAGGCAGAAGATAAGAATCGATGGCAAGTATGAAGTGGCGTCTGGCGGCGTCGGGACATATGCAAGCTGGATCTCCCGAGGCCACGCGTGAACGAGAGAACCCCAGTGTCTTAAATACTTTTATAACAAAGGCCTCAGATCACTGCTAGATACGCGTAGTATCGTGCTTCGTAATCAAGACATCGGACGTCGCGCTACACGACATGGAGCTTGGTGTTTTTGCTACCGCCATTAGCAAACCGTAACGTATGGTCGCACTCCTCGCGATATTAGATTTTCGTGCAATTTACCTAATTCCAATACAACATATAGTATAACAAGCGCAATAACAGATTAACCGTATCGTACGCAAAGGTCTTCAATGCTCTTTCTTAGTCAATCGTGCAGTCAATCGTGCAGTCAATCCAGCAGCCAATACAGCAAGCAAGCAACGCAGCAGTCAATCCAGCAGGCAAGCAACGCAGCGGGCAAGTAATGCAGCAGGCTAGCGACTCAGCGGGCAAAGAAAATTATTAGAAATTTAGCCTTACTTATCTCAGCCACAATATCGTACGTAGCCTTCCGGCTGCGATTATTAAATTGCGTTACCTACCCCGTACGTTACTTACCCGCCGCGTTGCTCCCCTGCTGGATTGACTGCTGGATTGACTGCTGGCTTGGCTTTTGCGTTATCTGCTATATAGGCTGCTATATTTGACTACTAGAGCGGTTGCTTGCTGCGTTGACTGCTTGCTGCGTTGGCTACTGGAATGGAAGTTTTGTTGTTTTTGCACGAACATTCCCACATCGCAAGTGGTGCGACCTTAGGCCGCAAGGTCCGTGTGCGTGTCACTGTCCATGTCCGCCAAACACTACGGATCGATTACGAAGCCCGTTACTGCAAGCCGGGACACTTGGCAACGTGCACGGTAGAATGGCAGCTCGGGTAGTTGCAGCTGGGTGCTCCGTGGCGCAATTGAGCTCGTGAGATACGTACATACTACATCAAACACCCTGCTGCCGACGACAGCCTGTTGGGTTGATCCTTGACCAGCGCAAGCTCCCACTCAAGACTTCTGCCATTCGTCGGACGCGAGCTCCGCCATGGCCACGGCCGCCATGACCTCGGCCGGATCGCAAAACACTTTGCCCTTGCCGCCCCGACTAAAGCACTTTCCGCCAGACTCCTTGCACTGAACAGTTTCGAAACAAAGAGACGCCCACGTCAGCGCACGGGAACGAAACGAACGACACGGCTCGGCTCGGGAGCCAGGTAGCAGGAACATGGGGTAGAAGGAGCAGGAGGAAGGAGCACAGGAGGAAGAGGACGGGGAACGGGGGGATCAGTATAATCAATTACCTGAGAAGCGGGGTCGCAAAGGCCCATGGCTTTTGTAGACCATACATTATACTCTGTCTTCTGCCTCGGGCGGCCTGGATGGACGTGGTATTCTCGGTACGAGCAAAACTGCGTCGTGGCGTCGCACGTCTGCACGAGATGGTTCTTCAAGTTAGCGTGACCAAATATTTTGATCTAATTTTTTTCTTCGCCATCGTCGTTTCCTCGCCTTCGACTGAGGCGCTTTATCTTGCTGCCTTCTCGGCGGCGCGCCCGCAAGTCGATCATACACTTCAGTCGTCGAGGGGTGGGCTCGGAACTCACTCCAGGCCGAACCCCGCGGTTCAACTTGTCGGCGTACTTCAAGGCCGACCACTGGTCTTTGAACTTGGGATGGTCGGAGTCGCTCGCGGCAACAAAATCGACCACACCAAAGGCGGTGAGACATGCCCAGATAGCACCCGAGAGCTTCATGATGTCGGCGTCGAGCGGCGTCGGTAGAATGAGGAGCAGATGTCAGGCCAGGGACTGGAAGTGTGTGCGAGCCTGGACAGCTTTTATGTCAGGTCAAGGCAGAATGCCTTTATCATCTCGCTGCGGGAAATACTTTACAGTCGAGATAAACATCCTCAATCGGCCTGATGTGCCCATATTATTAGCCAAGCGTCTGGTCTCGAAGGCACTGATGTGGACGTGCCTGCCTGGTCAGAGGCGGGAGTCTAAGATATGACTTGAATGGGGTCACAACGAGTCCTCGGCGTCATGTTCGAAACCATTACAGAAGGCAAAATATGCGTTCAATGAGGGCAGTGTGCAGCATTAGTCTGACACACTTGTATCATTGAAGGCTGCTACACGATGATAAATGCGACACAAAGCTCCAGGTCGGTCATCCGCGTCATCGCTGACCTCTCAGGCTCTGGTCGTCATGTAACCGCGGCATGTTTGTCAACCAACTGAATGGATCATGTACGACAGCCAACTGACAAAGTGAGCTTGACGGGTCTCCCGACCGGGACTGGGACCAGGTGATATCCTCTTATGTATGAGCGTTTAACCTCATGTTCCAACTGCATATACCACCTCGGTCCCTCAGCAGCGCTTTCCGAGTTACAGAACGCACTGCCAGTCGTCCACATTGGTGTACTTGCCGCCAGCCTTGAGCACGTTCCTCAGCGGATATTTGCAGTGCCTTCTCGTGTATTCCACTTCGCCAGGTGTCTTTGGATCCTTAAACTTAGCACCAGTCACGAACTCCGGCGCAACGCCTTCCTCTACCCAGCGGATCATGGCAGTCAAGACATTGGCCTTGGGATCACGGCTCGCCATGTTGTCACCGCGATTCCCGATGGCGCTGGCGCCCGTGCCGCCGAGGCAGTGGCTCATGCCGCTGATGCGAAAGTAGCGGTAAAACTTGTCCAAGTCTGCGCTGGCGAGGCTCATTGTCCGGGACGCGAGGTTGTAGTAGTACGTGGAGCTCGCGGAGCTGATCAGGGGGTCCTCCAGGCCGTGGTAGTGCAGCAGCTTTGCGCCGCGCTTGCGCAGCTTGGTGAGGTCGCCCGAGTATGTCCTCACGTTTGCGGGATCGTGCTTGAAGGCGTAATCCCACTGCTCAGGCCCCAGGTTCTCGGTGTTCAGGTTGGAGTCGTTGTAGACGGCGTACTTGAACCAGTGGTCCGTGTATTGGAACTGCTCGGGGGCGTAAATTGACAGGACAAAGCCCACTATACCGCTGAAAGGCTCGGCGCGCGGATAGACAAATGTGCCGTTGACGCCGTTGACGGGCGACAAGAAGCGTCGAACGGTGTCCGCTTGCTTGCCGGTTAGACAAGTCGATGACTTGGCCCCAGAGCGGCAAATTAGCGCCTCGGGTCTAAAGTTGCAGAGAGAAGGGTCCTCCAATATGCCATCGATCGCTCCGTCGAGGTGGTCGCACTGGGCCAGGATCTCTGCATCAATGGCGGCCCACGAGCTCTGTGGAGGAACTCCATCCGGGCCAACCTCTTTAATGATGGTGTGGAAGAGGCCGGACCACGACAGTAAACCCTGGAAGTTGAATGCAGGGGCGCCGGCGACTATTCCGTCGAAAATGTCAGGAAATTCCTGCGCCATCTTGAATCCTTGCCGGCCGCCAGTGGAACAGCCAAGGTAGTACGACTTTTGATGTGCCTTTCCGTAAAACTTGTCGGTGACCTGCTTGCCGATGGCGGCAGACATTGTCAGGGAGCGGTAGGAATAGTCAATCACGACTTCGAGGTTGTTCAAGAAGCGAGTGCCGTTCTGTCCGCTATGCCCATTGTTCGAGCCGGTCGCGGCAAAGCCCAGTTGTGTGGCATAAGTCATGTCGTCGTAGCCGATGCAGCCATTGATGCCACCGTTGCCGGTGGAGAGGAACCGGCGTGTCCAGTTTCTGGGGAGCCAGACTTCCATGATGAAGTCGGATCGGTCGGACGTGGTCACGTTCAGGCCGAGGCGGCAAATGTCGGCGAGGATTGTGGTCGAGTTGAAGCATGACGGATCAAGACCTGGTACAACCAAGTTGGTCCCGGCGGGGATATACTCGGAGTACAACGGGGTGATGTTTGAGGGCTGAGGCGCATGTTTGAGATCAGAGCACCTGCTCTCGAAGCTGGCTGACGGAGACTGCGATGCAGTCACCGGAAGGGAGAAGTAACTCGCGGCGAGGGCCACGCAGAAGCTGGACTTAAGAGCCATGGCAAGAGATGGTCCAATTGTATGCTGCACCTGCCAATTGCCTACATACGCCAAGGAATATGGGGTGCAGCTGTCCCATTTTATAGGCTTGAATATGATGCCTTACATGTTCACAACCTTGCGACATCAACGGCCTTTTCGGGAAGCTGCTCTTGCGTCACTCTTGACGCCGAGTTCAGGGATTGACGCGGTGGCATTTTCGGAGCCATTGTCCAGCTCTACTGCTAGCGAACACCGGTGGCCTCTGTCTCACGAGGTGCTGGTCAAGGTTTATCCGCTTCCTCGCAATTTCATGTCACCTCGGCCTCATCGTCGCGGCGTAGCAACGCCATGCAATACCCACGATCCCAAAGGGCCGATCAGCCTCCAAGTTCCCCATGTCATTGGGGAACACGCAAGTAAGCCTGGACGAAATCTTGGCCGTTCCCATGCTCAAGGTCCAGCAGTTGATCAAGTTTACCAAAACGAGCCTTAGTGCGACGCGCAACGGCCCCTCCTCCCCGCGATCAGACCCGGGCGGCATTGCGTTGCGGCAATCGAACATTCGGTCAATCTGTTTCAACCCCCGCATTGTCCCGTGTCCAGTGAACTGCTCGACGAAGATCGGCCCAACCGGAAGCCGTTGTTCCGACCGTTGAGAGGCTTCGTGCAGATGAAGGAGACGGGCAGGGAGGCTCACCCATGGTAATGACTCGACCAAACCCAGGCACGGGTACAGCACGTTGCCATGAGCCTCAACATGAAGTACTTGGGTCGTCTTCAGCTTCCTCCTGGGATGTGGCGTGGCTGCAGACATACGGCCCGAATCTGGATAATAACCGGCCATCCGGTAGCCTCCGATGCCGAAAAGCATTACCGAGACATCTCAAGGGCGCGCCGGCAGGGCTTGGTCATTTGGTCACGGGTTTTGGGGGAGCTAGAGCTCGGTGACGTTTATCGTGGGCTTACGACGACCACGGCGAGACTCACAAGGCGTTCGCTGTTGAGCGGCTTTCGGCGGCGCGACATGTTGCTACGATCAAGCAAATGTAATCGCCCCTCACATGCCTTGAAAGATGAATGTCATCATCAATCCGGCAGGCCATGGCCTGATAGTGCGCCGACAGAGACGAACATGAAGATTCGCTTGCTTCGTGTTTGATCTTGACGTCGGCTGGCCGGAGGGTTTCAAGCCTAGAAGTGGCATCATCGCTCGCCCGTTCACTCCAAGACTTGTCGGAGACTCACCCTGGGCAATCGTGGTGCAAGAGCACACTACGAGCCAGGATGCTGGTAGAATTGAGTTTGGTAAGTCGACAAAGAGCATTTGATCGGCTTTGAGTGGACGAAGGCGGTCGAGCTCTGCCCAGGATGAGAAGAGGAAAGAGCCACCGGGACGGCTCTGCAACTCCCCGCCCTGCCACTAAAACCTGTCTCAGCCACCCTCAGTCCCTCACCAGCACGGAGTCACAAACCAATCCTTCGATTCCTTCCTTTGACAAACAATGCCGCACCAGGGCAGCACCAAGTACCTCACGCGGGGGATCGTCGAGACGGACATCTTCGACCCCAACGCCACCCGTCATGACGTCGGCACGCCCGCCCGCAGGCAACGTCGGCCCTGCGCCTCGTGAACTTCGCTCGCACGCGTCCTACCATTCCCGCCGACGAATCCCACAACACCGCACGCGGTGGCGACGACAGTGACAGCGGCGATGACTAGGCTGAAGCGTGACCACCATCGGTCAGCCTCAGGGGACCGGACGGCTTGGCGGCCCCCGTCGTCGCCCGCCGCCCGCCTTGGGGGCCGCATGTGCCGTCGAATCGCTGACAAGCCAATCATACCCTAGGCGGGCCATGCAGGGTCGTCACGAGCGGCCCCGGGGATAACCAGTGAACCACCAGTGTCACAACGTGTTGGGTGAGGACGCACGCGGCGGCTCAGCCCGTCGTCGAGGCAGCCGCGAAGACGGGCGCAGAGTCCAATGTCTCGGGCAGAGTGAGGCGACTGGTGCCGATGATGCGCGGCTGCTGAGACGTGGCTGCACGTTCAACGTCAACAACAATGCTGAGTCCTGACAGAGCCGCAGAGCTGATAAAATGTATCGCTGGCTTCCAGAACTGAACTCCCCAACTTAGCCGGCTTACACAGCTGGAGAACCCCGACGATCCCCCCGCTTACTCCCCGCGAACGACTGAACCCCTCACCTACTCGAGTCGCAAACGGCAAAACTCACGAGCCTGGCCGACATGGCTGGCGACAACAAGCAGACGCCGCCCGGCATGGAGCGGCAGTTTGCCGACGTCCTCGAGTCTGCGGCCAAGCTTTACAAGGACAACACCGGAGAGGCGCTCAGCCTCCAGAGCTTCACGACCCCGCCCATGAGGACGGTCGAAGACCTCAAGCTGCAGCTGAGCCGTCAGAATGAAGACTTTGCCGCCTTCCGCGCCAAGCGTCAAAACATCTTCAGCGTCCTCAGCGCCGCCCTCAAGCCCGTCGAGGTCGTGGGAGAGGTCGTGGCGGGTGCGGCGTCGGACGCATTCGCCCCGGCGCAGAACATATATGCCGCTGTCTTGTACCTCGTGAATGCAGCGCACAATGTGTCGGCCACCTATGACGCTATAGTTGAGCTGTTTGAACAATTAAAGGTGAGATGGACTGGGCATGCGGCACTGTTGTGGCACATTACTAACCCTCGCAGGACTTTACACCTCGCCTTGAAGTCTACGTCAAGCACCACATGTCGCCAGGCTTGTACCAGAAGCTGGCGTCGATCCTCGCCTCTCTCTTCGAAGTTCTGGTGCTTGCGTCCAAAGAGATCCGTCGCGGCCGTGTCAAGGCGTACTTCAAGCGGCTCGTCGGTTTCGAGAGCCCCGTCCAGTCCGCCCTCGAGAGGCTCAAGGTCTTGACGGTAGGAGAGGAGCGACAGGTCGTAGCAGACACGTACGGCGGCGTGTCGCAACTCAACGCAAAGGCTGACCAGATCGACAGCGCCGTGGCGCAGGTCAGCCAGAGCGTGCAAAGCATGCGCTTGGAGCAGCGAGAATGGTGCAACCTCGCGGTGGGCGAGAAGCTGCGCAAGATCCTGGCACCGTCTCCGTTTCCGGAGGATCTCTATAATGCGTTCAAGAAGTCAACTGTTTCTGGCACAGGTGATTGGATCACACAGGATGAAGGCGTCACCGCGTGGTTCTCGGGCGAGAAGCCATATCTATGGATATCCGGCAATGCAGGTATGCGCTCTACCATTCGCGGGTCTCATTACTACGCAATTGTACACCAGAAGGCAACTGACGGCCGGTAGGCACTGGCAAGTCATTCCTGACTTCACGAATCATTTCGTGGAAAAGGGACAACCTGGACGAGAGCGCGAGTGTGGGGTATTTCTTCTTCCGTGCAAACAACCCCGAGACGAGATCCGTCGTGCAAGCACTCCGAGACGTCGCGTATCAGCTCAGCGAGAGTGACGGCTTCTACGCCAAGGACCTCATGCAGCGGCTGCACAGCAGGGAAGATATCAAGACGGTCTCGAGCGCTTTCCGACAGCTGTTTCCCGTAGATGGCGGACAGGAGACGTCAAGGCGACGGTACATCTTCCTTGACGGCATCGATGAAGCCGATCAGGATGACATCAAGGAATTGCTGTCGGCACTAGCGCCGGGTGAGGGAGCACAGCAGCCCACGTTCGCAGCCCAGTTTCAGTTCGCTCTCGTTGGCAGGTCCTACTTGTCCGACATCGTCACCGCAGCGCTGGACCCTCCTGTCCCCGGCCAGACCCTGACGACGGTGCAGGTGTCGTCCGACCGTAGCGCCAAAGACGTCAGCGCGTTTATATACGACAGCATTCTGCACTCGAGAGTCCTCAGCCGCACCAGCGCAGAGTTCAAGAAGACGGTGATCCAGGCACTCGAGAAGCAGGCAGACGGGCTCTTCATCGTCGCCAAGTTCATGCTCGACGACGTGAACCGCAAGCGGCACCAGAGCTCAATTCTAGAGAGCCTTGAGTCGTACCCCAAGGAGATTGACGGCGTCCTGCAAAAGACCCTGGATAACCTCGTCAAGACGATATCCAAGGAGGAAGCGCGGGACCTCAATGAGATGCTTCGATGGGTCACTTGCGCCGAAGAGGTGTTGACATTGGAGCAGCTTGAGGCGGCGCTGATCATGGAGTTTGGAGATCCGCCGTTGTTCCTTGAGGAGTCGCTTCGCCGGCAGTATGCATGCTTCTTTGAGCTGGAGCGCGAAGACGGCTTGACAACGGACGACCTCGTCAAGGATTATGACCGAGCCCGGCGAGATTTGAACCGAGACCTCAGCCCTGCGCGGCGTATCAGCCCAGGAAGGAGCCTGAGCGTCGGAGAAAATGGAGGCCTGGAGCGGCGCCTTAGTCCCGCCGGACGAGGCAGTCCAAGCAGGCATTCGAGCCCGGGCAATGGACGATTCAGCCCGCGACAAGTCAGTCCCGCGCACGGCTCAGACATCCTCGACTCAGCAAGCGACGTGGAGTTTCGTTCCAATAAGTACCTGACGCGCGTGACCTTTTTCCACACCTCCGTCCGCGAGTTCTTCCGAAGCGGCAGGTTCGCCACCTCTGCGAGCGAAGTCGGCGCTGCAATCGGCTTCGACATCACCGAGGCACGCATTCACATACTTCGCGCGTGCTTGAAAGTCTTTGCCGACAGGGAGTGGTTTGAGAGGCTCGATCTGGGCCAGGGCATGGCCGCTATAAAGCAGTACGCGGCGTGGTACTGGCAGGAACACGTCGCGGCCATTGACCCGGCGAATGTATCGAGCCAGCACAAGCGTGATCTGGGCCCGCAGCTATACAGAATGCTCACCGACGAGGACGTCGTCTTTGACTGGAGCATCATGTACGAGAAAAATGACGAGGGGCTTGAGGTCCTGACGGATCACAACATCAAGGGCCTGCAGCGGTGGTTTAGAGACGCCGACGTTGTGGATGGGCTCGACCCAGCGGGCAAGACATTCGCGAAAGCTGCGGGCGAGAATGGCTCTGGAGTTTGCGAGCAAATTGGGCGATTCTACGCCAGAGCCTGGCTCGCCAGCGACTTTGGTCGCTATGTGCCGACCTTGTTCTGCTTCAAAATCGTGCAAAACGTGGCCCTCATGGACGCTGGCTACGACTGGTCCCACGCCGGAATCCACTGGCCCGACATCTCAGTTGAGGATCGACTCAATAAGGCGACTGTCTGGGCAGCGCAGCCAGAGACGGCGCATTGGCACCGGAGAGTAGGAAGCACGTATCTGACACTCGCCATGCACGCGCATGCCCTGAAGCACTACGATTCCGCACTCAAGCTGGACAACAACAGCGTCGAGACATCGGGACGCATCGCATTCTGCCTCTACCAGGACCGGCGGTACGGCACCGCGCTGGACCAAGCCCTCGAGTGCGCCGCCATCGAGGACCGCAATATCCAGAGCGGCACGCTGCAGGGCGCGGCCCTGGGCAAGAGCAAGTGGCGGCTGTACAAGGACTGCTTCCTTATCGCGCAGTGCGCGTACCGCATGGACAAGGTGGACATTGCGCACAAGTACTTCCGCAAGGCGATTGAGAACGCCGAGGGAGCGGCGCTTGAGGACGACGAGTTCCTACAGCCGGAGACGGGCTACTTCGAGGTGCTCGCCTCAGAGGGCCTGCACGGCGAGATGATGGAGCTCGCGGAAGAGATGTTGAGGCACTTTACCAAAACGAAACACGGGCAGAATCGCTTTGTGGACCTGTTGCTGGAGAGGTACTTTTCGCTGCTCGTCATGGACTGGCTCCCCCGAGCAGCGGCCAAGACGGGCAAGGTCGAGTTCTTGCTGAGCGCCCTGGAGCTCGCCATCGAGGTCGCGGACATTAGACTGCGGGAGACGCTCGTAGTGCTGCATCTGCGCCTGGCGCACGGCACGACATTTGAGTACAGTCGGGACATCGACAACGCCATTGCGGTGCTCGAGCAGATTGCGCTGCAAGAGTATCGGCCCCGTGGGAGCATCACGACGCGGCAGGCGTATGCCGTTGCCTTCCAGAAGCTGGCGACGCTGTACAAGCAAAAGATTATTGACGTCGGCTGGGCGTCGGAGGCAGGCAGGAGCTGGGTGAGCAAGATGGAGGTTGTGCAGAGGAAGCAGGACAGGCACCACAACTTCAACATGCCCGCCGACATGCTGGGCTCCGACGTGAACGTGGCGTCCATCTACCTGGCGTGCTTCTACCGCTTGCTGGGGCGGGAGTCCGAAGCCACGGGGCTGCTCAAGGCACTCATCCAGGACAGCCTGGACATCCTGTCGGACAGCGAGCCGGGCAACGACGTGTACGCGCTCGACAACCTGCTGCGGGTATTCATCGCCGCGGGGGAAGTCTCCAACGCCATCGCGTTGGCGCGTTCAATGCGCAAGGTCAACCCCGAAGCCTCGTTCAGCACCATTGGCGAGTCACCCGAGGAGCGTCGTGGCGCGCCCAAGCTGCCGGATATTCAGTCATACGACCGGACCTGCTTCCAGTGCTTCAACAACGTGGCGTCCGGGGAGGAGTTTGCCATGTGCCGTTTCTGCATGGAGAGCTATTGCACGCGCTGCCTGGAGAAGGTTATCAAGGCGGCGGGCAATAAGACGGGCGAGACTGGTGTCGCCGGGGCGGCCAAGGTTGTTTGCCGGAGCGACCACGACTGGTTCACCGTGCCGCCGCTGAACCGGCTGCTGCATACGGGCGAGATTATGCTGGAGGACGGGCGGGTGCATGGGTTTGAGGAGTGGAAGGACGAGGTGCGGAAGGCGTGGGGATTGACGTGAGCGCATCCATGTGAGGACAAAAAGAAGAGTGGCATTAAGAGGCGTTTCGAATCCTAGACTGCATGGGAATAACGGGCATAGATGGCTACGAGGTGACGACAACTAACGATGACGGGCAAAAGAATGAGTGGAAGACATAACGACATGAACGTCATGCAAAATTGATCACCACAAAGGAATATTTTGTGTTTTGGGGCAAAAAAAGAAGCCAGAGGCGGATGCTCTCCCGCCGGGAATTGAACCCGGGTCTCAAGCGTGACAAGCTTGCATACTGACCACTATACTACGGAAGACTCGAGCGGCTGTTGGCAGCCGTCGTAGCGAGTGATGGTTGGCTCGTTGAAGGTCGAAGCGTTATTTGGGTTTATCAAGGCTACTGTGGATCCTGCGAGATTTTCACGCACTGGCAAACGCTGGCGTGCCCGTGGGTTCGCGAACGTTGCGATCGAGAAGTATGCCGTCTGGCCTCTCAAAGCCACAACCTGGTATACCCCTTCCTCTATTCTAAACATTCCGTGACAGAAAGCTATAGAAGTATAATAGCTTGTTTCTCCCGGTGGATATACTGCATGCCTGGAGTATATATACGGCTAGCATCTTCGTTTTCACGGCAACGCTCTGCTTGTATAGGGTATGGCGCAGATGTCGGTAATTGTGGAACCAACGCGTCGCTCTGCTTCAGGTCTTGGGCCCCGCCATGGAACAGAGTCAACAGACTCTCCCCGAGTTCTTGCAGTGCTCCCGTCAACTCATCATGTCCGCTACGAGGCGTCTAATGATGCTATGACAAGTCCATCACCATGCCCGGCTCCGCAGCCAACACCTCGCCTTCAAACCCCTCCCGCGCCCTCTCCACCGCCGCCGCCGTATCGTTCCCCGGCCAGAAATGCGTCAGCAGCAGCGTCTCAGCCTTCGCCTCCGCCGCCCACTGACCCGCCTCCGCGGCCGTAAGCAGGTTCCGCTCCCCGGCAGGCTTGGCCATTTCACCGGGTCGGTCCGTGGCGTCGACGATGAAGAGGCGCGCGTCGCGGCCCAGCTCTGTGAGGAGGGGTGAGGGCCCTGTGTCGCCGGTGTAGGCGAGCAGGGCGCGCCGCCGCGTGGTTGTATTTGCAGCGCCGCTGTCGTCGTCCTGCAGGTGAGCTTCTCCGGACGATGGCAGTGGCTGGTCGGGGAGCGGCGCATGGGCGAGACGGATGCCGATGTTGGGGACCCAGTGCGGGAGGAGGAGGCCTGCAAGTTGTAGGGACGCCGGGGTGGTGCCGATTGTGAAGGTGCAGCGGTGAGCGAGGATGTGCACGTCTGCAATGGCACTCAGTGGGAGGTCGGGCTCAAGATGGATGAGCTGCTCGAGCACGCCCCTCGTGCAGTACAACCCGAGCTTGCTCTTCTGCTTCTTCTGCTCCCGCCCTTCCTCCTGCGCCCTCTCCATCACATCTGACATTGACGGCGGCTTTGGCGGCCGCCCGTAGTACAGCAGCCGCAACAGAGCGTGCAGGTCAAGCCAGTGGTCCGGATGCTCGTGCGTGATGACGACGGCGTCGATGGCGTGCGGATCCACGCCGCGCGCGAGGAGCGGCTGCAGAGTGCCGTACCCGAGGTCAAGCACGATGGTGAGTCCATCCCAGGTCAGGAGGAAGCCGGAGCAGGGCCTGTCGAGGGTTGGGTAGGCGGCTTGGCTGCCGAGGACGGTGAGCTGGCGGAGCATTGGAGGCGGGTTGCGTGGATGTGCTTGTGTGGTGCGCACATGGGATACTGCTCGATTGGTAAGTATATCTGGGTGATGACTGCATTTCCGTAGTCAAAAAGCGAGTCGGACTGTAACTGTGGTTTATGTGGTTGTGCGGGATGAGGGGAAGCACAAGCATCACACCAAGGGCGCGCCACGCACCATGTCATCCATCCCCAGTCTCCTCATGCTGAATTTGTTTGTTCAACGCCACGAGTTGCTATGCAAGGCAAATACTCGCAGTATATACACTTATTTACACACACCAGACCGGCACAACCCCAATCGTGTACCTCGCCGGACTGGAATCTCGTCCATCACAGCTTCGACTCCTGCATCTCCCGCCGGACAATCTCGCGCAGCTCCTTGCGCAGGATCTTGCCCGCCGGGCTGCGCGGCACCGCGTCCACGAGCTTGACCCCGCCGCGCAGCTGCTTGTAGCTCGCGACCTGGCCCTTGACGTACGCGGCCACGTCCGCCGCGGAGACCTTGCCGTGGGCGGGCGGCGCAAGCACCACGTACGCGCGCGGCGCCTCCGTGTCGTCAAAGGGCACGCCGATGACGGCCGCGTCGGCGACGGCCGGGTGCGCGAGCAGCACGCCCTCGAGCTCGGCGGGCGCGACTTGCAGGCCCTTGTACTTGATGAGTTCCTGCAGAGGCAACTGTCAGCCTACTGCCCCTCCTCGTCTGAACGTGATTGTGGTGGTGGAGCTGGAGCAGCACTTTACCTTTTTGCGGTCGACTATGTACAAGAGGTCGCCCTCCATGCGGATGATGTCGCCGGTGCGGAACCAGCCGTCGGCAGTGAATGAGTTCTTGTTGGCTTCGGGGTTGTTGTGGTAGCCCTTTGTGATCATGGGGCCTTTGACGAGCGCCTCGCCTGGTTGCCCAGGAGCTACGTCCTTGTCGTTGTCATCGACAAGTCTGCATCGCCCGTTAGTATGCGAACCTCTCTTCTATATCCCATTGGACGTTGAAGCCTGGCAATAGAAGCTTACCGCAGCGTTACATTTGGCATCAGCGGGCTTAAGCTGCCAACCGTGTCCTTACGGCCCGGTTTCGTGTGCGTAATGGCTCCCGTCGTCTCACTCAAGCCCCAAACCTGCGTCACCGTCGCCTCGGGATGAATCTTTTCGCTCGCCGCCACCTGAATCTCCTTGCTCAGCGGCGCCGCCCCGCCAATGGCCATGCGCACGTTCGAGAACTGCTTCTTGACGGCCGGGTGCTTCGCGATGGCGGCGTAGATGGGCGGCACGGTGAAGAACATGCTCACGCGCAGCTCCTCGACGTAGCGCACAAAGTCGTCGAGCTTGAAGCCGGGCATCCAGAAGACGAGCGCGCCCTCGTAGATGGGGTTGATGAAGTAGCCCTGCACGCCAGCGATGTGCGCGGTCGGCAGGTGCGCGATCGTGCGCGACGTGTAGTCGCTCCACGTGTCGACGACGGGGCGGTTCATGTGCGCCGTGATGTACGACTCGGACACGACGTTGGCGTGCGACACGAGGACACCCTTGGGCAGGCCCGTCGTGCCCGACGAGTACAGGATGCAGATGGTGCGGTCGGCGAGCTCGCGCGCGTCCGTGATGCGCTTCCACGGCAGGTGCTTCTCGAAGTCGCAGCGCACGCGCCCGTCGGCGCTCTCGAGCGATACGCTCGGGTACGACGTCAAGACCAGGACGTTATGCTCTGGCAGCCCCGCGAGCTTCGCGGCCTCAAGCGCCTGCGCCTTGACGTCGGCGCTGCAGACGAGCAGCTTGCCCGGCCCGTCGGTGATCTGCCGCGCGAGGTCCTTGGGCGTGCCGGCGGGGGATGCGGCCGAGTAGATGCCCTCTGCGGCGATGACGCCGTAGAAGAGGCACGGGAGGGCGGACTGGCCCGTCGAGACGGTGACGACGACGTCGCGCGCCGGGCCTGACGCGCCGATGCCATAGTTGTGTCGCAGGAAGTGGGCAAATGCAGTGGCGAGGTGGCGCGCGCGGGCTGTGGTGATGATGGCCTTGGGGTCGTGCGCCTCGGTGAAGAGTGGTGTCGATTCCTTGGCTCGGGACGACTCGTTGTCTTGATCATTGAGTCTATGTTAGAGTTGAACGGTGAAGATGTGCGACGGATATTGGGGCCATGAAGAACGCAGGGCATGAAGTAACACAAACGTCAACATGGCGACATGGTGTCATCCCGTCTGGTGTAAACGACAAGGCCAAGGGACTCAACATACCAAACAGAAACGTCAAAAGGTCCAGGCTCGGAACCTGGACCTCGTCCGCCTTTCCATATATCATCTTGACGGCTCCCTGCGCTTCTCAACGGCTTCTGCACCGAGACGGGCAGTTCCCCTCAGCCAGCAACGTTCCGCCTCGCAGCTTTAAAACGGCGCCCAGTGCGCTCCCCGTCCCAATGAGATGCCTCGGCTCCGTGCCGGTTGTGCCACCCCGACAGCGCGTTACCCCGCAGTCTGGAGCGGAGGAGGCGGCGCCCACAACAGGTCCGTTCCGTCTGGGGAAGCCGTAGCGGCGCGGCAGGGCAGGCTGGCGGTATGTGGGCGGCTTCCCGTCTGATGTGGGCAATCAAAATCTCGATGGGTAGGCTCCGGGACAGGCTGGGGATGACGGTTCCCCTCCAAGGAGAGAGGCCGGCAGTCCCAATTTATGAACGAGCAACGCAACGACGCAAGGGACTTGACTTCAAGTTCGGCTCCGCCAAGTCATGCAGCAGCTTGACATTGCTTCTGGAAACGACGATTGGCACGCGGTGCGGATGCGTCGGTCTGCAATGCTCCATACGGCGCATCAGGGCATGGCTCCCGTGACAAATATTGGCGCTGCTTCATGTAGGGAAGCGCCCAACCGTGGGGCTGTCCGCAGAAGAAGAAGCGAGTCGGGTCGCTCGGGCGCCTCATTGGCAATATTGTATGCGCGGCCGTTGGCTCCATGATCACGACTTGTGACGGTTCGCAGGACACGAGCCCTCGGCAATTCGACGTGGCAGCGAGGACTGAGATGTGGCCAAGCCTAGAAGTCTGTGCCAAGCACTGAGCTTCAGCCCAAGTTACCCAACAAGCCAGAGCCATGGGGTCTTGCGCTGAAGAGTGGAAACAGGGGCAATGCGGGGACATGCCTGGAGCGTCTGGAATACGGCGACGAGGGCAGGCCTCGCCTTCTGAGGAATTGCGACAAGCCCGTTCTCCACGGGCGCATGCAACAGGCATCACGCTACGAAACATTGCTGCAACGCAGTCACTCTGATCCCGCAGTCGTCACCGGCGATTTTGTGTCACGGTTCCTGCGCCATGCAGTTGAGCACGGCACAGGCGAACCCGAGCGTGTGGTGCGGGACGCAGATTCGGCGCACGCCCGTGACCCAACACAGATCTCGTCGAAATAAGCGAAGGGACGTTTGGGTTCCGTCAATCAGACGTCTGGAGGGCGCGACTTCGACAGGGGGAGCGCGACGATCCAGATGCCAACGTGCCGGGGTTTGCTCGCCTGTCAGGGCAGCCTTTCACTCGACACTGTTCATGTGTGATGGGAACGAGCTGAGCTGGAAGCAGGTGCGCGTCCTACGAGACGAAATTTCGGGAACAAGCCGCCAACATTTCCTGCAGAAACAGAACAGAATATCAGAGCTACCCATCTAACCACGCCTGAAATATGCGCCTTCGACCCCGCCTCCAGTCGGCTGTTCTCTTGCTCGGTCGGGCAGCGGGGATACACGGAGGTCTGTCCAGGAGATGAGAAAGAAAACGCATGTTTCTCTACCCGACTCGCCGTTCGCCGACTTGGCATCGCGTTCTACCTACCCGCCGTGTCGTCATTCGCCATGTCGCATATCTGGTCACTGGATCAGGCATACCGCCGTTTCAATCTGCGGGGGCCCCGTCCTCTCTGGTTCAAACCCGTCCAACTGCCGCTCTCGGCCGTGGGGTGCAGCTCAAACCTGCACCCTGAACAGGCTCCTGCCTGATCCCACGCCGGATGGTAAACCTCACTGCTGCAGCAGTTGCGCCGACAACGTCGGTACATATACTGCCGCCTCCCAAGCCGACCCCCCACAGCCCAGGCTGCGACATGAAACCATGGTTGATGTCTCCGCCAACTACCGCGTTGAGCAGGCGGCCAAGCTCCAGCAGTACCTGCCCCTATACTCGATCAGGAAGCTGTCCCCAAGATCCGCGCACCCGCCCATAGATTAAGCTTATGCGTCCTGCCGAATGCTTATGATTGCTCCGACGAGATGGCACACGCGCGAGGCGTGCGCTGGGTCCGTCACTGGCTGATTTATTATGTTGTGGTCTCTGCGGAGAATGGCACCATGACATCGCTCCGCGTGCCCAGCGCCCAAGGAGGCAGCTCGGGTACAAAAAGGTTTGTTTCAACTAGAACCAGGGAGATGGAGAGTGGCTGCTGTGATGATAAGCTTGGAGCAGTATAAGACTGAGCAGTCTCCCCCGTTGCGAGGAGAGAGGCTTCTCGAAGAGCCTCCCTGGACAGCCCCCCAAAGTCAGAGTGTTGAACCATCTTCATCATGCACGTCAACGCTGCCCTTGCCATCTTGGCGGCGAGCTGCCCGCTCGCCCTTGCCGCTCCGGCGGAGAGCGTTCCGGCTGGCCGAACCTCCCTCCGGCTGGTCAAGACGTCGGAGAAGGACCCGGGCCAGTGGGTCGACGAGAAGGACTTTTGGAACAAGTTCATCTCAAAGAACATCAACTTTGTCGACATCACAGACATCGAGGTAAGTGATATGTGCGCCGAGCATTTGAGATTGCCAGGGGCTGACATTTTGCCAGGACAAGGAAGTCCTCGCGATCCTGTCTGGGCAGACGGCATCGACGTCAGTGGCCAACATTGCCGCGACGTACCCGGACGGACCGCAGCATGTCGACGAGGCCAACAAGCTCATTTCGCAGTCCAACACGAATGGGCCTCAGAGCTGGCTGAAGATCTTGACTGAGTGAGTACTCTCCAGAAAGCGACCGATATCATATGAGGGCTTCGTGAATTTGTGACTGACGACTTGAAGGTTCCACACTCGCCACTACCAGTCCCAGACGGGTCTGCAGGCATCAAACTGGCTGTTCGAACAGGTCAAGAAGACTGCCGCGGCCAATTCCGCTATTACCGTGAAGCAGTTCAAACACACCCGCTTCAACCAGCCCTCTGTCATCGCTCAGCTCCCCGGCGAGTCGTCCAACCTCGGTACGTGACTCGACGCCACACCTCTCCAGCTTACCACGAGGCGTCAGATATTACTATACCAAGGTGTGACAGCTGCTAACCGGCTGGGCGTATGCAGTCATTGTCGGCGCGCACATGGACTCGACGGGCGGGTCGTCCAGCGCGCGCTCCCCCGGCGCCGACGACAACGGCTCCGGCTCGGTGACGGTCCTCGAGGCGCTGCGCGTCGTCGCCAGCAGCGGCTTGAAGCCCAAGAACACGCTCGAGTTCCACTGGTACGCGGGCGAGGAGGGCGGCCTTCTGGGCTCCAAGGAGGTGTACGCCAACTACAAGCAGACGGGCAAGAAGGTCACGGCCTTCCTCAACCAGGACATGACGGGCTACTCCCCGAACAAGAAGCCCGCCGTCTTCACCGACAACGTGGACGCGTCGCTTACGGCGTACGTGCGCAAGATTGTCAAGCAGTACACGGGCGTCGAGCCGTCGACGTCGCAGTGCGGATACGGCTGCTCCGACCACGCGAGCGGCCGCTCCAACGGCTTCCGTAAGTTTATGCAGCCTCCAGGGCTGGGAGAGCGAGAGCGTTGCTAGAGGTTCTTGTTTGCTGACCGGTCGTAGCGTCGGCTTTTGTTGGCGAGGACACGTTCGATGCCATGAACCCCAACATCCACTCCTCTCGTGACGTGAGTCTGGCTTACGCACCCCCGGGATCGTGTACCCGCGCTGACGATATTAGTCTCTCGAGAAGATTGATTGGTCTGCCGTCCACCGCCATGTGAAGCTCACGATCGGCTTCCTGGTGGAGGCTTCCTACGTCCAATGAAGACGGCGTGCATGGAGCGAGTCGCGACAGCAGTGGTCGGGCTTTAGGAGAGGCCGTACAGGCGAGGGCATGATTGATGCGGAATGAGCTGGGAGCAAGCGTAGCTGGATCTTTCTTGCAGAGTACCCCGTACAAAAGAACCTTTACGAGCATGAGAGCATGTAGCCCGAGCCCCCTGCCCCAGGGCACAGCTCCCTGTGTCTCGGGCGCTTTCCCGTGTCACCAGATTCCGGGACGGGTCGGCCGTGCCGGACGTTGCCAGTTTGGGTAAAATCTGCACCCAGGCCCGTCCCGCTGCAGAAGCATGTCGGGACCGAGTCGGGGGCGCCACTGGATGCCTAGCGTGGCCGCCGCTGGAGACGGGCTCGTTCTTGCTACAGTAGCCTGCCACGCCGTCTTGGCTGGTAGCAATGGACACTGCCGTGTGCTTTTAGGGGCATTGCCGGGTAGGCGGACCAGGTGAGCAGCCCGGGACCGTAGACGATCGCCGGTGCCGAGTGGTTCGGGGGCTGATGACAGCGTCACCTAGTATAAAGATGCGATCGAGGAATGCCGTCGATGCTGCTGCCGCCCGACTTGACCGTACCACCCAGCAACGGCCTGTGTCACCTCGACGACATTCAGCCACCAAATCCTCTGTCCCTCAAGACGAACCGTCAATTTTAACCTTAATTTTAAACCAGCGTCGAGAGCGTCGCACAAGATGGCCAGCATCGCCATCGTCGGCGGCGGCCCATCCGGCCTGTGTCTCGGCGTGCTGCTGCACAAACAGGGCATCCCCTTCACCATCTACGAGCTGCGCGAGCGCCCCTGCCAGGACGCGGCTTCGACACCCTCGGGTATGCTCGACCTGCACGAGGAGTCTGGCATCGCCGCCATCCGCGCGTGCGGCCTCTGGGACCAGTTCCTCCCGCTGACGGCCGACTGCGCCGAGAGCATGCTCGTCATGAACGAGAATGCCGAGGTCACGCACCAGGATGACGGCGGGCAGGAGTACCGCCCGGAGATTGCGCGCAGCTTGCTCACCGACCTGTTGCTTTCAGCGGCGCCGCAGGAGAGTATCCGGTGGCGACACAAGCTGCTGTCTGCAACGCGAACCGCCGCAGGGCGGATTGCACTCGACTTTGGCGACAACGGCACATTTGAGCACGATTTTGTCATCGGCGCAGACGGCGCGTGGTCCAAGGTCCGCCCGCTGCTGACGGACGTGAAGCCGCAGTACGGCGGCGTCAGCATTGCCACGATGCAGATCCTCGAGGCGACCAAACGACACCCCGACTTATCCTCCCTGGTAGGAAGAGGATCCTGCGCCATCCTCGCGAACCGCAACGGCCTGTTCACCCATCGCAGCGTCCGAGACTCCATCTGGCTGTACGTCATTGTCAGCGGCGACGACGAGCACGCCATCCAGGACAGGACCACGGGCCTCACGCCGCAGCAATTCGAGGACCTGATGACCAGCGACGACAAGCTATTCGGCACCTGGGACAAGCGGACAAAGGCGCTGCTCGAGACGGCGTGCCGCGAAGAAGGCGACGCAAAGGGCAAGATCCCGCCCTTGAAGCCCATGTACATGCTGCCTCTGGACCACAAGTGGGAGGCGCAGCCCGGAGTGGCGCTCATCGGCGACGCGGCGCACCTCATGATGCCCTGGGCGGGTGAGGGCGTGAACCTGGCGCTGTGGGACTCTCTCGACATTGCCGCTGCCATCGCCAAGGCGTGGGAGCAGTGCGGCGGTGACAATGGCCCTGGGAAGTTCCAAGAGGCGCTGCTGCCACTCATGGCGGACTTTGACGGAAAGATGTTTGCGCGGTCGAGCGAGTCCGCGCACGAGACATGGAATAACAGCAAGATCTTCTTTTCCGACAACGGTGCGCAGGACATGGCGGGCATGATGGCCAGGCTGATGAACGGGCCGCCGCCCGAGTAAGGGGGCTATGGACTGGACGTCGACTGACGGAAGACAATACCAGGTGTTTGGAACGGGATCAGTATAGGAAAGGGAAAAAAGGTAAGGATGACAACATGAAGACTCATGGATCACAGAACATCATGTAATTAGCGATATGGAGCGTGTATTGGGACGGAAAACCTCAACGACGTGTATGGATAGAATCATGTATTAGCTAGATACCTCACTCAGCACTCGAATCACAATCTCAGTGTTTGTTTCAATAGTCGTGCCTCATTTTGAGTGATTTCCCGAGCAGATACTTTGTAGATAGATCAATTACGCCTGTAACACCTGCAGAATTATCCATCACACATGTTCGCCCGCTGTAATCGCTCCACGATGTTGATGCTACTTTCTATGCTCTCGCCATAACAGAGCCGCAAACTTTGCAGACCATGCAACATGAAGCACCGCCTCCCAACAAAAGTATTACTTCTCGCTCGACTCGGTCGCCCCACCCGCGTCTTCGATGCCGTCGAAATCCACATTGCCAGCAATGAGGTAGTACGTGCCCAGCAGCTCTGCAGTGTAACGCTCGCAGTTGCGAAAGTGTTCTGCCCCCAGCTCTCGCATGCAGCCCTGGGCCGCGTCAAGCAGTTGGGCGTGGAGCGACTTGTCCAACGCCAGGATCTCGCCGACGCCGATGTTGAGCTCGTTACATGTCGACTGGGACCCGCCCAGAGCGCTGCATGCCTCGGGAACAGAGGAGATGACGCGGAGGCAAAAGTCGTCGAACAGATCGTACCGCTCGAGGAAAGCCAGGACATCGGGCAGGGAGGTCGAGTCGGCGACAAACTGCTCTAGAGGGTTATCCAGGTTCTCGCGGATCGTCACCTCCGCGCGGGCTGCAAACTCGAGGTTCGCCACGAGCTCGCCGGGAACCAGGGCCGGGAACGTCGCCGGCTTCGCCCACGCGCGCGTGTAACCGACGCGGCGACGCCACCAGACGTTGCAGAAGACGGATGACATGATGACAGGGATGAGGATCACGTATCCCCACCAGCGGGTGGCTGTGATCATCGAGCCCACACCGCCCAGTATCGTCGCCGTGCCGTTGATCAGGCAAAAGGTCTGCACGTTACGGCTGCGCCTCTTGATGAGAGCGGCGGCTCGAGAGCCCTTGAGGGGCGCGGCGGTGGCCTCGATGTGGTGCTGGGCCTTGGAAAAGATGTACCAGCACCAGCCCGAGTTGACGAGACCGTAGAAGGCGATGGGTGCGTTGCCGATGTACCCGGAGAGCAGGTTACTGGCGAACCAGACGTTGTAGTTGGCGCCGCCGATGGCCATGAAGGTGCCGATGCAGATGAGAACGGCGCCGAAGCCCAGGAGGATGTCCATGAACCAACGGGCGATGGTCTCGCTGCCGAACTCGCGGAACGTGACGGCCCTGTAGACGTTGATGTCGAGGAGGGGCTCACCAGATTCGACACGACGTTGCCGCTCGGCCTCGATCTCTCGCCGCTGGAGGCGCAGGAACAAGACGTTGCGGCACGACACAAAGGCATCGCGGAAAGCGAAGACACTCAGGACCCCGGCGACGACACCGCCGATAGCCATGAAGACGATGGCGTAGATTGGCACCGGGACATCGTTCCATACGTTGGCGGCAAAGTCTCCCGCGTTACCGAGCTCCATGAAACCCACGATGAAGGGCAGGTTGTTGACGAGGCGCGAGCCACGCACAAAGTCGAACCGGCCATGTTTGTCCCTGACAAGTCTCGTCACGAGCCGCCGCCCCTCGGCGTCACCATCGCCGTCACCGCCACCGCTGGGGCAGGAACGGGCCGCCGCGCCGTTGATGGTAACGGAAGCCGCTGAGCTCTGGGGGCGGCCGCCTTGGCCTTGGCTGCCGTCAGGGTTGTCGAGCACTGCCTCAATGGCCGTATCGTCGAGGGCGGGTGTCCCCGCCTCCGCACCGGGCAGTGCACGCTGCATGGTGTGATGGGGATGTAATATGCTTTGACAGCAAAATGGACGGTACGTAGGGCTGAAAGGGGGGGAATGTTATTATAACTGCATCGGCTGCGCCCTCGTCGTCGTCGTGAACATGGCCGTGCTGCAGCGAGGCGGTTGCGGTTTGAGTTCCAGTCCGCTCGATCGAAGAGGTTTTATCCAGCCGGGAGCCTTGGTGATGATGCCGAACCCAGCGGTGAGTGACGAGCAAACCTGAACAGAGATTTTCCGCGGCCGATAGCGACACGCACATTAACTTTTTAACGAACCAAAATAGAAGAGAGTCCTCGGCGCGCGTCGACGTCAGTCTGGTTCTGTCACGCCCTGGGTAGTGGTGTCCGTGTCGCGGAGCCGTCGAGGGTAAGCAGCGAGAAAGAGACACCCACGAAGAAGGACACGACAATGACATTCCGGGAACAGCTTACGTCCCAGGAAAGGGCCACCAGCGTCGTATCGGCCCAAACTCGCCTTTCTCGGCCTGCCCTTGCCGTTTATCCCTCAAGCTGCGCAGGACCTTTGCTGGAAGATCCCCAGAGCCCCGGTCAGCGCGGGACCCGGGCCTGGCGCCGAACGCCCGGTTTTGGGGCGCCCCCTGGCAGAGCAGCGCGGGCCATGGCACGGAACGCAGTGCCGAGCGCCCTACCAGGCTGCGAGGCGGGTGACTCGGCGACCCCGTAAAGGAGCGCGTGTGGCGTTTTACGCGAGCCCACTGGGCAGGCCACTTGACATTCCGCCCCCTTGACAATGGCGGCTCCAGGTGCGCAGAACGGGGGCCAAGCTGCAGACGGTACAGTCAGAGTCCGCCATGTCCCAGGTGGACAGTCCGAAAGACCGATGAAACTCTGCTAATTTTGGTCGGTGCCGGTGGGTTCGCTCTGGGTCCAGACGGGGGGTTTTCTGGGATGCCACGTCGGGGTCCGTCTGGTTGACGGTTTGGAGGTCGCAGATGACCGAATTGCGAACCGGATTATTATGTACGAATTGCGTTAACCCGTACAGACATTCGAGGCTGATCTTCAAGCTCTGATCACAGGCTATGTTCACGACGATCTCCATTGGCGACCATGGGGCCGACGACGTGGCCTGTGCCCGGCTCTGACCATAGGCAGGAGGCAGGGACCAAAAGGAAGGGTCTTTGTGATCCCGCCACCGTTTTCCCAGTGACGGCACTGGCTGCCGCCATGGCGCGCCAACGGGCCGAACGTTGCCCATCCCAATCCATCCCTGGCGCCACTTTGTCGACAGCCGTGGGCCGATCCCGAGTATCGTCAACAGCGACGAAGCGAAATGATTCCACGGCAAACACGAGCCAAACTCCAAACATGCTCGCTTGCGATGCGCGATTGCCGACACGAACCGGCCGTCTTGTTGCCCGAGTCTTCTTGGTTGAGCCTGTCGCCTTACGCCGCCAAGCAGGGTCGATTGTGACTGTGCGGCATCTTCCGACACCATCGGTGGGTCACGACATGACGCTGGAGAGGGTTCACCATCCTACGTAGCTGCGACACACGAGATTTCTGGTAGGGCCAAGACGGACTTTGAACTCGATACCGACGCCAAGATCAACCTCGTCAGCTTCACCTCGCACCATACTGCGCAGCAGGGAGCTATCTCTTCCTGGGCTTGGTTGCTGATTGCTCGAGGGCAGGGCCGACGACGGCCGTATTCGAAGCGATGCGCAGCCCGCGGGTCGCCTGCGATACTTGCGGATGGATGTCCCTGCCCGGCATGATTATCGCGAGAAACTGCAAACTCTATGCGCTGTGCCTACTTCATACATGCGATGACTCAAGTTGTCTCTCGCCATGTCAACAAAAGCAACGCTCACCACGCCGTGTGTCCGCCGTCCATCACCAGGTTGCTGCCCGTCATGAAGCTACTCGCATTGCTCAGCAGAAACAACGCCGCGCCCTTAAACTCCTCCGTCTTGGCCAGCCGGCCCATCATGTTCTCCTTCTTCCAGAGGTCCTCGAGCCCCGGCTCCTCCGCAAATGTCTGCTCCACCATGGGCGTGCGGATGTGGCCCGGGCTGATGGAGTTGACGCGGATCCCAGGGCCGCCGTCATCCCGCTCGTGGCTCCACTCCATGGCGAGATTACGCGTCAGCTGGATGAGGGCCGCCTTGGAGGAGTTGTACACGGGCGACAACATGCCCTTGTTGGCGATGATGCCGGACATGCTCGCGATCAAGCAGATGCTCCCGCGGCACTTGTACTTGAACATCATCTCCGCGGCCGCCGAGGCCGTCTCTAGCACGGCGGTGAAATTGGTGGCGAGCATCTTGGCCGCGTCGTCGGATGTGTATTCGATGGCGGGTGTGATTTGCAGGATGCCCGCCGCCGCGATGACCCCGTGCAGGCTCTGGTGCTCGTCGGCGATTGATTCAATCGTCTTCCGCAGGTGCTGAGTGTCGAGCACGTCCTGTTGCCGGTAGACGAGCTTGCCGCCCCATTCTGGCACAAAGCGGCCTTGTGCCGCCTCCCACTCCTCGTCGGGGTGCTCGGCGCGGTCCAGACAGTATACTAGACGAGATCCTGTGAGATTTCCGTTCATCGCTTGAGCGACCGTGGCGTACCATACCTCTGCCACCCGCTTCAACGAGGGCCTCAGCTAGCGCTAGACCCAGGCCACGAGCACCGCCCGTGACGATGAACGTCTTGCCTGCCAAGTCGAAGTCGGCGAACCGCTTGTTGCCTACCTCGGACTGTCCTTTTGTCATTTTTGCGCTGGTGCTCTATCGGTGTTGTGCAAATTCGTTGTACAAGGTCTCAATCCCGCGGGGGCCAGAGACCAGATGTCAATCGTGCGAGATCTTCTATCCGTGACACATGTGGAATTGCCATATTTGCTGCTTCGCGGCCGTGCATCAAACGGCTCTTTTGTTGGCACAGCCATGATTGTTGGGATACGGTGATTTCATGGTCGCGTCAGAACTCAGGACGATCATGTTCTCATGCGCCATGTTTTGCCCCGGTGATTTGCACATGTGCCCCACGTTTTCTCTTCACAGGTGAATAGTGACTGGACAAGGCATTGACTACGACCGTGGTTTGAACAATGACGCAAAACAATTGTAATCTGAAGCTTGGCGTCTGCGTGTGACCATTCGCTTCTCCACGTTCAGGGGAGGAAATCGAGGGGAAGCTGAGGTGGAACTGGGGACCTGACGGCTGGCAGTCCCCGCGTCAGGCATACAGGGCGTATGCGGCCAATGTCCAGCGCCTGGACACATGTAAACACACGGCTTTCATGATCATCCTATCGTCATGGCAGGCGGAACTCGACTTGACCAAGATAAGATTATTCTCCAACCCAATATGAACTTTGTCCTTTAGGTCTGGGGCGAGCATGGGGGTGGCGAGTATGACCTGCACCCTTTGACGCCAGGCGGGTGGGGATTGAGGCTGTCTCGAGCAACACTGAAAGCTCAAATTCATTCGCTGACAACAGGGTTTCACTTCAACAACCGACCTAGTAAGTAATAAAGCCAACATGGTCTCGTTCAATTAAACGTCCGTTTTCGCTGACGAATATCGCTAAATACAATGCTTTTCTTTCCCTTTACTCAAACCTGATAGTCTACCATGGAAGGCTCTCCTCCACGAGTCGCACAACTTTCCCGTGGCGTGCCAGTGCAGCGACAGTGTACCGCACCTCGTCACACATCGCCAGAGGTCCACACACGATGACCGTGGTTCCGGAAGACACTTGCTCCAGCTCTTCCTCCAGGATTTGTCGCACATTGAGTCGGGAACCGACCGAAATGTGCGTCTCAATCTCGCCCCAATTGGCCCTGTCGCCGTCTGGGCCGACAATGCTGCTCTCAACAGCACTCACCAGCTCTCTGCTTCGGAGTCCCCAGTACAACTTCGTAGATCCCTTCATGCCGTATATGCTCAGGCATTGGCCCAGCGCCGGCATCACAGCGGATATGCCGGCGCCACCAGCGATGCATAGTGTGTTGGGGTACTTCAGGGTCGGCGCGAACTTGCTGTCATGTCCCTGCAGCAATGTGTTGCCCTCATGGCCGTAGCTGCCTTCGACAAGGACCGGAATGCCTGAAGCTACGCCAGCCATTCGTGCAAGTCTTTTGGTCATGCCGTTCTGCACACGCATGAACATTGAGATGCCACCATCTCGGCGATTCCGGGTAGCAATGTGACTGGGTTTCTTCGTCCTCACGGTCGGGGACTTCTCAAACGCGGATTGAAGCACAGCAGTGCTTGGTGATGACGGGGACTCTGTGCCCGAGCGAGAGCTTGGAGAGGACGACCCGGACTCGTCCAATTGATCCCGGGTGTAGTTGATGACGGAGAAAGGATGGTTCTCCCACGGTCGCCACGACAGCGTCGGAAAGTACGCGAAGCAGTAACCGTGGCCCTCAACACCGGGGATGTCGACCCGAATGTACTCGTCGTCCACTTTACTGACGTATGCTCTTTTGATCCCGTTCTTCGTCGCTCTGGCAATGCGCATAAGTCTGTCGAAGCCCCAAATTCCCATGGTGCTGTAGATGAAGAGGTCGAAGCCGCTCTGGTGTTTATAGAGGTGAACAATATGCCAGTAAGACCCGACGATAGCCAAGATGGCAAGCACGATATGACCGACGAGGAAGATCTCATACCACCTCCTGCGGATGGGGAGAATCGAGAACGGAATGAAGAGGCACATGGCCATCGTTCCAACGATGCCCCATCTCCAATATGGCTGTTCAAGAGCCTCGCCATACGATTCTTGCTTCACCATGATCTGGAGCCACATTGCCGAGTGCAATGCGACCTGCAGGGCCACGATAGTCGCAATCCACCGATGCGCAAGGAGGTAAGTGGCGTACGACCAGTTGGTCAGCCACAGAAGAGGGTTATTTCGCCCTCCGTACAGGAATACTAGCGGAAGGTTCGCGAAAGACAGAGCTCCGGCTCGGTTTGCAATGTAGCGTGTGATTTCGATCGACTGATCAGGGAACCATGCATTCGGCGTTCGGAGGTGGAAGCCCAGGCAGTTGGCGAGGACGTTGACGAAGATGATGTAAATGATAAAAGTAGCTTGCCCGCGAGTTGGAATCATTGCCAGCTTTAGAACTGGCACACTATGGTATCGTCCAAAGACTGGAGGATCAACGAAGTACGCGTTGAAGGTGCTGGCCCATTTGGCTGGCCAGGGCAGAATGCTGATGGCCGTTAGGCCGATGGGGACAGCAATACCCGAGAACAGGACGAGGAACCTAGATGAGCGAATCAGCGACCGTCAGCAATGTGTCCCGATCAATAGAGGCGCACGGAGTGAGAGCGGGGCGCAACTTACATCCCTTGAGATCCGGCCAATGCGGTATCTTGGTAGGAGAGAGCAGCATTAAGATACCCGAGGTACTCGTCATCCGTGACGGATATCGTGCGGTTGAGTGTTGTCTCGTTGATCGATTTTGGAAGGGGTGGGACTGTGGTATTGACCCGACTTAGGGCTTCGTAGTACGTCGCATATTTCAGAACGACCCCTGGCTCATCTTGGCCGTAGATCAGCTTCGTTTCCCAAAACTCCTGGATTGCCGAGGGCATAGTTCCATCTTTGCAACGGTTGTTGATGCACCAAGCGATGGATGTGAGGTAGGACTCGTCGGCAGCGAGGCATGCTGGTCCGGGATACGCCTCGGCCCGCTCTTCGGCGGTCATGTTGGCGAACTCGGGGCATTCCACCGTGGATGGCACTGCCGTATGGCAGACGTATGCGCACAGGGGCTCATAGTTGTCGGCACCGTAACCCTCTAGTCGATCGGCTTCTGCCAAAGCCAGTGGGCAGGCCCACAGGCATGTGATGGCCAAGGCGAGGCCATGGCGAGCGTGCGACCTCATGGCACCTGGGCTCTTGAAGTGCCAAGATGTCTTGTTGAATAACGGAGCAGGCAGTGTGGTGAAGAAGGTGTCCGGTTCTTGGCACTTGTATTGACGTCTCGCGGTCCGCCAGTACGACTTTATATCCCCACGTCGATGCCCGCCCACACCCGAACTCCAGAATATCCAGCCCAACAAACGGCCAGCAGAAGAAGCGTTGCAAATCCTGGATAAGCCACACAAGAAGCCACGGCATTTGTCTGGTCCGTTTGGCGTGCCTGCCGTGGTCTCGATGCCACATACTCCACCCAGAGCCTTCAGCTGCCAGACGTTTAGACTTGAAAACAGCCTTGAATTGAGAAGTCGAACGATCTAACCCCATATTGAGTATAGCCATGCGGCCGACTCCTCGTCGTCGTACCCTGTTTTGCGTCTAGTTGGGTGGCAACACACATGTGACGAGTGATTTACACGACGGGGCGACAGCACAGACGGGGAGAGTGGAGAGGAGTTCGGGCGCATTGCCGAAGAAGATTGGCAGATCCGCCCGCTGTCGTAGCCAGCGTTTGCGGCCCTATCGCCGAGGAAAGATCCAAGACTCACGTCTTCTGGGCAGTGTCATCACGAACTCAATTATTTGACAGCAGGTCAGACAGTGAGAGGTTCACATATCGAGATGCCGAGGACTTGAAGCCTGCGAGGTCGAGGCACACCGCCAACAAGACAACACTCCTTTCTCGGAGCAATCCGTATTGCTGGCCAAGTGGTCGTTTGATGGGGCCATTCATGTCCCCACCATCCACAGGATGTTTCGACCCTCGTTTTCGGAAGGTCGTTGCCGTCGAGCCTGATGGACATCTTGTGACCTCTAATTGGCAAGGGCCGTGGCCAAGAAAACCCTTTACTCCGGTCTTGACTCATAATTCCCCGCCACGTTCAGGTGTCCATGGCCAGTGGCCACTGGGGCCCCGTCGGTTGTCGCTGTGTCTCAACCATGCACGTGTGCTCCATACCACGAAGTCGCTACGTCCGTGTTTCTACGTTGCGAATTCGTTGCGCACCTGGGCTTGATCATTTCCTGAAATATTCAGCATGGAATCTCATCTTTCAAAAGTGTGAATGCCCATAGATCTTTGCCTGAGATGTCAAACTTTAGGCAAAATATTGTGTGCCGTCGGCTGTTCTCGGATGTGCGGTGGGCCCATTGCCGGCAGGGGTTATCAATCTCCATCTTATCAATCAGCCGGCCCCCCCAAGCAAACGATTGATAAGATGGGATCGTCGGCATCTTTTCCCCTCACAAGACTAGGTGGCTTGAGAGTTAGCACTTCAGCCGCGCCGAGAAGTCCCGCACAAGTCGTGAAAATTGTTCCCCCTGCAAGGTTCATGGATTCGCAAAGGGACCCATCGCCGTCTCCATGGTCGTCTGATGCCAGCGGGCGAGGACCCGAATTTGGTTCAATGGGAGGCGAGCGTTGGGTAATGTGGCTGGCGGACCATCGAATGCAGGGCGAGGCAAGTGTCAAAGATCCCACGGTGGCGTGGTGCCTCGGTTGTTTCGTCCAAATACATCGCTTCGGTTCCGGCAGGCAGAACCGAACGGTCGGTGTCGGCGTGTGCGTTTGGATCATTCGTTCAAAGCCGGACATGCCTTGTTGAGGGCCATGTAGATCCCTCGGTAGGGTTGACCCGTCTCCCGTTGGGCCTCGTGCAGGCGAGCCGGATTGTTGCTACGTAAAGCCCCTCTTTTACTGAAACGTTCACTCGGTTGCAGGCGAACATGGAGCCTGCCAAAGTTTGCGGCCATTGAGTTGCGACGATCTTCATGTTTTGACCTGCGTCTCGGGCATCGGTATGGATGTCTGACAGCAAGTTGTCTCTGACGTGCCTGATGTCACGCACCAGAGAACATGTAGATGCAGCAATCTGGCTTGGCAACGGCATTCTCACGCCAATCGAAGCCAAGACGCTTGGCGAGCTGCCACGTTCGGCGGCCCCCGAAGGACCCCACAACTCCATGTACAGCACTACAGCTACGAGTACATGTACAGAGTGGGAAGAGGCCCCCATGCACCTCGCTTATGAAAGGTGGCGTACCGCCCTCTGGACATGTGTGCGAAGCGCGGATGCGCTGGGGTCCCTCATTGGTATCGATTGGGCAGTTGAAGACGTTACATAATTGCATTCAAAAGCTGATAACTGGACTACGCTCTCTTGCCGATGCCTCACTATTGTGAAGTCCCCTCAATCACGACTTCCTCGCGCGGCGACCACTTTCTTCTGCCAGGGAAGAAGCACACGTAAAACAGACACCCTGCCACGAAGCCAACAATGGCCAAGGAGCCGTACATCCACACGAGGTAGGGGTCTTGCGAGACGGCCCCAAGCGCGATGCAAATGGCGGCCGCCACCGCGATAGTCAGCCAGAACAACGCCGAAATGACGGACCGCAGGCTAGAAAAGTCAGTACGATTACAAAACTGAACGAGTAACACGTCGGGACCACATACTTTTTCGGTGCCTGGGTGAAGGCAAGCTCGAGGCCTGTGATGATGACAAACGCCTCGGAGAACGCCACCAAGACGTAGCTGGGCGCCTGGATCCAGACGTGGATGCTCTTTGGCGGTGAGTTGTAGATGTAATGCTGCAGCACACAGGCGTAGACCATGGCGACGGACGCAAACATGAAGCCCATGAAGATACGTGTGACGGGGTCAAAGTCAATCTTGTACTTGCGCAGCAGGGGATAAACGATGACTGGCAAGATCAGCGACTGGTTTAAGCAACACTTCGTTCAAGGGGAACAGCCTACCGTCTAGGAACGGGATGAAGATGCAGAGCGCGATGGGATCCAGATTCTGCAGCAGGTCGTTTGGCGTCCCGTGCAGAGCCATCTGGCCGGCCTGGGAGATGAGATTGTTCCACATCTGGTTCCAGCAAATGAAGTAGAACGGAAAGAACAAAAACATCTAACTTGTGTTAGGAAGGACCGACTCCCGAGAGCGTTTAGGCTACGGGCGCACGTACCTTGCAGCTCTTCAGGCCACGCTGAACATCGCCGACATATGCGTCCGTGTACCTCTCCTGCCTTGCGAGAGGATACTTGTCGGCATGCCCTCGCTCCAGGAGCACTGAAGGACGAGCATTGTAGAAGCCTTTCTCCTTGATGGCAATGCTCGCTGTACGGCACGCGTCGAGGATGGCGGAGCCCATCGGTGGCACTCTGACGTATTTCTTTCGCCCCCAAACAAACACGCTGGCGGAAATCAGGATAATACTGAGAGTCGGTTAGCAATGCCCGCATGGTCGGAGTAGACAGCTGAAGGAAATTGCCATACATCAATGGTATCAGGTATGCAAGCCAGAAAGAGTGATGCTTCTCGACGTTGACGGTGATCAGAGGCGACAAGGCGCCGATATTGACGACCCAGTAGAACCACATGAACAGCCGCTGCACCGTCAGGTCGGGGTCGACGATGACCTGCTCTCCCGACTTGAGTGTCTTTAGGACTGGATGAGAGTTCTGGTATTGCTCGGCGCACATGGGCGTTACGTTGGCCTTGATGCCGCCCGTGCCCAGGCCAATCGTGACCATGGCTGCGATGAGTCCACCAAGGCCCGCTCCGTGCGTGATAGCAGAGGGTGTGGCGGTGGTGACGAGGATGATAAGGCCGACGATGTAGACGCTGCATGCGCACAGAATGGCCTTGTACTTGCCGAGGTATTGATCTGGGTCCTGTCAGCCTAGATGTTGGGGCAAGGAACGAGACGCGGATTGAGCGCACCAGCAATGATGGCACCGATGACTGTAGAGGCATATGCCCAGAACTTGAAGAAGTTGCCGAGAGCGGTAGCGACAGCCTGGCCCTTTCCAAGAGCTCCTGGGAGGTCGGACCCCGGTGCATAGGGGTTGCTTTGCTCTGTCAGTGCATGATCCATGCCGAACGATGCAAGACCGTGTACCTACTTGATGTAGTTCTGGAACGGCCCCGACAGACCAAAGTAAGTCGCTCTCTCGCCCAGCTGCATTGTTATTAGCCTCGACAAAGATTCTCGAGACGAATGCGCTCCATCGAATGACGACTCACCTCGACGACGAGAATCAGCAGCGCGACCGCGGGCAGCTTATCGGGGATGCGTCGCAGGCCTCGGAACTGCTCCGTATCGTTCTTGGCGTCGTGCTCAGCCATGCTGGCGGCATCGGCCGCAGGCACCGTCTTGGACTCAATCTCCATGCTGAAGGTTGATCGGCGCGCACGCGCAATCGAGTTCACCAAGTTCAGCCCCCACTGCTCAGTTGAAAGGACAAACAGCGTCTTGTGAACAAACAGACTGCGCTCTTTCGGGCCAACGAGGACGCGTGTCAAGATGCATGACGCAGCGCAGGGCTCGAGGGCATCCTTTTAACACACCCGGGGAAGCGTGGATCCTGCATCTGCAACCCCGGAGTCTGGGGAGCGAGAGATAACGCGGGGTGGAAAATTGGCGCTGTCATAGGCGGCGTCCGACGGCCGATCCGGCAAAACGGCCTTGGTGGAGCCCCCGATCGGCCGCGAGAACGCCGCCAATGAGCGGCCTCGGCGTGATCGAGCCGGGGAATGCCCTCGGCGAGGACGGCGTTCGGAATCGGCAGCCAAGAGTATCTCTTTGCTTGGTGATAAAGATGCTTTATCTGGCTGTTCATGCATAGGCCGGACTGAAGCGGTTGTTTATCGAACGCCACAGCCTTGTCTCGCTGCATTGAGGTTACCAGCGTGCAGCCATGTCAACCACCACGACGACGGCTGCGGCCCCTGTGGCTGTCTCGGAAGAGACACCCATCTCCAAAGCGACCAAAAGACTTGCAGTCTCAGAAGATGAATACCAAGGCTTAGATCCTGAATGGAGAAGTCTTTGGAACGAACATGGGAGCTCGATGGTCAGGGCCGACGAGGTCACAATTGAGGAGTATCGGCTAGACCCAGCCAAGTACAGCTTCTCATACCCGACCTACCCCGGTGCGTGGCCTTGACCAATTTCGCCCTGTTTTCTTCACACTGACTTGGGCAATAGGCCCAGAGGTGTTCCATGTGGAAGACAGACGCATCCCGGTGACGCGACCAGCGGGTGAGATCACCGTTAGAGTGTACTCCCCGGAAGGGCCTGGGCCATTTCCCGTGCATCTCAATTTCCATGGTGGCATGTGGCCTTTGACCAACATGAACATAGTGTATTCCGCTGACATATCGCAGGCGGCTGGGTTTTGGGCGGTCTCAAGTCAGAGGCAGCCTGGTGTCGGCACATGTGCAACAAGTCCAATGTCAAGGTGATTGACGTAGACTATCGCATGGGCCCCGAGTTTCGCTTCCCAACAGCCATCTACGACTGCTGGGACGCGGTAAAGTGGGCAAGTCGGAACTCACCCCCCTGCGTGTCGAGCTCTTGTTCACTGACATGTCGCAGGCAATTGAGAACGCCGACGCGCTCAACGTTGACCCCAAGAGTGTCTCGTTTGGAGGCTTGTCGGCGGGTGGCCACACGTCCGCCGTGCTCGCCCACTTTGCGCGCGACGAAAACATCGACATCAAACTCCACTTGATGATTGTTCCGGCCACGGACATGCGCTATTGCAGCACAAAGATCAAGGCGTTGACACCAGACAATTGCCCGTACGAGAGCGCGCGGTTGTTTGCCGACCTGCCATGGGGCCCGCTCGGGCGAGAGCAGTGGTTCCTCAAGTACTGGCTCGGCGACGACGCAGGTGAGTATATAGGCTGAAGCAAGTGTTCCCTATGACAGCTGTATTAACTTTTGGCGACAGACGAGCAAGAGCGCATTCTGAACGAGGAGTGGATCATGACTCCCGTGCTGGCTCCGCGCCTTAGTGGTCTGCCCCCCGCGCATATCGTCACGGCCGAATTTGATCTGGAGCGGGACGAAGGCGAGGCGTATGGTCGCATGCTGCAGCAGGCGGGCAATCAAGTTACGATGAAGAGGTATGCGGGTAGTCCGCACGCCTTTGCCCACTACAACCATCCCCAGCGGGGTCTGGCGACGAGCTTTGAGTTCATGGAGGATACGGCGGCATTGTTGAAGGATGTTCACTACGGGCATTAGAGAGCGAGAACAATCTATAGATGCAATGAGTTTTGAGCAACAATTCCTCAAGAAGGTGCGCGATTGAGAAGGGGTCAATCCCTCTGTCCGGCGGAGTGAAGAAACACATATTAAACAGTGGCTATCAGGAGTGTGGACACGGCATCAACCGCCAGGGAACCAGAGGGGAGAGAACTGACTCAACCCTCTTACCGTATCGAGGAATTACCCAGCGTGGCTGATCTCCAGTCCACTCTCCCCAGGCCCAGCGGTTACCAGTGGCACACTTCGGTCCGGGCGGAGTGCATGGGGCCGCCGGAAACCAACGCCGCCAATGACAGTGGACGCCGTGCGGCCGGCACCGGAGCTGCGGTTCGGCGGCGGCGCGTTCACACGCAGGGCACTGGCGCTCACCGCGCTGAGCTGCTTCTTTGAGCATCGTACGATGCAGGGACCTGCAATCTGACGTGCGGCGATCTGAGATCATTGATTGTGCGAATACTTATTTATCGCCGCCCTTGTCGCGAAGCTGCATGACCTCGGAGCGCCAATTGACGAAGTGAGACACAATCTGCCTACGAAATGGCACCGAGGGAAAGCATCGTTATCGTTGGGTATTTGACACCCCTGCATATCTTCCACTTATACACGATAGCTAACTTATCTCCTCCAGAGCTGGCATCATTGGCCTCGATGTCGCACTGGTCCTTGCTGAAAGAGGCTATGGGAAGAACATTACCGTGGTAGCCGAGCACCTCCCTGGTGACACGGCAGTCGACTACACGTCTCCATGGTGAGTGCCATCCTTACTAGGCCCTCACGTCGGTGTGAATTAAGTCTGAGTGTGCCAAGGGCGGGATGCAACTTTTCGGCAATCTCAGGCAGCGACGCCAACGCCCTGCGATGGGACAAGCTCGGCTACTCACATCTGTCGAAGCTGGCGTCCGAAAGGCCCGAGGAGACCTTTGTTCGCCGTACCGAGTCCATTGAGCTTTGGGACGAAGATGTCCCGCACCACAAGATCAAGGAGATGTCAGAATATCTCGAGGATGTATGCCATCGCGACTCCAATCAGGCCAACACCGTCGGAACCGTGTTCTGACCCGTCACTAGTTCCGTGTTCTGCCGCAGGATGAGCTCCCGACCGGTGTCAAATTCGCCATTGGCTTCACGACACTCACCATCAACGCCCCTCTTCACATGCAGTTTCTGCAACAGAAGCTCACGAACCACTATGGTGTTCAATTTGTTCGCCAGAAGCTCCCTAGCATCCAGGCGGCATTCTCCAATCCCGCCACCAAGATCGTGTTCAACTGCACAGGCAACGCAGCCCGGGCATTGGCCGGCGTCGAGGATGCCAAATGCTATCCGACAAGAGGCCAGGTACTGCTGACCCGGGCGCCGCATGTGCAGACGAACATCATGCGGCACGGCAAGGGTTATGAGACGTATGTGATTCCGCGGCCCGAGTCAAACGGAAATGTCGTCCTGGGCGGCTACATGCAAAAGGGCGTCAAGTAAGCGACTCACTTCCACTTTTTTACGAGTTGAAAGCTGACCACTTACCCAGTGATGGCTCCACGTACTCGTACGAGACCGAGTCCATCATGGACCGGACAGTGAAGTTGAGCCCCGAGCTTGGCAAGTCCGAGTACGAGATCCTCGCCTCGTTCGCGGGTATGAGACCATCACGGGAGGGAGGCGCAAGGGTAGAGCGCGACGGAATCGACGTCGCCGGCGAGAAGCGCATTCTTGTACACAACTATGGCGCCGGCGGCACTGGGTTCCAAGCTGGATACGGCATGGCGGTCGACGCAGTAAAAACCGTGGAGGACGTCCTCAGACAGCTGCGCGGCACATCGCCGCGACCAAGGTTGTAAGGCTCCACAGAAGGTGTATAGTTGATGGCCAGCGGTGCAAGAATTGCGTGTCAAAGCGATTTGCGCGGAGTGTCTTCGATCATGTGCCGTCTTCCAGTGAGGAAAATGCCTGTGACACATGAGGTGGGAGGTGAAGAACGTTGTCGACGCCGCGCCAGAAGATGGAGTCAATGCGAAGTAGGCCCAAGCAGAGGATGGGGAAGGACTTCGCTTTGAGTCGCAGTTCCTTTCGGGTCATCTGCAGCCGCTTTATCCAGTCGAGAGCTTCATCATACGTAGATGCTGATGAGACCATTGTGAGCTGGGTGAAGCAGAGAGATGAGATCGCAGCCTGCGCCCACGGTGGCCAAACGCCGTTGACATCCTCCGCTCTCAGATCCTTGATGAAAGCGTGAAAGCCCTGGGTGCAGTCTCTCATGCTTTGTCGCACTGTTTCGGCGCGGGCGGTGAGATCGGAAGAGCCTCCTAGGTTCTCGGTGTCAAGGAATGGCCTCATCGCCGCGCGATGTACGATGAGATTTGTGTGGTGATACGCTAGATCGCAGATGGCCAGCGACATTTGTATCCCTGCTTGATGTGATGGATCATGATTGCCGGCGGAATGGTAGGACTCGTCCAGATGGTTCGCCAACGACATGGCAATGTCGCTGAGTCCGGGGTTTTGGGACGATGACTGCAAGATGCGCAGCGAACTGGATGAAAATGAGGTCAATAAGAGCACCCAATGGATGCGAACTGGAAGACACTCACTATAGTTTCGCTAAAGCCTCGGCAACAAGCATGGTCACCGCCGACAGTTTTAGTAAACATTCCCAGGCGGCATCAGGGACGTTGCTATCGTGCTGGTCCGAGGGAAGCAGTGTATTGACAAGCCAATTGTCCGGATCAATGAGTGGCGGCTTGCCCAAGCTGGCGGCGAGCAAACGGTCCGTCGAGTAGATGAGGAATGATAGTCGGCGCCTCAGAGCCACGTCCGCCGCCAGCAGCCCCCAGGGCGTAGGGTCTAGGTGCAAACCGACGTTGGTGGCCGCCGCGACCAGAGCCCCCATAAGATTCCACTGATGCGACGCATCGGAGACCAGTGGATTGGACGATGGCCTTAGCACGAGCAGCAGCATCGTCTGCACGGTTTCGAGGCTCGGTGAGTGCAGATCCGGTGCCAGTGAGGTATTGAGAACCTGCGAAAGCGTCGAGTACGGGAAGGCGTCATATGCGAGATCAATACAGAGCTTATCGTCGTGCATGGCGAAGGGAACGGCAATGGCGTACACAGCAGCGAGGAGGTGCGCAGGACTGGTCTCAGGATCAGGCATCGCGGCCGAGGAGAAGATGGGGTACTGCGCCCCGGCGAATTTTGACCACAGTGAGATGAGTCGCTTGCCCATCGTGGATGGCACCAACTGCTCCAACTGTGTCCTCAGATACGCCTCTCCTGGTGTGGCATGGCCGGTCTGTTCCAGCGACTTGCCAAAGAGCGACGGCTGAGACAGGAGGAACTGCACCGGGAACGGCTGTTCCTGCACCGAATAAACGGCGAGCTGCTTGAACTTGAAGACGCCGTGATTGTCAGTCCGGTATTTCCGCAGGATGTATGGGTCCATATCGCCCGTCAAGCCCAGCGCCTCAGGCTTCGTGTCGGTATGCCCATCCAGCAGGGGAAGAGCCGTAGTTGTTGGCGTATCGCGCTGCAGAGACAGAGCGTTCACGCTCCGTGACGCGCCATCGCCCGCAACTGACACGTTGGACGCTGGACTGCGAGGCGTGCGAAACATGAAGTGGTAGTCGCTGGAGTCCATGCCGAGATCCTGGAGGAACTGCAAGCTCATGCTGGGGAACGGCGACTCATCTCCCGCAGCGACATCCAGCGGCACTGATGGTATCGCAAACGCGTTTCTCGGTGAGTGCGGCCTCAATGAGTCGCTGTCGCCGGGTCTTGGTAGCAACACCGGCGGCGTGGATACAGTTGCGGCTGGCATCGCCAGCACGGATGCTCCGTCCACGGCGTCCGATCCCGGATGTCCTTCCAGCAGTGGCTTCTTGCGGGGGCGCGTCGACTCGACAAAGGTGCACTCATGGCTGTGCAACTGGCATGTGCGACATGGAGGGGCCCCTTCGATGCGACAAGCGGTTTTCCGAGCGCGACAAAAGTCGCACGGCCGTTGCCGCTTGCTCATGTACTTGCGCATTGTGCCATTGACGGGAGTGTTGCAGTGAATCAGTGATGCAGGTGCACGATTGTCGCGTGGGGATGGAACTACTGCTGGCGGCGAGCTGGTCCACACACACTCTCTACCAGCCCCTGTGACCTGAATGTGGATTAGCCTGAAGCGATCCATTGACAGCGGAAACATGCACTAGCGGTGATGTACAGGCGCAATCTCGCTGGGGAATCGGGTTGAAGGGTCATGCTGCCCGCTTGCCCTGCTGGTATCGTGAAGTTGCGCAGCGAGGTTGCAGCTTGCAAAGCTCGGCGGCTAACCAGACGGCATATATCATCGCCGAGTGCAGCAATGTCTCTGCTTGTCAATGGGCAGGAAGCAGCATGCGACTAGATTGAATTGACAGGGGAACACCGCCTGTCCATGTTTCTGTCAATCAGGATATCAATGCCACTCTCGTGAATCACACTGACCCCTTCAATCCTTTAGAACCTAGATGTCAGAGAATCACGAACTGCGACGAGCGATAATTTCTCGAAGCAACATGCTTAGAGTCTTAGTATAAATTGTTCCTCAGCTCGGGGCACTGCTCCGACTTGTTACTACTCAAGCACAGCAGTCTCCCACCTTTCAATGAACCGTATCCCAATCGCACCCCGTTGATTCACCATTGACAAATCCAATCGACTTGAGTAAACACTGAATAGCAGTGATGTGCTACCAGTACGACTTGTATACAAGGTGCATCAGGTGCCAGGAGAAAACGTTCATCCGCACCGGCGCTCCCATGCCGTGCACAGAGGTGCGGAAGTTGAACATAGATCCGCCGCCCATCGGCCGCTGCAAGATGGGGCTCTCGAGGCGGGAACAGATTGAGCAAATCCTACAAGACTGTAAGCCATGCACTGCGAGGAGAAAGGCAAAGGGCCTGAAGTGAAGGGGCCGCCGGCGTTGGCCAAAGTTGTGGCTGTTCCTGCCAAAGAACATATGTTGAACTTGTTGCTGGACTGCGCCTCGACCTGGCTCGAACAAAGGGCAAATACAGAACTATACTTAGTTGCGTTCAGCTACTGTCTTGTTCTGTGAATCACAATACCGCGATTCACTAGGAATGAACGATTCACCACAAAGGGATCGCGTTCTATAAAGCCAGTCTTCCCTCGCAGCAAGAGAATGCTTTTTGCTCCTCAAACTATCAGCATTAGCCCATCGCCAGAACCATCAACTCAAACTCCGAACCATTCACCACTCGAACACTTAATCACATACCAGGGTCTGCGGCGTGATTCACGATGTGCACGGTCAAAAAGGTCTATCAGAAATGCAACACATGTGGCACGAAAAGGTGGCTGAAAGACGACCCAACTAGGTGCGAGATGTGGGAACATGAATGGACCATGGCTCCCGAAGGAGCTAAACGTGAACTCGTTCGATGCCCCAAGGGCGTCCGAGAGAACAAGGACGAAGAGATAATTCGCGACGTACCGAATTGGAGGTGTCATGTTTGTGAGCCTCGATTCACGAGGTAGCAGAGATAGTTATGCGACAGCACAAGGGGAGCACACTGACTCTCTAATTGACCCCTTTTAACGAGAGCCATCTCCAAATCCAAGCTTTAGCATATTTGTGGATTCTGTTTCGCAAAACACTGGCCATGTCCATCTCGCAACAACGACGGCGGGTGCGTTTAATCGCATTGGCTAGCGATCTACACCATCAGTGGCCAGCAGGTCATACAGTCCCTCCACTTCTCATGTAGATGTAGATTGTGACCCCTGCGAGGAAAACGAATGGTCCGTCATTACAGAGCTACAATTCATAAGAAGACGGAGCCAACTTATCCAACGGGGCATATGAATAGCCGGAACTATGATCAGAGGACCATCATAAGGCATACCTGCGAGGTAATTCTCACCCTGACTTGCTTTTAACATTTCCTTCAGCTTTTTGCAGCTGAGTATCGTGGAGTTGCAGCCATGGCGTCAGCCTCTTGAAACCGCCCAGACCACTTAACTTGGATTGAGGTCATGTGTCTCCCAGCGGCCGTACACCTTCCCACCACGAAGTCAGCACCTCAGCCCGTATTGCGATAAGCTTAATAAATGGCATGTTAGGTTGTATGACGGCCGCCTGAGTCAATTGCATGCTGTTCCAGCAGCTTTTTGTGCCTGGAAAGACTCCACCAGCGAGCGATGGATTCAATGAGGGTGAGGCTCACACAAGATTTTGGGCGAACGCCAACAAGGGCGACCTCCTCCGATAAATATTATCGCAGCACGACAATCGCTTCCTGTAAATGAACAAAAAAGGCGCCCGATTGATCTTTCCGGGATCTCGGGCCACAACAATACGAAAACACGTCTACCGAGCAAGGTGGGATGGTGCGACAGATTGGCAGCGCGTCAAACCAGTCTGCGATGTCACCCTCGATCTCCCATGATTTCTCAGCCACTTTGTTGGCAGCTATGTATTAGACAGTAGCGCGCCTGACTGGACGCTGCAGGCAGGCCTATTACAGCCAGGGCTATGCTTTACGCATGTTGCGGCTTACCGAGGATAAGAAGGGGAGGCATTCTCTAGCACTATCGAGGTCAGTGACGAACGTGACCCATCTCGTCGGATTGAATGCGAGCGCATTGCGGGTTTGCGCCATGCTTGGCTAGGGGATCGGCGTTTGTTACACCCCGCCAAAGCATTGAGCACAACTACGAGTACACGTAAAACGATCTACCGGCTCTGAAAATAGAACCAAGAGACTGAGCGGTGGAAATTGCCCGCCGGGCTCTCCCATTGCTTGCTGGCGTTGTGGTATGGTTAGTGTGTCGAGATTGCGCAAGAACTGGAGGGTGACGACCCGACCGGACCCAGCTGGGCGTCATCGCCTCGACAATTTTGGTGTCCATTGGAAAGGAGCATAAAATATAAAATGAATGAGCAGTGTAATGTGAGCGTAATTATAACCTTCTCGTCCTTGCTGGAAGCCGCAACGCTGTCGACTCTTGTCAGTAAATCTTCGATCCATTTACAGCACGGTCTGGTCTGGTGTCTTTTGAACATGAAGAGGACAATCAATGGTATGACTCTACTATTGGCGGCGTCCGCCGCCGCTAGCGCAACCTCACGGCATGGGACGTGGAAGGTCGGCCAAACAGTCCATACAAGCAGCGGCCCTGTGGAAGGACATGCCGCGTCAAATGCGACGGGCGTGTCGGAGTATCTCGGCATCCCATACGCCGAGCCACCAGTTGGACCCCGTCGATTCCAACCTCCCGAGCGACTCCGCAAAAGGTCCAGGATCCGCGGACACAAATTTGCAAGTAGACAGTACCATCGCTACTGGAACCGAGTCTGACTGAATGAGCAGGGCTTCTCGTGTATGACATCGAACATTACAAGGAATGACGCAGTCGTGTCGGAAGACTTGATTGCCAAATACAATATAACGGATGTCGGCGTCGAGTTTCTCACGGAAATCATGAACCCAGGGTTGCGCCGCAGCGAAGACTGCCTCACGCTCAACGTATGGACGAAGCCCCAGGTAGGAGAGAAGCGCAAGGCCGTCCTTGTCTGGCTTCACGGCGGTAGTTTCGTCGTCGGTACGTCATGTGCCGTATCTTGATGGGAACTTGGAGTGACTCTGTGTATTGGTGTAGGATCGTCGGCAATCCCTTCATACAACGGCCAGATTTTCGCCGACCAGGAGGATGTCGTCCTGGTGACCATCAAGTGAGTATTTGCAAACACCCTGTGGCCATCTTCCCGATGATGGCGTGCTGAGAAGTGTTTGCAGTTACCGGCTGAGCATATTTGGGTACCCCGGAAATCCACTCGGGGCTCAGAACTTGGGACTACTCGACCAGCGTCTCGCCGTGGAATGGGTTCGAGACAACATCGCGAGATTTGGAGGCGACCCGAACCGCATCACGATGTTTGGGCAGTCCGCTGGAGGCGTCTCGATTGACGACTACACATACGCTTGGCCGCGCGATCCCATTGTACACGGAGTGATTGCGCAGTCAGGCACTGGAACAGGTATTGGTACGCGAACGAAGGCGGAAGCGGCAGAGTTCTGGTTCAACGCATCCTCTGCCGTTGGATGCGGGGACAAGAACACGCCTGCTCGACAGGTGCAGGAGTGCATGTTGCGCAAGCCCGCCGACGCTATAGCCAAAGCCACCGTCTCCACCGTCAACAGCCCCGTCACGATGCCGTACTGCCCAACTAAGGACAACAAGACCGTGTTTGAGGACTTGAGCCGGCGTGTACCAGCCCGCTTGCCCATGCTGATTGGAAACACCGACTTTGAGGGCGGGTTGTTTGAGCTCTTCACCGACGCACCCGCGCCGCCCGGGTTTTGGCAGCAACACAGTCGGCGAATGTTCGAGTGCCCTGCGGCCAGACGTGCCGCTCTATCGGTGAAGCACGGGAATCCTACGTGGCGATATCGCTACCACGGCGACTTCCCGAACATGGAGCTGTCGAGAAATCCGCCGAGCGGAGCGTATCACGAGTCGGAAGTGCGGCCGATGTTCGATACCGTGGTTCAGGATCAGATTCCCAGCACCAAGGAAGAGATTGCGCTCGGCAAATACCTTCGGCAAACGTGGGCGGCCTTTGCAAAGGACCCAGTTCATGGCCTAGAGAGGTATAATTGGCCACGGTATAACCCCAACGGGACGACACTGGTCCGACTCGGCTACAATAACAAGGTTGGGCCGAATCTCGCGATAGGAAACCTGTACGATTGGGAGTGCTAACGGCCGGTGTGCCATTCTCGGTGCGGCGCTGTCTCGTCATCGAACATGGACGGAATACCGACTTCTATCTTCCCTTCGCAAAACATGCAACCAATTGTTGTTCGCCTTCAACTACTTTCTTCTACGTCGGACTAAAGAACGCTCTTCCACACTTTTCTGTACTCATTTGTTCTTCCGGGTTCATCTCGTGATGACACCGCCGCCTTGAAGCCTTGTTGTCGCGCGAGCTCTTGGAACTCAACGCCTTGAGGCGAGTTTCTTGTGATTCCGTCAAAGACAGTGGCAAGCCTTTGGCTAGACTCAATAGAACACTCCATCGTGTTGTTGATGACCTGCTTCTGCATCCACAGTTGATTGATCGGAACTGTCTTGATCCGCTCGACGAGCAAGTTCACTGTGTCTTCCAGCTGCGATGCTGGCACGGCCTTGAGCACCAGACCCATTGCAGCAGCCTCCGAGCCGCTGATGAGGTCGCCCGTGAACAGCATTCTTTTCGCCTTCTCTGCGCCGACGCGGTACGCCCACATCGCAGTCGTCGGACATCCCCAGACTCTGCTCGGAGGGTACCCTATGCGAGCGTCGTCCGCCATAACGACGAGGTCGCAACAGAGCGCGATGTCGCTCCCACCTGCAACGGCCGCTCCGTGCACCTGCGCAATTGTCGGCTTGTGACTGCGGAATAGCTCCGAGTAGCAGTTGGTGCATTCCTTCATCAGCATATAGTCCTGGAAGGGTTCGTAACCCCGACTTAGATCCTGGCTGCCCTCTGTCTGGCCGCGCTGAGCACTCTCGGCGTAAATCTTGAGGTCATACCCGCCGCAGAAACCGCGACCATTGCCCTTGAGGACGATGCAGTGAACGTGGGGGTCCGCATTGGCGATTCGAACAGCGCCGCGTATTTCGAGCGGCATGTGCTGGTCAATGGCATTGTGTTGATCTGGTCGGTTCAAGGTGATGTAGGCAACTTTGCCATCTTCTGAGGTGTAATACTGCACCGACTTGAATGTAGTTGGGTCCATGTTTGAAGTCATGTTGTGCTCGCCGGGCAGTGTGATTGTTCACCAGACGTCAACCGCGCGGCCATCAACTGCGACGCGAGCACTAGGCAAAAGGGGAAGTCATTCCTGCCTCTCGGTAGAGTAGCAGAGTAATCACCTCTATAACTCCGAACCGAAAACATCTGACGGCGCACGGATTGGAGCTAGTCGGCTCGGCTCCAATGTTGAGCCTGCGGACCCTCGGCATGTCACTCTTCCCCGCGCTGGCACCTGGTAACTGGCAGGCTTCCCCGCATCAATAGGGGCCTTTGACAGGGGCCACTGGTGCCGTTACGGGGCGTTAGCGCCTGTAGAGGCAACGTCTGGGGCGCCGCAGCCAGGGTACGACTCTTAGGACATATATGAAGCTACTCAACGCCAAGTTCCTGCTTAGGTGTCGACTGCCTGTAATGGCTTTATACCGCAATCAATGCACTAAGCGAAACCCCAGTATTTACTATTATCATTATTGTTATACAGTAGCATGGCTTCGAACGCCACGGCACTACCGAAGCCGGCAACCGCGGACACGGGCTTCATCTTTTCTATGCCCGAGCGCGAGCATCCACTCACGTCGGATGTAGCATTCCTCAGAGCGCTATCGTGTAACAAGGCCCCGAGGGTACTATTCAGGGAGGAGCACGTTAGTTTGACTGACCTCGTCACTTAGGGTACCTGCCGGACGACATTCTGTCGGCCGTGAGGCCGGAGCTGGCCAAGATTGCCGAGGAGGCAGCTTCTGACCCTGTGAAGAGTTGGACCTGCGACGCCGAAGTTCGCCAGCCATACGTCAAGACGCATAACGTATGGGGCGCGAGGTACGATGTGGACAAATTGGTGACGAGCGATGGGTGGAAGAACCTCCGCACATGGGGGGCACAAAACGGGTCAGTCGCGCCCGCTAAGCATGACGGAGTCTACAGGTGTGGAAAACTTACTGATCAATCACGTCTTCAGTATCGTCGCGACCGCCTACGAGCCTCACTTTGGGCAGTACAAACGAATCGTCCAGCACGCAAAGTCAGTCATAATACGTTTCCCTCTTCGCATGTTGTCTGACACGTTCATCAAGGAATTACTTCTTTGGTCCCTCATCCGCGCTGACGGGTTGTCCTCTCTCAATGACTGACGGCGCGGCGAAACTGCTCAGCGAGGTCCTCCCGTCCCTTCCTTCGTCGCACCCATTTCATGAGGTGTATGAGCATCTCATATCTCGCACCGATTATTGGACTTCCGGCCAGTGGATGACGGAGCGTGCCGGCGGCAGCGATGTACAGAACACAGAGACCTGGGCGACGTACCGGCCTCTTGCTCAGAAGACTGGTGCTTATGGGCGGCTGGATGAGGGCGACTATCTCGTGTCCGGGTTCAAATTCTTCTCCTCCGCGACCGATGCCGATGTTGCTGTTCTGTTGGCCAAGACTGACAGTGGGAAGTTAAGCGCATTTCTTGCGCCATTGACCAGAAGAATTGTTGGCGTGGACGGCAAGGAGAGGATTGTGACGAACGGAATTCGCATACATCGCCTCAAGAACAAGTTGGGCACCAAACAGCTCCCCACGGCTGAGCTCGAGCTCAAAGACGTGCGCGCCCATCTAGTCGGACCAGTAGATCGCGGCGTCAAGACCATCTCCCATATACTCAACATTACTCGCGCGCACGCATTCATGGGAAGTGTCGCCGGGTGGAGGCGATGCCTGTCCATCGCCAAGTCCTTTGCTCGAGCTCGTTCGACCTGGGGGGTGCCGCTGTGGAAGCTGCCCCTTCACCTCCGCACGCTTGCGGACATGGAGCTCAAGCTCCGAGGCGCTCTACATCTTGCCTTCTTCACCATTTCTCTGATGAGCTTCACCGAAAATGGATTCCCGGCCGGTGTCACCACGGGATCTTACGCGCCTGTACCCCACGAAGGTGCCGAAGCCCGGGTCGTCTTAAGGGCGCTGACTGCAACATCAAAAGCAGTCATCGCCAAGAACACGTCAAGCGGAATCCAGGAATGCATGGAGGCTATGGGAGGTGTAGGCTACATGGATGAGCCAGACGAGCCGGAGAATCTTGCCCGTGCATTTCGAGATTCCAACGTCAACACCATCTGGGAGGGTACCACGAACGTCCTCAGCAGTGAGGTCGTACGCAACCTGGTCAAGGAAGACAATCTTCAAATATTTGATGGATGGCTCAAGCGTGCCATTGGCGACATCAAGACCAAGCAATATCGCCTGGCGTTGAGCAGTTCGTGGCAGACCCTCCATCGCTCATTGGAGAGCGGCAAAGGGAGCTTCCTCGACCTGCTCGGCAATGGCAGGCGCATCATGTTTAGTCTCGCTTGGATCGTCATAAGTCTGCTGTTGGCGGCGGATGCGGAGCGAGATGGCGACGCCGTGGCCAACGAAGTGGCACGCCGATGGATTCTGAATGGGGAGGGTGGTGTTGGCGAGTGGCTTCTACCACATGTCGGCGGAATACGCGAAGGAGCATACTTTCAGGAAGGCGACGATCGTGCGAGGTGGGACTTCAGACTCATTTGGGGGGATTCAGCGGGGCAAAGCCACGAAAGCCTCGGCAGGCTGGGACAGGCGAAGATCTGACTGCACCCAAGAAGGGTACGTGTACTGAGTGCCATCGTGTTACCAGCGCATTAAACCAGCATTGGGCCGATCTACCTCCAATGGCTAGGAATTGGCGGTTGACGTCGCTCTACCTTTCCAACCGAAGCTTGGCAGCAGCCTCTGTCAGTGGTTCCCATCGTGAATCGAATGCCTTTGAGGTTCAATAGGCTACTCTCCCAACTGATCTACTCAGTCCGTTGACCGCTGAATACGCCAGCATCTTCTCATATGCTGGTAATGCCCACTTCTCCATCCAATTTGACCTCAGGACTTGGCCTGCGGTAAGGCGGGTCTCGGGCCGGAACGATAGCATGGGACGAAGCATGGCCATGATTGCATCTCTCTCTTTGGCTTCGATGGATGGCATTCTTCCTCTTTGTCGAGGTTTCTGAACACTGTCCTCAAAGCGCGTCTCCCAGCTTCTCAGAAAGCGGTCTTGGATTGGGCTACCATCCTCGTTAAACCATTGTCGACGTGCTTCCCACTTGTTCCACCACTCAGGTGGTAGGTCGCCCAGCACATCTAGTTGCTCACAAGTGGTGTTATCCGGCGTTGCGAGGATATCCTCGAACAGCGGTCTTTGGGCAAGGATTGTCCAGATGCTGCAAGCCATTGTCCAGATGTCTGCAGGGAAGGACAGGGGCTTCCCAGCTTCAAATCGCGCCTCCGGAGGCCGGATCGAGAGTGGCGCATGAGACTCACACCGTGATTCATGCGCTGGGGAAAAGGCTGCGCCGAAGTCTACGAGGAGCATTGCGGCTTCTGATAGGCGGACATCTTCGCTCGCTTTCCCAAGCCAGACCGATTGAACTCCGTGAGATGGGACACCGAGTGGAAGGGCGCCGCCCTCAAGGCGGCGGACGGGCTCTAATTCCGGTGCGCCGTAACGGTCGTATATCTCATCGTCCGAGAGCGAGTCTAACTCACGAGGTAGGCGGAGAAGAATATTACCAAGGTGAAGATCTGCGTGAACGATGTTAACGGCGAGACAGTCATCGCATGTGGAAAATGAAGAGAGTACCTCCATGGACGAAGCCCTGTGCATGTGTGAACGCAACGGCGACCGCGAGTTGCGCGGCTAGGGCTCTCGCTACATCCAGGCTGAATAGCCTCATGTATGAGCCATCCTTTGCCCCCGAAAGACTGGTCCTTGCAGGAACAGTGACATAACAGGGATGAACGCCGTTCGGGCCTTCAACCTTGAAGTGATCCAGTAGGCGAGGGATGAGGGATCTGCCGCAGCCGGCGGTTTCCGAATCGCCTTTGGTGCTAGCGAGCGCGGACAAGATCTCTAGTTCACGAGTTGTTGACTCGGCTGTTACGACCTTAATTGCAACGAGGCTTTTTCGTTCTTCATCACGAGCAAGCCAGGTCGTCGAGTACGAGCCAAATCCAAGCTTGTGTATCACTCGGTATCGATTCCCGAGCCTGTCGCCGATTGTGACAGGATGATACCCTCCTGGCCGATAGTATGCGAGTCTTTCCACGTCCTCAATATACTCGTACTCCACGTTGGGCGTTCGGCTGCTGCTGAAGCGCGCTGACCCCACTGAGCAAGGTGCTGCAACGTATGAGGGAGAGCGGGGGCGCGTTTCGAGACGCGGTCGCGTTTGTCCGCCGATTAGGAGAACTGCCGAGGAACAATGACGCTGGCCTGGTCGGGGCGGGGCAGCGCAGCGCAAATGCCTCGACATTGCCGTGTCTGATCCGAGGAGGGCAAAGTCAAGATTGCGCCATGACCAGCACCTGCACGGCAAAGTGTGAAGCAGTTCCCGGATAATCGATGATGCTGAGGAGCGGATTCGCCTTGCCAAGCCAACGCTGTTGGACAGATGAGTTCGGCGCAAATGCCCCCGGCTGTAGCAGTGGGGAAAAAAAAGCGAAACAGTGAGTCAATTCCTCAGTCGCGTCGAAGGGACGCGTCATCGCAGCGTTCGTGTTGCATACCTAAATCTTCGTGTCGGGCGCATCCGGCACTGGGAGCGAGGAGGCTGGTGTACTAAGCTCACTGGAACAGAGCTGTCGGCTGTGTTGGAATGGGACACTATCGGTTTGCCGAGCCGCCTGATCCAAAATTTCACTTCCATCGTCGTGGACACCAACCAGACCGTTGCTCCACCGCGAGGTTCATGCTCTTGCAGGGAACCCCTCGGGCTCCTACGTCCCGCCAGGTCGGAAGACATACCCAAAGAGGCATTGTGAGCAGATGACGCACTTGGCATCTCGTGATACCACTCTATTGAGGCGAGGCGGGCTCATTTTCTACCTTTTGTTCCTTGTTTGTTCGGCGCCAAGTAATGTGCATTGCTCGACGAATTAGGCCCAGGAACGGCTATCCGGGCCGCCTTGAGTCTAATTGACTTGAACAAGTAACTTCCTTGTCGTGTGTGCCGGAAACTCCCGAAAAGGGCCAGTTCCCATGGCCGCAGTCTTGCCTACAGCAATACATGTGAGAATAGCCACTGAGGGTAGGAGCCGACACTGGCCTCCAAGCTCGCTGTTGATGGCCAGAACTCCATGGCATCCTCAACGCTAGCTGTTAAAAGCTTGAGCTGACTCAAGCGAACATAGCATGGCGAGAGCTCAGGGCGAGCAATCGACGACTTACTTCTTCGAGACGCGTTGCATTCAGCAAGACTTCAATGTTCCTTGGGTTTCGTCATACACGCAAACTGTTCACGGCCGAAGCATTTCCACCAGACATAAGTCGGCCGTGCATTTTAGCATCGATGTAGTTCCACCACATGAACTGACGAGCAGCCGGCTTGCACGTTGCAATGTCATTTATGCATTGACGATGGCACCACGTAGTGATACAACGAAGGCGACCGCAATATATCGTTGATTTGTATCTGCGCCTGACTAGAATTTATACCAAAACACATATATCCCAGGGACTTCGTCAGCATGAACAACGCATTTGGCGAATGTTACGTGGCGTCGGCTTATCCTTCATGCGTTAAATGTCGAGCCACATCAGCTACTGCATTGAAAGGCACTTTGAATGTGAAATATCGGGTTATCTCTTGGCTATGGTGGACGACACCGCCATTTAATATATTAGTGCGTTGTTGGCATATTTCGTCAAGGTCTTCATTCGATGAGTTATCAGCATGAAACTCAGCTGGTGGTTTGCCCAGTGAATGGTGGAATATAGATGCCTTGATGCATCCTACTGCCAGGCTCAGCTGTCTTCTTAGCTCTGATAAAAGAACGAGGATGTCTGGCTCAACAGCCCTCGTGATGGGAATAGCTGGACCTCACTTCTAATTTCAAGTCTCAGTCCAAGTCAGAATCCCCAAGAATGCTCGGTTCTTTGAAGGTCGTTGCCGGCCTCCTCGCCTATACAGCCTTGCTGCCATCGCTCGGGAAAGTTGACGCAACACCGCTGCTTGAACAACGGGCGCCACCGGTATTCAACTTGGGCATGCAAAGCAACGTGACTCTCGTGTATTACAACGACTACACAAGCGGACGCTCTGGTTCGGCACTCTCACCGACCGCGGAAGTACCCGTCCGGGCTCCCGCAGCAGTCAGACAAGTGGGGGGCATCCAGTACTTTGGAGACGACCCATCCGAACCTCAGTATCTCATAGTGAGCGAAGATCTCGACTCTACCTGGTTGGCATCCCGAATTCTCGATCGAATCGGCTTTGTATACGAGCTCGCCCCAGGGCCACACACCGTAGCCACAAACGATGATGGATTCTACTACGTCGTTGGCGGGATAGTGTGGTCACAAATCAGACGATTTGCATTCACAGACGGGACTGAAAGCAGCTCGCAGAGCCTATCGTGGACGGTCAATACTGATTACGACAGGAGATGGGAGCAATTTGGACCGCGCGTTCCTCAACCGCTCTTGTGGGGCGATCAGGGACATGAAGAGCAGCTTTCTCGGCTGCACATGGCAGGCTTTGACTCCCGCGCGGTATATCGGTTGTACATGCAAGAGCTTACAAGCTCACGAAACACGGATGCGAGCGACGACCAGCGCGTGGTCCTGAGAGAGCTTCTTGATTGGGATCCCGACCTTGAACCGGACCGTGATCTCCCATTACTGCGTCGAAATGAAGGCATGTGACCATCTGACTATTGTGTCGGCAGCTTGACATGCTAATGAGTGTAGTACCCCGACTCATAACTTTAGCACTGATGGCTATCGACTGGACTACTGTCAAAATCCCCGAACGACTACAAAAGAAACTCTTAGGCGGCCTCCCGACGGGAGATGAGTGCGGACAAGTAGTCAGAGAAGTATTTCGCGATGATTCGTCCGAAGCCTCTTCAACTACCTGCGAAGCACTGGTTGAGAAAGCGCACGACTTTAACAGGAAACCTGCAGAGCGAGTTGGCATTGGTAGGCCAAACCTTCGCACGTCGCGTATTGACCGCACGCATTGTAGCTAACATGGCGTCTGACAGTCTATGCCCATGAGCCTGTTGCCGGTCCAAGCACAAGCCAGGGGAATCCTGCATATGTTAACACAGGTAGAGTCCAAAGTCGCCCCGAGATGCAGGCTGCCTCAGGTACTGACAAGTACAACCAGCCGAGGCGAGGCAAAACGTGTGCGATGTAAAGAGAAAACATGATGAGAAATATATCAAGGGGGAAGTCAAGCGTCTCAGGGCACAGCCAACGTCGGGGAGTGCGGTGTCGCGCACTCTGCAGAGTCAGATCGAGCAGCGCATCTGCGGCGCAACGGCGGGTAGGGAACACTGACCGACACAGCCCTTCTTCTCAAGCCCACGCTGATATATGCTGCCGCTAGCGCAATGCGAGGACGAACTGGCCCTTCGCTTCAGTAAAGATACGGACAGCCTCGTGGGACACCTCGCAGATCTCGACACGGAAACGCAAGGGACCTGTGCAGAAGCTAGAAGTACGCCCCGGTTGGTATATCCTGGAAACGCTGGCACTGACACATATCTTCGGTAGGCTCCTGTAGGGACAATGTCGCCGAGGCATTCGACCAAAACGGGGCGAGCATTCTTCCACATCTCCTCGACGTGGAAGAAGCGCAGCACCGTCGCTGTACCGAGGTCGCTGCTGAGGTAGCTCGCATTGAGCGCCAGATTGGGCATGACGGCACAATCAGTGAACGACAAGTAGAGGACTTTCTCCTGCAGGCCGCAAACAATTCCGTATCGGCAGAGGCAGTGATGGAGTCTATCGACGCAGGGTTGGAATCGTTTAGGTCGTCCTTCCCAGAGCTTTTTGACCTCATGAGGACCAATTTCCCTGCCCTGTTTCAAGCCCTCCGAGATGCCCATATCGACGGAATTGAGATGCCGTCTTGTGGCGCGAACACGCAGAGCCCTTCCAAGCGACAGGAGCCTGGAACGAAGTCGAAAGTACACACGCACCGCGGTACGAGATTGGTCAAATGTCTACTCCTGCTAGCTCAGCGACTCATAGCTAACATGTCTCTGAAGCGCAACTGCGGGAAAGAAGCTGCCGACGACTCGAAGCACTCAGACTCTACCGCAAGGGTCTGACCGGCTGGGAGGGCCCATGCTTGGCTATCAACAAACTGCAAGTCACACTGTCTATGGGCATTGGTGCGAGAAGCGGCCTCTATGGAACCAAAGATACCATCTTCGTTGGTGTCGGAGAGTCTCCCGCGCTAGAACAAGTATTAGACGATCCGTGGGGGTTCAGCAAAGCGACCAAGAAGATCGATCTTAAATGGGCGTTTGGGTCTGAGAACGTTGCTCTGCATAAAATCCGGCTTGTCAGACTATACGCACAGGAAAACCCTTCTTGGGCTTGGTACGCACGCCTGGAGTGGATGTTCAAAGGCGAGTCCCCTCAAGCCGCAGACTGGAATCAGCATCACATCTCGACGCGCGGGCATTAACCTTGATCCTTGACCTAGAGCTGACACTGACGGCGCAATGCGTGGGTTCCAACAAAAATATCGTGATGGATCGCTACTCCAATTACGATTCACCATATCTGATACGGCGTCGCGACAAGGGGCACCAGGAGGTGTGGCGCAGCGGCGAGATACGTCCTGAATGGTGGCATTTTGTTTAACAGAGCACAGTTCTCAGCCTATGCGAGGCTCACATGATGAGAATTTGAGGCGGCAGCGTCCTCTCGTCTGCGCGATCGCATGGGGCGCGCCACGACCTGTTAGGGCTGCTGTCGAACTTCGGTAGTCGATGGATGCGTGGATTGATGTTTGACGCTTTTGCTATGTGGGCACACGGTGCTCTGCTGTCTCTGCTACATGTGTTGTGGCAGCAGGGGTGGAGGATGGTGTGTTGATTGCGTTCCTGTCTTCAGCAGCCTCTAGTCGCTCCCTTTCCCAGTCTTGATCCGAGGCAAAGAGTATGAGAGTGGCTCAGAGAATCGTCGTCAGTGGTCACTCCCAAATGGTGACCCCGCGTTTAACCCCCTCGTATGGGTCGTATAGGGCATGGCCTGCACTGAACCGTTACAGCAGCGCCGTTACAGCACCACCAACAACACAGTGACATCGCTGTTCTCGCGATGAAGTTATGCTTTTCTTGCAGTTCCATATCACTTGCATTCCTCCTGGCGGTTGACCGGTCTCATGAGTCTGGCCGTGATGCGCAAAAGGCAAGTCGAGTGCTCAGGGAAAATGGCGCAACCCTCGCCAAGTCGGCGTTGCGCTGCCCGATGTGCGCGCTGGTGATGGAGGCCCTTTTTCCGCGAGCCCGACATCGTGATGACCCTAGCACGCATGGAGTAGATGCCCTCTCAGCGGATGCAATAATGGTACATCCAAAGGTTGATCCAAGGAGCCTCAGCTTTCCGGGTCCGCCACGCGACGGGGCCTACTTGACTGGCTTTGTCGTCACTGGCAGACTTGAAGACAGCAAGGAGCTTCTAAGTGGGAAAATCCGCCTTTATACAGACAGTTCATGTCCCGGTAGGTCCAACAATTATCCCGCTGTGAATTGTCCGTTGACACCACCTGTAGCTGGCTCCAATGCGAGATGCGACATCCTCGGACGGCCACAGCTCTCTGCGCCCGATTGCCCCGACGCTTTCGCCCTGCTGAAGCGATGGCTACAGGCATGCAGACAATGCCACGGCGCATGCAGCACCAGATTGAGTGGCGAAAGCATTGCAGAGTCCGCCGCGCCACCGTTGCCAACACGCGTGCTGGTCATCAGCGACGGGGTCGTTCGTTTGGTCGACACCGAAGGCCTGACTGGCAGGTATGTGACACTCAGTCATTGCTGGGGCCCGAGTCAGAAGCGCCCGCTTCGAACTACGACAGACAACTACGAATCGCATCGCCATGAAATACCCTGGGAATCACTTCCGAGGACCTTTCAAGATGCCATCACCGTCGCTAGAGAGACTAGGTTCGACTACATCTGGATCGACTCTTTGTGCATTATACAAGACGATCAACGGGATTGGCTCCTAGAGTCTGGCAGAATGGGCCCAGTTTACGAAATGGCAGACTTGACAATCTCTGCCTGCCATGCGCCGGACTCTAGCCAGGGTCTGTTCGTCCCAAGGACTTGTCGCAACCCAGCTGTGGAGTTTCCTGGCTTCTTTGGTCCTCTTGAGACAGCGCAAGGAAAGGTTTACGCATCCGTCCGGCGCGAGACGGTCCAAGACACATTCCCTGAATACGGTCCTTTGAATCGCCGGGCTTGGTCAACCCAAGAGTGGCTTCTCTCGCGACGCATGGTCTTCTACACGAATGGAACTATCATGTGGTCATGCAAAAGTATCACCGAAAGGGAAAACGGCGAGCGCTGCTTCAACATCTCGAGGAACACGAGGTGGAAGACCGTCGTCGAGCACTATAGTGAAAGGCTGCTGACTTTCCCCACCGACAAGCTGATCGCGTTGGAGGGCCTGCGCAAAGAGGTCCAAAAGAAAACAGGCTATACCTTTGCCAACGGCATATGGCTCGAGAGTCTGCCCGACCAGCTATTGTGGCATGTCACAGAGCAAGTGCATTTCAGCGATGCCGTTGACCCGCTGGGGCTTCCAACCTGGACATGGGCTCATATTCCCACAGGTGTCAGGTTTCTGCCTATGCATGGAGCGAAAAGCTTATGCGAGTCTGTGTCGCTGTCCCAGGATTCGAGAGCAGTGGTGGTCAAGGCACGGCTACGGCGCGTCGCAATGATCAAGCCAGACTTGGGTCAAGGGTCTGAGGACGACGGGACGTTCGGTGCAATCGCGGCAGATGTCAATGCTACACGTGCAAAGAACACGCACTCGCTGGCTACCTTCATATACGATGAAACATCACGGCCTGTAGGGTGGGTGGTGTATGATGAGGCCACATCTCGTGCCGCTCCGACACGGGACTTTTGCGTCCAGCTCATGGGCAGAGTAAGTCGCCGCGACGAGAAGGCCGAGCAGCGAAAGGGAAGGGCCATCTCTTCCAAATTTCGAGAGTACTGGATACTCATCGTACGGCCACTCTCTGGTGGAGGGTACATCCGAGTTGGCGCCGGTAAGACGTATGGACAGCGTTGGTGGGAAGGCGAGCATGCCCAGCCGGTCTTGCTCCGATGAGGCCGGCAGAGGGCCGCCGCGACTGCAGTGATGACCGACCAGGCACTTCAATATTATTTCTGCCTCTCGAACGGATTGCAATTCTTTTTCCAGCACGCCTGAGCGGTGGCAGTTGATGGGAACTTGAAACCGTTGCTGGTCCGACCTGCGCCCTGGGTCACAGCTCCTCGTCACGTAAAGAAACAAATACGATCTCATATTGACTCGAATGTTCCGCTCCTTGTCTTGTCAATCGCATGGCGGCCAAACAGGCCTATTCCCCCCGAATACGCAGCCCTATTATAAAGCCGTCGAGCCGCTCGTTCAATGTCGCCTAACGTGATGTACATTCTGCTTGTAACCCCGATCTCTTCGCCCAAAGACGCCAAATGCCGTCACTCTACTCGTAGACCTAACGATCGAATCGTTCAGCGGTCCGGCGTCGGACTCACCGACCTGAATGCCGATGTGCGTCCGCGTTGCGTCTCACTTAGCCGTGTAAGCAGGCGGCGGAGCTCGTAGGTCCTCCGGCGCAGAAAGTCTCGCCTCCCTCCTCGCCGCCGCCGCATCGGACACTGTTGGATCCCACGGCGTCGCCTCCGGGCCGATCGTCACCCGGCTCGCTTCCGCCGATCTGTTTGCGCCAATGTGTGTCCTACCATGCAGCGGTAACATTTCGAAGGTATGACCCGGTGGCTGCGCGGCAGATGAGAGTCGCCGACCCGCCTCCAGATTCGCGAGCTTCGCCTGAATGATGGGATCCAGCTTGTACGCCTGCTGACGCTGACGCTGATTGCCTGACCTTCGGCCCAAGAACTGTTGCCATGGCAGGCCAAGACAGCCGAAAAAGAGAAATGCGAATACGCCGAGTACGATGATGACTGGAATTAGGACGCTGAGATTGATGTGGTTCGAATCGTCGGTGTTGCTGTCCGAAGCTCTCGCGGCGATGGCCATTTCGGCTCGCGTAGCGCCTGCTGGGGGACAGCTGAGGTTATCCCAATGGTCAGTGGCCCTGGCTCTCAGAGGATGTGTCGCAGCGTCGGACACTGTCGCATGACTGCTTTTTGTTCGCACGGTCGTGGTAATAAAGCGCTCCCGCTCACATTCGCCAGACGCTGCGTTTGGCTCCTTCAGCCAGACAGAGTTGACAGTCAGGCTCGCTAAAGCAGTTGATACTGTCACGATTCCGTGTGCCACGACAGGCGGGGGAGCTGCTTTATTGAGCCAGCGAAGCGGCCTCGAATTTGGGTACCTCCAACCTGAACCCGGATCGTTGACAAGACCCGCACGAATGGCCGCCCTGTTTCCGAAAGGGAATCATGTGCCATTCTGCACTGGGTGGTGTGCTGCTGGGGTTTTCGAGCTGCAGCATTCGATCGCAGGCACACACAAGAGGGGTTGGCTCAATCGCTGAATGGCTGCTAGTCCATCTTCGAAGAATCGTCCAGTGTCACACCTGCAGGTCGCGCAGCCAACAGAAACCCCAAGAAGCACAGCCACTGGAGTCGGATTGGAGGATGCCAAGACACTCGTGCCCAAGCCAAGCAGGCCTGTTCAGCACTCAATCGCTGGGCAACAAATCGTGGTCGTAGCCGCCGTCTGTCCCGCCTGGTAAGTCTCCGAATCACAAGGTTGCCGATGATCCGTCCAGCCAACCTCGCAGCACTGAGGTTATTGTGCACGCATTGCGGCCTATCGTGAGGATCCTCCGCGGAGTTTCCGCAATCATTGACCAAAGGGCGTGTATTATGATTAAGCAGAAAAATTGTGAAGAGTATATGTTACTTGACGAAGCAGACTGGATAACAAATGTTGCAATTGCCCTGCATTCACCGATTGTAGCAATTGATGGCCCGAAGCGTGTACCTTAAACATCAGCCGTCGCTCCATGCGATCCAACGCTTAGTAGTACTTGGGGTTCTTCGGGTCAGTAAGGTCGAAGATGACGACGCTGTGAGGGCGCTATTGGGCATCAAAGATGTCAGCAGATGAACACGTTGAGATCGGTGTTGCGAGGAAGACATACAGCACCACCACGAGTCTTGGTGAAAATGTCCTCAAAGTCAATGGTGCGGTTGAAGCTGAGCGAGCCATCGGGCAGGATGTCAATCCAGTGCCCCTTGTAGTCGCCCGGGGTGTTGAGGACGGAGATCTGGCCATGTTAGCCTGTACACAACTCCCGTCGTCAATCGCGACAGCACTTACGTCGCCAGCCTGGACAAAGTATCCAGTAACCAGCAGGTTCTTCTTGTCGGGCGAGATCTTGACGTAGTGGGGTCCGATAATGGGCTGGTCCTCGTTCGGGTTGTCGAGGCGCTTGGGGTTCTTGAGGTCGGAGATGTCGAGAGCAGCGACGTGGTTACCAAGGGTCAGGGTGAAGTACGCCCACTTGCCGTCATCAGAGATGTCGGAGTAGATGGCGACGGACTTCTTGGCCTTGTCTCCCAGGTCGTAGAGCAACTCGGCCGTACCCTGCTTGCCGTTGGCGTCCTTGCGGAACGGGTAAATTACCCAGACCTCGCCCGTCTCGACAGCACTAACGCCGACTTAGCAACCCAGGATTGAGAATTGGCGCGAAGAGCTATGAGTAACTTACGTAGCAAGAGCGGCGCTCTCCTTGTTTCCTGGGATGAACTTGACGTCCTGGATACCGCCACCCTGAGATTTGCGTTAGCCGCGTTCAAGCTTCCAGAATCACAGGACTTACGTGAGGGATGGTAATGGTGGACAGGATCTTGCGGTCAGACAGCCTCCAGAGGCGCAGGGTGTTTGCCTTCTGGATGCCAACAGCAGAGACGGGCTTCAGGATAGTCAGAGGAACCACAAAGTCCGAGGTAAGGATGACATCCTTCTCAAAGTCGACGCTCAGACCGTGCGGGCTGAACTGCTCTCCAAGAATGTTGAGCTACATGTGTGGTTAGCTCAGTCTAAATGCCATACTCGGCGGAACGTACAGTTCCCTCAACATCCTCCGGCCACTCGTGGATGATGTTGCCCTTGGCGTCGGTCTCAACCAGGCGGCCAGGGGACGTGCCCAGAGCACTACCCATGTAGGTGATGAAGAAACCACTGGAAGGCCAGTCAGTACCAGTTTGAAGAAGCCGTTGATGCCTTAGTATGATCATACCCTTCGGGCTTCGCCCGGATCTCGTCCGTGATGGAGCTCAGCAGGGCACGGTTGCTGTGGCTGAACTTGGGGTTGTATGGGTCACTCGAGTCCCAGTAGAAGGCAGTATCCTGCGTCTTGAGCAGCGACAGCAGGCCGCCACCGACAAGAGTCTTGCCATCCAACGAGGTTCCCAGATGATGAGGCGAGTTGCCACTGGTAGGAACATCAGAGAGGCCGATGATCGTGCCAAATGTGTCCTGTTAAAGTACCGAGTCAACCTAGTCAAATTTCCACCGACACATGAACGCTTACATCGTCAAGACTGGTGGTGACAAGGAAGTCCTTGTGGATGTTGTCTCCAGCACCAGTCCAGAAGTAGCCAATCTTCTTAGGCTTAATCTTGGTATTGACCTCAAATGGTGGGCTGTCCACAGGAGGGGTCGGGATCTGGAGAATAGGCAGGGGCGGAGCATTGGACGCAAGCGGCTCCGTGACTCCGGGAATCGAAGGAATCAGGGGAGGCAGACTGATCCCGAGGGGGTTTCGCTTGCCAACAACCTTGCTGCCCACGGTCGGTGAAGCAGAAACGGAAGCGAGCTGGCCGGCAAGGGCCGCTGCAATGGCGAAGGACTTCATCGTCGGTTGCGTGGTTGTCACGTGAAGCGAATTCTGGGCAATGACACGCGTATGAGCTCGGCAGTCGATGGAGTAGTATTGAGCAGTATTGAGCAGATTTCACGAGGTATATATATGCATTCCATGGCCCTCATGTTCCCGCATGCAGCCCCAAGGCTTCATCTCACCGACCCGGGATACGATGATGCCATCTGCTCTAGCAATCGCCATCATCGCTGTGCAAAGGGAGGACAGTGCACGTCGTGCTACATCCTAATCGTTTCTTTTCCGAGCAGTGGGACTCTAATCGCTCATCGGCATGTGCCTTCATCACAGCGCTACACCAAAGTTGAGTTTAGCAGTTCAGCTTCTTAGGAGACCGAACAGCACGCCATATGGTTCATTTGCCTCGTGCAGGACAAGCAGCGCAGGCCAGTCCTGCATGTCTTGGAGATCGGCATGAACTTGTGCTCGATACAGTCTAATCGTCGACTGACTACCACGAAAGAGGCCCAAGTACGAAGAGTGTGTGGCCATCTTGGGCCGGCTGCCTGGTCAGCAAAGCCGCAAGTGCCGACATGGGGGAGACATGGATCCTGGACTTCGACCAGTCAACGCATCTCATATTCCAAATGCAGTATCGACGACCAGACGTGGCGCTTCACACCTGGTTCCCGAGAACGGCTTCGGGGACCTCCTACCGGCGGGCACCACCTTGGCTGTGTTGTCGAGGACGAAGTTCTCCGAGCCGGTGAGAGCGAAGCCTCCGCATCGGCGAGAACAAAGGCTAAAGTGGTACAGGTGAAATTGGATTGACAGACAAAGTCGCATTCACTGCAACATTGACAGCCATAAACAACTATTGTATTCCAACACAACCGGAGTAGAGAAGTCAGCATCAACGCCCGGATCTCGACGTCACTCGTTCATCTGCCGCGTCCCAGGTCTGCAATATCCGCGTCGGCGATATGTCACTGCCGTCCGAGCTCCACGATCTACCGACCCTTTCCCACTGCAGGCGCGTCAAGCTAGCAACAGACTTAGCAGACTAATGGGGAGGATGGATCCAAGTTGATATGTCTCTTGTCTGATTCGTCCTGGATGACGAGTTTAGGAACGGAACGCTGGGGCATCCGGGAACGCCAATCCACCACTCTGCTCTTTAAGGTAAACGTCAAGCTTAATCGAGACACGGTAGGTACAATCGGTCTAAAGAAAGGGGACTGAGAATCTCACGTCCAATAGCGTTCAGGTTCAGGTACGCGCCGGGTCGCGCTGATGTATCCGTTTCGGTATGGAGGCGCTAAAGCAATTTGGGAGGCATATGGCGTGATGGCGCTTCGGACTGGTCCCTGGCACATCAATCCCATTGTCCACGGCCACCTGACAACATCGCGCCCGGTCCCTGACAGTGAAAGACTAATGTTTTGCTTTTTTGGGAACTCGTTGAAAGCCATTGTCCATTTTGGCGCGAGTCACGCCATCAAGCAGTGTCATTGTTGGTGTGCCCGCTCGACCTGACCATGTCGCCATTTTGGGTTCGATTGAGAATGCATCTTGTTCGTAGATCGCAATCACCTGCCCGTCCATCCTTTCGTTGGAAGCCAAAGTACATAGGGATGCCGCGTCTCGCCAATGTGTTCTTGTTATCGTCATCTCGATTTGCACTTGGTCTTCGCTGGTCAATGATGCCATGACCATCAATCTCTCGCCGTTGCTGGCGAACCACAAATATATAGGTAAATGGAACCAGCAGGAACCCATGTTGCACACATATCGTCAGGCTGGCGATTACGTTCAGACATTTCATCCTGGGAAAAGTGGACATCTTGTTACACTGTTGGCATGAAGATTACTATTGATCGCGACCACAAATGTCCATGTTTGTAGTCTTCATGATTCCTCAGGCCGGTTAAACGGCCCTCTCTGCTCTCAGTCCAAGCGATATATCTGCCATTAGATGCTGTAGTTCGCACGATAAAGCGTTGGACGATGCTCTTTCATGAACATTGAAGCTCTGATCTGTGGTGCTGCATACGTTGCCGTGCCTCTCGAAGACTTGGGCCACGACATGTGCATTCGATACATGGACGGAGATAAATGGGGATAGCCCCTCGTCCCTGGACATTGGGATGCGTAGAACGGAATAAGTATCATGTGAGAGCAGCTCAGTCTGCTCGCTAACCACGTGCATGCACCTGGAAACCCACGACAAGTTAAGCCCAGCAAATCTCGCCAATATGGACGTATGACATACCTCTTCGTCTTGGGTAAGTCGCTCAGCCTACCGGACTGAGATAATTGAGCCATTGCAAGTGACAAGACTGACCGTCTTTTATAGTGAATCGACGATTCAATTGTACCAGACAAGTGTCAGTTGACACACCGTGGCGATATAACTGCCACAAGACTGTGGGGTGTTTGGCTTGAACCCACTCGGAAAAGAAACAACACCCCGCTTCCCCGCAACGACGGCGCAACGTTTCTTGATCTTCATCGGCAAGCGATCTGCCGTCGACCTATTGCAGCAGTTGTGATTCGTGCGGATGAGCCCTGGAGGTGGCTGGTGGCCGTGCCCGCCCGCGCTTCTCGTGTCTCTTACATGTACGGTCATTTCTTCCCAAGACCTGGGTTCCAGATAGACACTTCATCATCCTGTCGGCGACGGGAAGCGAACAGCGCCAAGACCCTTGCGAGACACGATGTGCCGGATATACTTACCGATCCGATGCGGGGATTGGATATAGCCGCGGCATGTAAAGGGAGCGTGCCGGCGGCACCGAACGGCCGGCATAGCTGGTGGCCACCACACTCGTACGTGCACTGCACGGCTCGATGAGGGGAACCGCAGTTCGGGACAGGTTCCGGCGAAATCGGCCCGATCAGACATGGACTACGCGAGCTGGTCTGATCCGTTGCGACGATGCTATGGCCCAAGTCCGATGCTGAGTGGTAGCTTTACAACATGAACTCGCCCAAACCCAAGGGAAGCTATCCGAGGCTGGTTAAACCTGGCCCACGCGGTGAGACTTCTGTGGCTCTGCTGAACCCATGCACCTCGAAGTGTCATGCCGCTCGCCGCCCGACGCCGTAAATCCAGTCTGTACCACCGTGCATCGGGTCATTCCGAGTGACGAACCCGGCCACAGCCGTCGGTCCATTCGTCCTGACCCCAACGTTGAGTGATTTGGTGTTGCGATCGTCGTAGTGCCGACATTGGGCCGTGCTCTGTCCAAGGCCATACACGTCCCAGGCGGGGTTCAGTGTTGATTGAGTGAATAGCTCAGAAATATTATCGTTATTTAGAAAGGCGCATTCGCAGTACATTGTGTCGCTTGGTTTGGTGCTGCACATAGGCGAGGGCGCAAAGACGACCAGACCCTTGACACTGTTGCAATCATGGTGTCGCCATCTTGGTCCATGGGCAAGACTGCCCTGGTGGCAGCACTCCTGGCGCTACAGGCAGGCGTATACGGCGCGAACAACGATGATCGGTCGTACGCAACGTCTCCAGATATTCCTCCTCGTATGACTTCCTGGCAACACACGGCAGTAATCAGGTTGTGTTCCAGACTAACACGGCCACAGCTCTGGCTACCGGGAACAATGAGTGGGCAGCAGCGTTTCAGAAAGCAGAGGCCTTGGTCAAGCAAATGACCCTGGAAGAAAAGGTGCGAAACCAAAACGGTCGAGGCACGCATCTGCTCACACATGGTATAGGTGAGCCTGACGGGTGGTACGAAACGCAACAATAGCTGCTCGGGAAACATTGCCGCCATCCCTAGACTCAACTTTCCTGGCATGTGCCTGAGCGACGCTGGAAACGGCCTGCGCGCGACGGACATTGTCAACGGTTACCCCAGCGGAATCCACGTTGGAGCCAGGTACGCTGTCGAAGTCGGAATCCACCGCTGAGCGCCCTCCAGCTGACAGTGACTCTTCCCAGCTGGAACAAAGAGTTGACCAACAAACGCGGTGCCGCCATGGGCGCCGAGTTTCGCAGAAAGGGAGTCAATGTCCTTCTTGGCCCAGTTGTAGGCCCGGCTTGGCGAGTCGTGAAAGGCGGCCGTAATTGGGAGGGCTTCTCGGCGGACCCCTATTTGGCTGGCTCGCTTGTCGCTCAGGGTGTCGAGGGTATCCAGGCGCAGAGAGTGATCACCAGTACTAAGGCAAGTCCAAAATCGCGAACAATGGCAAGTATTGCTGACCGAAAGCAGCATTACATTGCCAATGAGCAAGAGACGAACAGAGTGCCAGAGGACGGCGTCGCTGCGGTGTCATCGAATGTCGATGATAGAACCATGCATGAACATTATCTCTGGTATGTATTAATCGGGCGATTGAACTGGAGTCTCGCATTGGATTGACCGCTTCAGGCCCTTCCAAGATGCCGTCAAGGCTGGCTCGGCCAACATCATGTGCTCGTACCAGCGCATCAACAATTCTTACGGCTGTGGAAACAGCAAGACGCTGAACGGCTTGCTGAAGACGGAGCTAGGCTTCCAGGTATGGTCACGTCGAGGGGGCGATGCGCGAGAGATAGAATGCTCACAGTTAATATGAGCAGGGCTTCGTTGTATCCGATTGGGGTGCGCAGCATACCGGTGTCCATGACGCTCTGTCTGGCTTGGACATGGGAATGCCTTCTGCAGCGGGTTACTGGGAATCCTTGCTTGTGGATGCGGTAAAGAATGGCTCTGTTGCCGAATCAAGGGTGACCGACATGGCTACAAGGTACGACCTCTCCCTGTTCTTCTCGCACCTCCAGGCATTGGAGACGTCAATTAGGGCAATTGACCAACACGCGCAACAGGATCATTGCAGCATGGTACCAAGTTCATCAAGATGCTGGCTTTCCCGAGCCCGGAATCGGCATGCCGTCGAACTTATTCGTGGACCACAAGAAGATCGAAGGCAGAAGCCCCGACGCCGACGCAATCCTTTTACAAGGGGCCATCGAGGGGCACGTCCTACTAAAGAACGAAAAGCAGACACTGCCCTTGAAGTCGCCCCGCAAAGTCTCCATCTTTGGGTACTCGGCCAAGACCCCCGATCTCGCCAAGCCCATTGAAGGCGACGAGTTCGCGGCCTGGCAGGTGGGACTGGCACCAGTATGGGGGCTCCCGAACAAGGAGGAGAGCCCGATCGGCTCCCGAGGCACGCTGTGGGGTGCTGGCGGATCAGGCGCCATTACACCGGCGACATTCACCTCTCCTCAGACGGCGCTGATGGAGAAGGCTGCAAAGGATGGCTTCACACTGGTGCAGGACCTCAACTCTTCATCGCCTGTGGTGGATCCAACCAGTGATGTGTGCATCGTCTTTGGGAATGCGTGGGCCACCGAAGGCCACGATCGCCCGGCCTTGCAAGATGATTACACCGACACCTTGATCAAGTCCGTCGCAGATCAGTGCGGCAAGACGGTGGTCGTCCTGCACAACGCCGGAGTCCGTCTCGTTGATGGCTTTGTCGATCACCCGAATGTCACGGCAATCATCTTCGCCCATCTTCCCGGTGCTGAAAGCGGTCATGCTCTGACTGCCGTGCTCTGGGGCGACGCGAACCCTTCGGGAAAGCTGACTTACACTGTGGCCAAGCAAGAGTCCGACTATGGGGCCCTCCTGAACCCGACTCCTGCCAACGGAAGCAAGGACCCGCAATCGAACTTCGACGAAGGTATCTACATGGACTACAAGCAATTCGAGAAGAACCACATAGTGCCGCGATACGAATTCGGCTTCGGCCTCAGCTACACGAGATTCGACTACTCCAACATTGCCATCACTGGCCCCAGCGGAACCTCAGCAAGCGAGTGGCCCACCGGGAAGGTCTCTAGCGGCGGTCAGGAAGATCTCTGGGAGACCATTGCCACTGTGACATTCACGCTCAAGAACGGTGGACACGTTGATGGCGCCGAGGCAGCTCAGCTGTATGTCCGCATTCCTGGATACCGCGCCAAGCAGCTTCGTGGCTTCGAGAAGCCGTTTTTGGCCGCTGGCAAAGGAACCCAGGTCTCGTTCGCGCTGAGTCGCCGCGACTTGAGCATTTGGAACACGGGTGCCCAGAAGTGGCAGCTCCAGCGTGGGCAGTACGAGATTTACGTGGGAAGAAGCAGTTCTAAGCTGCCGCTCAAGACGTATCTTACGATCTGAGTTGGCGTAGTTCCAATACGTCGATATTTCGGTTCGAACGGCAATGTAGAGCCTATTGCTCAATGAGCTATGTTTGGTCGAGAATACACACACATAATTTGTCCGTGAAGCTGTGACATTGTTGACTCTATGACCAACGACGTGTATCATCAATGACTTGCATGCTCACATAATGTGACGACGCAACCACGCGCGTCATGCCATAGGCGACGTCACGTAGATCGCAGATCGATTCATATGATCATCACTCAAACAGATCGAGAATCTCCGACGTAGTCCGCACCTCGCAAAACTCCTTCAAACTCTCAACGTGCACAGTTTGCACCGTATGAGCATCAACGCCGGCCTTTCCAAACGCTCTCGTCGCATCCCCAATGAGCACTATACGCGGCATCAAGACAAGATAGCCATTCTCGCCTCTTTCGCCTTCCTTCGCATCCGCGGGCATCTTCACAAACATGCCAACGCCGTCCGTCTGTAGCTCTGATTCGGCGGCGTCCTCCATGTTCCCCTTACCGCCCCATTTGCCGACGAGCGCCAGATTGTGCGCCATTCTCACGGCCGTGCTGACCGAGAGGTCCGTCGTCATCCCCGCAATCAGCAGCGTCTTGATGCCCCTTTTGTTGAGCAGCATTTCCAGCGGCGTGTTGATGAAGACACTGTGACCGTGCTTGGTCATGATAATCTCGTCGGGCGGCGGACGAGGAGGCGCCGGCTGCTGAGATGGCGGCGGAAGACCACTTGGCTCGTCAAAGGTGTACACCAGTTCGTGCTTTCCATTGCGGAAGAGCCGAGGCGCCGCGAACTCGAGAAAGTCGATGCCACGCTTCTCCTCTCCGTTGGCGCCGTATGGGCCGACGTGGCTGGGATGCATCGGGCTGTCTGTCCACACGGACTTGTGCTGAACGTGGATAATCAGCGGGCGTTCGCCCTCGGGCTTTGAGTCAAATACGCGGCGAAACGCCGCCAAGATTGCGGTGATGTTGCTGTCATAGTCTGGGGTAGAGACGCCGTCGCCCCATGCGGAGGCATTGCGAAACCCAAGCTGGTTGTCGATGAGGAGAAGCGCCGTAGTGCGGCTTGCCTTGATCGGCACGAATTGGCCTTTGTTCTGGGGTAGTATCGCCATATTTGGGCTTGCGTAAAGTCAAACGTCTACTCTTTCGTCAAGGGTTTGTGGTTCAATTGTGAGTTTGAAGTCGGCGATCGGCCGCATGGCGATGAACGCCTCATTAGCGTCCGACTGGAGTCCCACCCAGTGTCCGGGTACGTGATCCTTAGGCGAGTCCTGGCTTGTGATGGTCACTGCGATCTCACAACGCGGGGTCTGCGATATCCGCATGCTCGTTGAGTAGTGGGGCATTCACTGATGGATGAGGTGAGCACTGGAGCTCGTAGCTATCGATGAGGGTTGATGCAGGTCGATCAACGGCGGCCAACTTGCTTGGGGCCAGTCAACCCCAGGCAAAGAAGCGCCCGGGGAAGCCCGGATGTAGATGGCCGTTGGCCGGGGATATTGGGTGGTTGTCATGTATTCCTGCTCGTCCTATGTCGATATTCTGCGGACAGACTGTGCCAGGGTGCCTCATGTACTGCATATTCATCGCTCGACCACGCTGTCGGGGTGCATCCATCGCTAAACTCAAAACACCCACAGCACATTGATCGCTCAAGCGCCGACACAACTCCACAGCACCAAAACCAGAGCGCTACATTACCAGGAGGATCTCGCCGTCTTTCCTTTGTATCCTCTCGTCCGCCTCATATGTCGTCCGTACGTATCCAGCGGGCATCTTGCCCAGAGTCTCCATCGTGTTGCTCACGCCAAACACGACCGGTGGGGTCCCCAGCGCCAGGGTCATCAGCGCCGACAGCGCCAGCGCGTCAAAGGATCGCATCGGCCGCGACAAGATGGGCGGCTCGTTGAGGTCCCCTGGCGGCGACAGGTCCACAAAGTACCACATGCGGCCCGACGCGTAGTAGAGGTTCGACGGCGACAGCGCTCGCGAGATGACGGGCTTGCCGTTGAACTCCTTTGGCACCTCGCCAGCGCTGCGGTCGACGGTCGCGGGCGCAGGCACGTCTCGCCCCAGGAACCGCCCCATGGCCTCACAGTACGCGTTGTACGCTCTCGCCGCCCAGGCGTCGCCCATGGCTGGGGTCTTGCGGCCGACCTCCCACAGGTGTCGCTCCTTGCCGTCGGCCGTTCTCACGAGCGCCCACGAATGTCCCACCAGCTCGCCCGAGGGGAACTCCTCGTGGCCCGCCGCGGGGTCGGGGTTCTTGAGGCCGAACCAGATGTCGACCTGCTCGCCCTCGCTGATGCACGCCAGCATCGTCTGGTAGAGGATTGAGAGGTTCGGGTTGCCGGCGCCGCCCGGGGCGTTCATGATGAACTCGTCGGCGAAGTCCAGCGCCGTTTGTCGCGAGAAGAACATGTGGCCTTGGGCGTTGAAGATCTGCTCCTTGGCCTGTGGGCCGGGGATGAAGCCCATGCGATCCATTGCGGCGAGTTCCGTGCGCTCGGCGGTCGACTTGGGCTATGCCTGGCAGAGGGAGCACGGCAAGACACGCATTCGAATTATTGTCAAAACTCAGAGTTGGTCTGTGAAGTCAATGGCTCGAGTTGTGAAAAGCAAATTATCTGGCCACGGGTTGAGGACTTGGGTGAGTGAGCTGAATGGGATGGCGAGCAGCCTACCCACCTCAGCCCTGCACACTGGCCTTGGATGCGGGCGGGTGTTTCACCCGTAAGCCTCACCAAATTTTCGGGACAACCTGCCCGAGCAAACGGAGACCATTCACCCTCTCGCTCCGGTATCTCAGCGATAATCGTCCAAACAGCAACCCAGTCTGTACAAGCCACGGATATCAAGTGAACTCTGTTAGCGGCGTGCGGCATGCCCTGTTTGAGCAACATGCTGCTGCAGACGCTCCCAGAGTCCCCCCTGACTCTATGGGGGTTGCGGATTTGGCTCTAGTGGGGTCGCATGAGTTGACTGAGTAATGCATGGATGCCTGGGGCGAGCCGCCCCAAAAGGTCGCGCGACGCTCGCGCGCTCCTTCTTGTATAGCGCCTACTTTAGACTCTATACTTGGGCGATTGCGTTCTGATATCTCTTCTCAATGATCGCTCGCAGTTTCATATTCGGGTGCTTGAAAAATGATGGAGTGAGATCGTCGTCCTCTATCGCAGGGGACATGGAGCAGTCGCTATCGACGCCCTTCGGCATCCATTTCTTCGATTCCTTCCGGGCTTTACCGAAGACACTGAACAACTTGTGGAGCCCGTCTTCAATTACCTCGGGGTCCCCATTGATTGCTAAAGCCGGGGAGGGCACTTCGAGAGCGGTAACACATGTACATCCAGGCTACACATGAACTACAGGTTTCTAAGACCGTGCAGAACTCCAGCATAAGGCCTGGTCTCAGCGGTCCCGTCCTGCTTTGCTTGCTCTTCCTCCTGCGTCTTGAACCAGTCGCTCGCCTCTAAGGTCTGCCGGCACGGGGCCGCCTGCGTCGCCCCAGCGTCACTTCAACAACTACAGCATGAGCCGCGGCATGTTTCCGGCCAACTCGCTCGCGGCTGCGACCGGCGACAGGGCAATCAGGGCAAGGTGCTTGTGCAGACGTCACGCGCGGGCATCCACGAACTCAAATTCCAGGCATCCATGTCGCGGTTTGCGGCGTGGGCGGAAAAGCGCGCGATAGTAGAGCTGACAAGAAGGGTCTGTAATGTCACGGTTGTGACCTAGAAGTAGATAAATATATCTTTAGTGATCAATATAAACATTTACCTCGAATAAGGATAACTCCTTAATGGACATATTATGAATCGTTCGGGCTCTGAAAGCCTGACCTACTTCCTTGTGCCCTGGTCTGACAACAGACTCGATGTGAGGCTCCAGCCCTCTTGGCCTTCCTGAGAATCCTTGTTGGTCTCCATTGCTCATGCGACAACACAACATGGATCCGTGTCAATCTCGCGCGACGAACGATGTGGAGGCTTGCCGCGTGTAATCAGTGAACGAGCTAACATCCGGCAACTTGTACGCTTACAACGACTACGAGAGAGGCTCACAGATAATCTGAGAGGTGCATGTTACCAGCAATATTAATTAAGCAACGCAGATATAACTGCTCAGAATACATCTCTCTCGCTATGCGTCTCTCCATTGATCATTTGCATCGCCTCGTATTGCACCGCCGGTATATTAGGCGTTCCCATCACGTATACACCCCAATTCAGTAACACGTCAAGGTTCATCAAACTATTCCTGGGGTTCCATAAACTCGTAACACTCGCCCAACATATGTGCGACTCTCTGTGTTCCCATCATCGATTCATACCAGCAACTGCACTCACCGCCGTCAATAAAGTGGTTCACTTTCGTTAACAATTTAGAGCGGTCACCTACAGGCCAGAGCCTCCCAGTTGCGCCTTCGGTCTATCGTATCGAAGCCTAGGCTATCAGGCTTAGAAGTCTGAGGCAGTTTCTCAGACTTGGCATTCCCTGCGATATAGTGGTTACCAGCCGGACATAAAGGACAGAAAACATAGAGCTCTACCATTGAGTTTACCGGGTGTTATGCCGGAACTGTCCACGAGAGTGGCCTCGGAGGTCGTTCTGTGTATATAAGGGCCGCTGAAAGCTTTGCTGGTCTTGGGCTGGAATGAGAAAGGCATTATAACAGGGTGGAGTTGCCGGAAATTCTATAGATTTAACTGAGGAATGGTGAAGAGCCAGGAGACAGACGAGGTGATCGGATGCGTGGGATACAGCTTGACAGAAGCGCACTGGGTTAGTCTCGGTGGGCGGCTTGACGTTCTTGCTACATTAGCCATGTCGTTTGCTGGGGGCACAGTCGACTTAAATAGCTCGCTTCCACCGTTAACGACATCGCCTTCGGCTTCGGGTCGGCTTGCCAGTATGGCTCAAGACATCACGAAACTTAACGGTGATCAGGCTGAGTCACCGCCGCGCCACATGGGCATTCAAACTGCATCGTGCAGAGGGAGCGGGCTGTGAGTCGATATCGGACCCAAGACAGGGGTACAATTGGCCCATGCTCGCATGGCTGTCCGCAAGGCCACATGTTGAGTGCGCCCTTGTGTTGAAGCAGCCAATGTCGCGCGGCTTTGGCTCGATCTGTCAGCGGGGCTTGTCAGCACAAGAAGGAACAGTCCGAAGCCGACGCCGAAGCCGAAGCCGAAGAGACTCCCACTGTCCCACACGCGCCTATTGACGAACAGAAACCCTCTCCGAAGCCGGCACATTTAGCCAACATCGAGTTAACAATGCAGCACAGCGACAAAGCTCAGGCATCACAGGGACGACTATGACGTACCCAAGGTCCCAACCCCGAGACGGCACTGGGCGATCTTGGCTGCCACTCGTGCGTGTGTGGCGGCGCTAATAGGGATGCGGGCGGATGAGACGCTCCTCCGGAGCTCTGATGCCTTGTCCAACATCAGACCCTAATGGCGGCGACAACTCTTACCCCAATTAGATCTAGGCCAGCTCTGTCTTGGTGGGCCAGTTGGCATGCCGCCCTTCTGGGCAGTGTCTACAGTGACAGCGATACCGCGCGTCAACAGTTTCCGCGTTTTGGCCAGTGAAGATGTCATAGTAACAGGGACGGTGGAGTGACTGGCGTTTCTCAGGAGTTTAGAATCGCTCTCGTCAAATCAAGACCTTGGCCAACGACACCACTGACGGCAATGGGCACGGCACACCCCTGGCAGAATAATTGGCAGCAAAACCTACAGCGTTGCAAAGAAGACTAGAATTTATAATGTCAAGTTATCTAACAACAACGGCACCGGCACGTACTCGAATTTAATTAACGGTACATACTCTCTCGCTATGGATTGGAAGCAGAGAACATACCCCAAGAGTGCCATAGCTAACATAAGCCAGAGGGTAGCTATTCCGCCGCCGTTAACGACGCTACTACGGCACGTATTAGTGGAGGCGTCTTCAACCTTTGCGCAATGGGAGGAGATAACTTAGACGCATTAAGGATCTCGCTGGGTTCAGAGCTGACGGTCTTTACAGTCGGAGGCTCAACCAGATCGATAGCAGGTTGAGCTCGTCCAATTACACCGTAAGTATCGACAGTTTCGCTCTCGCGGAAGCATCCAATTCGCGTGGCGTAGGGGGCAACGATGAGCCGAAAATATGCCTTTCTAAAGACAGGAGCTCATGTTGTCGCTCTAGAACACACTTTCCGGCACTTCCGCCTCTACAGCGTTTACCAAGGTGCTCGGAGCCTACCTGCGGGTCATGAAGGTAGTACAGGGTTGCAACAGTTTGCAAGCGCATCCTAGACTTGGCCACGAAGAACACTCTCAGCGGTATCCCCGCAGGCACATCAAATTTGCTGGCGTTCGACAGCAATCCGTCCGGCTGAATGTTGGCAACGCCAGCATGCGACTGTAGCTCTAGTGGAAATGAGATGTCCACGCGGATGGAAGGAGAAGCCAGGCTCAGTTGCAGGCAAAGCGCGAAGCGCGGACACTGCAAACGCAATAAGACAAGGTCGCGTGTAGCTCTTTATTAACTGAAATTCTCTGAAACAAGAACTTTGTCGCGGGGCCAATGTTAGCCCGAGTTCAAAGCACCTCTTGCTGGAGGGTGTGGGCCCTGCCGTTGGCCTGACCGGTACAGGCACGACGAGGTCGCTTCGGACCATAATGCTCAGTTTTACAGTCATTGCGTCGTCACATGCCTGATTTGATTGACTCAGTCGGATTCGACAGACTCTACATCCCACATGATATTCCGAAGCCGCTCTGCAAGTCGGCTTTTTGTTCCAGTGGCCCACCCCCGAGCCCGCAAAAGTTCCTTTGCAGACCATGTCCTCACAAGCAACGAAAGCACAACAGGTGGTTGTGCGCCATGTTCCTCGAGGTAAAAAACGCGTAACGTAGGTGTCTAGCGAATATCGGCCTCACTCGCACGCAAGGATCATTGGCTGCGGTACTAAGTTAGTTAATAGTTCCACCCAAAGCCGGGGCAATCGTCTCTCCTGCAGTTGCGGTGGATGCAAAGGACCTATTCAGGAAGTCACCGACCTCCACAACAGATATCGCCAGGTCATTATACCTAATGGGCCTTGCCAAACTTCTCCTGTAGTGGGATGCTGCATATCGTGCCATGCAAAAGTCCCTCACCATGTAGTGTCTCATTCACACGGCAAGACACTGTATAGTATGGTCATGCCGCACAACGATATATGGCCATGGCGACTCTGGAGCGGGCTGACTTTCTTGCGCGATCCCCTCTGGATGATGAGATTGGCAGTGTGGCACTACTATCATCCACCGTCAGCTTCTTATGGCACGTGGTCATCAAGAGTCCGATTCAAACATATCTGTCGTCAGCAAGTACAACATAGTGCTGAATACGGGCAAATATCTATATGATAAGACGCATATTGGCGCATGGCTTCGGGCAGCAGTTTGCCGCTCTGAGCAAGATGACAACTTGGATGTAACCTTGTGTCACCAGACTCAAGTGAGCGCGTTTGTGATAAGCGGCCAAGCACTAAACAAGGCAGCGCCGGCGTCCCTCGAGTCAAGAGTTTACCAAGCGGCGTGCCAACGCATGCGCGAGGGGATGCGTACCGAGGGACAGCATCAGGCAGGTTAGCTTGGTATTGCCAGTATAAAACATGCTTGTATCCAGCCAGTTCTTGACTAGGGTAGCAGCACTGGTACTACCGGAGCCCAAACGTTGATCGCTCTAAGTGCTGTGAAATACTCCTCCTAAAATGCTTCTCAAGGTATTTATGGCCCTCCTTGCGGCATCGAGCACTACAGCTCTCGCCGTTGAGCCGCAGCCGCAACCGCCTAATGATATTACCCACGGCTCCTCGCTGCACATCCGGGCATGTGGAAGATTCAAAGAGACTTGTGACGGCGGCAATGGGTTTCGCACACAGGGCGAGCCGGAGTTCACGGCCTACCACTGCGGTGATGGTCGCGGTGGCTATAATAACCCAACGATAAACCTGAATCGTTGCATTGGCAACGATGGTGGAAGATTGGTTCCGGGAGGGGCGTAAGTCTTTCATCGCGTTCCTGCTCGCTTCGGATGAATCCTTACGTCCAATCCCACTAGTTTCGGAGCGACCTGCTACGGTGCGACTGTGAAGGGCACAACTTTGTATGCCAACTGCGGGGACGGCCATGGAGGGTGGCCGTGGAGCGGTATTGACCTCAGTAAGTTCACAATCATCGTATCAATGCCCCGGAGCATATACCAATGAATCAATAAAGATACTGTTCTGTGCAACCAAGGAGGCAACCTTGTATGTTAAACTGCGCAGGATCAGTGTCGCCTCGATGGTCATCCGTTGAGATGGGCAGAAACTGGACGAGAAAGACGGTGAAGACGACATGATCGAAGTGGAAGCAGTCCCAGGCCAGGAGAGGACCCTGACGGGACGAGAATGGGATCCAGTGGATGTCCCCGGAGGAGAGCACTTGTTGATGCGCGCAGAATACGGGAAGTAGATAGTATCAGGAAGGTTGGCGCGTTAACCATGAAGTATTCTTCGGCTAGTAACGTGAACGAGTGGCGGTGTGCAAGGGAGCTTGTACATTCACACATCCGGTCGAGAGAGGTGCATGGCTCACCCGGCTCACCCAAGGTCGCGCGATGGGCCGGAGCGGCGGAGCTACGGGCGAATCTGCCACAAAGTCCCAACAGAGTTTCTCCTTTGCGTCGCGGACGCCGTGGACTCGAAGCATAAGCTCAGTTCCCTCTTGCGTACCTACCGTCAGCACACAAGACCTTGAACTTATACATTTATCGTCGCAATGCAATGGACTCTGACTCAACGGCGCTCTTTTGGGCATCCTCGTGCCAAACATCTTGCACATGCTGCTGCGACGCCCCGAGTTGGACGCATTGGCCATGGATTATGATGGCCGTACTCTCCTCGACCTGGCTGGGAGCAACTTGGCCATTATTCGAACCCCTCTAGCGGCCGGCAAGCTCGAGCCCTACGCTGTTGGCCGCGGCGACACAGTCCTGCATATCGCATGTCGCCAAGACGACGTTGAGCTTGTCGAAATGTTGCTACTGTCCGACGCTGTCGATGTAAACGCGCGCACTCATGACTCAAACGAAACCCCGCTCGTGATAGCTGCACAACGCGGCGACCTAGACATCGTCGACCCGCTGGTTGACAGCCATGTCGACGCCGATTTTGAGGTCGAGTTCGCCGACCCCCTCCACGGAGCTTATCATTTTTCCCCCACACACAGCCCTATTCATGGCCCTCGACTACGGCCATGTTGACGTTGTTCGCTACTTGTTGGAGACGGACAGTGTCGATGTTCAGGCAACATATGACTTATATGAGGGGATTACTGATCTTCGCGGCCGTTGTCGGCGGCCAGATACCTATCTTACATCTCCTTTTCGAGCTTGGGACAGATGTAAACGAACAAGACCGGCAAGGCGACACGGCACTAGCCTGGGCTGCACGCCAACGTCAGCCCTTCTTGGCCAACGAACTACTGGACCATGCGGACACCGAACCGATCTAGGCAACAAACGAGGCATGACGCCGCTCCTCATGGCGGCCAAATTCTCAAGCGTTGAGACCGTTGAGCTACTCCTCGGAATTAGCAACATTGAACCGCATAGAGGCGACATCTATGGCTTCACGGCATATCACAGCGCCTGCGACACGTTTCAATGTGCCACTGGCCATATCGAATGCCAAAGAACCGTCCAAATTTTCGAGCTCCTCTCCAGCCATGGGTGCAGGCCCCGGCCGCCGATCGCCGGGGACGCACACCACTGCACCTTGCGGCGCGGAACGGTTGCTCGTACATCGTCAGCTATCTCGCCTATAAGGGTGTTGCGCTGGATGTGATCGATGAAGACGGCCGGACGCCCGAGATGGTCGCAACGACGAGCCAGCATCCGCACGTGGCAACATTGCTGGCGCAATGTTCTCGCAGCGCAACATTTGCTCATCAGTATTGGAAAAAGTTCGACTGTGACAAACATTAGCCGTGAGAAAAGAACGGAACTATCGTTGAAGCAGCCGCTTCGATTCATTCTGACGACGCACGGCCACCACCACCACCTGTCAAACTCCAGGTAAGGGCGATGCCGTGAAAGCAGCATTGCGCTGTCGCTACGACAAAGTATCCGAATATTCCACCAAGCCCATGCTCGTCGAATGGACCTTTGGCAGTTAATTCGTAATGGCGAGCGGGTTCAAATGGGGCGACATTCGTGAAGTGGCAATGACAGGGCAGGCAAATGCATCCGTTGCACGTTGTTGTTCGGCTACGAGGAACTGAATGACGTAGCAGACGCGATGAAGTGGACATTCTCGTTTTCGGCGACCGTTTCGAGGGAAGACGTCGCTGTCGAGAACAGGCGCATGAGACGAAGCCCTATCGACAAAGAATGCCTTTACGTGCGACATGAAATGTTGCAGAGCTAGACCAGGGGCAGCTGCCATCAGCCACCGAATGCTGTGCAAATTGCAACAATCTGCCATCGCAGCAGGAATGCAGTGATAGCAGGGCCTGGCAGCCACGGCGGTCGCAGCAAGAGGGCTATCGCCGCCACGGCTGGATTTGGTCAAGGGCGACCGTGAACTTGAAAGAAAGGGCTTCTGCGATATCAAGACCAAGAAGCCAAAGTCCTTGATAACTCTTTTCATTGATCAGGGTTGCCGATCAGCGCGCTTCTTTGCAATCATCAGACCATGACAATCACCGCGGTACCAGAGTCTGCCTGCTGAAAAGCTTCCCGCGGCTCTGTCGTGTGCTCGATTCCGCTTTCTAAGCGGCCGTCGTGCTATTTGGAGCGCGCAAGCGAGAACCATGGACATCGTCCGAACACCAAGCAAAGGCCGGCCCCGAATAAGCTCAAGATCGCAGCAGAGCCTCATCGGGGAAACGGATCAAGACGGTCGAAGCGGGTCATCAACTGACCGCACCGCGCGTTGCGGCTCAAGTGAGCACCGTCTCCCCAGTCCCCACGCAAGAGTCTGCCCAGGATAATTTCCGTCATGCACGTCGAGAGCCGCTGCTCCATACGCGATATGGACGGAGAATTGAGCAGGGTAACGAGCCACAGAAAAGCCGTTTTGCCGGCCCCTCGCGACGAACGACGGGGTGCAGCCCAGGGTGTCGGAGGACGGACTCGCGGACTGTCCTCCCTCCCCCTGTCCCCTGACCGCGGCACTGCGGCCCCGCGGCACTCAGCGGTCAGCCCTTCCGAGGCCCGGGTTTGAGTTGGTGACTGTGAGTGCCTTGCACAGGGCTGAATGCGCCACTAATCTCCCAATGTGGACCTCGCTTCGAGGGCCCGTGTGCTAAATATGGCTGGAGGGTCGGAACTGTAAGTGACGACGAATGCCGGCGGCACGAAAACGGACGAAGCTGCTTCGCGGCTGTTGCCGACGGCATGTCGCAAAACATTCGAGGCAAGGACTCCGTGAACAAGAAGTTAATGCTATTCTATCGGAATGGATGAGGAAACAGCAAGGGTTCCCGTGATGGGCGGCAGATGCAGGTTCAAGCCATGCCCAACAGTGCAACGCCATCAGACTGCGCCCTGCCAGGGGCTTTTCACGTGTCCGCGACACATCAAAAGCAAACCCGTAAATGAAAATACTGCCGTCTCAAAGAACAGCCCTTTCAACCGGGGAGACACCACCACGCACCCACCCCCTTGCTCTCAGCTCGCAAAATTGTGGCCGCAAGGCATTGGTCGACGGGGCCGTGACAGCGAAGAGGCTCAAGCGGCTGAAGAGCCAGCAGAGGGCGCCACAGCGACTAAAGGGATAAGGCCAAGGGTGCCACGGGCGAACAAGGCACCGCTAGCGCCGCCTAGCCGACAGGGCTGCCAGACGGTGATTCGGCAAACAGTCAACGACATGTCGGGGTGCGTGTCAATGTGCTTGCTGGGCCAACTCACGGGCTCTCCCATCGCCATGTGAGTCGACGCGATGAAATTTTTGTGGTTTGACTGGAAGGGCTCCATGTCCCTGTCGCAGAGGCGCCCCGATTTGGCGACAAGTTGCAATCCTTGCCCAGGGGGGGCGGTGTCCAAGGACCCGTGATTCGTCCGTGAAGTGCTCACAGCGATTCTATATAAACGTTTGGGCTCTCCCGTGCTGTATCAGATCGTTGCCCGTTCCCTTTTACTCACAACCGCAACCTTTACGAACATTTCTTTTTCGTCAGTCCTTCATTATACCCTAAATTCGTCGCCGGTGATATTCTCCGTTCCTTGATACCCCGCCACCACGTTTCCTTCTTCTAGTCCAGTGTGTACGACCACGACAAATCAGACAAGATGAGCGCCCAAGATCAGAAGCCCGTCACCGCTGGCCAGCAGCACAGCAGCGGCCCTGTCGACGCCGCCGACCTCGACGCCTGGAAGAACCGCTTCAACGACGTCCTCGCGCGCCCGAGCGAGCACATCAACTCCAAGTCCCCTGAGGGCTCCGGCAGCTGGTTCGCCGGCTTCTTCGACTGCTTCAACCCCATCGACACCTGCCTCATCACCTACTGCCTGCCCTGCGTCACCTTTGGCAAGACGCACCACCGCATCCACAAGAATGGCGACATGACGGGCTACGAGCCCATCAACACTACCGTACGCTCCCTTTCTCATTGCGCAAAGGTGGACATCAATGATGAGACTGACATGTTCCGCAGTGCCTGCTCTTCTGCGGCTCGGGCTGCTTCGGCCTGCACTGGATCCCCATGTCCATGCAGCGCCAGAACATCCGCGAAAAGTACAACCTCGAGGGCAGCTGCCTCGTCGACATTGCGCTCTCGTGCTGCTGCTGGTGCTGCACGCTCGTCCAGGCCGACAAGGAGGCTGAGCACCGCGAGGGCCTCCTGTCCAACAACGCCGGTGTCCAGCAGCAGTACCAGTCCAACACCGAGATGCAGTACCCCGGCAAATAAATGCAGGCACATGCCGACGACGAGCGAGTGGTTTGGGACAGTCACTTCATTGATACCAATTTTCTTCCAGTCACAGTGGGTTGGCCTGGGTCGGGGGCATGGGACCATGCATGTGATGAGCATGAGCACAGATCACCATTGCGTCTTCAAGGTGGCGATGCCAGGATGGTAATACTCGAGACAAATGACGGCGATAGCATGACAGTAACAGCAACAAAGCTCAATACCAGCTTCCATTGTCCATCAAGTACCGTGACATTTTTCACGCAGAAAAGAAGACGCGTCGTGCCCAAACTCCAGTTCAATGTTCTTATGCAGCGATTCCAGCTGATCTGATGTCCCAATGCCAATCAGGGTTTTATCCCCAGAGTCCAGGTTTCATCTCGCACACGTTCATCCGCTCTTGATGGTTACGTCGCAACAACTAGCACGAATCCATCTCAATCTCACCTCACATGCAATCCCATCGATCACACGCTAGCACTCCGAGCTTGAGCTTCCGCTCCTCAGGGGGTCTTGCAAAATACTGCTGGAAAAGATCAGCGTCAGCTGCCCAGACATTGAAGTAACGACCGAGATAACGTTCACCTGGAGGGACATGCCCTGTCCTTGAACGTGCACTTAAATCGTGCCGTCCACTCCCGATCGTTTGAAGCGACTTCGATAAAACGGCGACCGTCCACTTCAAAGACGTGACGCTTGGTCGGGTAGAGTACGTCATGGACAATTTGCGAGTAAGTGCGTCCACTTCGGCGTAGTCCGTGGTCAATGAACCAGAGATGCATCTCCGCCGAGCCGGAATTGGCCTCCATGCCGAATTGCAGCATCTTTCGGATCAAAGTCCACATGAAGAGACACTGTCTTGCCTCTCTGCGATCGTCTGGGTTGCAGCTCGCGCCTGGCTCAACGTACGTGACGCCGATGTGTCGAAGCACCTTGTCGCCGACGGTCGCCAGCCGCGCAGGGATGCTTTCGTCAAACAACCAGCCCCTCGAGGCTCTAAAAAGATTTGCGCTGAGTACGAACAAATCGTTAGCGGGGGAGAAGCTAAGATGGCGAGTTTCACGTCGCCGACGAACCGTAAGCGTGACGGTATCGGCGGGGCGTGCAGCGTCAATAAGGGCCCTTGCCTCTCTGCAAACTCCGCGGACGCTGCTGTTGATACTGCAGAACAAGCTGCGGAACGAGCTCAGCCTCACTGGGTTGCTTCGTGTCGTGTCGTCGTCGCGCGTTGTGTCGGGGACCGAAAGACTAAAGGGGAATGCGTCCGAGCCGCCAGGCTGGGCCAGCATGTCCATGCCAAAATCCGCGTCGGTAATGAAACGACACGGCCCGCCGGCGACCTCGTCTTTGAGCTCGCACGTCACGGCCAGAACGCGGACTCCGGCCGTCGTAGGGTTTGCAGCGAGGCGCCAGATCTGGTGTCGCAGTTCTGCAGGGAGTTTGCTCAGAGAGGACGATGTCGAGTCCATCGTGGGATATGTGCAGGCGCCGAGGCCAGGTGACCAGATCGAAGTGTGTCTCTTGTTGGCCCTGGATAAGAGCAGCGAGTTAGCCATCTGATGTGTGCGTCGCGACGTCATCAATCTCGTGACTTACTTGGATGAAAGATGAAGCAACGGCTCAACAACGCTCGGTCGCGATGGGAGTGAGGTGAGAGGGGCAAAGAAGGCTGTGAGAGTGAACAGCCGAGTGAATAAATAAATGGTCTGGCGTGAGATAGAAGCAGTGAATCATTGTGAGTGAACGCGGTAGAAGCGCGTCGACTCCTGAACAGCGCGAGTTGCTACATCATGTTGTTCTGGTTGCCAGACAGCTGCGCCCACCTGGTGACAGTAGTCTCGCAGTCTGGGCGGGGTCTCAGGGGGTGAACACTACTTCCGCGCTGAATGATGTATGGTGACAGGGCACAGGCGAAGTTGTCTCAGCTTGGCCATGTCATTTAAACGGCGTGGTCCGCAGGCATCCAGTTGCGGCCCGCTTTGCTTCCGATGGAAGAAGCCATGGAGCCCCTTTGGTGCTCGTCCCACACAGAGAACGGAGAGCGGGCAGCTCATATTGCCAACGGCTCATGGTCAGTGTTCTCTATTTGCTCAGCTACTCAGCTGACAGTGTATCAGCAAGATGGATCTCCGAATTCATCAGGCTATCCGCGTCAAGGGACATCAGCTGCGATGAAGCGTTGCTCTTGAGGACCCCAATACCGCTGTGCGATACGTGACTTTAGCTGCCGACAGCCACGAGCCGTGCACATGGTCATTTCATCCCATGTCTAACTGGCTTTTTCCAACACTTCGTTGCCAAACACTGCCCACAGTCCGCACTCAAAGCCAACATGAAAGCCAACATTGATGTGACCACACACCACGATCCGTCATCTAGATACAAGGTATGGAGCACCAGGCACATTTAATCTGCAACGGAGTTCCATCACGAAAACTGGCAATTCCCGGCTGTGCTGACCAGGTCGAACGGCGAGAGCAGCGTGTCGAGTGATTCGTGCTGTCCATTGCCACGGCATTACCTCCGCCTGCTCGCTGTTCACACAGCAGCACAGAACAAACCTGCTCGACTCGATTGCAACGCGAAAGCGGCACGAGCCACTGCTTCTTCCTCCACTGCTTCCCAAGCGAAAAAAAAAACGTCTCACGCTCGCCTACACCTTCGAAGCCGCCTCCTCCACCCGCCCTCCACGCCCCGACCATCCACACACATGCCTCCCACTCCTTCCACACGCAACGGCCAGCCCGGCGACAACCTCCCCCAGCACGCCATCAAACGCCGCCGCGACTCCTCCTCCTCCTCCTCGCCCATCTTCGTCTCCTCCGGCCCCGCGGCAGGCAGATCCTCCACCGCCCCTCTGTGCCCCTCGTGCGCCGCCTCCATGAGCGGCACTGCCAGACCGACCACATCGCCCGAGGCACGGCAGCTTCTCTTCGACGCGCTCGAGAGGGGCGACCGCCTTGCGGCCATGAGCAAGACCATCGACTCGCCCGGGTGCCTCACCCCCGCGCAGCTCACGCGGTGCTTCGACATTGTGCACGCATGCGGGTGCGCGACGGAGGCGCAGGCCACTCTCGCCATGACGCGCCAGAGCGTCGACGGGTTCCTCGAGGCCGTGTTCCATGACTGGTCGAGCGAGAGGCCGGGAGAGCTGCTGCGGCCGGAGCTGGAGTTTCTTGTCGACGCCGAGGTGGTGGCCGGACGCATGTGCGGTATGGACCTCCCGATCCGAACATCTACGCTCCAGCACCAGTTCCCTTACTCAACACTGGCCGAGCAATTACTTACACGACATGTGTCTTAGTATCTCCGTCGAACCACCACACCTTCTCAGACTGCCTCTCGTCCGATCCCCCCTGCGGCGTCGAAGTCACCGCGTCGGCCACCTACAGCAGCAACCCCGCGATGCTGAAGCAAGAGTTTCTCACCACGGACCCGTTCACGCGCCAGCCCGAGGCGACATGCCTGCTGGGACGCAGCGACGTGCGCTGGGTGGCGACGGACTGGCGGGCGACACTGCGGGAGACGCTGCTGAGCAAGGTGCTGGCCAGGGCGGGCAAGTTCAACAAGCACCTCGCCATCTGGAAGGCGCGCAGGCTCGTCGTGGCGTGGAGCAAGGGCCGCGCCGAGGTGGGCGTCGGCGGCAGCGGCGGCGGCGGCGGGGACGGCGAGGACCCGGCAGAGGGCTTTGCTGGGCGGGAGCAGGCTGAGCTGGCGCTCATGTGCCTTGGAGGATGAACTGGAGTTGGATAGAGGAGAATGTGAGGGTTGATGGCTGGAGTGGCATCATCTACATCGTTGGCGATGGCGTCAGTGGGAGCGTCGGGGAGAAACAAGCGTCTGGTCCTTTGTCATTGCCACCGACATCAGCTTTACCCAGCTAGTGAGCATTTACGTGCCCTGGACGGCACAGTTAAGACGGTGTCTCTTCAAATTAAATGCGAGCATTTCATGACTTCGCCAGCGATGGCTCGCATCTCGGCAACTAAGGAGCCATCCCAGCCGGCACCCATTTCCCGAGAATCCATGTTGGATGTGCTGGCTTGGGTACCACTGCGCCCTTGCCATGTCGTCTCTGAACCCCCTTTTCCTCCAACAATGGCGGTTTGTAATCACCATTTGCAGCGTCGCAGGGCTGTGGAGTCCCCGTGCCTGTTCCTAGAATCCTGAGCCGAACCCGTGAGATGCGCGGCTCGTCTTACCCGTCCGCTGTGCCGTCCGTGCCCGCCAGGGTCCATTGACTTTGACCCCATTCGTCATGGACGTCATATGTAGGGCGCCCGGTATAAATGGCCTGTCGATGATCCGCAATGCAATGCCGGATCCAATGCGAGTCGCGACAAAGCGCCTTCACAAGTCACCACTACAGCATTTAGAATGGCGAGCGAACAAATTACCCTCTTTGACTTGCGCAGCAAGGGCCCGAACCACGCGTGGTCTCTAAACCCGTGGAAGAGTGAGCACCTTGAATTAATTGAACTGCGACGCGGCCCGGATTGACACACCATGATTAGCCCGCCTGCTCCTCAACTACAAGGGTCTCGATTACAAGACGGAATGGGTACGTGTGAATCGCATCAATTCCAGTGACAAAGCCCATGGACTGATATCCGCAGCTCAACTATCCCGAGATCAAGCCGACCCTCGAGGCTCAGTCCGTCCCTCCCCTGCCCTCCACACTCCGGCGATGCTCCCGCTCACATCAATCCTCGCAGCGTCCCGCCCAACGCCGAAGGCTACCCCTACAGCATCCCAACCGTCGCCTTCCCCGACGGCACCTGGATCATGGAATCGCGCGCCATCGCCACCGCCATTGAAGAGCGCCACCCATCTCCCCCCGCGCACCTCTCGTCGCCCTACCAATCCCGCATCGAGGCCCTCGTCCCCGCCGCCATGAAGGCCCTCCTGCCCATCTTCTACGCCAACGTGCCGCGCCGCCTCCTCGAGCCCGCCAGCCTCGAGTACTGGTACCGCGTGCGCGGCGAGAAGGTCGGCATGCCCATCGACGAGTTCGAGGCCAAGCACGGTGGCGAGGCGGCATATGCGGCCGCCGAGCAACCCCTCCGCGACGTCACCGCCATGTACAAGGAAAGCGGCGGCGAGGGCCCGTTCTTGCAGGGCGCGGAGGTGTGCTACGCCGATTTTGTGTGGATTGCCTTTCTGGAGTTTGCGCGGCGCATCGGCGAGGATGTCTACGAGGGGGTGCTGCAGCGGACGGGGGACCGCGCGGTGCATGAGAAGCTGATGCAGGCAGCTGCGCCGTGGCTGAAGCGAAACGACCACTGAGGCCAATGTCATCGCGGGCCGATTTTAACGGTGACAGCGCCGTCTATATCCAAAATACCATCACGTCTTGAGAAACCGCAACCGACCGGGAAAGAATCCATCGCTCGCGTGGCTCAGCCAAATCTCATCCCCATCCTTGAGCTCCTCCAGCCGCACAGCCTCCTCGTCGCACAACCCCTTGCTCAGCGCGTAGCGCCTCGTCGAGCTCGCGTTGGGGCCGCACCGCAGGGGTGGCGTCACCAACCGTCGCGCCCCCGTGCCTGAAGCCTCACGCCACAGGTACACTGTCGTGATGCTGCCCTCGGTAACCTCGCCGTTCTCATTCCAGAGCAGAATCTCCCTCGGCTCGTCGTAGGAAACCAGATTGGCTCTTTCGCGGGCGGCGTTGTACATTTCGCGGACGGAGGTTTTGTGGCCGGTGAAGGGCGAGGCGGGCGTGGGCTGGGAGTCGACGACCACGTCCCAGTGCGGCAACCCGCGGCGGTGGGCCTCTTTTTGTAGGAATTGTGGCAGGGACTTGGTGTCTGGAAGACTCATGATGTTGTTCTTCAGCGGCGGGAGAGGAGTGGTGGAGGCGGTGATTTGCGCGTCGGGGGTGAATCGGACGTTGACGCGCCAGGGCTTGGTCTTGTCAGGTACGGCATTGTCGACGGTCGTTCGGAGCAGCGACAGAGCCGCTTTTTCATCGGCCAACACTTCCTGGACATTGACCAGGTTGAACGCTGCTGCTGCTGCGCGCAGGCGAGCTAGATGAAACGGCAGCAGGTAGTGGGGGAAGTTTACGGCATTGTCGCTGGCAGTAGGCTCATAGCGGATGGACGTGAAAATGAGGAAGTTGGTGGGAAGATTCTGGGCCATTGTTGCGTAGGCAATGCGGAAAAGCGTTGGCTCGGTAAGTTGGTCAGAGACAGAATTGAAGGCTTGCCTGTTGTTTACCTTGTGCTGCGTGCGATGCGTCCTCATCTTCGTGTAAGTCACTGGAGCTCTGGTACGGGCAATTAGTGAGCGTGGCACCCCCGCTCGCATTATTAATGCCGCCATTGCGCCATGCCGCGCATCGCCATAAGATCGGCTCATAGTTTGAGCGTAATTTTGCATCTCATCAAGAACAGGCATTCAACTCTCTTGCTTCACCTTCATCCTCAATCAACGTGGACGGGCACAAGATGGGCATCGCCAGGGTGCAGGGTAGGCGTCAGTGAGTGGCTGACATAAGCTGTTTCACGCATGCCCCTGGGCGGCCCCCTGCGCCCTGGCGGCCAAAAGTTTGTCACCCGGGTTCACGGCAGGTGCCTCGTGTCGCGCCTGCCACCGCCCTGTTGGCCTTGTCGCGACGGCTCACCTCTTCTTTCGTCCTCCTCGCTCAGACGATCCATCTCACCACCACCCTCACTCACCAGCAGCACCACCACCCGCACGGCGCAGCGCTCCACCATCGTCAATGGCTCATCACGGCCACCCGCACGGCCACAGCAACCACCACCACCACCATCACCATGGCGGCGGCGGCAGCAGCAGCGCCGGTGGTGGCCCGCGGCTGCTGGCCGGCCCCAACCTCGACGCCTTTGGCGCCATCATCGCCGGCGACCGCATGCCCAAGGGCGAGATCAACGTCGAGACGCGCGCGGCTATCATCGCTGCCGTCCAGGCCGGCGAGAAGAAGAAGAGCATCGCCCGCCGCTTCGGCATCTCCAACGCCTCCATCAACCGTACCCTCGACCGCTTCGAGAAGACGGGCCAGCTGACATCGCGGCCCCGCCCCGGCCGGCCCCGGTCCAAGCCCGCTCCCTCTCGGCCCACGGACCCTACGGCGCGGCGGCGTTCCGGGCCCCCGCGCTCCCTCAACCTGCCCCGGGTCCTCGTCGGCCCTCCGGTCCACGCCAACCCCGCCGCTCCGGCCACCTTTCTCTCGCCCCAGCAGGACCGCTCCCTGACCCGCCTCCTCGCCACCATGACCGTCACCCTGCACCCGACCACGTACGTCTACTGCAGCTTCACCGACCCCTCCCGCCTGCCGCCCATGCCGCAGATCCAGCTGTTCTTCCAGGAGCCCGGCGGCATCACCATCGTCACCAGCATGGGCTACGCCCGCGCCCACAACCTGCCCTACCTGTCCCCCTGCAAGATGCTCACCCTCGCCGTTACCGCGGAACTGTCCGCCTTGGGGCTCATGCCCATGGTCGAGGCCCGCCTCGCCGCCGCCGGCATGTGCGCCAACACGGTGAGTGGCTACTTGCGCGACCACCTCTTTGTTCCCGTCGGCAGGGAACACGAGGCCGTGCGTATCCTGACGGCCATGGCGGAGGAGAAGCGGCGCGAGGCGTCGATTGTCGAGGGCCAGTTCCCGCCGGTACCGGTTTACGTGCCTCCGGCGAGCACAACGCCTGAAGGCAGTGTCCCTCCAGCGAGCGCAGATGTGCCTCCGATTTCCGGTTTTTTGAGGGCCAGGATCGGGGGCAGTGAAACCCCGTCCTTTGACAAGGACGCAGACTCCGACGACTCTCATGCCATGAGCGAGCCCTTGACTGTGGAAGAATCGTCTGACGAAGCGGACCCTATCCCGAGCGGCCCCGAGGTGGACGCCGACGAGGCAGCCGCTGAAAGCCAGGTCCTGGCCGAGACGCGTGCTGCGGCGGCGACACAGGCACTGGAGGAGCAGGAGCAAAATGCGGCTAGGAGCCCTTCGCTCGGCGCCGGTAGTCGGAGTGAGGCTGGCGAGGACAGCGTCTCGGAACCGCTTGAGGCTTTAAGGAACGCCGCCATGCAACTGGACCACTCATGACCGTTGCTGTGCGGTCACCAGGGACCGCAGAGTCGGCGGTGGTTAGGCCGGAGCCATGAATGAGCGGTCAATTGAGCGAAACGCCTCTGGAGCCTGGTGTGACGTTGGAGGACTGGGATAATGCGCTGCGGAAGAGTGGCTGGTCGTATACTTTCCCCAGCATGTTCAGAGGGGCATATTGTACCTTTAATGAGGGCGTCGTCGGGTTGCGGATGTACTCGGTACAGCAACCCCATTGTGTGTTTTTAGCAAGCAGTCAAGCAAGCAAGCAAGCAACATTTGAGCAGGCAGAGAGAATGCGGGGTCATCAGACCAACTTCATTTCTCATGTACTCTCCAGCTGCTACCACAGCGACCGATTCGAGTCGTTCAAGTGTGATGTGATATGACTGTGGGCATCCAACGGCCATCGAAGCAACCTAGCCAAGTCGCCCTTGGAGTGGGAGTATTTAGGCCCGGCATGTCAAATGAGGCCTTGGTGAAGCCATCGCCACGATGAACAGGCGGTCTGAACGAGGCGCGCGTGATTTTGTCCCGCGCAAGTCACGAAGTCATCGCAGCCCATCCACCCCATCGATACACGAGCGCAGCACCTCCCACGACCGTTCCACCTCCGCCGGTACATCAACACTTGCGATGAACCCCCTCCCCTTCGGCCCATACCCGCCTGCATCGTCCCTCAGTCGCGGCACCTCGCCCGCCACCAGCCCCAGAAAGCGCCCCATCGGCCACAGTTGCGCATCCGGCCCCAGCTCTTCTGGCTCTTCGTAAACCAGTCCAGCGACGAAGCAGTCGTCATCCCGCCGCGCGCTCTGTGGTGATTGCGACGGTAATTGCGGATGCGCCGCAGTGGTAGTAGCAGCTCTTACGCGAGGCACAAACGCCGGCCAGCCTACGATCTCCGGTGCTGGCGTCGCGGCGTCGTCCTCGTAGACTTTGGCAAAGGACGCGACGGTGCGTCTACACATGGTGGGGTCCTGCGCAACAACCAGGGTCCGCGGAGCGGTGATGCCGTGCGCGTCGAGGAGTTTCTTCGTCTCGATGGCGTTGGAGCCGCAGTTGGTGGATTTGTCTTCGAGCAGGACCTCGAAGCGCGGGCTTTGCGAGGTCGCTCGTCTCTGCTGCCCGTGAGGCCCATGGCCAAGCACTTGCTGCCTCACGGCGTCGAGCATCCGGGCCTCAGGCTGGCCGCGTAGCTCGCCCTCGCCCGCCAGGGAGCTGTACCGGGAATGACGCGCGAGGGCGTCGTGCATGAGCGTCGTGGAGTGGCCGATACCGCCGCAGAGGACGAGCACGAGTCGTGCGGGACTCCCTCTCAATGTCGTCGCAGTCGCCGCCTTCTCCTCATACTCTGATATTATTCTGAGTGCATACTCCGCCGTGGCGATGACGGATGAGGCGCAAAGGACAATTACATGAACTGGCAGAGCGGCGTCGTTGCCGGTTGTGCTACCGTCATGTGGTGGCAGTGGTGCGGTGAGAAGGGCTGTGAGATCGTCGACGGTGCGGATTTGCTGGTGGGCGAGGAATGCGGAGATGGTGTTGACGGCGTCGACGAGGCCGGGCGTGGGCGGCATGGTGGGCGATATCGGGCCGCGTCTTCATGAGACGTGCGTCCTGTCAAGGTCTGGAGCGAAGTTGAATGGTGAAAGAGCTGAGAAAAGGGAGAAGTATGAGAGAGGGACACTGCCTCGTGTAAGCGGAGGGATTGATGTGGGGAGGGCGGACATCCAGCGGTTCCACCGATGGAGATGCCCGATTCGGCAATAGAGACAGCCCGTCCATCAACAGAAGCTGCAACGCAATGTCTTATCATCATTGTGAGCGGGAAAACCAGAAGCGAGTAATCTTGCTCTATACGCCGTCATGCAGCTTTGCAGTTCTGACCTGACCGTGTTGCTCAAGTCACACGAAAGTCTGGGGGCCCAGCACATCGCAAGCCCTCGTGCGGGAGAGAGCCCAACCGCAAATGAAGTTCAGCATACATTCCAAGTTTAAATCTGGTATACCGCAAACTTGAGATAATAGCTCTTCTCCGGAAACCCTGGGATCCGAAACGGCAGCCCGCCAACCCACTGCGCCTCCACCCGCCACCTCGTCCCCGTCGCAGCGCCCACCTCGTCCCACAGCCGCTGCCACGACGCCGGGTCATGCAGGTACCGCACCGTCTTCACCTCTTTGCCACTGCTGTTCCCGCTGCTGCCAGTACTGCCGTCGTTGCTGCTGCTGCTTCCGCTGGTGCTGGTGCGGATCGGTCTAAACTCCGCCTGCGCCGGATCCAGACACCCGATCTGCGCGCCAAAGACCACCGCGTCGGTCCGTCCCGGCTGCAGGAAGGAGACAATGCGCGACGCGGCGCGGACTTGCTCCTCCCAGCTGAATAGGTGAAAGAAGTTGGCCGCGTGCACGAGCGTTACCTTGCCGCGCAGTGCTGCATCCACTGCTGACTCCCTATCCTCCCCGCCTTCCTCCTGCTTCTCTCCCTGAGCGGCATCGGCGGGGTCGGCGAGCAAGTCCGCCGCGACAAAAGCATCAGCAGGGAAGCGCTCCCTATCGCGAAAGAGCTCAAATCCGAGGTCCAAGAACGCGGGCGACAGGTCCGTGCCGTGCAGTCGCGCAGGCGACACGCCATCGGCGACGAGTTGCCGAATGACCTGCCCAAGGCAGCATGCGACGTCGAGGAGGGCGTCGCCCGACCGCGGGTCCTTAAGCCGCGCGACGGCAGAGCGGAAGACGGGGTCGTCGACGAGGGAGAGGTTCGTGAAGGACCAGCGGCCGAGGCAGGGAAAGCGGGCGACGGCCCAGGCCTTGTCGCGCTGCGATGTGAAGACGTCAGCAACCACCGTAGGGGACCCGTTGCTCTCCAGGGAGTGTCTCACGATGTCATGGAGATGCGCGTCTACATCCTCGGGCGCGATGCCGCTGTACGTCTCGAGCAAATGGCGGAACCGCGCAATGTCTGGAGGAAGGTCTGCTTGGTACATGCCCTTCGCCCACAGCGCTGCCGCGTCAGCACCAGTTCCGTCGGCCATTGATGGTATGCAGTCGGTTGATAGAGGGACAGCAGAATGTTCTTCTATTGCACTTGCAGTAACGGGGCGGAGAATGACGATCTGAGGTAATCTCGACGTGATTGTCTGCTCGCTCAGAGAGCCCCTCGGATCTTGTTGGGGACTGACGCTTTTGTGGTTGAGATGCCAGGACGGATTTCGGGGCGGAGTTGACACACAGGATTGCAGATGGTTCATATCGCGGGGCGGCTGTGTCGGCAACGCAACCCGTGTAAGCCACAGCTGTCAGCAGCGGCGTGTCGATTGAAGCCCATCTGGGACATCTCTTTTGGGGTCAGGTCATTTGGGAACGGACCAGGGCCGTCCATCTCCAGAATGGAACTTTCCACGTGCCTTCGATCGCCGCAGAGGGCACGCAAATGGACTGCATTGATACGCCGTCGAATGGAGCCGTCGTCCCGAAACGTGGAGGATTCCAGCGGGAACTCATCTACGTCCAAGTACCTGCATATCCGCCCACCGCTAACATGGAAAATCGGACCCCGATCTCCTGCCTCTGATGCTCTTTTTGATGCGTTCATGTCTGCTTACCACCCCGTTTGCTGTGAGGCGCATCGAGGCTCTCGTGCCCAACCTCCTCCCTCAATGGCAACCGCCTCAAGTCACACAACATCAGGGCTCATTCACCCAACTGCCCGTCTGTCTGTAAAGGAGGCGGCGTTGGGCGCTGCCTATTTCTTTTCGATTGGGTTCAGCAAACCATCAAACTCGTCTCCTCCTTCCCCTCACTTGCCAGCGCTTGAGCACAGCTTCCGCTGTTCACCTGGAACGGCGAAGCCTACGTGCGTGCTTGAGCTGCCTACTAGTGGGTTTCTCGCATTCTAGTGTATTGCTGCTGGCGCCACTGGAAGCAAGCAAGGGCTTGATCTCTGCTAATCGCTTGCTTCCTTCGTCTCTCGTTTCCCTGCCTTGACTTGTCTCCATGATTGCTGATCACCTCAACCTTGCGAGACTCGGCAGTCGAGACACTTTCGCTGTCCATCTCGGCGCTGGAACTGACTACATACACCCAGTTGCCTTTGAACACCACCACGGCGCACTCTTCGTCTCTCGGACCAAAGCGCACTCTGGCCCAGGTCACAATGGACGTTCTACGCGAGGGCCTGCGTACATTCCGCTTTCACGGGAGGTACTACACGGATAGTTTTCAACATAGTTATGGTCATGCGGCTAGGCTCTATGTTGCGGACGTTATTGCAGACAGCCCTGCCGACCCTGCCCAGTACCAGAGTGCGTTGAGCTGTCCCTCTTGCGCGTGTGGTACAGTCTGCTAACGCGCTACAGGATGGCTCGGTGCATTGCGCGTTCTCTGCATGTTCAAGGAGCGTGACGCCGAGGATTACGTCTACGAGGTCAGCAGCGGCTCTGAGCTTATGAGACTGGGGCTTGGGGCGGATTGGGTGGATGCACGCGCTCATCCAACTGGACTTCCAGCGCGCCTGCGTGGCCGTACCTTCGGCGTTCATTACATGATCAACCTCGACAGTGAAGTCTTCACTCTGGACTACTGTCTACATTGGAAGCTGAGCAGCATTCCTCGTCGGCGAGACGAGTGGCTCAGGGCCATCGTTCCAAGTATCTATCGGGATACGTGGACTATCTCCCTCGGTATTTGCCCGGAGGAGCTTATGACCTCGCCGGTGTTGCAGCTTCCGGAGGCGGACCCAACTATCGCCTTTGAGTCTCGCCGTGTATATCCGAGGGTCGAGGTCAAAGAAGCGTGGGCCGTCTTTCTGACACATTCGCTGGCGGTGGCGCTTAATACACTCCGCTTCGAGATCGTCAATTTCGGGAGGGAGTGGAGCCCGGACTCGTTCCTCTTCCGCGAGCTGATGTTCGCGCTCGTTTCCATGGCATCTAATCGAGCAGTGTTCCATGATTCCGGCGCTAGACCGCTGCCGCGCAGCCCATCGCAGCAGGACGGCGATGATCTCTCGCTCGTCCACGATATCCGCCAGGTGGACCAAACACGGCTCGAGGATGAATGGGTCGGCCATGATACTCCCCTCGAGTTTGGCTCCATGTTTCATCGGTCGGGCAAGCTTCCTGGGGCATCCCCCGCTGAGACCATCTACTGGTTAGAGGGCGTATTGGTTAGCCTAGAGCTGGTACCCGATGGTAAAGTGGTGACCAAGGCAGTTCGTTGGGGCATCGAACAGCGACACGCCAGTTTTCAAGCTGTCATCCTATCGCTCTTTGAGGCCGCCTTTGTGGAGGTACTAGAGGGCCATGACGGAGAGATCTTCGTCAAAGTCAGCGATATGGTCGCCCTCTCGCCCATACGTGCAGAATGGTGCATGAGCACGCATCGACGAGAGCGGCCGCCGCTCACGGACGGAGCGGTCGCCCAGCCTCATCCTGGAAAGATGAAGCTGCCAGCGGACTGCGTCGCAACCCCAAAGAAACTGCAAGAGAACTTCCCCGGCCTTGCTGCGCTAGTCAATTTCTTCGATATAGCCGCGAACCGCCGTGCGGTAGTGTGATCACAGAAACGTCTCCCCTCCGAGTTATGCGGGCGAATACTGGATTTTGTCGATCACGACACATGGAAGGCGTGTCTTGTGGTCTCGAAGGAACTCCGTTTTCACTGCCTTCGCAGGTACCCGGTGGGATCGGTCTCGAATTGTTGGAGGACCTTTCATGAGATCCAGCGACATTCCCGCAGAGCGAATGTCATTCAACATCAAATCTACACGGACCGGCAAGACCAGTCCGATGTCGCCCCTTGTTTTCCGGCATGGGCCCCGGGCAGCTCGGCATAACTGGAAACCGGTCATCGACGACGAGCGCAAGGTGATAATGTGGGATGTTCGCATTTTATTCGAGCCAACGGTGTACTCGCCGCTGCGAGACGCCGGCGAGGGGGCAATATTGTAAGCCTGTTGTAGATACTGCGATGGGGTTGCCAGAGGAACGTTGACATGCGGCCGAGACAATTTTGGGCATTGACTCGTTAGGATGTCGCTCACAGCATGGAGCAATGCAGTTGAGGGAAGGCTCAAGCCACGTTTCGGCTGTACGTACGCATTTGCTCATCGGGCCAACGCAATTGAAAAGGGGAAGAGCCCGTTATCAGATTCGGACGCGTGCCTGACTTTGGGCGTGAACGTCGTCTGTGACTCTGTGCATCGAGCATCAATGCTTGGCCGCCATGCACGTACCTTCAATACTGTACGACAGCTGCCAGCGACATTCAGGGCCGACTATTCGTCGTTTCTTTCGCTTATCGGGGATCATTTCAACTGTAAGAATAAATAAACCGCGCATAATGATCCAGTCTCAATACAAAGAGATGAACAGCAAGCCTTTGGTCGATCTAGGGCAATGAAGGGAGGGATCACACGGAATTCCGGGCGAGCCCGTCGTTCATGCGGGGGCGCCCCGGCGCTACCCACCCCCAAGTATTGAGTTAATGTTGTTCAAAGTTGACGGGGCTCCAACTTAATTCTTGTAAAGTCCGTGACCGCAAACTGTCAATCGCGAGGATAGCCAGCCAAGGCGCGACTTCGGACATTGTGTTTCGCGTCAAAAGGCTCAACATCTGCCAGCCGGCGTGGACACTTGATGGATCCCCGCTGGCTGGCAATAAGGGCACGGGAGCTGCCCAATCTGGAAGTTTAAAACTGAGTTTCACAGGTCACCTCGCTGACAGAAGCGCGTAGGACACTGCCCTGCCCTGCCCCGCCCCCGCAATGCTTATGCCGATTCCCCCAGCTCGTTGGCTCACTGCCTAATGAAGCTTCAGCTCTCAGACTGCTCTCACTTCACGTTCTTTAGGATACGTAGCTGCCAGCCTTGAGTGTTGGTCAACTCGAATCCCACTCGGCGTCGTGTACCATTGACTTTGGATCATTTAACCCCCCGACTGCCATCACGACTTCAGCCTCGCCCCCTATGGCTCGCAACGGCGACGCGGCGGACGACCTCGTCGCCGAGATCGACGCCATCCTTCGCGACAGCGTATGGGCTGGTGTACCAGGTCTGTCCGCCGCTGTGCACTCATCGACCAAGACGTGGACCTTTTCCAGCGGCGTCTCCGACGTGCGAACCCTGGACCTCATCGACGCGACGACGCACCTCTTCGGCATCGGCAGCATCACAAAAGTCTTTGTCGCCGTCGTCGTCCTACAGCTCGTCGAGGAGGGCAAACTCTCCTTATCTGACACCGTGGGCGGCCTTCTCGACCCGGCCGTGTACCACGACATTGTCGACGCCAAAGACGCGACCGTGGCGCGCCTCCTGAGCCACGAGGCGGGCATCGACTCCTGGGAAGACGACCCGGACTGGATCCGCAGCGGCCGCGGCAGCGAGACAGACCCTTCTCACATTTGGACCAAGACGGAGCCCCTCGACTACATCCGCCGGCCCAAGAAGACGGCCCCCGAGCCCGGCAAGTGGTACTACTCCAACACCAACTACACATTCCTCGGTCTCATCATCGAAAAGGCCGCGCAGAGCACCGCCGAGGTGGAGATCCGGCGCCGCATTCTCACCCCGCTCGGTATGAGACAGACATACCTTGAAGGCTTCGAGCGTCCTCCCAGCGACGGCTCTCCCCCTTGCCGCTACCACTGGGCCACTGACACGTTCCGCGACGCGGCCGGCAAGAGCCCCTCGTTCCCGTCCGTGAACGAGCGCCTCATCGACTGCACCTCTTCGACCCTGTCCACCGAGTGGACGGCCGGCGGAATCCTCTCCTCAGCACGCGACCTCGTCACCTTCGCAGCCGCGCTACGGGACGGCAAGCTCCTCAGCGCCGAGTCCCTTGCCATCATGACGGAGTGGCGGCCCGCGACCAACGGCGAGGAGATGGGCCATGGACTCTTCCGCATGAAGCGGCCAGGAGGAGGCAAGTGGCTGGGTCACTTTGGCGGCGTGCTGGGCTTCACGGCGGCGCTCTGGTGGGAAGAGGGCGGCGACTGCGTCGTCTCGGTACTGTCCAATGTGGGCACGATGCATGCGGGCAACGTACCGTCGAGCGCCGGCCACGTCGTGGTCAAGTCCGGCTTGTTGGAGGTTGCCTCCAAGCTGGCTAGCGGCTCTGTGCCTGTGGGCGAGAATTGAGCCTTGGACATATGGCGCGAGGAGCAGTCGCCATGGGTTGAAGCAACTCGCAAGAGCACCTTGGAAGCGAGAGCGCGTAGGATTCGGCGCAGGATCCTTGGGTAATGCGTAATTTCGGCGGCATCAGCCATGGTTCGTTCAGGAAGTCGGATTTCAGCCAGGGTACTCTACATTTAATTCGAGAGGTAATTGAGTGACAGATGTGAAGTCTGATGTGAAGCCTGTTGTTGTCAATGGCCGATGAAGCACCAGCAACCTCCAGCACGATCGCAACTAGGAGCTGTCGATGCCTCAAGATGGTTTGACTCCTTGACAGCGCCAGTGTCCCCGTCAAAGCCAAGTCTTGATCCGACTTGATCCGACTTCACAGGATTCACGAAGCCCTGCCGCCGCTCCCGTCTGCACCTCTCCTCCAGCAGCCCGACACTCTTTTGCATCCTCCCGTCTTATTCTCTTCACCTCTGCCCGCCACAACACATGTGCCGGCGCCAGCATCTCCTTGTCGGGGTGAAATTACGACTCGCGTGGGATAGTTATGCCGTTGACGCCGTGGTGCGACACCTCGTTTCGTGGGTCGTGTGGCAGCCAGTCGAACGTGGCCTGGTTGAGACTCGGCGGGAAGTGCACCGCTCGACGACGTCGCGGTTTGCTGTTTGGGTCCGGAACCTGACATATTTGCCGGGGACGCGAAGCCCACGAGGAATGAGGTGATGCGTTAGGTTGAGGAGGACGCCACACAGTTCATGCTAGTCCACTGACGTCAAGTCGTTCTCCGTCCACGAGGTGCATGCATTCTCGAAGACTGCGGTGGACTTCTCCCTGTCCATTACCTGTGGGACGCTGCGTCCTTTGATCCATTGATGCTGGGGCTGTCTGAAGCTTCAGGAACGAGAAAATCCGGCTGACTCAAGGGACGAGCGTTAACGAATGTGAGTGCACAAAGCTTTTGAGCTCGGAAGGGACAATCACAGAACAAGCAACGTCTGTGTGAGAAGGACAGCATGGTCCAATTACAGGATATGGATCTGCATCGAAGTAACGCAAAGACAGTTGATCCTCGTCCAGGTGCATGTGGACTGCAAAATTCAGGCACCAGACATGTACGACTCCCTCCGCGTGGATCCAGTCACTGCCATGTCCACGGCAGCAACCGCCTCTCGCAGTCCCCCCGAGGGGCGACGGCCTCTGCGATCCACTGTCAACGAACCATCGGCCGTCAGTCTTATTGATAAACTCATACGCCAGCACGCAAAGACGTCCAAGTATCGTTATAGAAACGAGGGGTATCGGATTACACTGCCGTCCATGTCGTGAGGCCACATGCAGAAAGTGCCATGTCACCAGAGCAACTCCTGTGTTGGGGACTCCACGCCAGACATCCGTACGCCGCAGCGAATGCGAAGACGCGTGCCCTCCCGCCCATTCAGTCCGACTTCCACAGGTGGCCCCAGGCATCAGAGCTTTACGACGCCTACACACGGAAGCGCATTGCTCACTTGCTTTCTCTGTCTGCTAGAGCGAACGTGACAGCGGTAAGAGACGGCTTCCTTAGTTGCCTGTGCGGCGTCCAGTCCATGAATGGCACCTGGACATGGACACACAAACGGTGAACCGCTGACGGGTGTTACTTCGGATGCATCTGCGCATCATGGATCCGGCTTGGGTCACGCCAAGTCCCTAGACGCTGGGTTTACTGCTACTCAATCGCGTATTCTGCCCGGTCATGGCGACTCAGCCGTATGGACTGATGTAAACATGCGCATCTGCATGCCCACATCAACGGCGGCTCCATCATGTCATAACCTATGAGGGTGAACCTGAAACGTCAAGTCCCGCTGGTACGTGCATGGGACACGATGCTACTCATATTCTCACCGCGCTTCATGTTGCAATTGCATCAAATGTAGGGGTCCAAAATTTCGTATTAAGGCCAATGCTCAAAGGCAGACCTGCGCAAAGCAACCCATCTCGCAACGCCTCATGCACCAGTTTCCGTTGCACCAAAAAAGCATGCCGCCAGATGCCATGGTCGGCTCCAAAAAGAGAAAACGCCAAGTCCCAGCCCATCCAGCCGAAGATTACAGGCCCAAAGCTCGCCAAACGCCCATCCTGTTCCTCCCAACCTGGTCTCGCCAACGCCGAGCCCAAATCAACAATCCCAAGTCAAGGACAAGAGGCCACGGAAAACAGGGTGGCATCCGGGTGGCTTTGAGACCGTCGCAGGATCGAGGACGAGCAAGTCCTCAGATCTCGACGGTTCCCTGCAATCAAATCTCACCCTTAATATTGCCGGTCTGGATGATGTTGGCGCGAGGCAGATTGCCTACCTGGTCACCGCCGGTGATGGAGAGCCAGAGGAGCGGGCAATCGGCCCAAACCATGTGCTTCGCGTTGGCGAAGCGGACCTCGTCGTCGGTAAGGGTACGAAAGCCCTGCTCGGTGTACTCCTTGAGGAGAATTCGAGCCTGGCGAATGGCTCGCTCACGGTTGTGCTTCGCGACGATGGAGTTGATCTGGTCGTACAGGTCGGCAATCGCCTGGCGGAGACGGAGAGTGACGTTGCCGTCGGTGTTCCATTTCATGGAGTTGAGAGTCTCCATGTCAAAGGCAGCGCCGTTGGGCGCCACCATCTCGATGCGGACATTCTTCTGGGTGTCAAGGTACGCGCGAGGGTAGGCCTTGATAACATTGCCTAGACAAAGATTTACAAGTCAGCATTTTGAATGCGACGGGAGGAGAGACGGTGGGGCAGAAATAATGACGGGAAGCTTGGTCCATTGTGTAGAACGGGGAAGAAGGGCAACGAGGTAGATTGGTTGCCCACAGTGACATGAAAGATGTGAAAAAGGAAGAACTTACCACGGCGGTCGACAACCTGGCCGACGTCGATCATGACCGTGCTGACAAGGGCGCGGTCGATGACGGGCACAATGATGGGGTGCGGTGGCAGCGGGTTGAGGGTGCTGGAGGTCCAACCCTGGTCGAAGATCTGGCCAAGGAACTCCTGGAACGCGTCTCCGGTGGGAAGAGTGCCGACAGACTTCTCGAGGAGCTTCATGAGCTCCTTCATGACTCGGATGGGGAGACCATCTTCGCCAGCGAACGGACCAAGGGTCTGGCCCTCGCGAACCTCGTTGTTCTGGTCACGACGCAGCTGCTCAAACTCCACGAGGAGATGAGCAGCCGACATGGAGCGAACGCTGCCGCGGCGAGCGCTCGAGGCAAGGACGAGGGCACGCGAGTCGGGGTTGCCAGGAGGAGTAGACATCTTGGCGTGGTGGTTGCTCTGGAGCAGCAGGACGGTCAGGTCGCCGCCAAGGAGCTTTCAGGGCAAGGGCCAAGGCAAACAGGACTTACTGAAGCTGATGGCGAAGACGACGATGATGATGGTGATGGTGATGGAACTCTTTGATGGATGAGAGAAGGGTCTGCAGGAGTGCTTGTTTGCGTTGACGCTGGGGTGTGCAGACGAGAGTGCGAGTCCCGGGAGGTGAAGAGTTGAAACTTTGAAAACGCGGATGGAAAACAGGAGAAACATTTTATACTCTCGTCGGGAACGGTGCGCGTCGTTCTCCTTAGGCCCTACAGCCTCCCGCTGGAGTGAACGGTAGGGGGCAGAACAGACGGATGGGCCGCTGAAGAACAGCTCGAGCCGCCTGAACACATCAATGCGTTTCCCCTGTGCCTCCCGCTCAGCCCTAATGGTCCGCCACGCGAGATCTCAGCCCTACGAGGCGATATGCATGGCATGCTAAGCGAGTGACAGCGTTGGTCTGCCCGTTTCGATGCGTTGAAGTTGGGTGCTGGGCGCCATGCTTGGCCCGATGCCGTCTGATGGCTTGTCTGGGGCTTGTCGACGCCTGTACTGGGATTCACCCAACTTAAGGTCTTGATCCGAAGGTCCGTAGACTCATGCACGTAGATTGAAGCTCTGGGAGTAGCTGCGTGCGGCACTGTTGCTGAAGTCGTTGACCGTCATGCATGATCCCAGCATGAGCGTCCAATGCTCAGTCATCTGATTCCCCCATGCGCGTGCAGAGAATGCCCCGTCCGGTGGGAACTGCCGTCTCTTGCTGAAGCAACGCAGGGACGACAGTTTCTGACCGAATGCCGATCACTATTGATATAATATGCTGCACATTGCGGGTTGTTGCGGAATGTTTGTCACCAGTAAGGCCGTGATATCCTCCCTGCTTTGATTTTGTGGTTGCGAAACAAAGCCCCGCGAGGGGCCCCTACTCCCGCCACTTTCCCCAGCAAACAAAGCATGACTTGGTAGCAGACACGCGTTCATCACGGTACCGCAACTGGGATCCCTTTCAACTTCATTCGACTTCATCGGAAGCCTGCCCTTATTCCCTTTGCTCGACTCGTGTCTTTGCGAGAGCCACGGCGCCGTATCGAAAACGTACCCGCGCGACGCTTCACGCTCACACCAACAACAGCGGTCCTCAGCACGCACACCATCGACCACAGGCCTCAAGCGGCATCAGAGGCAACAATATGGCCTACGTGCGCCCTCCGACTTCAATACTACGATATCGTCAGCTGTGTGGGCCTTTAGGGCGAAAACAGGCCGGCATGTTATTGTCACGGATCTGGTGGCCCCTGAGCTGGAGCCAACCTCATCGAACGCCGCCGAGCCGACCCAAACACACGAGCGACGATACTATACCATAAGCGCTGCGACTATCGAGCCCGTCCTCCATCAGAAGCTTCGCCAGCCGTTGGGATGTATACTGGTCCCTCTAGTGGGCGCGCCCCTTAGATACGGAACCAGGCTGGGTCGAGCGTGCCGCCGAGTCGACCAGAGAACCTAAGCGACGTCAATACCGCAAGCGTTACCAATATGGCCAACTTCGTGAGCCATTGAGTTGTAGACTCGTCCGTCTCGTTGGCACCACCCTTCAACACGGAACCAACTTCGACAGCATGCGATGCCGAGTCGACAAAACACACGACCAACGAAATAAGACAGGATTTGCAAACATCGCCAACTTCTTGGGCAGCGTTGACATAGACTGGCACTCATTTCTTTCGTACTCCTCGTCCTCTTTGTGGGCGCGCTCCCTGATCATGGATCCCAGCCTCGATCGAACACGACGCCGACGCGAAACCACACGGTCGAAGTTACGATACTACAAAACGAACATTTTACAGTCGGAAACTCGTTTCTCAAAGGCTAGAATCATTTCCTATCAGTCAGACACCTTTTTTGACCGCAGAGTCGGGCTCCGCTGGCAGGGACTGCCTCTGGGACAGCCTTTGGCTCCATCAGACAGCAGCGGCAGCACGTCACGCGTGGCGTCGGAGACTCATTTTCGGCCATCATCGCCGGTACGTCTTGTCTCGTCTTTGTCCTTCATGTCTCGCGTCTCTCGAGCAAAACAATCGCTGACGTTTCTGAGCTCACTCGCAGCGGAGCACCTCTCCCGACATTGAGGCTACTCCAAGACATCACGACTCGTCACCCCAGGCGATCCACCCGCCTCGAACCGTCTTCTAGAAAAAAAAGTCTCAGGCCAATAATTCTACACGGCGGAGAAACGAAACTCATCGACCCCGCCGGTGCCGAATTCCCTCCTTCAGCGGACATCCGTGCGCGAGCCAAACCCACGGGCGAGGCGCGATGCTTTACGTCCTCCCAATCCATGCCGTCCTTTGACAAATCGCACACGTCGCCGCGCTCGGACCCCTCCTTCGATCGGCCATCGCTGCCTGCCAGCCGCTGCTTGCCTGCCACAAGCGCAAGGCTCCATAACGACCCGAGCGGAACCGACCGACCGACCAAATCTGGGGGTGGTACCGCTAGGTGGTGGTGGTGGTGCGTTGCGGCGAACCTTGAGAGCTTCATTCGCGCGGCGAGCTCATTTGCCCGAGCGCGCGATTGGTTGAGCTCGGGCAGACTGTCTCAGCGTCGAGCGTGGCATCGAGTTGAGACAGTCGAAAAGCTTATACAGTACAATACACCCTCGAAGACAACGGAGGAGTACACCGCCTGACGTTTACGAGATATACCGTGCTATTATCGTCGCGGCAAGCTCGGTGGTCGACAACACTATCGACAGGGAGCTTTCCGATACGGGCCAGGAAGAGGGCGCAAGCGTCGCGAACACGACCACGGGTCTTTAAGCTTCCGACGACCACCCACCACCCCGGCCGACGGGTGCAATAAATCTTGCTTGAAACATCGCATGGCGCATGAAACAAACCCGCCAGGGCCAATTGGGAGGGCTCTGGGCGTCGTTCTGGGTGCCTCACGGCTTCGGGCTACCAGAGAGAGAGGCTTAGCGCAATTCTCCCCCTCGAGGGCCTGACCGATCTTGACAGCTCGCGCCTCCACGGCAAGGCAGGACAGGGTCGTGATGTGCCCTGGGTTCTCTGGGAACGGGCAGCAGCCTGCTGCCTTTGTGGCCCCTGCCGTGCCATCTGGCCGGCGAGCTCGGCCAGACTTGACTACCCCAGACTTGTCAGGGACGCCTCGTACAGAAGCCAACGACATGGCACAGCCACCACGTTGCCGGCACGCCAGGGATACCTGACCCCGTGACGCTAGAGCCGGCGACCGCATGCATAAGACACAGGAACGAAGTAGGCGGTGACGAGAAATGAAGATTCCACGAACAAGCATGTGATTCTCGCGGAGCCGCCTAAACACGCTGGGTGACTGCACATGGCCGCGGGTTCAACTGTAGCCGGCCGGACCACTGTCGATGAACGTGCTGGTTCCACTGTGCCAACTGCCGAAACATGGAGTAATTCCACGTGAGAGTCAATTCCAACAAGTGATTCTCTTCAACGGCATGGCCCATCGCCAGGGCCCACTCGACAACGTGCGTCGGCGGGGACTGCTGTTGCTGTAGCTGCTGTAAGGGGACATGCGTCGTGCCCAATTCATCCAAGCGAGCTCCCCGCACACTGGAGATCGTAACGCGCCCTGCCGCGCTTTGCGATCTTTGGGACCTCAGGCGGGCGGAATACGGAACGCCAGGCAAAGTCTAGCAGCCTCCAGCGGCAGCACGATGCCGCATCTGGGTGTTGGGCCGTGGCGGTTGCAGGAACAGCCGCATGGTCACGGGCTACCCTACAGCTGAGATGAAGAGACGAGGCGCAATAATGATGCGACGTGTGTGAGACGCCGTGATGGTGGCAGCCCGGTCGGCAATGGTGCGCTTTCTATCCTTGGCCTTTCACGTGCGAACAGCGTGCGGCGCCCTTTGGGAAACAGGGATCCTCGCCAGGGGTCGCAGGACTGTCTCACGGCGCAGAAGAGGGGTGTGGTCATTGTGGTGTGACAGATGGGCATCTGCGGAAGCCACCACGCGAGAGGCAGGATGGCCCCTGTAAAGCCAAGGCCGATGGCCGATGCACTTGTCAATGGTGTCACACTGACAGGCGGGCTCCGAGGGAACTGTCTGGCGATGGTTGTATGGACGTTATTGACTTGTTGCCACTGCGCCCGGCATCGTCCTCCTCGTCTGCAACGCTTCGCAAGCAGAGGCAATCTGGGACGTGGATCAGGGCGCCAGCGAAGAGAGACGATGGGCCGGCCGTGGAGACGGACGCTCAGAGCGGACAGCCGAGCAAATGACGATGGATATCGCGATGGGCGCATCGGCATTTCCCAGAGACAGGCGGAAATTAATCAATGCGCCCTGGCCGTGGCGCTGGCGAGGCGTGGCAAGCGGGGGGACGCCAGATCGACTGAGTCGAGGTGGCGGCGACGAACTTGTCTTGCTTGTCTCGGGCGAGAGGGTGTGCGAGCGGGCGAGCGAGTTGTCGCCAACGGGGTCGGTCCGGCCAGGGACACAACCAAGACGAGACAGGCGAGGCCGTTCAGTGTGGGAGGGGAGGTGAGGCGTGGAGCTGCTGCACGTCACGACGATGGTCGAGACGGTCGCGATTGTCGCGACTGTCGTCTGATGTTTGACTTGGCTCCGCGGCAGGCGCGACTCTGCACCTGCCTTCTGGCCCTGCCAAGTCCCTAGGCAAGCGCGGGCAGGCACGATCCTGATTCCTGACACCCTAATAAACTTGCCAAAGGCAAGCCTGAGGCGGCACACAGGTACGTAGTTACTTCGTAGGTTGTACCCGGAAGCTGGCCGTCTCGATCTCCATCGCCAGTCTGGGAAAGAGAACGGTCGCAGCCGCAGCACGTCTCTGCTTCCTGGTCGTCAGACCTCCCCCCTCAATCCGAGCCCGAAGAAGGCCACCCATCCGATCAACCGCCGCGCCAGAGGTTCGCCTCGATGCCACGGCGCCGTCCCTGCGTCTGAAACACCAAATCTCGTCTTCCCCACGCCCACCACCGGCCTCATCAGCACGGCGGCAGCTACCCGCAAGATCCACCAGATTCTCCCGGTCTGACTGACCGAACCCAGCAGCGACGATGCAACGCCTGGACGGACTGCGGGGTATTGGGCGCCCGGATGGCTCTCTCTGCCTCGGGCCGCTCGGCCGTATGCCGCTGTCGACGACGACGCCGCCCTCGTCCGCCTTATGCACGCCTGTGACCTCGCATCGCAACGCACTCCGCAACGCACCGCAGCTCGCGCACCTGCTTCGGACAATGTCCCGTCGCAACCCCCGTTTCCCGTTAACCGAAGCATCAGTGGCTCCAGCCGCTGATGCCGCAGAGAAACCCTTGCCCAGGGCCCCATCCCCGGCCAACCGGTGGCCGGCTGGCAAGCCACTCCAAATAAACTCCCTGCCCGTCCCATCTGGCACGCTACGGGGCTCCAGAAGACGGTCGACTTGTCGACGCCTCCCCGCCAAGTGTCGACGCCCCCAAGGTCACCCCTCCACCGTCCAAGACGCTGCCGCGACGCCTGCCTTCTGCACCACGACCAACAAGCAGCCACCGGCTAACCTCGAAGTGGGCGTCTGGTCCGTGCCACCCACACGATTCATGCAGTATGCCTCGATCGGCCCATCGTCGCTGCACTTCACGGCACGGCTACCACCGCTGGGCTCACGAGACTGCTTCGCCGCGAGGGCCCTCGACTTGGCCATGCCTCTGACCACCGCCCTCTTCCCGCGCCAGTCTGGAGGTGCTCAATCGTTCGTGGCGTCGTCCTCTGCGGCGCTGCTCGACCACACGCTTCGGCCACCTCCCCATGGCAGGCAGCATCGTCAACGCAACAGAGGCAACTCGTACAGCTACCCATCTGTCCGAGCCCGCGAGTCCGCCGAGCCCAAGTACAGTTCCTCCGAGCCCCCGTCTAAGCCGTGACGAATTGCCCATCGTCGCCGTGGCGCAACGCCAGAACCAAGCCGAGGCCCTGCCGCGTTGTTCCCGCTGTGGAGACCGTCTCCGCCGCGCTGGATCTCCCAGACACCCTTCACCACCGTCGAGCTCCAGCGGGCTGACGCCCGTCATCCAAAGTCGCCGCGGTCCCTGAGTTTTCTCGTAACAGGACCTCCTCTGCAGTCTGCTTTGCCCGTTTCGGGAACCGCGCATGTTTTGCAGTGCCTTGGCGTTGACGCCTCCAACGTGGCCCGCCGGTCGATAGTTTGGCCTATGCTCCACGGCTGTCCTGCGTGTGTCGAGGAGTCGAGGACCTTGGCTTGCCGCGGCGGCCCTCCTGCGTCCCTCTCCGACACAATGGCGAATAAATTGCGGCTCCTGGGCTCCTGAACGGTGGGCAGGGGCAAGTCTCTGTGATGGTGTCGAGCTCCCAGGCCCTCGAGAGCTGCCCGCGTCAAAAGCCGACAGCCACTCCATCACCCCAACCAGGCCCGACACATGGACGTGCGCGACCCATTCACACTAGTGTCGTCGTCGAAGATCGTTGGGCCAAGTGAATATCTATGTCCAGTCTGCCGGGCCCGTCTGCACTCTGCCCCTCCCACTTGTCTGACCTCAATATCCTTCAACGCATCTTGGCGTGGTATTTCTGGTCCATCCACCGGTGTGGCGGCGCACACGCCTCTCGCATATCCGCTTTGTCGGCCTCGCTCAGGGACCGTACCGTATACGCTGCTCGACGGTCCCTCGGTTCAGCCCATATCCAGCGCCGGGTCCCGTGCGGGCCCTTATATATGCGCTCCCCAGCCCTGCCTTGAACCCCGGCTGCCACCTGCCCCTCAAAGGCGTCGCCATCATGAGAATCTGGGCACTAGTATGGTCGACGGCCCTGGTGGCCTTGCCAACAGCATGGGCCCAACTGCCATCATTGCAGGACCAGCTTGATCTGTTCCCAAAGTGCGCGGTATGTGCACTTCCACAACGATGGCCTCGAATGCCTACTGATAACCTTTAGGTATCCTGTCTCGGAGAAGTCATTGGGCAGACGTCATGCTCCATGACCAACCAGACATGCATGTGCACCGACCAGAAGCTGCAGGATGCCATGACGACCTGCGTCATGGGCAACTGCACCATCAAGGATGCCATCAGTACGTCAGGATACCCAGCTCATCAACTTGCAACGGATCACTCACATCTGCCGTCTCAGTAACCAAGAACCTCACCGCCACGGGCTGCAATGAGCCTGTACGGGACAAGACGAGCGAGTATGTGGCCATTTCCAATGCGTTTGGCACCATCTCGGCCGCCTTCGTCATCCAACGCTTCGGCTACAAGCTGTGGGCCAAGCTCGACTTTGGGCTCGACGACTGGTTCACCCTCATCACGATTGTCACTGGAGTTCCCAGCACCGTCATCAACGCTCACGGAGTAGCGCCCAACGGCATCGGTCGCGATGCGTGGACCTTGACGCTACAAAACATCACCAACTTTGGCCGCTTCTTTTATATCATGGAAATCATCTACTTTGCCGAGGTGTCGCTCCTCAAGCTCGCGATGCTCTTCTTCTACATCCGGATATTCCCCGGTGTCGGCGTTCGGCGCCTGCTCTGGGGCACCATCGCCTTTGTCTCCGTCTTTGGCATCATCTTTGTTTTCGTCGCCATCTTCCAATGCACCCCCATCAATTACTACTGGTGGAAGTGGGACGGCATCCACCGGGGGCATTGCCTCGACATCAATGCCATCGCCTGGTCAAACGCCGCCATCAGCATCGCTCTGGATATATGGATGCTCGCCATCCCGCTGTGGCAGTTGCGGAACCTCAACCTGGATTGGAGGAAAAAGGTCGGTGTCGCTCTGATGTTTGGCGTCGGTACTTTGTAAGTCCCCTACTCGAATCATGGCTTCCTGGCCACAGACTAATGGCAGGCAGCGTTACCATCGTCAGCATCCTTCGGCTCAGGTCGCTCGTCAAGTTTGGGTCCGATTCGACGAACCCGACGTGGGACTTTTTTGATGTGGGCATCTGGTCCACGGTGGAAATTAATGTCGGCATCATGTGCGCATGCATGCCGTCACTGCGGCTGCTGCTAGTACGCCTCTTCCCCAAGCTGTTGGGGACGACGCAGCGGTACTACGCCAGGTACTCCAGCAACGCACATCGAACTACGACAACGAGAAGACAGAGCAGGCCGTTTAGGACAACTGGCACCGTGTCGCACGTGGAGAGATCGCAGCACCGGCCCGAGGTCAAGTCCAACGCAATCACCATGCAGACGACGTATACGGTGGAGTACGGCGACAAGGACAATGACGAGATGCAATTAGTGTACATGCGGGATGCGGAGGGCAAAAGCACGCGGTCTGGGAGTGCCAGCGGCTCGTCCGACCCAGTATAACTACGTCTTGCTTTTCTTGGATACCCTGGTTGCGCGAGTTGCGCTGTACAATAAGGGAGTTGGGCACTGATGACCGTCATGATACCACTAGCCAGCCTATGGCATACCGATAATACAAAATGTACATCTAATCTAATTCTGTGGCATAAGCGTCGGCCTCAATAGAAGCAACTTGATGTGGGGTTGTAGGCAGCTGAGTTGTCCGGCTCATTGTTACGTTGAACGCCGGGTTCCTGACCCCCGTGACAACCCCATCCTTGCCTGCTAGGAACACGAACTCGGTGAGAGTAAAGTAGTTGTATGCCGGGCCGTCAATACCGAACCACGTCTCGCAGCTCCCATCTATGTAGAACAGCTGCGCGTCCAGCTCGTCCTTTTGCGCGTCGGTCGTTGTATCGACGATGGCCCGCCACGCCGTCTCCGCGACCACGCCAGTCCCGTTGCTGCCACCGCACTTCGCTCCCTCCGACCGGGCCGTCACGTCTGTGGGGTACAGGCGCGCGGTGATCTGGGGGCCCGGCGCAGAGGAGTTGGATCCCGCGGCGGGGGCCGGGTTGTTGAACTTGTCCATGTTGGCGAGGACATCGACGCCGCGCACAGAGAAGCCGGAGAGGGTCAGGCCCGTCCCGTCATCTTCGTTCTCGTCGCCCTTATGACTCCCGTTGTCGTTGTTGGCATTGTCGCTCATGGTGATGCTCAGAGTAGAGTTGCTCTCCTCATCTACATACCGCCCAACATACCGCAGCCTCGCCTCATCCCTCCCCGCGCGCTCCACCGCCGGGACAACCCCTCGCAGCGTCTCGCTCAGCAGCTTCGTGCGCGCGATCGAATCAGCAGAGACGGACCCGCCGGCGACGATGACGGACGCGACCAGGTCGTGGGAGGGCAGCAGGGCGAGGTGCGCGTGGTAGAGGCCCAGGTCGCCCGTCTTGGTGTACACGTCGATGATGCGGTTGCGGTTGCGGTCTCGCGAGTTACGTCCGTTGGCCCCGACGCCGCGAGAAGATGCCAGGCCGCCGGATGGTGAGAGGAGGCTGTCGGCGCGTAGGATCTCCCAGGGCGCGCCGACGGACTGGCCGGGCGAGGAGGTGTGCGATAGGGGGTGCAGCCATGCGCGGGTGAGGGGCGGGGGGAGGAGGCGCGAGGTGAGGATGGAGTGGCCGAGGCGGAGGAGGTCGCGGGTGCTGGAGAACATGCCGCCGGCGCTGGATGTTATGTCAGTACTCAGCACACTTTCAGTTCAGGTCTTGCCTTGGAGACGGAGATGATGGTCAAGGTTAGGCAAAGGGGGGACAGCACGCACGGCTCATAGACCCCAAGGGTGGCATTCCACGTCGTCTCCCCAGGCGCCACAAAGCCCATCTTGTCGAAGCACCCAACCGGGCCATCAAACGACGAGCTGTTCATGCCCGCAGGCTCAAAGATTTGCTCCTGCACGACGTCCTTGAACGTGCGCCCCGTAGCAGCCTCGATGACCAGGCCCAAGAGCGCAAACGCCGTGTTAGAGTACACAGGTGTCGCGGCGTAGGGTCTGTACACGGGCGGCCGGCGGTTCAGATCCCGAATGAGGTCTGCCTTGGTGCAGAGCTGTGCCGTGCCGGGAAAGGCGGAGCATGCTGGCCCGGTGCCGTTGACGATGGGGGGCAAGCCGAGTTGCGTCCAGGGGATAGGCAGGAGGGATATGTCGGTGGCGGCTGGGCGTGGACATTGTCAGCGGGAGTGATTACACGACGCGTGCGTGATAGGGAGGGGGGGGAGGAACGTACTGTTCGTGGAGAGGCCGGAGAGGTGGCTCGTCAGGGACCGGACGGTGACGTCCTTCCAGGGTGTGCGGACGATGCCCTCGGCGGTAGAGTTGGCCAGCTGGGGGATATACTTGAGCACACTGGCATCGAGATCAATCCTGGCCTTCTCCTGGTCGCGACTATGGCTCAGCTGCAGCGCCGCCAGCGCAGCAACGAGCTTGCTCACGCTGCCCACCCGAAATATGGTCTCGCCGTCGACGTCTCTCTCACTTCCTCCACCACCCCCTCCTTTACCTCCTCCACCACCCCCTCCTTTACCTCCTCCACCATACGACGGCCCGGCGTGAGTTTTTGGCGTGCGATAGTACGTAAAAAGCGGCGCATCCTCGTGGATGGACTGCACGGCGATGGCGACAGCACTGTCGTTGTAGTGCGCGGCGAGGGTCGCGTCGAGGAGAGACGTGAGGTTCGCGATGGAGGGGGCGAGATGCGTGGATGAGCTGGGGGATTGGGGCGCGGGGAGGATGGCGCCAAGGGGGGGACAGGAGCGGGACGAGGAGACGACCGTGGGGAAGATGGCGGAGGTGAGAGCAAGGGAGAGTGAGAGGGCTGAGGGTCGGAAGAGGAGCTGCATGGTGAGTGGGAGGTTAAGGTAGAGGCGAATTGAAGGGCGATGGGCTAAGAAATGAGGGCATCACGGAACTTGAAGCTGTTGGCTTTTATATCTTCAACACTTTTCACCTGCTTTGCACAGAGCCTCAGATCGTCATCGTCATCTCCGTGATTTATTCCTACAATTACTAAATTTGTACATGGCGGAGATGACGCATCTGCCATTCGTCGTCATCGCCGTCCTCGTCGTCGTCACGATCCGTGTATGCCGCGGCATATGAGGCCATTTTGAGCGTCAACGCGTTTGATCCCAGCTGTTTGCTTCGCACTTACACAGGCTTCACAGCGCAGGCGATGCTGCGAGTCCGAGGCGACCAATCGCCGTCAGCACTGCGCAGCGCAGAGCCCACCTGAGCGTGCATGGGAGCCCGTCCCTCTGACGGACGGTCCTCCGACAGGGGTCTTTACAGTAGGGCTGGGACGGGGGAGAGGCGGCTTTGGTGCGATGAGTGGGCTGTGTGGTGGGCGGGTGAGGATCAATGGATTGGAGCAGTCCGAGGACGAGTGCGAGGGGGCCAATGTTTTCGCATCTCTCGTTTGCGCGATGAAGCACAAGCGATGAATGGACGGAAGTCCCAAGCAATCTTTTGCAAGACGAGGTCAAGGGTGCCAACGGAGGCGGATCGATCCGGACGCAAACACGATGTTACTGGAGCGGCAATCTGGATGTCACCGTGCGGTGCGACCAACCCACGAGCTGCAAGATGAAGTGCGACACCGCTTCTTCACAGTTGGACGACGCCCTGATTCCCTGAATAACTTACGTACTTATAAAAGTGTCTGACGAACCCTCCGCTCCGGCCTCGCTCGCAGTTTTCATCACGATCCAACACGCACCCCACCATCTCACCCTCGAATCCCGAGACTCGCGACGAATCGTCATGCATACATACCGCGGGGCCAATCTCGTCGGTCCGGCATCCCCGCGGACCAGCCCGAGTATTTCCCCGGGGCCGCCACCGGTCACCGGTCGCCGGCGCCCCCGGACGTGGGACGCCCTCCCGCCCGCCAGCCGCCATGCGTCGGTGGGGGGTTTCCGAGGAGCAGCCCCCAATTCGTGTCATGCAGAATTGCAGACGGATTAACGCCTGGCGGGCCAATGTCGATGTGTCCAACTCAGCCCAGCCAGCGGCGCCGGCGCCCTCCTCCCCCCAATCTCGTGCTAGCACGGCGACAGATCAGCGAGTCTGGCAACCAAGGAACTCGTGGCTCGTGCGGGGAAGCTGTGAGACGAAGGGGGGAAAAGACACAGAGCCAACGAGCTCCGGAGCTGCGCGCCGCCGAACCGGCGCCAGTGTAAAGCTCAGTCCGTCCGACTTTATAATCTCGGCCGGCAAGCGCAACCACTGCGCTCCCTCCCTCATCATGCTCAACGACATTCGGCCACCGTGACTGTTTAAAGGTCAGCGCAGCTCTTTGAGAGAGTGTGCTTCCTGACTCTTGAGTTCCGTCTTTACTGTGGGCAGTGGGCACTAGGCACGCGAGTTAAGCTTTGTGTCGGCCCCTCCCGCCTCGCACCCGACCCCGATCTCACCAACCGACTCGGCCCATCACCGCCTCCCCGACACACCGGCCAAAGGACTCGAGACATGTCTCAAACGCTCACCGAGCCGCCGGCCTCGCATCCCGCGCCCGGCGGCGACGCATTCGAGCTCAGCCGCGTCGTATCGTCCGGCTCCCGTGCCGGCCGTGTGGTTGGATCCGCGTCCGCCGCCACCGGCGACACCAAGTCGAGCCCCGAGGCCGCCGTCGGCGAGCGTGATGCCTCCGACGATGGCGCGCCGCCTCCGGATGCATATGGGGTCGTCGAGCGGTGGAACTGGCCGCGGTCCAACGTCGCCAAGCTGGCGTTTTCGCTGGTGTCGTTTACGCTGGCGGGCATGAACGACGCCGCTGTTGGTGTGCGTACAGTCTTCCACTCTCTAATGTGCCGGGAACATCCCCTTCACTCACAAGTGTTGATGATTGACACGATGGCTGACCTCGTATATAGGCTTTGATCCCCTACGTAAGTCCATCCACTGCCTCGGCGGCATAGACTCCCTACGACATCGACGAACTGACCTCCCCCCAGCTCGAAGAATACTACAACCTCAGCTACACCGTCGTCTCGCTCATCTTCCTCACCCCCTTCGTCGGCTACTCCACCGCCGCCTTCACCAATGCCCGCATCCACGTCGCCCTCGGCCGCCGCGGCGTCGCCGTCATGGCCCCCCTCTGCCACATCATCACCTACGCCATCCTCGCCTCCCACCCACCCTACCCCGTCCTCGTCGTCGCCAACGCCATCAGCGGCTTCGGCAACGGCCTGACCGACGCCTGCTTCTGCGCCTGGGTCGGCGCCATGGACAAGGCCAACGCCATCCAGGGCTTCCTGCACGCGTCCTACTCCCTCGGCGCCCTCTTTGCGCCGCTCATCGCCACGTCCATGGTCGTCAAGGCCGAGCTGCCGTGGTACAACTTTTACTATGTCATGGTATGAGATCCATATGGGAGGAGCTCATCGGCTGTGGCCTGGTGCTGACAGTGTCACAGATCGGCATGGGGGTCGTCGAGTTTGCGGGCCTCACCATCAGCTTCTGGCGCGACACGGGCGCCGTGTATCGCGCGCAGCATGCCCAAGAGAACGACACTGGAAGCGGAGCAGGCACGCGCGATGCCATCAAGTCCAAGGTGACCTGGCTCTGCGCCCTCTTCTTCTTTGCCTACATGGGTGTTGAAGGTGAGGAGTCCTCTTCGTGGCAACTCAGACAGTTATCACTCCCTAACACATCCACAATTAGTTGGCCTCGGGGGCTGGATCGTCACCTTTATGCTGCGCGTGCGTCACGCGACGCCCTACGCGTCCGGTATCTCAGGGTCCGGCTTCTGGGCAGGCATGGCGGTCGGCCGCGCGGGCCTGGGTTTCGTGACAGAACGCTACGGCGAGCGCCTCTGCCTAACCATCTACCTGGCCGCGTGCCTCGCGCTCGAGCTGCTCTTCTGGCTGGTTCCCTCGTTCGTCGTGTCTGCCGTCGCGGCCGCCTTCCTGGGCTTCTTCCTGGGGCCCATGTTCCCCGGCGCCGTCATGGTCACGGCCAAGCTGCTGCCGAAGCGCATCCACGTGAGCGCCATCGGCTTCGCCATGGCCCTGGGCGGCACCGGAGGCACCGTGTTCCCGTTCATCATCGGCGCCATTGCGTCCAAGAAGGGCGTGGCCGTGCTGCAGCCCGTGGTGCTGGCGCTGATTGTGCTGGTTGCGGGCGTGTGGTTGAGTTTTCCGCGGATCAAGAAGAGAGATTGATGCGCGGGCTCGAGTCGAGCTGAGATTGTCCGCTTTCGGGGTGCGATACCGTATCGCGGCGATTTATAATAGAGTCGTGGTCTGCTGGTCGGGGAGGGCACCGGTCCGGCCCATGCGTGTGGTCGTATTCGAAAGGGGGTCGACCGTGGATTCGTCCAGGATGGGTAGCATTTTGCTGACGGGTGTGTGGCGTCAGCTCACGCAAAATTCGTGAAAAGATGGGACAATAGACGATCACAATGCCCTTCGTGATCGGGCTGGTGGCTCAAGTTTCGACACGCACGCATGTCGATACTGTCGCCACCACAAACGTCCGAGCATGTGAAAGACCATCCAAGTCATTCTCTGCCCATCTCTTTATGATCAGTCTTCGCAAGGCCCCTCACCCGAGACATCCTCCCGCGAGACATGACTGCCAATGTTCCCCCTCTTGCCCCCCTTCCCCCCTCCCCGCATCCCCGTCCCATGTTCATCTCACGAACGTCGGGGACCAAACCGCTCAGCTAGCCTGCTCGACATGGCCTAGTGCCCCCCGAAGTGGCTTGCGCGACGGGCCGCAGGACCCCCAATCCGTCGAACGGCAGTGCGATCGACGAGCATTCACCACCCCCGGCCTCATGGGTTGGCTGGCTGCGTGCCAGGTCTCACTCCACGGCACCGGGGCGTTCGGGGATTTTCTTTGCAACCCAGGTGCAACCCGGGAAGGAGTTCGGCAAAGCTTTTGACTCAAGTTTTGGACTGCTTCATTGAACTTGATAGGCGTGTCGCTCTGGCGGCGGCGTCCCGGTTTGTTGGACAAAAGACTGGTCTCATGACAGGATGTGATGTGACGCCCAGTGTGAATGAGACGGGGGAAACAAACCGTCGAGACAACCAGCGACCTGCCTCCCGACCTTGCCGCCGGTCGACGAGAGAACAGAGAAACCCCCGGTACGCAGACCGCGCGTGCAGTCTCGATGAGTGGTTCAGCCCATTTCCCTCCCGGCAAGCTCAGCAAGCCACTCGTGCAGGTCTTACCTGCAACGCCCGTCAGCTCCACGTCCCCCCCGGGCAACCTTTACCAAACAAGCTTCGCCCACGTCGGAGGAAAAGCTGCGAAGTACGCTTGGCCGCCGCCCCTGTCGACAAATCAGATTCTTCGCCATGAGTGAATGTCGTCGACGTGACCCTAGCCATGCTTCCCTTTTTTTTATCCGGACGGGCGGGTAGGGCACGCGCTACTGCCGGTGTTGTTGCTTTGTCGGCCGATGAGGTGGGCGGCTGCGGTCTGGTGCTTTGAGGTGTCTTATAACCAGGGCCTGGCCGGGACAGTTCACGCGACTGGGCTAGACTCGAAGCTGTGCGGTAATCTCTCGGTGCTTTCTTGCTCTTGCTTCTGGTATCTGCCCACGGGCTGGCGACGCTACGTACGGACTTGAGTTGGAGACGCCATGATCCGACAGGCCGTCCGCTGGCTCCTCGGCCACGACGAACCTCGCGATCCCGAGAAGCAGCAGGGCCAAGCGCAAGGCCAGGTCCCTCACCCGTCCGACATGTACCCCGACGGCAGCACCGCATCGCGAGACCAGCAGCAGCAGCAGCCACCTCCCAGCATGAACCGCCTCAGCGTCGTCCCCACGTCCGAAGCGGCCCTCGTCCCGCCCACAGACAAGCTCCTCGTCTTCCGGTCCCTCACGGGCATCGACACGGTCCCCACGCTCAGCACCTCCGGGCACGCCTCGCGCGCGGCTCCCAACCACGGCATCTACCCGCGCATCGTGCGCGCCGAGCGCAAAGCCAAGCGCGGCTACCGCGTCTTCAACGTCGCCATCAACGCCTGCCTCGGCATCCAGATGATTGTCGCCGCCGCGCTGACGGCCCTTGGCGCGGCCAACGGGTCGCGCGCCGCCGTGACGGGCTTTGGCGCCGTCAACACCATCATCGCGGGTCTCCTGACGTACATCAAGGGCAGCGGGCTGCCGAACCGTCTCAAGTACGTGGCGGACGAGTTCCGTGCCGTGCGCGAGTACATTGAGCAGCGCGAGCGCGAGTTCTGCCTCGCGGATTGTCCGCTTAATCCGTACGAGGAGGTGCAGATTGTGGACGACATGTACGGCGCGGCGAGGCAGAACCTCGATAGCAAGCAGGGGCAGGGCGGCGGGGGGCAGAGGGGCAGCGGCGTGGTCGCCGCGCAGCACGGGCAGACGGGAATTGCGTCGTCGGCGTCTGGGCTGGGCCACATGGTGCAGCGGTTCTCCAAGTTTACCGAGTCTTCGGCTTCCACGAAGGCGCCGCCTCAGTGCCACTGCGAGAAGCAGTCTGTCAAGGAGTAGCCGCGGTCTCTGGCATGTGTGCTGCGCCATCGGAGGGAAGAGATATTGCGATGTTGCGGAAAACGCAAGGAGGGCATTAGTTGTTGTTGAGGCATTTACACTGGGTCGCCATGATGAGGGAACAGCACAGCACCGGCAGCGCGTTGATATGTATACCGAGGAGGATGTAATGTGTCGATGAATACGAAGGAACCATGAGCGGCAGTAAAAACGTCGAGTTGAGGTGTGTTGTAGCGCCAATACCAGCGAGGTCCCGCGCACGGCAAGTGATTACTGTGCTGGGCGACGCAAGTGACGACGAAGCCTGCAATCGGCAGGTGTTTGAGAGGCCCGGACTCACCTATCTCTCACAGGTAGTTCGTTCCAGAAAGCGACTACATCATAGCACCGTTGGCATATCCGAACAACGTGCCAATGATTGTAGGTCAGCTTCAGACACCAGGCGTCAACGGTCACGGATATCGCCACTTGTATTCTTTGAGTGCATTCTTTCAGGCACGGCAGGGACCTTTTGCCTGCGCAGTCCAACCAACGGCCTTGACAATAGTCGTAACAGGCAAGTGGACACACACGCTTGGTCCGACATCGGTGGTTGTCAGCAAGGGAGCCTGCCGACCACAGAAAATGGTCAACCAATGCCAAATAGAATAGTGAGAGAACTGCAGTCGCCTATGGCTCGCGAGGGCGGAACTGGCTCTGCAAGCGGTAGCTTCCCCGACTTTTGTGTTGGAGAACCTACGTGTCATGTCTGCCCATTACTTTCCATTCCATGAGGACTGGACCTTTGTGCCACTCTCCCTTGTCCAAATACAGTACAGCAGGATTCGAACGAACATCAATCTCGCTCACATTTCTGCGCACGCGACAGATTGCGTTCCTTCCCTGCATGCTGAAGATGTCCTTAAAAAAAATCCACGTCGACCGCTTTCACGTTGCATCCCCCATTCTCCCGGAACCACCGAAAGAAGAACCGAAAACGCCAGTCCGCGTCTTCCCCACTGCCTGGTGGCTCGAGCGTCACACCGGGGTTGTTGGCCGGCAAGCACACGAGTTGGTCACAGGGGGAGCTGAGCAGCGTTGGTGATCCGATGCGTGTAACATCGGTAACGCCGCGGCTGGGTGGAATTCCGGGGGGGTTCGCTGGTGGAACATGGCATTCAAAGGACTAAATGGCACGCCAGATGTTTTCCGTGTTGCGAGGGGTCAATCGGTCATCCCCTCATCTTTCCACCCGTTTCGACTGGAGAAACTTGTGCCCAGAAATGGTCAATGGGACACTCCGTGTGTGCGCTCTGATCAATGCCTTTGAGCTCGAGCCACCACCTTAATCTGGTTCAGCTGGACGCATACCCCGTAGTAAGCAAAATACATGGGCGTCTGCACCAGTGCAACGCAGGACGTTGCATGCATTCGGAAGCTCGCACGAGCAAGTGCCCCAGGCCTAACGGTCCTTCCTAACAAGCTTCCAGAACGGGCAACGATAAAACGGGGCAGACAGTTGCCTTCGGCCCATAGATGCATATCCGGGCCCCGGAACAGACGGAGCTATTACTTCTCTGTCCCTGTCCTGCAGACCGGGCGAAGTCTGTTGGACGACGTTGGTGTGCCGAGGCGCAGGCACCAGAGCAGTTGCCACGAGAATTCGAGCAGGAACTTCTGCTCGCCAATGCCGAGTCCCTGTCATTGGGATATCGTGGGCTGAATGCATGCAAAGGGAGCCTATGCTCGGCTTGACACGGCCTCGGCCACACCGCGATGTGTCGCGGAAGCAACATCAAGCGGTGGCAAAATGTGACTGAGATGCGGCGAGGACCCCTCTCGTTAAAACGAAGACGCAGCCCAACGGGGTCGTTCGGCGAGGGATTGGACCTTCGACACCATTCCCCGAGGACGATCTCCCGCTCTGCTTGCGTCCTGGAAAACAACATCGCAGCACGATAGAGACCGTTGACAATGCACTTCAAGAGCCTAGCCATCTTTGCCGCCCAGGCGGCCGCGGTCGCCCTGCCCGACCCAGACCCCTCGCAGGTCTACGGCGCACTCCCAAAGGTCCAGCAGCGGAGCGCGAACCAGCGACGAGCGGCTTGCAACGTCGACAACGTCCTCCGGAACCTGCGCGACAAGCGCTTCAGCTCCAGCGCGAGCGACTTTTGCTCGACGTACATCCGGTCCACCGTCACGCAGACGGCGTACGCCTCTACCGAGCACCAGACAGTGACGGCCACGCCTGTTGAGACCGCCTTCGCCACGACCACCGTGTAAGGCATCAGACGAGCTTCTCTGCCAGTCGCAGGGCGGTTTTGCGCTGCGCAAGGTCGAGGCTAACACGGCGAACAGCACGCAGTTTTTGACCCCGGGCAGGCACACCACCTACGTATATACGACCAACGACGACCCGCGGTACAACTGGAAGCGCGATGCCCCGGCGTATCCCACCTGGCTGCCGGCGTCCTACGAACCCTCGCGGGTGAGCAGCGCTTGCTCCTGCTTCATCACGAGCCCAGCGGCTCCCATCCAGGAGACTGTGTCCGCCACAGGCGTCCAGACGGTGACTGATACAGTAAGACCACGTCGCCCATCTCCTTCGAGCCGCAGATTGAATGCTGAACCTCGATGTAGAATGTCGCCCCCACCGTGACGACGACCATCTTCTCCACGGTCAAGACCCAAGTCCTCACCGTCCCGACCATCACCGCCACGGTCGGCATTGAGTGTGGCCTCAGGGGCTGCACCTCCGAAGACTACGTCCTCATGTCCAGGAACGAAAACGTGTTTGAGGACTGCGTCGGCCTCTGCGCCCAATGGGGCAATTGCGTGTCGCTCCAGTGGAACGCCGTCGACAGCGTATGCAACCTCCTCAAGGAGAACGCCACGGTCGCCTACAACACGGGCACGCCCGATAATCTCGCGTACTGCCGAAACTTTCAGATATACGACTGGCAGTGCGTCCTGAAAGACAAGTTTGACGTGTAGGCTAAAAGAGAACAGGGCTGCCTTGGTGCAGTGCCATGCAGTGTCGCTGTTTCTTGGCCCATGTGCCGATCTCAGCCGGGATCTGGTCGGCATGTTGCGTACCTAGGCCAAGAGTATATAAAAATTACGCTTGGACATTATCTCTGTGATGAAATCATATTCTTACATCTGGTGATTGAGGCTGCTATCGACTGAAAATGGACACGCGCCCAGCCGACCCCAGCGCGTGATTGATCCCTGTACATGGAGATGTCCGTTGGTGTCTGGCACCTGGCATCGATGCTGCCGTCATCATGTCCACTTTGTTTCACGGCTGCTCCGGCCAGTTGAGTTGCCCTTTCAATAGTCCAGCCACTTGGTAAAATGCTTGACGGCTTCGAGTGCTCGTCAAAGGCACCAGACACCGTCTATGGCTTGTGACCCTTGAAGCCCCTTCGGTCCATACCAGCCACGTGCACTCAGAATTGATAACCCGTGTCATGGACACCGCGTGTTGGCGAGCTGCAATCCAGACTCCAGAGACCGGCCATTTAGCTGCCAGGCCCACAAGGATATGCCAACGTCTTGGCGACCGCTTTCACGGTTCCCGTCATCACAGACAGACCCGCAACCGGCTCCGTGACGCCGAACGAACCCCCACCCTGGCGATCACATCATCGCGTAAGCGCGTGTCGACGGGGCAAGCCAGGGCGAAACTGCCCACGAACAGCCATCAGACGACCCATTCGAAAACGGCCCTAAGGCGACGGCAGACCAATGTGCGCATGCTCGTCCCGGGTTTGCCTCCCGGAGCTGTCAAAAGTTCCCCGTTAGATGGGCGCCAAAGAGCCATTCCCCTCTTATCGGCGACAGACGGGCAGCCGGATGGACTTTGTTCGCCGCAATGGCCGGATTGCTTACACGAGCAATAGCCGATTTCTAACTCGGGGTCAAGCACATCATCTTGTCGACGCCTCTTCGAGGGAAACGACTGGTCATACGAGGTACGAGCAAGCCATCTGTTCAATCTGCACCGGGGCACGTGTCCAGGCGGCAGACGAAGGAGAGATATCATTGATCCATGGTGAAGCGGGGAACACTGCGCTTGCCCAGTTGGTAAGGAGCAGCCTCTGCGGCGGATGTCTCAAGCAGCAACTGCCATCTTGGCACACCAAACGGTCGATCCCGCCTGTGGCAGCCCCGTGTTATCGCTCTGGTGGCTTGCCAAGGGGGAGCGCGATTGGTGGACCTATGCACTTGGCTGTTTGCCCCAAGCGTTTCTCATGGCCAGCAGTCAAGCCCCTGCCGAGAGGCGATGACAGCTCATGCGCGGCACCAACAGAGACATGTCGAGCATCAATACTTCTTGTCGCGATCCCTAGCTGTCACCTTGGATCAACACCAAACATGAGCTCCCGTCGGTCCATTGTTCCCGTCTCGGGCGAGTCAAAAAAAACCTTAACTCTGTGCAAAGACGAACCCTGCATGGCGTGCTGGCGGCGCCTCCACCCAAACAACCATAAAAGGCACCGACAGGGGTCCCGTTGCGGGGGCTAGCCGTGCCGTGTAAGCCGAACTGCAACCTCATCGCGGCCGTGGGCCAGTGAGACGACATGACGGAGGCATGGACACATGGCTAGGCTGCCCAAGCGCGGTTGAGGAGCTGGAGCAAGCGCACGGCGGTGTTGGGGCCGGCGCCGTTTTGGATTCCAAAGTTCCAAAGTTCCAAAGGTCTCGAGGTCCAAAGCTTCCAAGTTGGATCGGATGGCAAACATGTCTCGGCCGATGGCGGGTTGCAGTGCGATACGGCGCAATGTCTGTGCTCGGAAGTTAAAAGCATCATGGGCCGCCGATCCTGTCTCTCCATTTCGACGCTGTGAAACACGCCACGAGATTCGCCCATCTCCCGGGCTTCACTCGACGCAGACTGTCATCCTCCCTGAAACGGGAGTCAGCACTCGACGGCAGACGCCATGGCCCGCGACCAGCAGCCCGACCTGGCCTCAGACGCCGTCACGGCGCAGCCCGCCGTCGTGACGCAGGACCCCGACACCCTCTCGCGCAAGGAGGAAGCCGCCGTGCTGGGCATCGATGAAAAGGCCGGCGGCGGCATCACCGCCGACGATGTCAACGCAGCCGAGCGCGCCGGTTCTGACAGCGACGGCGGCCTCAAGCACGGCGAGGACGGGCGCCCCCTGTACACGATCCGCAACCTCGACGGCGAGGAAGAGGCCGTGACCGAAGACGACGAGCGCATCCGTGACATCCCCGCGTACGTACGCCGCATCGTCAGCTTCGCGGACGACCCGACGGAGTCGACGCTCACGTTCCGCTACTTCGTCCTGACGATCCTGTTCGTGGCGCCGGGCGCGTTCCTCTCGCAGATGGCGCACTACCGCACCACGTACGCGCCCTACTCCGTCTTCTTCGTCCAGATCGCGTCCAACTACGTCGGCGTCTGGCTCGCAAAGGTGCTCCCCGCGTGGAGGGTGCGCGTCCCGTTTACGCGCTGGGGCTTCAGCCTCAACCCGGGCCCCTTTAGCACAAAGGAGCACGTCCTGGTGACCATCTCGGCGGCGTCGGGCGCCACGTATAACCTGGGCTACACGCCCATTAGCATGAGCGAGCTGTACTTTGGCGAGCCTGTGAATGGTGCAGTCGCCGTCTTCTTTATGCTGGCCATTACTTGGACGGGGTACTCGTACGCCGCGCTGGCGCGACAGTTTCTCATCTACGACCCGCACTTTCCCTGGTATGTACATGTTGCCTCGTTTCTCAGTATCACTATTCCATGTTGAGACAGTCACTGACAGACTTAGGTTCCAATCGTGAGTTCAAGCGCTGAAGTAGGGAGGGCCCCGTCAGATACAAGACTAACCCCTGAGCCCGCAGCCTCTGCCAGACCGCCCTCTTCGAGACGCAGCGCAAGCAGCGCGAGCACCCGACGCGCCTCTCGCGCAAGCAGATCAAGGTCTTCTTCGGCGTGCTCGCGGCCGTGATCCTGTGGCAGTTCCTGCCCGAGTACGCCTTCCCTATGCTCGGCTCGCTGGCGTTCCTGTGCTGGGTCGCGCCGCACAACAAGGTGGCCAACTTTGTCGGCGGCGGCTTCGGCGGCATGGGCTTCCTCAACCTCAGCCTCGACTGGTCCAGCGTCACGGCCTTTGGCAGCCTCTTCCTGACGCCGTGGTGGACGCAGGTCATCATGTTTGCCGCCTTTGTCACCAGCTGCTGGGTGCTGCTGCCGGCGGCCAAGTTTGGCGGGCTGGGCAGCTGGGACCACCAGCTCATGTCGAACCGCGTGTTTCTGAGTGCGTCTAAACTCCACCCATGCTGGCCCTATTCTACTGCTTTAGACTTCCGAGCATACCCGTAGACTGAAGTACACTCATGCTGACTTCGCTTCTGCACGAATGTAGAAAACGGCACCAGGTACCCCCTCAACGACCTCCTCACCCCGCAGATGACGCTCAACGAGACGGCCTACGCCGAGTACGGCGAGCTATACGTCGGCGCGCAGTACCTGTGGAACATGTTCTTCGACTACGCAGGCTACGCGTCGGCGCTCGTGTGGATGGGCCTCTTCGGCTACGGCCAGCTCAAGGACGCGCTGGGCAAGTTCCTCGAGCGCCAGGGCCGCGGCTCCAAGGGCGGCGACGGCAGCGGCCGGGGCCGGGCCACCAAGATTGCAGAGCAGTACCAGGACCAGCTGAGCGTGCTACAGCGCTCGTACGACGAGGTGCCGTTCTGGTGGTTCGCGGCGCTCTTCGCCGCCAGCTTCCTCATCATGGTGGTCATTACGGCCAAGAACCTGCTCTTCATCCCCGTGTGGACGTACTTTGTGGGCATCGCGACGGGTGCTATCGTGGTGGTGCCCCTGGGCTGGCTGTATGCGCTGTCCAACTTTCAGCTGGTGAGCCTTTGCCCTTTGCCCTCTGTTCCCCATTCTCCCAAGCCCTTCGTCCTTTTCATGTTTCCACTCTTGTCTTCAGTGGCAGTCCCTCGAGTATTTCAACACTGACTGACCGGGCAACTAGGCCATCGGCACCACCAACGAGCTCTGGTACGGCCTCATGGTCAACGCCGTGTCGGGCTTCAAGAACCCCTGCGGCGCATCGACGTACGGCTCCATCGCCGGCGATGCGTGGTACCGCGCGCAGCTCAACTTGCAGGACATGAAGATCGGGCACTACATGCACATCCCGCCCAAGGCCGTCTTCTTCAGCCAGGTGTTCGGCTCGCTGATCGGCATCCCCATCGACTACGCCGTCATCCGGTGGGTGCTCAACACAAAGTTCGACTACCTCGCCGGCACCATCGAGGACCCGACGCACCAGTGGACGGGCCAGGACCTGTCGCGGTCGCTCACCCTCGGCGTGCAGTACGTGCTCGTCGGGCCCAAGCGGCTCTTCCAGCAGGACCTCTTCCGCGTCGTGCCGTACGGCTTCCTCGTCGGCGCGGCGGTCCCCGTCATCATCTGGGCGCTGCACCGGCGCTTCCCCAAGGCCAAGTTCCACCTCGCCAACTCGACCATCTTCTTCAGCTGCATGTCCAACTTTTACGGCAACATCAGCACCGGCTACTTTAGCTCGTTCCTGGGCGGCTTCGTCGTCATGTTCTGGGCGTACCGCTACCGCTACGAGATGTGGGCGCGCTGGAACTACATCCTGGCCGCGGCGTTTGACGCCGGCTTCAACTTCAACATGCTGCTCATCTTCCTCTTCTTTGGCGCCGGCAAGGTGATCACCATGCCCAACTGGTGGGGGAACAATGCCGATAGTAGCGAGCGGTGCTTTGCGTTGGCGGAGTCGTGATTATGCGGTGTGCTAGTCGTCTCCTCGCGGATGGAACAGTCACAGGAGGAGCAATGGCCTTTGGAGAATAAATGCTTGAATACAGAGGATACCCTACTATCTATGAAATCATCTATGCATGCTCCTGGTGCATCAGCTCCTCGCCGTTGCCACTCTCCTTCTTGCGTCCCAGCCCCGGGTGGCCGTCGGTCGTCGTGTCGCCGCTCAGCCCGCCCTCGCTGCCGCCGTCCTCGAGATCCACGCCGGCCTGGCGGCGCAGACGGGCCATGTGCTCGGCCGAGGGCGGCTCCCAGCCGGTGCTCCGCCACGGCTTGACGCCCTCGAGGTACATGGTGTCAATCTCTTCCAGAGTACGTCCCTGGCCCTCGACGACGAAGAAATAGACGAGCAGGGCGGCGACAAAGTTGCAGCCGGCAAAGACGTAGCCGTAGCTGTAGTCGATGGCCTTGACGATGAAGGGGGTGAAGAAGCCGATGCAAAAGTTCCAGATCCAGTTGCTGGCGGTGCCGAGGGCCATGCCCTTGGCGCGGTAGCGCGAGGGGAACAGCTCAGCCTGGATGGTCCAGATCATGGGGCCCCAGGTGGTGGCGAAGCCCAGCACGAAGAGCGAGCCAAAGACGATGAGGACGATGCCCGGCGTGGGCGTGCTGGCCGGGTCGTCGACGTCGAGCACAAAGTGGCCCACCGACGCGAAGATCATGAGGCACACAAACATCCAGGCCGCGCCGCCGATGAGCGACTTGCGGCGGCCGTAGTGCTCGACGATGTACAGCCCCAGGAAGGTGGTGGCGAAGTTGATGGTGTTGAGGATGATTTGCGTGATGAAGCTGTCGATCTGCACCGACTTGAAGATGGTGGTGCCGTAGTAGAAGAAGTAGTTTGCGCCCGTCAGCTGCTGGAACATCTGCAGGGCCACGCCCAGGGCGATGCGGTACGCCATGCGCGGCGCGCGGAACATGCCCACGAACTCGGCCACGGGGCCCTGCTGGATCTTGTCCTCGGCGCGCAGCTTGCTCTCGATCTCCTCGATCTGCGTGTGGACAGCCCAGTGGTTCTCGCCCGCGCCGTACACGCGGCACAGCGTCTCGCGGGCGCGCTCGACCCGGCCGCGGCGGTAGTCGAAGCGCGGCGTCTCGGGGAAGGCCAGGATGCCGAAGCCCAGGACGAGTGTCCAGATCCATCCCAGGCCGATGACGATGCGCCAGCTGGCCGAGCTGCCGCCCTGGTGCGTGACGGTGCCGTAGTTGAAGCACGCCGCCAGGAAGATGCCCATGGTGATGAAGAGCTGGTACGCGCACACCATGGCGCCGCGGATCCAGGGGGGCGCCGTCTCGGCCTGGTACATGGGCACGAGGAGCGACAGGCCGCCGACGCCGAGGCCCGCGACGAAGCGCCCGATCATGATCTGGTACCAGGCGGAGGAGGCGGCGATCTGGATGACGAAGCCCACGGACGTGACGGCGCTCCAGAGAGAGATGCTGGCGCGGCGGCCGATCTTGTCGGCGATGGGCGCGCCGGACAGCGCGCCGAAGAGCGTGCCGATGGACAGCAGCGAGACGATGAGCCCGGAGCGCACCTCGGAAAAGTACTTGTCGCCATTGGCGTCGGTCTGGCCGAAGCGGTCGAGGAAGTCGGGCATGGCGAGGAAACCCGAGATCTGGCCCGTGTCGTAGCCGAAGCTACACGCAAACTGTCAGCACACTCACGCACAGATCTTGATCCGGTTATAATACTACGTGTAGTATATAACCTTGAGAGAGGTTGAGAGAGTAAGGGAGACGCACATCATGCCGCCCATCGACACCAGCACGCCCATGGCCAGCGACCGCCCCGTCACGCGCGGCAGCGGCGAGTAGTCGAGCCCGGCGAGCGACCCGCGCACGTCCTCGGCCCTGCGCTTCTCCGACGCCGGGTTGTGCCGGTCGAAGCGCACCGTCATGAAGTCGCCCTTCATGATGGCGGTGGTTGTGCCTCACGAGGCTGTTGTTCTGTCGTAACGATGGCCGTAGGGCAAGAGCGTGAGGTGTTCGTGTATTCGTGTGTCTCTAGTCTCTGCCTCTGCGTGAGAATAGTAACAGAGGAAGGAACTAGAGTGAGAGGTTGGGTGGGTGGTATAAGTGGTAGAGAAAGTTGTAAGTGGCAAGCCGATGGGGAGTTACACGGCTTGATCCAAGAGATGTAGTGTCGCACCGGTCCCTGTATGCGTGCCAGCTCGCTTGACGCCAGGTTCGCGTCATGGGGGGCAGCGGCAGCGCCGACGGGCTCTTATACGCAACACCCGGCCGGGGGGGACAGTATGGCACGCAGGTACACGATCACGATGACGGAGGGCGCACCCGCCGCCCACATCGACAACACCCCCCGGGGAACCGAACCGGACACGACACGAGACCACCAGCCAGCCGGCCGACCGGGGCCCCGATGCCTACTAAGCAGGAACCCTCCCATCACCAAGCATAACACCCCACGATCCATCACGCGATTTCGCTCTCTGTGCGGTTTTCCGCGGCCACGGCTAGCACGCATGGCATAGTAACTTAGTAGCCCGAAACGACGACGGCGCGACCAGACGCCACCCCAAGTTTCCGCTCCCTCATGTCACCGCAGAACACGGGGGTGCGGTGGGCAAACCACGCACAAGCACCGGGGTCTCCAGGTCTCCAGGTCTGCAAGTCTCCAGAAAAAAAACTGAAGAACCACCGTGATTCTCCAGAATCGGACCGTTTGGCCACTTTTTTTTAAACCCTCTCCCTCCGTGTCATTCCCCCCCGGGGGGGATGGGGGAGGACTGGACTGGAGAAAAGGGCCCATTGTGTTCTGTGGGTTCGTCGGTCCGGTGGTCTGGTGTGCCTGAGCAAGCAAGACGGACAATTCCCACCGTCAACGACTTGAGAGGCAAAGGTGAGCGAGCGAGGGTGAATGGCTGAATGACGTCGGAGGCCCGTGGGGCGGCGCTCTTCGATGGGACAGGGGGGGGCGGCCGAGCATGGATGGATCGAGGAAGACGGCATGGAAAACCTCCACTTGGCATCGGCACTCCCCTCCGCTTCCCCCTGCCCAGCATTTTCTTTCTCCCAGATTCGTGGACATCGCGTCCCAGAACTGTGGTCCTCTTGCATTTTACAAAACTCCCATAGGTAGGTAGGTAGGTAGCAAGGAATCCATCTCCAAAAACATGGCTGACGGACGAGGCGTCCGCTCGACACCAGAAATCAACAGCCACTCAGGCACACCAGCCCGAGACGGGTACACAAACTGGGATGAACCCAGGCCACGGCGTCTTTGGCGCCAAAGAGACTGGCAGCAGGGCGCACGGGTGGTGCGTATTGGCCACCGTCCTGGTAATGCGCCCCCCCGGCGCCTCTGCCGGCTCCCTCGGCGCCGCGGCCGGCACCCAAACGAGAGAAGAAAAAAAACGGGCGCGCCGTGTGACGTCAACGGCTGGGCCGCTCCGTGTAAGTCACCAAGTGCCGCCCGTCCATCCGCCCGCCCAGCCAGCCCCGTCCTCCCGAGTCAGCCGCATCTCTTGAGTTGGCCGTCCCCTTTGGGCCCCGGGACGTCACAGCATGAACGAATTGGGCTGTGTACTGGCGGCGAGGGAAGGGTCAGTTTGCGGAGGGCGAGTCTGGCCGCTGCCGTGCATACGGAGTAATTATCGTAATACCCTCTTGGCCCCCCCTGGCCACGATGAGGACAGTACAGTCGGTTAGATACAGTCGCTATTCAACCAGGCCAGCTTCCACCGTCCATCCATGTAGTCTGAGTATGCAATGTCCATCCATCCATCCATCCCGCCCTCTGCCGCTCTCTCACACTCGATCGCAACCCATCCCGTCCCTCCCCGGCCTCCAGCTCTCACTCACTCGCCCCCATCTCCTGACCACCTCACCTCACCAAAAACCTAACCCACGGCTGCTGCCCTTCGGCGGCCCTTCCAGAACGCGTCCTCTCACCAGGCCAGACCAGCAGCACCACCAGCCGCAACACCCGGCCACCACCCGTCTCACCCGTCCCACGGCAGCACCTTGCTAAATCTCGGACCCAATAATCCAGCACCCGTCACCCACCCATCATCCCCCGGTGGATCTGGCCCCCCGGGTGGGACTCCAGACCGAAACCCGCAACTCCACGTCCGCAGCGTGGACGGGCCGAATGCGTGCCCCAGTGACTACCCCCGTGAGGCCGTGACGCGGCCCAGCCGCAGACGTACGGGCGTACTGCCTCACTGCCTCGGTGCATGCCTGCCTGCCTGCCGTTCATCCATCCATCCACCCATCCGCCAGCCCCATGAACCTCTAACCCCCATTCTCCGCCGTAGAAACGGAATGCAACGCAACGCAATGTAATGCCTCACCCGCAATGCTTGTTCTCCCCTTTCCCCCCCCCAGTATTTCCACCTCCCTCCTCCTCATCACCTCCATGAGCCCGCCCTCCTCTCCACGGGGTACGCAGACACGAACTCTCCGCAGTCTTGGCTCCTCCTCCGTCTTTGCCGCCGACCCCATCGTTTCGTTTCGTTTTTAGGGGATAGAAAGACCTTGGTCATCATGTTGATTACGCCTCTGCTGCTACCCGCTCTATACTATAGCCTATGCAACAAAAACTGTTGTAAAAAAAACTGCAATCTCTACCCTGACCCCCCGCGCGGGCGAGGGGGCATGGCTGCCCCCCTTTGCTCGCCCGCAGCCTCCGCCGTGTCTGTCTTTTTACCTAGCCCGTCTCGCGTGTGTGAGAGTGTCTGTCGTATGTGTGTGTGTGTGTGTGTGTGTCTGTAGGTGAGTGTCGTGTGCTTGTTGTGTGTGGGTGTGTGTTTTGTGTGTATCCATGCTTCTTTTTCCCTTCTTTGCGCCAGCACGCCGTTGAACAAATCGAGTCTATGCCTCCCGCTCTATCCGTGACGCCCGCCCGTCCGCTCCGTCGTCTCCTGACATGCCACCTGACCACCTGATATTGTCTCCCTCTCACACCTCGCCCGGCGGAATCTTGCCCTCCACCATGCTCAGCGCCGCCAGGTTTACCTCGCCCAGCCGCTCCGTGCCGGCCGGCCCGCCCTCGGCGCCCGCCAGCAGCGCCACGCAGTCGATCACGTCCTCGGGCTCCAGCAGGTGCCACTTGGCCAGCGTCACCTTGGTGCTCGCCCCGACCGTCACCGTGAACACGTGGTCCGCCTTGAGCACCGGTCCCGACGCCCCGTTGAGCGCGCGGAACATGTCCTCGTCGGTAAAGTCGTCGCCCATGCACAGCGAGAACTCGACCCGCCCGGGGTTGGGGTCGTCCGCCGTGGGCTCCGCCTCCGGGTTGTGGTATGTCGCGATCAGCCGCTTCGCAATCTCGCCCTTGTTGATAAACGTCGGCCGCACCTCGATGTTGGCCTTGCCCGGCATCACCTCCACCTCCCACTTGCTGCCCACGCCCGCCTCGAGCTCCTTGTGGCACGCGCGGGACATGTGCGCGCCCAGCTCCGGGTCGGCCTGTCGGTAGTGCCACGTGAGGGCGCAGCGTTTGCGTTCAATGAATGAGCCTGTGGGGAATCGCGCGTCAGCAATATTCCTAGTCATAAAGACGACGATGGCAATAGCAAGAGCAACCACAATAACGACGATGCAAACAACAGCAACACGCTCAAAGGTCGCTCACCCTGCACCTTGTCCGTGTACTTTTGAAACACTTCCATGACCTCGGCCTGCCATCCCATGTCAAACTTTTCGGCCAAGTTGACCCATTCCTGGGAGCCCGGGTTGCGCATGAAGCTGCCGTGCTCGGCCGAGAAGCCCAGGCGCGAGATGTGACCGAGGTGGTGGCCGAGAAACTCCTGGTCGCGGCCCGAGATGATCCACACGGCGTTGCGCTCGTCGGCGGCCAGCAGCTTGAGGGCGGCGATGATGCGCTCCGAGGGGATGGCGGCGCTGGGCTCGCGCACAATGGGCGTCAGGGTGCCATCGTAGTCGAACATGAAGAGGCGCTTGCCGGCGGAGCGGTACTGAGAGAGCAGCAGGGCGCGGTCGAGCAGCGGGGTGGCGTGCGCGGAGCCTGCCTCGCCTAGGACCGTGTAGACGCGGCGGATGAACTTGTCGATCCACGACTGCACGTTGTGCGTCGTGACGTGGTGGTACAGGCGCTCCTGCATGACGCGCCGCTGGTCCTCGGGCATGGTCAGCGCCGTGTTGATCTCGCTGGCGACGCCGCTGAGGTCCCAGGGGTTGATGTGGATGGCGTCGGCGAGGCTGCCGGCGGTGCCGCTGAACTCGGAGAGGATGAGGGGTCCGTGGCCCTGCTTCTGGCACACGACGTACTCGAGGCTCGTCGTGTTCATGCCGTCTCGGACCGACGTGATGAGGCCAATGTCGGCGGCGCGCAGCAGGGCAAAGTACTCGTCCTGGCGCAGGTACTGCGGGTAGTGGTGGACGGGGGTGAAGCCCAGGCTGCCGTAGTCGCCGTTGATCTTCATGACGAGCTCGTTGACGCGGCTGCTGAGCTTGCCGTCGGTGTCGTCGGGCTCGGCGTCGGCGCTCGTGGGGGACGTGACCTGGATCAGCACGACCTTTTCGCGCCACTCGGGGAACATGTCGAGGAAGCGCTCAAAGGCCTGCAGCTTCTGGGCCACGCCGCGGGCGCTATCCAGGCGGTCGCGGCCGACAATGATCTTCTTGCCGGCGTACATCTTCTTGAGGGCCTTGAACTTTTCCTCGACCGAGTCGGCCCAGGCGGCCGTCTCGACGCGGGCGGCGTCGATGCCGATGGGGAAGACGCCGACCTGGACGCGGCTGCCGTAGGCGTCGATGCCGAGCGTGTCCGAGGGGAAGCCGAGGATGCGGGTGCAGCAGCTCAGGAAGTGGCGCGAGTAGCTGTAGGACTGGAAGCCGACGAGGTTGGCGCCGAGGACGCCCTCGAGCACCTCCTTACGGCGGGGCAGACAGCGCAGGAACTCGCTGCTGGGGAAGGGCGAGTGCAGGAAGAAGGAGATGTACATGTTGGGGACGCGCTGGCGCAGCATGCTGGGCAGCAGCATCAGGTAGTAGTCGTGGACGATGACGATGTCGCCGGGCTTGTAGACCTCGATGATCTTGTCGGCGAACTTTTGGTTCATGCGGAAGTAGTCGGCGTAGTGGACGCGCTCCTTGCGACCGTCGGTGGGCTCGTGCTGCTTGTAGTGGAAGAGGGTGTAGAGGTCGTACTGTGCGTAGCGCCGCCAGCGGGCCTGGTCGCGCAACATGATGCCGGCGCCATCAGCCGAGTCGGCCTCGTCGGCGAGCCAGACGGGCGAGGTGCGTATCGTCTTGCTGCGGGAGAGCAGGTGGTCGAGGCGCTGCTGGTGCTCGCGGGGGATCCAGAGGCCATCGACGGCTGGCGGGGTGGGCAGGCGGGTGCCGGCGTCGACGGGGACGGGGGCAGAGAGGGCGTTGAGGGACGAGGCGCCGACGGTGGTGTGTGCGGCGGGCGACTCGGGCGGAGGCGGCGAGGGCTCATAGGGGTCTTCGATCTCGCCGGTCCAGGCGACGACGTGGTGGTTCCATGGCGTCGCGTCCGACGAGAGGTAGGCGAAGGAGTCGAAGAGGGCCGACTGGCCGCGGCGGGGCTTGAGGTCCTGTGGGCGTTGGCGGTCAGTTGGCGTCTTTGTCGCCTCAGGGGCAAGAGGAGAGAGCGCGAACGGCGAGAAACTTACCCAGTCGCCGTCCTTCTTGTACGTCAGCGCATGGGGGATGTTGAAGGTGGCCGAGATGATGTTTCCGCTGAGGGCAAGTTCCGGGTTGGCGGCGCGAATCTCGGACAGAGACTGGCGGCGCGCCATTGCTCTGCGGGCGCGTGGCCGGGCGTCGTCGTCGTGGCGGCGGTGGCTCGAGCGGTGGTGATAATGATGCTTGCTGCTGGGTGCGCGTCGTTGCTGCTGGACAGCGGCGGCGGCGAGCGATGGCGGAGGAGGAGCGGGAGCGGGAGGATGAGCGGCGGCAGAGGCGGAAGCTGGTGGTGAAGCTGGGCCCGAGGGGGAGAGGGGCAGGTTGTTGCGATTGTGCTGGTGGTAGTGGCGGTGGGTGAGGGGTATGACGCTGGTGCCGTTGGCGGCGGTGGTATTGCTGCTGATGCTGCTGCTGCTGCTGCTGCTGCTGCCACCAACGCCGGCGTTCGCTGGCAGCCCGACCCGGGAAGCTGCCGGGCTAGTGATGCCACCAATAATGCTGGCGCCTGATGCTGCTGGGCCGTTGCATGTGCTCCCAGTGGTGCTGCCGGTGCTTCTGGCGCTCATCAAGCTCCCGGGACCCACCCGAGTGGGCGGCGCCCGCTGGAGGTCAAAGTAGCCCGCGCAGCTCGCCCCGCCGACAGCAATCGCACTGGAAGCATCCGCACCGCCCACGACCACGGGACGAGAGGACCGCGAGACCAACGGCGACACGACGGGCGTCGAAGCGGCCGAGCCGAAGCACGAGCAGGTGCCCTCGTCGCAGGCATTCCTCTCGTGCGGTGTCGCTGCGGCGGGCGAAACGTACGGGTCGACGTAGGTGGCCGGATGGATGCCCGGCGTCACGGCGTCCAACAGCAACATCTGACGATGCATGCGCGTGTGCATGCCGCCGCCGCCGTGCTGCTGTCCGTCGTCCGGGTGGTGCTCCTGGTCCACCCGGCCCTGCTGCAGCTGGCCCTGGCGCAAGTCCAACAGCCCTGTTCGACGGGGTGCTGTCACGGAACCTTGGGCTGCCGCTACTGGCGGCGCCGGCGGTGGTGCCAGTGGCGTGCCGACGGTGGACGCAGGTGCGGTGGCCACCGGGAACGGCTGTTGCTGCTGGTCTGGCCGGGTGTGGCCACGCGAAGACGATGGGGCCGCCGAGGGGGCGTTGAGTTTGGCCGGCGCGAGCTTGGCGGCGGCGGTGATGTCGTCGCCGTCATTTTGCGTGCGATGCTTGTCTCGATGGATGACGGGGTTGATGTCGTCGACAGGCTGTGCTGTTTGCTGGACGGCGTCGCCTCCGGGCCTTCCAATTGCGCTGGCGCTGTCGTCGTGCTGTGCAGGCCCGGCGGTGCGCCGCTGGCTCTGGCAAAGCTGCTCCTGATGGTGCTGTTGGTGGTAGAGGCCCGCACCGCCTGCCTCCGCCGGATCCCTCCGCTGACCGCCATCGCCAGCGGCCCTGACACCGCCTGTAGCTTCCCCTGCAGTAGCTCCCATGGCGCTCATCGCCAAACTGTCTTCCGTCGCTTGTAAGAATTCAACCGGGCAAGGATTAATGAGAGACAAACTCCAACTCACCTTGCCCTGCCTCCTATTATCGCGCCAGCAAACGGCTGACACGGCCTCGGTGGCCTGATGGATGGACCGGGACCCAGGCGAGGCCTTGGGGTCTAACACTGGCGCAGTCGTCCGTTACGGAGCCACCGCCAAAAGAGATGCGCTGATGTTTGTGCTGACGGCCGGCTGCAAATACTCGCGGGCCGGGACAGGGACCAGAATGAATCGGCAACTCCATTCCTCGCCCCCGTGCCGGACCGACGGTGTCGTTTTATCGTCTCCATCTCATACTATCGATCAACCATTTTCCCCCCTTTCAATCGTGATTTACGAACGCTGTCATTGTAGTGTAATAGCCAGGCGGTGCAAGGCCAACCCAGGCCCGGCCATTCCCCGGACCAAGACGTCCGGCGCCGCAAGGCACAGCACAGCCGGAGCTACACGTCCGCCACTTCTCCAACAAGCACCTTGCTTGCTTGCCTGTAATGCTGGACGCTTCAGTGGTTCGGTGGGTGCGGCGGTGGAGTCGGTAACCATGTCAAGCACGTTTCTGACCGTTGTTCTTGTCCTTGGTTCCACCTGTTCGGCACTGGGCCGCCAAGGTCACTCATTCGTGACAGGATGACAGGCCAGGGTTACAGATGGTAACGTTGACAACTGGGCGGTCTGCAGGGATGAGAGATCGCGGCCACCGACGGCCTGTTCCTGATCGGCGTGCGCCCTGGCAGCCACCATGATTGGCTTCCATTACACCTCGCTTCCAGGTCCCGTGTCTCAGGGTTGCGACAACATCTCAGAGCTTTGGGGCGCCGCCACGATGCGAAATCACGGGTTCTCGTGGTTGTCGCTTATCAGATGCATTCATTACTTGGGCGCCTTTCATGATTGCCATGAAATGCGTGACACAATACGATGTCGTCGCCAGCACGCTTCACGTCTTCATCGACCGCTTTGACAAGGCCGGCCAGTAAAACAACATCTATATTCCTGGAAACAGCGGGACAGATTTTGTGCCCCGTCGCGGCGTGCCTCTAAGCTGGCCTACAAACAGCTCCAAAGTTGCCCTTGACACGGCCCCTCGCCTCAACCGAATGAGACCGCGACCGAGCCTTGCCCCTTCCAGGTCACCACCCCCACGCGCCTACGCGCAGTAAGCGGACGTCTCTCCATAATAGACCCGGCATTTGTAGCCGCTGACGGTGCACTGTACGAATTTCCCCAACGGTCAGCATAAAATGCACACCACGCATTGAACAGCTCCAGGAGGGCCAGTGTGTCATGGTGGGTGCGTGAGTGTGCGTGTGTGTGTGTGTGTGTGTGTGTTAAAAGGCACATACCGGAGCGTCACGCCTGCAGTTCACCCATCGGTTGCTGGAGGTGAGGAAGCATCCCTTCTGGCCTACGCTGCAAAACTGTTCCCGACAATTGATGTGACCCGTTAGCAATCTGATCCTTCCGTCGCGATGGGGTTCTGTCTGGTGCGGTCGACTCACCCCAATCTCAGATGACGATTGAGCCACAACGCTAGGGACGTAAAAGCACCCCGAAGCAACGACGGCAATGGCGTGGGACAGCTTCATCTTGTCAAGGTTCAAAGATAGGAGTTGTTGGCGGATATTTTGGCTCTCTGCTAATAGGTGAATGAAGGAAATATGTCGGGTCCCCTGGGCTCGGCATGGGTCAACATATATAGGTAAGTTACTTGGAGCTGCCGGCCCATCACTGGCCACTCCGCGTCGCCAGTTCGTCACTGGTTACTCCGTGTCGCGCATGGGCGACTTTTGAGTCAGCATCATGGCCGTGCAGTCGCTTTTAGTCATTTCAAGGACCGTCAAGCGGGAACAAAAACGCAGAGTCGGCATGGAGTTGACGTTGGTGCTAGACTAACAGCTGCTCTGCACCCCTACAGCCGTGTCGGAGCAGTTCCGATGACGCGCCAGCCACGTACAGGCAGCATTTTGCCGCTCTTGGGCCCGTCCTTGTTTGCAGGCCATTACAGAAGGGAGTCTGCCGGCGCAGACAAGCGGAGGCTCCCTGGGTTCTATAAGTGGACTACGTGTACGTCGTACTTGGTGAACGACTCACCTGAGAGACGCTTCCGACTAGCCGGCACGTCTCTTCGATTTTCCTGTGCAAACGTAAGCTATTTGGGTCACGGCCCGGACAGGCAGCGCTGTGCAAGACGTGCCTCTATCCAAAACGCATCACGCGACTCAAACTGTAACGTCTTTTGCCTCGCTGGGGGTGACAGTGTACCATTGCTCAAGGCTTGGGGCTACGCGTCGTGTCAACGAGGAGAGATTCGTGAACCGTAATACTAGCCATTCCCAGAGTCGGGATACCTGCGGTGCCTAGCCTGCAGACGTGCACTGTGCTCGGTTGCCCGCTTGTGAAACGAGCCCGGATCAGGTTCCGTCCCGCGTGTTCTGCGCAACGCGGCCAGTCGCTAACGAGATGCGACACGACGATGACGATGGCTTTCGGGCCATGGCATTGAGATGGAACGACCAAGGTGAGCTGCCACGGGGAAGCTGTGAAGTCTGGTTTGCAACGATTATTTCGCCGTGGGGATATTTGAGAAAAAAGGGGCATGGCGAGGAGAGATGAGAGGAAACAAACGAGTAAAGAAGCATTACTTCTGGGCGTCGAGAGTGAGACCATTTCACGCTGGCGAGACCCGTGAATCAATCAAAGCAACGAATCCCCCATGCGTCGCCCATGCATTTTCACAGATGAAGCACCTGGCCGTGTGCCGATTGAGAGTTCACGTCAGGTTCTGACCCGAACGTTGGATATCGTGTTGGGTCCAGGGTAGTCAGACCTGAGGCGGTCCCAGGCAGCGAGCGCAATCACGTGACCGTGGAGGTTCCGTCGGCAGCCAAAGTTCGACTCGCGCCCGCCGCCGCGTCGGCTTCACCTCGCTTCATTCACCCAAGGCGTTTAAACACCCGGACATCCGCCGACAATCAGCCATCGTCGGCCTGGCCCTTCGCATCGCGACGCGCGCCGCGACTAATCCGACCGCCGCCATGTCCGCATCTCCACCGCCGCCGCCGTCGCCGTCGCAGTCGCAGTCGCAAGCCCAGCAGCACGCCACCGCCCACGCCTACGCCAGCAACGGCCTCGAGATCCTGCAGGCCGCCAGCGACGCCGCCCAGGCCATCAGCAACCTCAACAGCATCAACGGCATCGGCAACCCCCAGGCCCAGGCCCTCCAAGATGCCGCCGCCGCCGCCGCGGAGGCCGTCGCCGCCCAGCCGGCCCTGGGACACGATGTTGCCATGCAGCAGCAGCAACAGCAGCAGCAGCAGCACAATCAGCATCACCAGCCGCAGCCACAACAGCCGCCACAACAGCAGCAGCAACAACAGCTGTCGTCGCCCGGCGCCGCGATGCGCGACCCGACCGTGAACCCGAAACTCACCCGCCTCCGACGCGCCTGCGACATGTGCAGCATGCGCAAGGTCAAGTGCGATGATACCAACATCCCCTGCCGACCCTGCCGCGAGCTCGGCGTCGACTGCACCTACGAGCGCGAGACGAAGCGTCGCGGTCCCCCGAACCGCCACGCCGAGGCGGCCAAGGCGGCCAAGCGCGCCCGTCTGGAGCTCTACTCGGGTTCTCCCGTTGCCGCCGCCGCCGCTGGCCCCAGCCCCGGCCCCGGCCCCGGCCCGGGCCCGGTGACCGCCTCACCCTCGCCCCAGACGGCCGCCAAGGCCCTCGTCAACATCGCCTCCGACGCCCTGCTCGACGCCGAGGCCATCGCGCCCATGCCCGTCTTGGAGCTGCTCGTCGACGACTTCTTCACATACGTCCACCCGCTCGCCCCCTTTCCCCACGAGCCCACCTTTCGTCAGTCATTTGCCAACCGCGAGGACCGCTCGCGGCCCGAGTTTCTGGGTCTCTTAGCCAGCATGGTCGCCGCTCTCGTTGCCTCCTTTCCTCGTAGCGCAAGGGAGCATATCAAGGCGCAGCACGGCGCTCAGCTGTTTCCCAAGGCGGTCGTCATGATTGAAAAGTGTCGCGACGTTGCGCTGCTCACACGCGGTTCCAAGTGGGTGCTCAAGCAGCCCAAGACGCTCGATGATGCCGCCACCAGCTACTTCCTGGGCCTCGCCTCGGGCTACGTCCACCAGTGGAACGCGTCGCGACAATTCATGGCCGAGACGCTCACCCTCGTCCGCGAGCTGGGCTTCACCCGGCCCAAGCACCCCGGCGACGTGCCTACCTTTGGCAATGATCTCTACTCCCCCGATCCGCTGCCCTTCAACCACGTCAAGGACCAGATCGGGAAGCGCATCTTTTGGTGCCTGCTGCTCGGCGTGCGGTCTCTTTCGCAGCTCGGCGCCTCGCATCCCGATCTCGTCATCGCCCCGTCCACCCCGAGTCTGCCATACCCTGCCTATCCCGAAAACGTCGACGACATCTGCGTCCTCGCCAACGAAATCATCCACCAGGCTGAGGGCAGCGTCACCCTCCTGACTGGCTTCCGCTTCGCCATCGACATCTACACCACCATGAACGGCATCGTCAGCCTCGAGCTCGCCTACGGCATGAGCACCCTCCCCTGGCCTGACCAGCGCCTCCTCCTGCGGGACGGCCTCCTCGCCGCCAAGAGCATCGTCGACAACCTGCCGCCCGAGCTGCAGCTCGGCAATCACGCCGCCGCCGCCGTCGACGACGCCAGCTCGCTCGCCAGCCTCGATGAAGCCGGCATGCAGTACGTGCCGCCTCTGTGGCCCGAGGCCCAGCCCGCGCACGACCTCCGCAACGTCATCAAGGCGCAGCCCCTCCGCCGCCGGCAGCTCCAGTACGAGATCCAAAAGGCCAACATCTTTGTCTCGCAGCTCGCCACCCGTTTCTACTTTGTCGACATGTACTACAACCTCCGCGACGTCTACCTCCAGGAGCAGCAGCAGGAGCCCCAAGCGCAGCAGGACGAGAATCAAGAACCACCGCAGCAGCAGCAACAAGACGAGGACGGCAACACGATTGAGCCTACGTCTTCAAACGCAGCCGCTGCCGCCGCCCCATCCGGCCCGTCGGACGAGGAAAAGGCCCTCCGCGACGCCGACGACAAGGAGATCCTCGACCTCATGGCGCAGGAGCGCGAGCTCATCGTCCAGAACCTCCTCACGGTGCTTGGCTCCGTCTCGCAGCGCAGCCTCGAGCCCAACGGTGGCGCCCTCATCAATAAGATTCGGCAGGTCGCGTCCACGCTGCTCGCCGACGCGCCCGACCGCAAGGGCTCCTTTGCCGCCAAAGCCGAGGAGGCGCTCTCGCAACTCATCGACGTGCTCGTCAAGCTCGAGAGGACGGGCCCCGCGGGGGAGTCTCGGGCGGCCGACCCGAGCAACATGACGGTTGAGGATGAGGACGAGGAGCTGCGCCACTGGGCGGAGTTGCGCGACTACCAGCTGCGCTTTGCCGCCAACGGCGGGTTCGCGGATGTCCTGTAGCCACTTCAGTTGCCATCATTTTCACGTGCTGTCTGTACCACTACTTGATCCTAAAGAGGAGGCGTTTCAGGTTTCATTGAGCCTAGGTAATAGCTGAAGTGTAACAATACCCCCAAAGCAATACAAGACTAATGACCAGCCAAGCATGCTGTCCGTTCCCCCTCTGCTACCGAAGTTTTTTCCGGTCCCTGTCCGTTCATTGTTGATCCTCGTGCTTCTTGCGATACATGCCTCGCGCAGGAATGCCGTATCGAGATGCCCAGCAATAGACCCACGTAACCCAGAACGCCTCCTGCAGGAGGATGCTCCTATTCAGATATCTTTGTCAGCTGAAAGCGTGGACAACAAGCGTATACGTCCGAGGCTAGGACAGCCAGACAGAAAGAAAGAGGCGCGCACGCACCCTGTGGCGGAGGCGAGAACCCAAACCGTGCTTGGTTTATGCGGAGCCAGTGCTACAGCGCTATACGCCAACGCTGCGAGCACAAGAGCGAGCGAGAGATGCACGAAGAAGGCCATTCCTCCCTCCTTGTCCCTAAGTTGCTTGCTGATTGTCCACGCAACTACAGTGAGATAGATGCTGCTGAGGATGAACTGCCAAAGTCGACCAAATGTTAGCAAAAATACGCCGCCGTCAACGACAATTATGTGACTGGTATCCTCTCGCCCGTCGTGGCTCTTGTGCGTGCAGACATCACGAATCCTTTCGAAAATCGACATTTGACTGCCCTTGGAACACGTATCCCAATAGAAGGGGAATAGGGGCAACGCACCAGGGCTGCGATCATCCCAATTGGGAAAATCGTGTAAGGCACAGTCGGCTCATCATCCGAGTGCATTCCATTATTTGTTCTCTGAAGGGGGCTCGTCGGCTCATGATCCGGGTACATGTCATCATGCATACGCCGAGAATCTCTCATCCAGAAGTGGAAATATCGGATTGGCACCCAGAATGAGGCGACGAGGGGGAGGATCATGGCGAGGCCACGCGGCCAGACGGAGAAGCGGCAGACGGTAACGTGACACGCCGGGGGGCCTCGGCGAGGCCTTCCGGAGGCATGATCGCCTCGAGGGTAGGTGTCGTACGAGTACGTGGGCATCGGGTTCGTGGAAGTCGGGTTCGCAGAGGTGCCATCTGGAGCAGCTGGAGCAGCGCTGTCACCGGGGGCCGGTTGCTGCGTCGGCGTAGCCTTCTCCTGGGGGGAGGGTGCCAAGGGGGTGAGGAATGCCATGACCGCGAGGTGCGGTGCTGTGTAGTGACAGGGCCGTGAGTGATGGACGACGTGCGGCAAAGACAGATGGTGGTGGTCAAATGACTGTGGTGGTCAGGGGCTGGCTGGTGATGATGCTGCTAGACGATGCTGCCGATGATGATGTTGAGACGATGCTGGCGGGCGGGGAATGAAACCTGTGGATGAGAGATGGGAGACTTGAGCAGAGAAGAAACGAGAAAGAAAAGAGAGCAAAGAGCGGTGGCGGGCGAGAGAGACGACGGCCAAGTGAAGAGGGCCAGTCTCCAGAGCGACTTCCCTCTTCCACCCCCTCAGGACCTCCTGATGCAAGAACCACCACCCCCAACGCGCAGCAGCCACGCAGCTTCTTTCCCTTCCGCACGCATTAACGCCAATCAGCTACTTCCTCCACCTCGCGTCTCCTCTCGCTCCTCGTCCAGCGCCGCCAACGGCCCTTCCCTCGGGCCCCTCGCGCGAAACAGCATCACCACGCCCACGAACCACACCTCGACGTGCACGAACGCCCTCCGCAGCGCCCGCTCAAACACCTCCGCGTCGTCGTCCGCGTTGGTGAATATCCCGCGCCAATTGTACGCCGCGAGGCAGGCCCGCGCAAGCCACCCGCGCTGCGCCTCCCGTCCGCGGCCCAGGATCGTGGCCCCGACGAGAGTTGCATCGGGGGCGAGGTGCGCGCGCACAGCGTCGAGGACGAGCGTGGCCTTGGTCCCGGGTGGCAGGGGGATGCAGTGCAGGAGGTAGAAGATGCTCGCCGAGGTGAACTTGCCGCCACTGCTGCCGCCGTTGCCGTTGTTGTTGCCGCCGTTGTCGCTGTTGGAGGGGGTTGGCAGGGGCAGCGGCTTGGTCGCGTTGGCGAGCACGGCGGACACGTGCACGGGAGATGATGCCAGCTTGGCGGCGCGGAGGACCCTACGGCGCGCCGTCTCCAGGGCCGTAGGGTTGAGGTCGACAAGGGTGAGGCGCTTGCACTTTGTCGCGGAGCTGGGGTGGGAAATGACTGCGGCCGGGAAGTAGCCGGTGCCGACGCCAATGTCGAGGTGGCGCTCGCTCATGGCAGACTCGAAGAGTGGGAGGAGCACCTTGTCGGTTGAACAGCGCCAGATGTACCTGTTGGAGACGCCGAGAACCATGGCATCGTAGACGGACAGCATTATCGGGGAGTAGATGGCGCTGCCCGAGTCGCCTTGCGGCGCGGCGGCCTGTCGCTCTTCTTCGGCAGAGGCCATGGTGTAGAAAGGAGCTTTTCAGGGGCTCGCAGGGAACGAAGCTTGTCCTTGAGGAGCTTGGTAAGACAGGACGCCGAAGAGAGCCCTTTTCTAACTCGCAGCTTCAGAATGCAGAGCGGGCATCGTCGAGGGGACACCCAGGGCAGGAGCAGGAGCCGGAAACGCCCGTCCACCCCATTATATATCGCCGAAGGAGCAGGCCCAAGTCCTGTGCATCGTATGTTTCTGACCAGGTACGCGAATCGGCATTCATCCTGGCTGCAGGGGTGTCTATTTCCGGCCATGTAAGCCGAAGAATCCCACGCTGCGTTGCGCGCCAAACGTGCCACGAGCCTTGCTCCGGACCGTGGGTAGCATGGTAGCGAGCTATTGCCCGAGCATTTCCGCTCCCGCTTCTGCGCGAGGAGGGAGCGAGGGAGCAAGGGAGGGCCGGGGCCAGGGGATGGCGGATCTAGCTTAGGAAACGTGTTGGTGGTAGACGGTTAAGATCGGCGGGGGGGACGGTGGGTGGTTGTGCAGAAGCGGTGGTGGTGACTTTGTGATACCTTTGCGTGTGCCTGAGCCGTGAGACGTGCGTGTGTAGTTTGGGGGGCCGCCTCGGTCTCCGGCGAGTCTCGGAGCGGGGGCCGGTGCCCCGGAGCGGAAGCCGGTCCCGTGGTGGAGCACTCCCCCCGAAGCTTGCGGCTCTCCGGTGGTGCGGGCCGGACGAACGCCCCCGTGCCGGGAACCCCTGGATGCCACAGCACCCGGGCGGCCGTTCATTCGCTCGACCCTACTCTCCACCACCGCGTGAGTTGGCGCCGCGCGGCCGGACCTCCGCGGCATGGCGGCCATTACCAATGCCATGCCAGCTCCCTCGGCACACGTGTGGGGGACGGGAGAGACAAGGATGCGGAGTGAGGAGACGCAGTTGTCCGTGGAGCCTTTCGTCCGCCCCGGAGGCCCGGCCCCGGACATTGCGGCGATACGGCTCCCGGCATCTCAAGCCCCCCCCTTCCTCCATTATTAATGACGCTACCAAGTTCCCTTTCATACGAGCACATTTCACCATCTTAGTGCCTTTCGTGGCATGCATTCACTGATGCATATAAGCGTTAACTTTGCCCATACATGAACTACAGCAACTACTTACCTTCAACTGCCACCACCAGCTAATAAAGCTAAGCATCAAGCCCGTCATCGAGACAAATTCTTACTTCCATCTCGCAGACCAAGGGCCAAGCGCCTTTTTTGCCCCTTGCCCCTTTCCATCTCACCCAGCCCCCTCCGTCGCAACAAAAAGAGTGAATTACCCTGCCTTACCCCCCCTGCGCGACTTCCCGGGCCGTCCGTTCCCAGATCGATCATGAAGTCCATTGCCATCTTCCCCGCCTCGGGCGCCCTCGGGACAAGCACGTACACGCACCTCATCGCGCAGCTGCCGCCGCCGCCGCCGTCATCCGCCTTGGCGTCGTCCGCGTCCGCTTCGCCGCGCGTCACCCTCATCTCGCGCTTCCCGGAAAAGGTACCGCGGGAGTTGCTGAGTACCGGCGATGTAGACGAGGGTGCGGGCGGAGCAGGACCAGGAGTGGGAGGAGGAGCAGGAGCAGGACGAGAAGGAGGAAGAGCGGGTAGAGGACCCCTTGTCTGCACCCTCGCCGCCTCGTACGAGTCCCCCCCGGAGACCCTCCGCACCGCCTTCGCCGGGCACGACGTCCTCTTCCTCATCTCGTACCCGAGCCACGCCCACGCCCTGCGCACCCGCCTCCAGCTACCCGTCGTGGACGCTGCCCGCGCCGCCGGCGTACGCCACGTCTTTTACTCGTCGCTCGCCTTTGCGGGAAACAGCAGCAGCAGCAGCAGCCTATCGTCATCATCACCGTCGTCGTCGGATAAACCGGCTGGTCAAGGCCAGACTAGCAGCGGCAGCATCGGTGGCGGCAAGGGAGTCGGCGCAACGACACTGGCTGAAGTCATGCGCGCACACCTCGACACCGAGGCGTACCTCGCCCGCCTCGCGCGCGAGGACCCGTCCTTCACGTACACAGTCGTCAGGGAGGGCCTGTACTCCGAGTCGTACCCCATCTACACGGCCTTCTTCGACGTGCAGCGTCACGCCCGGATGTACGCGGGCGGCGGCGGCGGCGGTGGCGGCGGTGATGGTGACGGTGATGGGACCGCCGTGCCGAGGCATGAGATCCTCATCCCGCACGACGGCTCCGGCCCGGGCATCAGCTGGGTCAAGCGCGACGAGCTCGGGGAAGCCACGGCGCGACTCATCGCCTGGTACGCCGCCGCCGCCGCCGCCTCCGGCCAAGCACACCGCCCGTTTCCGTACGTCAACAAGACCGTTACGCTGACGGGTCCGCGCGTATACTCCCTCGCCGAGACGGCACGCGTTCTCTCGCGAGCGGCAGCGCGAGGCGGCTTCTCCTCCTCCCCCAGCAAGGACAAGGACGACGGCGACGCGTACGTTGACGAGGACAGCGTGCGCATCCGAGAGGTCAGCGTCGACGAGTACGTCGCCCAGCCACAGGTCAAGGCCGCGTTCGGAGGCGACGAGGTCCTCGCGCGCAGCTGGGCCACGGCGTGGGATGCCATCCGCGCGGGCGAGACGGCGCTCGTGGACGGCACGCTGCGGGAGGTGCTGGGCCGGGAACCCGAGGCATTCGAGGTGACGATCCGGGACATAGTTGCGGCCAGATAACTCACGCAGCATTAGGTACCTAGTTACGCTACATTAGCCAGCCGTCGCGTCGTCACGTTCGAGTTCACGTTCACGTTCACGAAGAGAGGCGGTCCCGCGCAGGTATATATATCAGTCCTTGTTGCCATGACCCCTATATCACCTCCCGTCACGAGCCTCACAAGCACCGTCCGGCACAAACTTGGCCTAGAGAATCACAAAACGCCAAACGAGCCCACCAGCGAACGCGCGCGCAGACAAACTGGCAAGGCACAATCCCTCCCGTCTTGGCTTCCAATGTCAGGGTATCAATGAAGCGTTCCCATCCGCCGCAGCTGGCTTACACGGTCGCGTCCCCCTGCCTGGGATACCCGGCGAAGCGGCGACGGCCACTCCGTCCCCGGGTATCCCCGCATGAACGACTCCTCCCGCAGCCGCCGCTCACAACGTGAGTCTTCGATATCTTCGTCTAGAGGTCGCGGGTCCCGTCTCCCTGGAGCAGGGAGCCGCGTGTGGCCCATCCATCTCACAATGACAGGCGGGGTATCTCATCACGTCATAAGTGTCCAACAGTCCCAATTCCAATACAAAAGCACGCTGGCGAAAACGCGAGGAAAGAAAGACAAAGCAAGGGCAAAGCAGCCGCCCCTCCCGATAACTCCGTCTAGCGTCCCAACAGGGAACGCGAGAGCCGATAGTGAGTGTCGTGAGTGGTGAGATGTATCTACGTCGCGATAGAGAGTAGGTGCAGTCGTCTGGCCGCGGCAGACGAACAGGTAAAATGCTGACTAGAGAATAGAAACCCGAACCAAGCATGCAAGACAAAGACAAAAGCCAGTCGTGGACGCGCTGTGTAATCAGGCCGGAAAGAGAAAAGTCGTAAAGTTCGTCATATGGTACGCCGTATGCGGATACGCCGCATTCGCCGGCGGACGATGCACGGCCGCCATGGCTGCGGATCGATTGCTCGTGGCGGCAGCCACAAGCGCTTTGAACCGTCGAAGATGATCAACGTCGGCCGAGAGACCTCGTTGTTGCAGTTACTGAGGCTGTTGCTCCCGCGTAGGTTCCTGCTCCTGGTAGGCCGTGGCAATGTATCCCTCGCTCGTGGCGACAGTCGCCAGCACGTCTAATCGCCGAAGAGGATCAGCGCTGGCGGAGCCCCCCTGCTGTTGCGGTTGCTGACGCTGCTGCTGTGGCGTGAGTTCCAGGTTCTAGTAGGCCGTGGCCGTGGATCCCTCGCTCGTGGCGACAGCCACCAACGCCTCCAATCGTCGAAGAGGGTCAGCGTTAGCCGAGCGCTCCTGCTGTTGGGGTTGCTGAGGCTGCTGCTCCCGCGCGGGAAACCCGCTGAAGCCGTTCATATTGGGGTGCACCATGCGGTCAACGTGGGCGACTCTGGGGTCCTGGGACGGGGCCGGCGGTCCGCCTTGAGGGCCCATGGGGCCGTGGTACCAGCCGTGCCGCTTATTCTCGCGCGGCGTGGCCACGGACGGGGCCGACATGGCTTGCTGGTGGAGAGACCGCCCGGCGAGATGGGGCGGGGCATGCTGCTGCCGCGAGGGAGGCACCTGGTCCTCGAAGCGAACAGTGGGCGCGCTCTGGCGCGCCTGCTCTGCCTGAGCTTGAACAGCCCGGTTCGCGTCGGACGCCCAAGCGCCGGCGCTGTCCCGGGGAGGCGTCTTGTGCCCGATGTCGAGGCGGGTGAGGCCGCGCTGCAGGCTGGCATCGTACATGTTCAGGTTTCGGCGTTCATCCACCTGCATCGGCTCCTGCGGGGGCGGGTACGTCGCGCGGTGGGAGGCATCGGGGTCGACAGCCATGGGCGAGGGGTTCCGGCGAGGCAGGGGATCGAAGGACTCGATCCCGGGAAGGCGAAGGGACGACTGCGCGTTGGACGGGTTCGCGATGGGCGGTGCGGGATTCGGGCGGACCGACTGGCTGCCGACGGCGCTGAGCTGGTTATTCTGCACGCTGTAACTGCGGCTGTCGGGGTGCCAGGTGCGTCTCCGCCACGCTTCGTCCGAGACGCTTGACGTCGAATCGCGGCGACCTGACCAGCCCGATGAGGACGCCGTGGGCGACGCGACCATGCTGCCGTTCGACGGGGCGAAGGCGCCGGGGTGTGAGCTATTGACGAGGCCAGGGCCGAACATGGGGCGCCCAGGGGCCTGCTGAGGCACTGCGCTGAACGGGTTGGCTCCCGACGGCACGCTAAGACGTCGACCGGGCGTCCTGCTTCCCGCCGAGTACATGCTATGCGACCTTGAGTGGGACGTGGTGGGTGACGCCATGCCCGAAGCCCATCGGGGGCTGCTCTGTGCCGTCGAAAAGGTCGCAGACGTTGGTGTGCTGAAGTCGCCGGGGGACGGTGGGCGATACGAGAATGTACTGTCGGCGGCGCTGCGGTAGGATTCAAGGGATAGTCTGGATCGCGGGTCTGCAGCCATTACCAATGGTGGTGGACGTCGTCGGGCGTCCGTCTGAGGGGGTCCGTAGTTCGAGCCGACAGAGCTGATGCTCGCGATGCTGGATGTAGAGAGAGACTTGGAGTGGCCACGAGGAGGACCTCCCGCGCTGCCTCCGGTGGACGCCCGAGCTCGGTTGCCGGCCTGTCTCACCCGATCGGTTCGTATTTGGCGCTGGAATCGTGACCCTGTGGCGGCGAGCGAGTCGATGGGTATGTCCTCGTTTACGTGAACCGTCTGCGCATGCTGCCGAAGGTTGTCGAGCCGCGAGAACCTTCGCGAGCAATGGCACTGAAAAGGCCGCTCGCCTGTGTGTTTTCTGTTATCGAGTCAGCAAAGGGAGAGGCCGCATGCGATGGTGGCGGCCAGGTCTCACCGAATGTGTCGTGCCAGGTGCTCGCTTCTTGTAAAACTCAGGTTGCACGGTGGAAAGTCGGTGCAGTAAAAGCGTTGCGACTTCTTCTTCTTGTTAGACTTGGTGCCGTCAGCATTGACGCTCTCGTCGTCGGATCCACCGTCGTCCTGCTGTCCCTCGCCGTCTGAGTCGTCCATGTCGACGTCCATCGACTCCCTCCTTGACGAGTTCTTGGCCGAGTGCTGAGAGTCTGCACGCTTCGGTTGGTCCGAGGGTTCAGGCATCTGCACGCCTTGCGGAAAAGGACTTGAGGGTAGCGGCCTCTGGCCGTGCGCGGCGCTGCCAAAGGTCGCTCTCGTCGGCGTCTTCGCGTCGTCAGGAGGCATGGCAGAGTGGTGATGGTGAGGAGCGGTGTTGGGTCGAGGAGTCGCCGACGTGGATGGCGTCATAGCGTCTTCGGGGATGGTCTCGGCGACGAGGTTGGGGTTGACCGGTCGGAAGGCGGCGGCCATGGCGGCCAAGATCTGCAGGCGTCGACACAACGGCAGTCGACGGCGACGCCGACCCGGGTCAGGGAAGGAAAGGGGAAGAGCGCGGCGGTGAGGCGAAACCCGCCGTTCGTGGAATCGAAGTCGTCCAAGAGCCGGCCTTTTCGGGAGTGTGTCGGCAAGGAAGGATTCGGCGGGAGTGGTGTTCGTTTAATGCGACAGCCAACCTCGCACTTGCCAGTGAGGCTGAGGATGGTGCGACGGCACAGGCAGGGAGGAGGGGCGATGAGGCGGCGCGGGGAATGGGCGGCCAGCGGTTAAGAAGGAATCCGAGACCGTTGGGTGGACCGGTGAGCTGCGCGTCTTCCGGCTCCGTCTCTGGCATGGAACGGGTGCTGTGTTCTCAACGTCGGCTGCTCGGCGGCCGATGACGATGACGAGGCAAAAGCTGTGATGCGGATCAAGTAATAGGTAAGAGGAGAGAAGAAACGGCCGGGGACCAGTCCGTGGCGGAAGTCGAGCACTGTAGCAGCAGGTCGTGGGTGTGTACGAAGCACTCCGTGTGCCAGTAGGAGGAGAGGGAAAAGGGGAGAAGGGAGGGAGGGGAGGGGATGGAGGGCAGGCCAGTGGATATGTGAGATCACGTCCTTGCTCGAGTCAAGCCATCCCAAGGTGGCGGGGCACACACACGGGCGGTTGCAGTCGAGTCGCCTTTTGATTGAAATCCATCCAGTGACAACGACGGTGGAGCTGAGCTCTTGGGCGGCGGCATCGATGGATGGAGCCCGCCGCAACCTCCTCTTACGGTACGAAGTGAGTTGCTGGGCCCAACTCTACGGCGCGGTCGGCTCGGAAGCCTAGTGTGATTTGTCGATGATGGGCGTTTGCGTCGATGGCAGCCCCGGTGCCTGCAGGAACCGCAGGCGGGTTATACGCGACGGGGCCGTGAAATGTACATGCGACGTGAGAAAGGGCCCGTCCTGCCGGGAGCTGAGTCTCGCGTGGCCATGGGGCCGGTGGACGCTCGAGTTTGCTCTCCTGCTCCCCTTCTCTCGACGCTGATGCCAGGCCCGACCATTCCACAGCTGCTTCCCCCATCTTCAGCGCCCTGCGAAGCGGTGCCTGGAGGTGTCTGTCCCCCTGCCCCCTTCGCGGCGATCACCAGCGGCTGGGGGTGTGGGCGGTGGATGACGGATGGGTGCCACGCTGCACCGGGCGGCGGCAAGGGGGTCGAGACAGCGCAGCGGCGCACGACGGGGGCTTGGGGGGCAGGCCTGGAAGGGCAGGGGCCAGCTGGGTGTGGCGATTGGCGAAAGCCCAAGGCCGTGTCTTGTGGTTGCTTTTCCCCTCGAGTCGGATGTCTCGCTGTCGTTGTGTGGAGTCCCGGATCCGGCCTGGGACGGCGCGCCGTCGTCGTTTGGACCCAACCATGATCCGCCGCCGCTGTCAACCTCCAGAGCGAAGCGGGCTAGCGAAAGGCAAACCGAAAAGCAAGATGCTGTCGCTGCTGCTGTTGCTGCTGGCTCGCTGCTGGAGAAAAGGAACAAGCTTTCGAGCTGGTTTGATTGCCCTCGCGCCCTCGCAAGCTCCCATCGAACCGCACCGCGACTAGCCTGCCTCGACGAGCCATCCATCGTCGGTAGGGACGACGTTTGGGCCAAGGCAGGAGGCTGAGAGGCCCGTCTCCACAGCCAGAAAAACAACCGAGCGCTCGTGGCGCCGTCCGAAGACGATGACAACGGTGCAAGAGTTTAGCACTTGCGATAAGTGACCGGATGCGACCGACGATGGATCCGACATTCAGCTGGCCTCGACAACCTCCGAAGAGGCCCCTTCCGCAAAACGCATGACAGGAAGCTCGAGCGCGTCCTGTCCGGGCATCAGCATCAAAATTCCACCTGCGTGCCCAAGTTCCCCGGGGCAGGCGGGCAGGCAGGCACGCGGTTGCATCGTGCCCAGCGGTCTGCCAGTTTGCCAGTCGTCAAGTTTGCCCCCGGCCAGTGGCGATACGTCAAAACCGCGAAAGGGGCGGGCCACAAGACGTAAGGTACAGGTCATCTGCGCACCTTAGCGCGGGCGGGGTCCCAGGTACAAGGCGAGCAAGACGACCCGGGCGTGCGCAATCCCATGCTCGGCATCCCATTGCCCAGCCTCTCGACGTCGAGTCCCTTGAGTCTGCCGCAGCGACACCCCTGCTTGAAGCCACCGAGATGCTGGGCAGGACAGGACAGGCCCTTTCGGCGTCCATCAGCCCGCCTCAGCAACAGCCTGGTGTCCCGCCCATACACCCTCAGGCGGACGAGGCGGGTTGGAAGGCGTCGCCGTGCTTCGGACAGTGTGCGTCGTGCCATGTTGCGCGATGGACCCGGATGGCGAACGCCGACCCCAAACTCTCCTGCTGCGCGTGAAGTGAGCGAAGCAGCTTCATCTACTGCCTTGCTGCCGCAGAAGTCCTGCGGCAACCGCCTGCGTACCACGGCACGTCACTCCGCCAGCGCTGCCACGACAACAGGCGTCCGGTGAGGGGGTTGGCGTCTGGCTCACGATTGCGACACAAGCAGACCGCAGCTCGCGCTTGCGCGTCCAGGGCCCCCTGTGCCGTGCATGCCCCTGCTCCTCTACAAAAATAGTGCTGGTAAGCCTGGTCGCAGGGACCTCTGGCTGCCCGTGTGGGGGACCAGGGGACAGCACTCATCCGTATCCCACCCGAAGCAGCCTCGATTGCAGCTTCTCATCCCTCGGGCAAGAGCGTTTCTTTCAGCACGCAACTCCGTGCTGTATGTCGCCGCTGTGAAGTTGCGACACGGTACTGTGTTCGTCGGCATGAGAAGCCACTTTATCCGACTCGCTCTGAGTGGCCAGTCCTGGCTTGGGCGCTCGAAGCTGGTGGAGCTGGTCCAGACAGCCTTCTGAGCAGATGGGAGGCAGGCAAGGCAGGCCAGGAAGTAGGGTGGGAGCAGCAACTGAGGGCCCAGAGCTGGCCCCTCTTCTGCGAAGCAGCTTCGCGCCACCGATGCCGTGCCTGGACCGATCGTGAGCCTAGCAAGGTACAGCCAGGCACTGTACGCTTCTGTAAGGTACCTCGTCCTCTGGCACTCGCCGTCAGGCGGGCTAGCGTTGAGATGCAACCCCTCACCCAGTGGTACGCCTGCTATGCCGCGTTCGGCGACCAAGGCCACGGCTGAGTTGCGACCAAAGAACTCTGTTGGCCCGGGCGCCTCCGCACCACGCCCCGTGGCTTCCGAAGGGCCTCGAGACTCCTCGTCGTGTGAATAGACCGGCAGCGTTTCGCTGTGCGGTCTCGTCTTGGTCGATTTCTTCGTGGTGGTGCGAGGTGCAGAGGCTGGCACCAGAAGCCAGTGGCTGGGCCGGACCAGGGTCGGCCATTGCCATGCAACGGTCCCCACGCCCGCCGTGCCTCCTCACTGGCATCCCGTACAACGGCGCCGGGCCCTGTTGCGTCTCGCTGGCGCGGGGTGGCCAGTCGGCAGCGTCGCTGGAGCGGCACCGACGGACGTCCGGTAAGCGATCTGCAGCGCCAAAAGATTGGCACGTCCATGGCGCCCCGCCTTCATTCTTCGACATAGGACGCACTCTATTCCATACGCTGCGGGAGGGCACCCGTGCATTGCTGCTTCAGTTGGACGGCGACAGAGTTTCGATGCAGCAGTAGGGCGACCGTGAACCCCGCCTGGCGCAGGGCAGGGTGGCTAAAATGTACAGTCGCCGGAACACTTCGCACGGTGGGCCGGCAAGGTGAGGGAGGTAATAAGGCTGAGCCCGTGAGAGCTTCGGTGGCGGCGGCGGTGGTGCAATGGAGACCTCGCGCCATGCCCCTTGGCCGCTGTCATACCTGAGGCACAGTTCTCCGGACCTACTTGGTACCTTGGGGTAGGCGTCCTGGTGAGGCGGCATGGACCGGTCATACGTCTTGACAAGATGCTCGGGCTTGTAAGTTCGGTGCCTGCCGCTTGCAGAAGGAGCCCCTTGGGCGGCGGAGTCGGAAGGCTGGAATGCGTCGGCTTGCTGGCATAAGCACGCGGCAGCTTGTCTCGGCCCCTCTGGCGTGTCAAACGGGGCGAGCTGACGATGTCTCGAAGCCGTCGCAGGCCTGTCCTGGACCGCAGAGGCGCATGCTCATCCGCTAGCATTATTAGCTAGCAAGGACGGGCCCACCGAGGAAGAGTGTGAGGCTCGCTGGCATCGAATGCGGTTCCGGGCTTGGAAGCGTCCGCGATCGAGCAGCCGGCAGGCGGAAGGGCGGAAGCTCTGTTTCCTCATCGTCGGGTCCGCCGGATGGACTCGCTTGCGCGGTGCTGCGGGAGGATTTGTGTGTGACCTCGGTTTCGGTGGCGTCAAGGCTCCAGACTGGACGATGAGTTCCAGGACAGCGGGATGGAGGGGGGAGAATGTCGTCTCGCCGCCCGCGTGTGGGTGTGGTCGGCGTGGGGTGACACAGGGGGCTTCGCTCCTCCAGCGGTGCCAGCCAGGTCGATGATGAGGACGAATCAAGGAGCCGCGACGCAGGGCGGACGCACGAGGCCAGCGCCGCCAAGGATATCGAAGCCACGCCGCAGGGCAGGGGAAGAGGGCGGAGGGCGGAAGTGCAGTGTCGGCTTCGAAATGGTGCCTGTACTTCGTACGCGCCGCGTGGAAAGGGGATGTGGTGATGCGTGAAGAGCCTCTCATTCCGTGGGTCGTCTGTCACACCCGCTGTGCTTCAGCCTTCAAATACAAGGCATGTTCGAAGTTGACGAGGTGCCTGAGGTGCCTGAGGAATCCTGGTCCTGGCCTGTTAGTGCTTGCAGGCACGGAGTGGCCGTTCCTTCCTCGTGAGATGCATCAAAAAATCCGGCCTCCCTTGCTGGGCCCCAGTCCTTCGGCAGACTGCGGCCTTCCTTGCTTCTACAAAGTCGCCTCACTCTTCCGGCATCCGCCAACCGATGCACGTCTTGTCTCGCCGTCAGCTTCCCTTCGCGACGGGCATCTCTCCAGCCTCGTGTCGCGCGGCCGCAGCGCCTGTTTCTCGATTGCTCCTCGCGCGCCCAGTGTTTCGTCATGCCGTTGCTGCGTGTACGTATGTACGCTGTGCGACAACCCGCCACGCCGCGCCCTGGTGAGCCGCGTGGTGCAGCATGCCCAGTCGGTCCGCTGGAGATCGATCCAATTCAGCATCCAACGTCCAACTCCGTCGAGGCTCGGACTTTCGGAGCCTGAGACCCTCCTCCGACTGCAAGCCCGGCATCTGAGGTCCTACGGCCGGGGAGGCGTCCGCTTACACGGCATAGCCCCCATCAGCCTTGTCCCGTTCCGCGGTGCCACAGGGCCACGAGTCCACGCACCTAGTATACGCTGAGTCTCGACAGTCGAACCCGGTGAGATGAGATCTGAGCGACCGACACGTCGACTCCTACGAAGTCGTGAGTGTCGACAGGCCTTGACCTTTGACGAGCCACTGTACGGCGTGCGTCGGTGAGCAAACTGCAAGGCACCTTTCACGTTGCACGGCGCTTTGGATCCCCCTCCACGGACAGACACGGACCCATCCAGCTCATGATGGACAGTCGTACCAGGGTGACAGCGAACTCTTCCCCTGCCTCTTTCTTCGCCACAAAGCATCCTCGCCTGATAATCCCATGTGCCGATTACGGGCCTGCGACTGACTCGGCATCAACCCAGGAAGCAGCAGCCGCCGAAACCAATCCACCCCTCGAGCGCAGCACCGGATGCGATGCTTCGACGCCTGCACGGGACGCCGGCGAGCTGACGAGCTGGCCTCTGCGTCAGAGCGACTGCAGTACTGCACTGCACAGTATAATACAGAACTCGTAAGCATTCAGGGTTGTGATCAGGAACCGAGTGTGTCAGCGAGTGAGCGCAAGGGCGCCGAGTGGCGTTTCCCTGCCGTCGGACCTTGGCAGAAACGCTTTCTTGCCACTGGGCCCGTCGGCATGAGTCGAAATGCCCCCATTGCTTGGTTGCTGCATAGAGGCGACGACGCAGGGCAACCCTACCGAGTCTTGCTTTGCCAACATCGCGTGCAAGGAACGTGCGCGGCCTGGCCGTTAGCTCCGGTCAGCAGGGTCACACAGTCGAAGGCCGACATCACCAACGGCCAGTACGAAAGTATGGCGAACGCATCGCCCCCGATGCAGCCCTTCCGCCGGACGGTTCGTACGTTCCGCGCCCGGGCCGTGTCGACTGTTTATGCCTTCACCGCCAGTTGCTTGCCGCCAGCCCGCACATCATCCACGGTGGATATCTCCCACGGCGTAGCGCCAAAGGCTGTTACAACCTTCGGCCCTTACTGTACAGAGTCGACAAGATGACTCCTGTGGTTGTTGTCGTTGGCATACGAGGTACAGTACTGGGTGCCAGCCAGTTGTCCCGCGCCCGAGGTACCGGAACAGCGGCCAACAAACATCGACAATGCGCCCACCCGAGGAAACAGAGTCGTCGCGGCTCCACGGCGCGCAGAGCGATATCGTCGGGCCGTTTCCAGAGTCGGCCATTTGTCACATGCCCGTTTGTTGCAGGCATTGCGCGCCCTGGACCGCCTGACATCCGACGGTGGACTGTCTGGTATTTCCAATGCTCCATGACGCCCGAGAGCGCAGTCGGGATTTCCCATTGTGGCTCGCCAGGGATCCCCTTGCCTGGCCACACAGAGGGGTCGTGCCCGTCCGGACCTGGATTTCGGGCTCTGACGTAGGTGTCCCTCGAGTCCCTGCGGCAGGGTCCATGCGCCCCGCCGGTGAGCGTGAGATGCGAATGGATGAGATGTGAGCGGATGGGCACTGTGCCCAGGTGGGTAATCGTCTGTGAACATGGACTTTTGCGCGAATCTCGTACGTGGGCAGAGCGGTATTTTCAGTACTCCTGTCCGTACAGCGCAGCACACCACAGTCCCGCATGAGCCGTGACGTACTCCTCACGTTACGACGGATGCCGTTGGGCCACGCCCAAATCTTTGTAACTGGTCCCTTGCATTAGCAGGGGGGGGTGCTCCATCCTGGCTGTCGGGGCGTTGACGCATTCACGATGACTTCATGACCTGTCGTTGGTGCTCTTACGAAGCAGTACCTCGTACCTGCTTTGATGAGGCTAGTGTGCGGTAGGCACGAGGACCGTTGGGCGGCGGCGGTGTGTGCCCTGCCGTGCTGCTCCGCAGTCTTTGCCAACATGATACAGTACATTGGGGCATTTGCATTGTTTATATGGGTCTGACTTGATCGCCAAAGGCCAAGCAGAGCTGAGTCGTGAAAACAACAAGCTAGAGTGCCGGGGATTTCAGCCAGAGTCTATATGCAGAAGCGACTTGCTATGTATGTCCAGAAGCGACGTTTCCCTTTCTTCCCCGTTTCAGCGATTAACAATACGAGCCCATAAAGTCGGGCATACGTCAAAATAACAACCCATGAAGATGCCGCCGGCCGTTAGCTCCAGGTGATAATGCATACGTACATAACATTCGCGTGGTGTCGGTATCCCCCAATGATATGCCAAACGACTGTCGAGGTTTTGGAAGAAAAAAAGAAGAACGCCCCAAATGCTCAATCCGGCAACCGTAGTAGTCCTCCTCTTCCTGGTCACATAGCGTCTCTGTCATGGACACGCCAAAATCCGCTGTCGTGGGGGTTTTGGAGGTCAGGGGAGAGGGGCGGGTAGGTAGTTTCATGCCGCGGCCTCCCCGTACATCGATCATGCTGCGGCCTACTATATATCCAGCATGCTGCGCACTTGCTGGGGTTGCCCCTCGATGGAGTGCGTCGTCGACGTGCTGTTTGTCCTCTGCGCGGCAACGGGGTGACCGGCGTCTGACTCCCGTCTGTCTCTCTCGCCGTCCGTGTACGGCGGCGGCGGCGGGCCGTCCTCCATGAGGTATGCGGCGCGCTGTTGGCGCTGGCGCTCTGCGTCGTTCGGGAACAGCACGCCTGCGGCGGTCTGCATGATGCGCTCTGCGTGGCGGCGCTCGTTCTTGCCCGTGTACGGGGTCGACACGGTAGGTGTGGACGTCGTGGAGATGGTCCTCGCTCCGGCGCGGTCGATGCGCGGGTTGTTGGCGAGGTCGTCGTCCATTCTGTCGAGCTCGATTCCGCCGTCGTCGTTGACGGCGGCGCCTTGGGCTTCCAGGCGTGCGTACCGCTCCATGTCGTCTTCTGCTCTGCGGCCGGAGCCGCGCTCGCCGCCAACCTCGTTGACGTTGCGCATAATCTTGTCGCGCAGTGAGTGGAGATGGTCGCCGCGGACGCGCCGCCACCAGGCGGGGCGCTTGACGATGCCGAGCTCGCGGTTGATCATCTCGCCGCGCTCGCGGCGTTGGCGGATGAGCTCCTTGTCCTCGTTGGGGTTGATGTAACCGAACAGCACCTGGATGTAAACGATGAGAACCGAGGGTCCGTAGCCCCATGCGAACTGCACCGGCACGACACCGCCGATACGGATGAGCGAGTACTTCCACTCAAAGGAGATGAAGATCTGGTAGGCGACGAGGGCGGCCGTGAGCGGGATGATGAGCCAGAAGCGCAGCGGCACGGCCTGCAGCAGGCCGCGGGTGCGGTTAACAAGGCCGCGGTTGCGCGGCTTGTAGTGCTTGATGGAGTGGCGGAGCGAGAACAGGATGGTGAGCCAGGCGATGACGAGGCAGAAGGCGCCAGCCTTGAAGCGCGCGCCGGTGGCTGAGGGTATGGCATACTCTGCCGTCTGGGCTACGGATCGCTGGTACTTGGCAAAGTTCCAGCTGCGGGGGACGACAAGGAAGAAGTTCTAACCAAATTGTGAGCAATTGAAGTGACACCACGTCGGATAGGGTGGGAGTTCATGGCATACCATCCAGACCCAAAAGTAAAACCACAGCGGGATGAAAAACTCAATCTGCCATCTACGGTCGCCGTCGCGGTACACAAACGGATTCGGATCGACATATTGCCGTTCAAGCCAGCTACCCCAATGCCTCACTGCTTCCCAGGTCAAGCACAAGGTGCCTTGGCAGAGGAGGAACCAGAAGAAGACATTGACGATGATGGGCAGGTCGGGCAGGTAGTAGCGGTCGACGTCGATATTGGTGAAGAGGCTGACGAGGGCGCAGGCGCAGGTGAAGAGGGCCCAGTACCACTGCCAGCGGCGGCCGATGGGGTAGAAGCGGCGCTCCTTGGGCAGGTAGAGGGCGCCGTGCTTGGCGAGGACGGTGATGGTCAAGACGAGGCCGAATCCATAGGCGACGGCGAAGGCAATGCCTGTGTAGCCGCGGGTGCCGATGTTCTCGATGGCGCTGTAGCACGAGGTGGCGTTGACAAAGCTGCCGTTCTGGCGCAGCAGCTTGGGCTCGTAGGGTTCGAAGACGAGCCAGCAGTTTGACTCGTTGGAGAGGGTGCGGTTCTCGTAGAGGGTGTAGTTCCAGTGCTTGAGGGTGGTGAGGTTGAAGTGGACGCCGCCGAGGACGGTGTCGGTGTCGTTGTCGCCGCCGGGATAGGCGAGCAGGTCGCGGGCGTCGAAGACGTCGAACTTGATGCCCATGGTGAACGGCGGTGCGGTGCGGCCACGCAGAGCGGGCGCGTGCGTGCTTTGCGTGTGTGCGTGTGTGTGAGGCGGTTAGGAGAGGATGCCCCTCGAAGGGGTAGCGAAGCGAAGCGAAGCCGGCTGGTCGAGGTGGCCGGTTCGGAGCGTCGAGGTGAAGCGAAGTGCCGGGGCTGGGGCGCGGGCGCGGGCGCTATGATCAACAATCGATAATGACGACGCTGTGAAACTGACTGCTGGAGACCGCTCTCAGATGCTCCCCGGACGCATTGTTGGCGACACAATGCAGCGACGACGACGACGAGGCGGCACGGCGAGGACAGGAACAGCAACAGGAACAGGAAAAGGAAGACGAAGGGGAGAAAAGCTTGTAGGATGCGCCAGGCCGTAGACGGACGCGACGAAGGGACGGATTGGATGGATGGGATTGGAACGGAAGACACGGCGTTGAGCGGATAGGCCATCGCCCGAGCCTGCCGCGGCCGTTGGCATGTCGCGGACGTGTGTCTGCGACCGTTTGAGCACTGTGACTGTTGTGGTGCGCAGCCCCAGTTGATACAGTGCAGGCATGGCCGCCCGCACCCCGCCACGACTTCTCGAACGCGCCCCAATAAAATTCTGGGGGGCCCCCGGGGCCACCACCACCCCGGGCAGACACACTGGCAGCCCTGCCTGCACTGCATCATCGCGCGCCCCGACGTCTGCGGCAATTTTCCAGTGGAGGTTGGCGGGAGGCATTAACAGCCCCGGCGGCGGCCAGCAGCGGCACGTTAGACTCCCTTGGGCAAGCGTTTGACACCACCGGGATCGGCCCCGGGACCGCCGACAGCACCACAGCGACGACGGCAACTGCAGGTGTGGGGGCCCGCCGCCGACAACGACTCAATGGTGCCGACTGCCATTGGTGGTGGTGGTGTTGGTGGTGGCGCTCACGGGGTGGGCGACTCGCGTTTGTCGGTCTTGACACTTTGCGACGCCTGCGATCCACTGTCGAGCCACGCACACGACTCGACTCGACTCGACGCGAGACCTCGGCAGCCTGACCTGCGCGCACCGCGACACGCCCGATTGCGGACCTGGGCAAAAGGACGGACGTGCTCGAGCTCGTCAATCGCAATCGCACCAGTATCGGAGGACGGGTGTGGCAGCTGTCCACTCTGTTCCTCGGGAGTCTCCTCCTTGGAGCAAGCTCTCTGGATATACCCCCCGATATTCCTCCCGACCGATTGAAGCTCGTCTGTCGCCATGGCCAACGAGGCAAACCCCGACGAGCCGTCTTACGTCGACTACGAGACCTTCCTGTCCCCCGACTTCAGCTCCGCCGCCTTCGCCAACTCCCTCGTCGTCGCCACAAACAACCCCAACGACACGCCCCTCGACCTCTCCACGCCGCTCTCGCGCGTGCTCTTCGACGCCCAAGAGGTCGACTCCCACATCGACCTCCTCACCACCCGCTCCGCCGTGCCCCTGCTGCAGCACACGCAAACCCAGACCGCCGCAAGCAAGCACATCATCGCCGAGCTCGACACCCAGATCAAGAGCCTCAACGACAGCTACAGGCAGCTCGAGAAGGAGGTCATCGACAAGCATGCCGAGGCCGACGAGGTCCGCCAGGTTGCCCTCCGCCTCTGGGAGACGCTGCGCCTCGGCCGCTCCGTCGGACGCTGCCTGCAGCTCGGCCGGCAGCTGCAGCTGCAGCACTCGGAGCTTAGCGGCGGGCCGGGATCCCGCGAGGACCTCGGTGCGCTCGTCAGATGCTCATACACGATTCTCTCTCTACGGGAGGTCCTCGACGCCAAGGCGCCTGGCGAGGAGGGCCACGGGCTGAACCGCGTCGACGCCATCCGCGCGCTGCAAGACAGCGTCATCACTCCGATAGAACGATCTGTCCGGGAGACGGCAGACCGTGTCGTCCGTGAGTTCTCTGTCATCGGCAACACGACATTTGCGCAGGGCGAGGAGGCCAGGGCCAAGATGGAGCCTGCTATGGCGGCGCTCTATCTTTTGTCGCCAACATTGGGCGTCAAGCCGGACCGCTGGACACCAAGACTACTGCTCGAGGCTCTGGAACGGTACATGCGCTCAGCGCTGCAGACCAGCATCACGACCCTGTCGCGCTCGCTGGGACAGCTGCCATCGCTTGACCGTGCGCTGGCAGAGGTCACGTCCAAGTGCCAGAGCATCGTCGGCCTCGAGGTCGTGCTCGAGTCGACCAAGCCACCTGTCCACCCGCTCCTCCCGACGGCCAGCGCGAGCGCGCAGAAGCAGACTACGACAGGCGGCAATCTCCTCCAGCCATTGCTGTCGCACCTCGAGACGGGCTCGCTCGCGTCGTACTTTTGGCGCACCATGGCCGGCAGCCTGGCGACGCGCGTGCAGGACATTGTCAGCCGCGGGGGCGTTGTCGCGCGCACGCTCAAGACGAACAAGGGCAACGTCAGCGACGCGATCCGGCTGGCCGTCGTCAGGGGCTGTCAGCCGCCCGGCGCACTGTCTGCGGGCAAGGGCAAGGGGAAGACGGGCGAGGCGAACTGGGACCGCGAGGTGGCCGTCATGGTGGGCAGCGTGGTCAACAACCTGGGCCGGTAGCAGTAGTACATGAGGGCCGCCAGGACAAATGGCCATTGCAAAAAACAAAACCTTTCCAGCGCGTTTCGCTTCCTGTTATCGTGGACGGTTTGGCGTGAGTGAGATGGCGTGTTGGACCTTGGAGCCTCTGTGCATTTCGGACAGCCCTGAGCGATTGGCGCCGGATGCTGGGTCGGCTGTTCGGCAGTGGCTGGGGGCCGCCCCAGCGCTCCACTCCACCGGCTGACGCCTCCAGGAGCGCCGTCGGTCCCCTGAGCTCCCTCGGGCCCCAGCCCCGCTTCCCCTGTGACGTCGGCGCCCGCCAGGGATCGCGGGGCATATTCATCCAGCAGTGTATGTTCTCAGCCGAGCTGTACAGGACCGTCAGCCCCTCCCTTCGACACCTCATCACTCTCTCCTGCTTTTCAATTATCTCAAACGCTCGCTCTCCAGCTGTTTTCACTTATAATACCTTCTTCGCCTGCCTGCTCTTCCCCCGCAGCGTCCATCCACGCACCCCGGTTCGCCCACCATGGCTCCCAACCAAGGCCTCGTCCACCCCAAAGAGTACGACATCAAAGACTCCAACGTCGAGCTCATCGGCAGCGACATCGACCACCGCGTCAAGCACAAGTCGGCCGCTTCCGAGCCCGCGTGGAACGACGGCCGCGTCGGCACCAGTCCGGGCCTGCGCGTCTGGCGCATCGAGGACTTCCAGGTAGTGCCCTGGCCGGAGAAGCGCTACGGCGAGTTCTACGACGGCGACAGCTACATCGTCCTGCACTCGTATAAAGTAGGCAGCAGCGACAGCGGCAAGCTCGGCCACGACATCTTCTTCTGGCTCGGCGCGCACACGACCCAGGACGAGGCCGGCACCGCGGCGTACAAGACGGTCGAGCTGGACGAGTTCCTGCACGGGGCGGCGACGCAGCACCGCGAGGTGCAGAGCGCGCCGTCGGACGAGTTCCTGGCGCTGTTCCCGCGCGTGTCGATTCGCAAGGGCGGCGTGCGCTCCGGGTTCCGCCACGTGGAGGAGGAGGCGCCAAAGGAGCCGATCCGGACGCTGCTGCGCGTGTTCCGGCCCGGCACGGGGCCCAGTGTCGTGGTGCACGAGGTTCCTACCAGCTGGGAGAGCCTCGACGACGGGGACGTCTTCGTGCTGGACACGGGGGACAAGATCTGGGTGTGGCAGGGGAAAGGGTGCAGCCCAATGGAGAAGGCCAAGGCCGCGCAGGTTGTGCACGACATGACGCTCGCCAAGCACGTCGACGTCGAGGTCGTGGCGCAGGCCGAGTCTCGCTCGCGCCGCGTCGTCGCCCTACTCGGCGGCACGGACGAGACGCCCATGAGCGGGTTCAAGCAGTCGCGCCCCGTCGCCTCTGCCGGCGCCCGCTCCGCCTCCTCCGAGGCCAGCACCGCCCGGCCGAGAAGGCTGTTCCGCCTCAGCGACGCATCAGGCCAGCTGTCGTTCGACCTTGTCAAAGACGGTGGCCGCATCTCGGCGACGGACCTGGACGGCGACGACGTGTTCCTGTTTGACGACGCAGGCCGCGCGCTGTGGGTGTGGGAGGGCAGCGGCGCGAGCCGCGAGGAGAAGGCGAGGTGGCTGGCTGTTGCGCAGGCGTACATCCGGCATGTGCGCGACGAGGTGCATGACGCGCACCTGGTGCCGCTGGCCAAGGTGTCGCAGGGGAGCGAGAGCCGGGCATTTATGAAGGCGATTGAGGCGAACTAGGTAGGTAGGTAGGTAGGCTGCCAGGATGAAAAGGGGATGCAGGGGGGCGACAGAGAGTCGCCTCTGCTCTGCCCTAGCCGAATGATGCTTTGAATAGCGGAACATTGGGCATCGTTCAATGCGGGCATTGTTTATATCAAAGCTCTAATGAGTCTACAAATGACAAACAGTTGAGAACGTCCCTTTGCGCCCACTCTGCTCATCTAACTCGCTCCAACGGCAGCATATCAACCCAGGAAAGCACCCGTCTCCCGCTCACACCACTCCACGAACCTCCCTGCGACGCCCGTCCCGCCCCCATCCTCCGTCTTCATCGCAGCACGCACATTCTCCGGCAGGGCGCCGAACCGGCCCCAGGGGATGACAAAGGCGCCGTTCCGCTCGGGCGTGACCTCGGGGGACAGTAGGCCGAAGAGCTCGCTGTAGGCGCCATACTCGGGGCCTTTGAAGAGCATTCCCTACATGCATTTAGAGTCAGCAAATCTCTGCGCTCAGAAAGGATGTGACCAGAAGGGATGAGGGGAAGGGGGGCAGGGCGTACCATGGCGGCGGATACGGGCGCGGGCATGTGTCGCTGCAGCTCCGTCTTGATGAACCCCGGGTTTACGGCCTGTTATTGCACCCTTGGGTCAGCATATCAAGTCACGGAATCGCCTTGTACTCGGGTTGAAGCCGAGAGGGAGACTCACCACGGATAATACCCCCTTACTGCCAAGCCGCCTCGCCGTGTCCTGCGCCAGAAACACATTGCCCACTTTGCTCATCATGTAGTTCTCCATCTGGCTCTTCAGCACGCGCGGCTCCGTCCTTTCCTCATCCCACGCGATGACACCCTTGGGCAGGCCAATTTGCAGCGTGCTCGCCAGCCACACCACGCGCACACTCCGACTCCCACTCCCCTCCGTCACAGAACCTCCAACTTCACTCGCAGTTCCCGTAACATCACCGGCAGCTGCTGCTGTACGTATGAGCAAGTCCTCCAAACACCTCAGTAGCAGATAACCCCCAAGACAATTCGTCGCCATCTGCAACTCATGCCCCTGCGCCCCCTTACTCCCCTCAGCAGGCACCATCACCCCCGCGTTAAGCACCAGCCCATCGAGTCTCTCTTCACGCTCAACAACGCTGCGTGCAGCGGGGGCTACTGTGGATAGGTCAGACAGGTCCAGTGGCAGGGCCTCGAGGCGGCCGCGGGAGTCCGGGCATGCGGCACGCAAGGATGAGATGGCGGCGGTGATGTTGGAGGGGCTGCGCGCGGCGAGGTAGACGGTTGCGTGGCAGGCGTAGAGCATCTGCGCGAGGGAAAGACCGACGCCCGAGGTTGCGCCTGTGATGAGATAGACGCGGGGAGAGAGGGAAGGGGGGAGAGAGGTGGGCGTGAAGGTGGGTGACGGGGGGCAGAACTGCGTGAGAGTGGACATGTTGGCTGGTACAGGATGTTCAGAAAACGTAATTCGGTAAAGGTAGTTTAGCTAAGGCTTTGGTTTGTACGGATCTGTTCGTGTATGGTTCTGCAGCGATCATTGTCGAGTCTACGTCTTATACTTCCTACATGGCCAACATGCCAGCTAATGGTGGTTCTCAGCCACGATAAGAGTCGTATACATGGCCTGCCTTGCCTGGGCTCGGCCTCGGTGCGCACCTGAATGCCGCTCGCCAACCCCAGATCCAGTTCCCGCGAGACACGCGGTTCTTCGGCATGGTGTTTTGAGGAGTGCCGGGGTGGGTTCACAGCTGTGTCGGCACACGGACGGTGGTGGGTCTGTCGGCTTTACAGCGCTGGCGGCTGCTCCGTAAACCCGAGAGGGTCCACAACTCCCCGGCCGGCGACCCGGGGTGTACTCCGGCATGCCAATGAGATGTGCCTCAGCCACGGCATTGCAGATCCATTGATGACTGCACTTCCTAAAGTTGAGATTGACGTACGCGTCACAGAGCTTTGCCCACCGCCAGCTGGCGTCTCCCGTTCCGTTGCGGAATTCGCAACACTCTCCACGGGAATCCCAACCCCGGCCGTCAACGCCCACGACTCCACGACCAGAATACCAACCCTCCCGCGACTCCGTAACCCCTGACCCCCTACCGACCTACTCCGTCTTGACGTCCACATCCTCGTCAGGCGACTCCCACGCCGCGTCGTCAGGCACGTCCACGACGGCCGACTTGGCCCAAATGTGCTTCGCGCCCTCCAGCCGCAGGCCCTTGACGCAGCCCGCCTTGACAGTGACGTTGGGCTTTGGTGAGCCATCCGGGCGCAGCGGGAGGTGCAAGATGCGGACGCCGCAGTTCTTGCAAAAGTAGCACTCGAGCGTCGTGCCCTTGTCCGAAGTGCGCTTCCAGACGCCCAGCTTGGCCGCCTGCGCGGGCGGCGGCGGCCACATCCCCGCGGCAGGGTAGATGGCTGACGCGCCAAAGGCCGACGACGACTGCTTGCGGCACTCGGTGCAGTGGCAGAAGTATAGGGCGAGCGGCTCCGGGCGCGAGACGGGGAAGGAGATGGCGCCGCATTGGCAGTGCACGATGGGGTTGCTGCTGTTGCTGGGCTGCGGGGACGCCGTGTCGTCGGCCGCCATGTTGGCTGAGGGGTGTTGCGTTGTGCCTGCGCGGCAGGGCGTGTAAGTGAGAGTGAGGCTTGCGATGAAGCGCGGAATGTGTCTTGGACGGTGTGAAGACGCTTTGCTGCTGTGCAGACCTCCTGGAGGTGTGATTCGCGTCGTGGTTTTGGTTACGTGCGTGCTTGACTGATTCACGCCAGGTCACGGTTTGATGAGGCTCCAGCCGCATGTCAATTCATTGGCGTGAAAGGCGCACCCGCCCGCCGCCGACGATGCTGGATAGGGAAGCGTTAGTGACATCATCACATCTGCGAGCATGACTTGCAACCGCGCACAGATACCAGAGCAGGCATATAGAGCTCGCTCGCAAATCCCTTCAATAAATCTGAGCTAACGATTAGCAACTCTGAAATACATCCCATATCGCGGCGCATTCCCGCAGTCATCGAAGCAGCGGCGTCTCGGGACAACTGCCGGCTACCCTGCACCATGCGCAGATGGAGAGAACAAGACCCACAAAATTTCTTAGCAGCGTGGCGGCAGCAGCTCGAGGTCCCTGGCGGTGACGCACCGAGACAGCAGGGACGCGCAACAATGCGTTCACATGCCGTACGCTGACCCTTCGTGTCGTGCCACGCCCAACAACACGTCGACGCAACGCCGTCTCCTCTCCCCTCGACAACGACCCGCGATATCCTTTGTCGGCGCCATGGACGGCACGATCCCCGTCAGCATCGATTCGCGGTCGATACGATCGTCGCGCCCCGTCTCCTACCTCACCCGCGCGGGCATCGCCGCGTCGTACCCTCTGCGCGGCATTTGGTACTTTCTTCGCAACAAGGAGTTCTGGCCGCTGTTTATGGGACGGCTGCTGCCGCTGTCGCTCATCTCGTTCCTCGTGTACCTCGTGCTCTTCACCTTTGCCTTCCTGCCGCAGTATGCCTTTCTCGCCATCTGGCAGGGCTGGGGCGCCTGGGTGAACGCCCTGGTCTTGACTCTGGGCGAGGGCCTCGTCATTATACAGGGCCTGTTTGAGGGCTTCTTTGTGGACGAGTGCCGCGTCGATGTGTTCGATGTAAGTGACTCTGGAGCATCGTCGGCGAGTGCGAGAGAAAACTGACAGTTGCTGCGCAGGCCACCTTCCTCAAGCTCGGCCTGAGGGACCTCGTCGCGCCCAGCCGCATCCTCTTCGACGATGCGCCCGACGCGGTCAAGAGCCTCGGCAAGCCGACGTCCCCGGCCATATACACGCCTTGGAGCATCATCCAAATCGTTGAGCTCATCGTATTCCTCCCTCTCAACCTAGTGCCCATCGTCGGCACGCCCGCCTTCATCATCATCACCGGCACGCGGCTCGGCAAGCTGTCGCATTATCGGTGGTTCCAGCTGCGCGGGCTGTCCAAACAGGATCAGAAGCGCGAGATTAGGAGCCTCACCTGGGACTACATCTTCTTCGGCACCGTCGCCATGATCTTGGAGCTGATCCCGGTGCTGTCCTTCCTTTTCCTCCTGACTACGACGGCGGGGTCCGCCATGTGGGCGGCGCGCATGGAGGACGAGAGGCACCGCGGCCGCAGGCCTGCGGTTGACTCGCACTTTGTCGACAACGAGCGGCCATCCCAGCCGCCTCCAGAGTACTCTGACAACGCTGCTTGAGCAACGACTCTCACAATGTGAGGAAACGAATTATGAATCATGACATTCCCAACGATCCATTGGCCACGAGCTGTTCTGTACTTGCCGCGCAGCCCATTCATTGCACACCCAGCGTCGCCGTGCTTTTTGCAGGTGCCGTGGGCCTGGCACGTTGCGTACGCTCCGCCACATCCCGAGAGAGTGGCCTCCCCCTTTGGCCGGTCGGCGAGCTTGGTCTTGCCGAGCTCGGTTTTGTTCAGCACGTTGTAGGGAAGGCACGTTTGCTGAACATGGTCTTTTCAGTCGATTGACGTGTACGGCGGGTGCGTCACCTCACGCCATTACTGCTGCTGCCTTGAGCCGGAGGAAGGAGGTGGTCGTTGTCGCGCACTGTTTGAAGCAAGTCAGCCCTCCGCCCACCGGCTCAACACCACTGGCATGAACTCTCGTGTGTGCAGCTGTGGCAGACACTGCCATCACGACGACGGGACGCGAGCTGATGCTCGGAAATCCAATGAATTTCCACTCAGACTTCCTTAGAATACTACCGCTGTCTCTTAGTATCACACCATTGGGCTCGCTCTCGTTACGTGGCGCCGTGCTGCACAGTGTCGTTCCCGCACGTTGCCGTCGAAGCGAGGAAGGAGCTCCTTCCCTTGTTCTCCTATCCATCGCCACGGCAGACTCGCCCCCCAGCATCGACGGCAGGAGCTCCTGCCTCTTTCCACAACGAAGATGGCTGCACGCACCTTCTTCCTACCCATGGCAGCCTTCCCTTGCCCACGCTGCCCGCATCCTCCAAAACTCTCCCTCATCCCCAACTCTGACTCTCGTTTCTCTCCCGTCACTCGTTTTGCAATCATCGTATTGGCATCCCCTGTTCTCACTTCTTGATCGTTTCTCGCTGTCAGTCTTCAGAGTCGCGAATCACATCAGTCTCGTTCCCATCGCAGCGCCTTCAGCTGACGCTCGTCCCGATGCGTGCCATCACGTCTTTCGGGGCCTTGATGGCCAGCAGCCTCGTTCATCGAGTGGCTGCTCAAGCTCCGGCCTACGAGTAAGTTCCTCCTCTCTCATGGTGCTCACATTGCTGACCCGCGCCTTCAGATCTTCCGACGGCAGCTCAGGTGCAGACCCTTACGACAAGCCTGGTGACTCGTCCCCTGCGGGAGGCAACACTGTCGGTGCTGGCGGCATCCCTGGCGGCTTGCCCGGTGGCCCAACCTGTGTCATGGAGGCCACTACCACCGTCTTCGTCACTGTGTACCCAACCAGCCCCATTGTCACCGTGGGAGGCTCTCCTGACGGTTCTGGATCGGATCAGACTCTGCACGGCACCACAAACCCCACGCGGACCATTCAAGTTTCTCCCATCAATTCTGCCCAAGCCACGGAACTTGCCCCCTCTCCTTTCACTACCATCACCATTGACGTCTCTGGGGGTGGCCCCGGCTCCGATGGTAACTCTGGACCTGTCACTGGCTCCCCTTCTGGTTCCTCTGGTCAAGACGGGTCCTCCCCGTCCGGCGCGCAATCCAATGACTCTCCTGCCAGCTACTACGGTGGCTCTGGCTCTCCCGGGCCCAATTCAGCGACTGCCACTGCTGGTCCCGCCGGTCCAGATGCCACCGCCGGTCCCATCACGGACACAGCCAACGCTCCACATGGCGGCTCTCCTTGGTACACCGTCGTCACCGACAGCAGCGTGCAATGGGTCACTGGCTCCGACGGTCCCAAGCCCGTCACCATTCTGTCAGAGCACACTCTCACTATCGGCGGTATCTCCACAAACGTTCCAGACAATGGCAACTCTCTGACATGCATCACGACGATCGGTCCCGATGGACGTCCGACGATCGTTGAGTGGCCAGTTGGTGACACTCAAGGTGCCAACGGAGGACAGCCAATCTCTACCGCTGCTGGCGTCACCGTTGATATCAATGGTAATCCTCTTCCCCAAGGCGCTTCTACCGTCATCCACCCTTCCACCCCTGTTGTCACTGGGATGGACAGCCAAGGCGCGCCTCCCGTGGGTGGTCCTCCCATGTCTACTGCCTGCACCACGTACACAGTCCTCGGCACAGACGGCATTCCTACTGTTGTTCATTCTTCTTGGCTCATCCCTCAGAATGCTCCCCCTACCGCTGCGTCCGGTGCCCTGCCCACCGCTGGCCCAGCTCCTGCGCAGATTGGTAACTTACCCAATGGTGACGCGGTCACAACTTGCACCACCTACACAATGCTGGGCGCGGACGGCAAACCTACTGTGGTTGAATCCACCTTGGTCCTCCCGGGCGCCCAGAGCACTCAGGCAGGAGTTCCCGGCGCTCTTTCCAGTGGCATTCCCGGCTCCCCAGGTCCCGTCATCTCTGGCGGCGCTGGCAGCCAACCTGCCATCACCACGTGCACTACATACACTGTGCTCGGAGCTGACGGTCGCCCTACCATCGTGGACACAACGTACCTTGTCCCTGGACCTGTCGCTACGCCGGTTGTCAGCAATGTCGGCGGAGGAGTCGTCACCGGCGCCCCGGGTCAGCCCAGTGGTTCTCCCGGGCAGCCGCTGCCCGGCAACGCCGGTCAACCTGGGATCACGGCATGCCTCACGTATACTACCATCGGCCCTGATGGACGCCCCACCATTGTCGAGTCCACCGTGGTCATGCCTGCCAGTGATGCAGTTCCAACGGCAAGCGGCCTGGGCCTTCCATCAGCCGTCCCTCCACAGCAATCTGGACTACCCCAGGGGATCTCTGCCACTGCTGGTAATCTCATCACCACGGCTGTGACCGTCGATGTCCTGGGCCCCAATGGAGTTGCCACGCCTGTTGTCGAGACCATTGTGCTGACGCCTCCCACGAATGGAGTATCTGTGCTTCCCACTGTCACATCGCTCGGGTTTCCCTCCATCGCTCCCGACCAGATGCCGACAAACCTTCCCCAAGGCATCCCTCCCTTCACACCAGGCAATGCGGTCACTACTTGCGTTACGGTTGACATCGTTGGTCCCAATGGTGTGGCCACGCCCGTTGTCCAGACGATTGTCTTGACACCCATCGCTCCTGGCTCAGGCAACCCCACCGCAGGTCCCATTGTGAACACAGCTGGACTACCTCTTCCATCCTCTGGCCAAGTCCCAGGATTGAGTACCGCCGCGTCTGGTGTTCCCCCGCTTGATGCGTATGGTTCGGAGCAGCCCAACCTGCAGACAGTCTTTCCTCCCTCCGCTGCGGTCTCTGGAGTTGATGGCTTGCCTACAGGCATTACTCCTGGCTCGGGCAATACTGTCTACACAGTCGTCACTGGTTCCAACGGAATTCCCGTGTTGTCACCCGTCACTGGACTCCCCCTCCCTTCGTACGGAAGCTCTGAACAAGCTGGTGCGGTTCCCGGAAACAATGGGGCCCCTGTAGGTGTCCCTACTGGAGCTGGCCAAGTCCCCAACGGGTATGGATGGGGTGAGTCGCAGGCTGGTGCCGCCTATGGCCCGCTCTCCTTCGGTGCTGCTGCGACGGCCCTGCAGACCGCCACCTGGACCAACGTCATTCCGGAGCAGACCACAACGTACACAATCAATTTCCCTTTCACGACGCTGGTCACTGTCGCAGTGCCCGAAAAGCATGCGCTGAAGCGCCAAGTGAGGTTGGTGTGACCAAACCTCCCTCTGATGACCTTTGCTGACCATGGCACAGGCCGTCGCCGTCACCACTCATTACTGCATGGGCAAACTCTACGACCTCATCTCTGCCGGGCCCTTCCACACCGGTCCCTACGACATCCTCTGTGCCTGATCATGGGAGTTCGCAGATGTGCCCGTCCGGGGGCAAGATTGGGAACACCACTGTCGATGTGAGTTGGCATCTGATCGTCAAGCCCTGGCACTTTGCTGACGTTCGGATAGTTTGACGACATCAAGCCCGGCCCGTTGTTCAATCCCTCAGGTGACATCTGGTTCTCCGAAGGGTTCCTTGTTGCCCCCCCTTCAACCCCCGTGTCTCAATCCTTTGCCCCTGCGTCTGGCGGCCAACTCGTCGAGTTTGTGCCTGCTTCTCTTTCTGGCTCTCCTACCTCTCATGGCGCCGATGTTGCGGAGATTGGCGTTGGCCCCAATTCCGCGAACCCCTGCTTCCGTTTCGACTTCCTCGGTGCTAGTCTCGGCTGCGCGGCGCAGGGCAACGAAAAGTGGTGCGAGTTTGACATCTCGGCCTACACCTTCAACGAGGGCTCTTTCAGTGAGCAGTCCATTGCGTGGTCTGAGACGAAGCGCGTTCCGGCTTGCCCTACGTTCCCCAGCAGCAGCTGTGCTCTGACCCCTGTCGAGTTCGAAGGCTACAGAAACATCACTTCTGTCTTGATCAGTCTCCATGTCGGCTTGGACTTGCGTGCCTGGTGGGGCGACGACTTCAAGTTTGGATGGAGCGACAACAGCTGCGAGGCTGCCAGCTGCCGTGAGCGTGCTCTTCCTCACCGCGTCAAGCGTGAGGCTGTTGAGACGGCCATTCGACATGGCGTGTGGCACTGGACGCCTGCAGGTCTTCAGCGCCTTGACGATGAGTACATCTGGGAGTCGGCGTCCTGAGTGATGGTTCTCTGGCGGACGATCTGAGCTGCTTTGGTGGATTTGCTCTGTTGACTGATTTGACTTCATTTTTGGACGCAGCATAATGGTGGGCGCTGCAAATCGTGTAATGTTAGTGAAGCTAGCCCGTGTGCATGACTTAGGGCGGCAATGCAGTGTGTGGTCAACATGAAGCCGTGTCTGCGATGCTTGTCAGTTGTCCAATGTCTTGCGCCAGTCAGGCTGTCCAGCATGAGTGACCACGGCCTGATGTCCTCGCGGCGTCATGGTCGTGTCGCCGAGGCGCCCTGCTTGACCGACGTGAGGCCGACATCGGGAATCACGACACACGGCACGCAACGGCAATGGCCAGTCGTGAAAAGAATAAGCTGTATTGACTATCTTAGGGTGCGATCTAATGATACTCCACCACGACCAACTGCCCACGGGGCAACGGCTCAAATGCCCAAGGGGTAACGCCGGCGATCATCGTCGAGGCCAAAGGCGCCAAGCGCCCGAGAGAGGCCGTCGAGCTCGCACCCCTTGTCCCACGGCCCGCAGGCGGCGTCTTCGCACTTGGTCTCCCGGTCCGAAGGCACCTCACCGGTGTCGAGATAGCGGGAGACGATGCCCTTGGTGCAGGGGCTGTCGGCGGTGGCGAGGGCGCAGTGACCGAGGGCGTCCTGGACGACGATGCGGGAGCCTGAGTGGGCTTTCGCCATCCTGCGGGCAGACTCGAGGGGCGTGACGGGGTCGAGGCGGTTCGAGAGGAAGAGGATGGGGGCCGCGGGCTTCCCTTTGACGGGCTGGCCGGCGGGCGTCGGTTTGGGTGACCCGAAGGGTCCCTTCCAGGGGAAGTTTGTGTCGAAGGGCCAGGCAGAGCACGAGAAGCGGATCGTGGACCAGTAGGCGCCCATGATTTTAGACTTCTCGACCTGCTTCTTGACGTAGCCGCGCCACCAGTCCGCGTCATGGGACGTGACATTGTCGCCGTCGGCGCAGAGGACCGAGGAGCTACCCTCGGGGCGATCGATGGCGAGGGCCTGGGGCGACGAGGGGTCCGTGTCGTTGAAAGCGCAGGCATCGCGGAGACGAGGAATGGAGGATATGCCGGCTGCCAAGGCGGCAAAGCTAGTCGTATTCCCCGTCATGAGCCCGTTGAGCGCGGAAGCGAAAGATCGGAACTGCTGGATCGGCTTGTAGATGACGTTGGATATGACGAGCCGGAGGTCGTGCGAGGTGATAACCGCCATGCTCCGGCCAGCGGACAAGGGCACGACGAGCGGCTGGTTATCAAGCTTGCCCTCAAGTTCCTCGAAGCGTTTGCGGATGGATCTCCAGGACGAATCGTCGGGACGGGCGAGGGCGCAGACAGAAGGGCCAGCCTCATGGCAGCCTCTGAAAAAGGACTCGACGAGCTTGTCGGCATCGACCGTGCTCGTGAGCCATCCCTAGTTCACAATCACATGAGCAGGGTCGTCATCAAGTTGACTGGAGTAGGAGGACTCACGTCGCCCCTGGCATAGTCATCGGCATCGCACACGCCATCAAGGACGAGGCGGCCAATACGTCCGGGGTAGAGGGAGGCAAAGTAGTTGCCGAGAAGCGTGCCGTAGGAGAAGCCAATGTACTGCAGGCGAGGGACGTCATCAGCGCCATGTCGCTTCTTGAGCTCGAGGCGATGCTCATCGCTCGTGGCGCGCTGCTCGACCTCACGCTTGTGCAGCTCGTCAACCTTGTCCACCATCTCCACCATGTCGCGTGCCACGCTTGGGGTACCCATGTACGCCATGATCTGGCCGCCATTCAGCCCCCCATCCTCCGCGTGTTTGCAACGAGCACCGAAGGCGTCTTGTAAGCCCAGCTGAAAGGGCACAGCGGCGCCTTCCGAGCTGAGAGCGCCGCTGCCACGCACCTGCAGCAGCATAGCATCACGGGCGAGGGCGTCGCCAGGGAGGCAGTCGGCGCGTGGCCAGCTGTTGGCCATGCCGCGGGGATCAAACGAGATGATGTCGTAGTGCTTCTTGCCGGGAATCGTCACGATGCTTTGCAGGCGCCTGCCGAAGGATTGGATAAAGCTGACACCGGAGCCGCCAGGCCCGCCGGGGTTGGTGAAGATGGGACCACCGTAGGTGTCGTGGTCGGGCGGTACGTCCGCAGGGAGCTTGATGATGGCCAGGGCGACGGTGCGAGGGTCCGATCGGTCAATCCAATCCAGTGGTAGGACAAGGCGGGCGCATTGGAAGCCGGGGTAGCAGGCGTGGTAGCTGAGGTTGCTGGACGGGGTGATGGACGACCAGTCGAAAGACGCACGCTCACGGGGGGATGGATGTTGAGTCGAATCACGGCCGCTCACCCCTGAATCAGGGACTGTGACGGCCGAGGAGAGGGTGAGGCCGGCGAGGCCACCCAGGACGAGGGTGTGGCGCATGGTGATGAGGGGAGCGAGCCGGTACAGATGCTGATGCAGAGACTACGTCTGCGAGAGAGAGCTGGGAAAGGAAGGTGCAGAGTATGCAGACGGTGGTGCTGATGGCGATGCTGGTGCTGCTGATGCTGCTGATGCTGCTGATGCTTCGAGTTGCTGATGATGCTTGAAGCTGCTGATGCTCTCGAAGTTGATGATGACGGGGATGATGGATGAATGAACTGATGGATGCGTATGAACAAGGAGTCAAGATGGCCGGGATGCAGCTCGAGCTCGTTTAAATGCGTCGACGCGCGTCGAGTGCTGCTGCTGCTGCTGCTCCTGCTGCGACAGTGGCAGCAGCAAGAGAAGGACCGGCGGCCTGCCGCTTAGGCGAGATGCTGGACAGCGGGCAGCTGCGAGCAAAGGCGTCGCGGGTGACTGGTGAGTGTTTGAAGGCAATGGCGATGATGAACTGGGCGAGTAAGGCAGCCGCCAGCCGTCGTGGTCGGCAGGTGAAGCTGCGGGAGCGAGTTGCAGGTGGGGGGTTGGTGGCTGACGGCTTCCTGGCACAAGCGCGTCTCGCCCGGCACAGGTACCCGCTGAGTTGGCGGGCAACCCGCCTCCCTCCACCGGACTAGGAAGGTCTAGGTCGCTGTGGCCTGGCATCTGGGATCGCAGTCGCATCGCGGGGCGAGACACGCCGGTGGGCAGCACGTCGCACCGAGGTCATCGCCTCGAGCGGTCGGGAGCCACGACGACGATGGCGTTGGAGTTAAAACTTGGAAGCCAAGAGTGCCCCAGCCCAACTTCACAACGACCTCTTTTCGGACGAGTGGGCTTGCTTGACTGGCCCGCCTAAGCCCCAGTGACTCCGGCCCCGTTCCGGGAGACCCACAGAGGCTCCGGGCCGCCTCCGGGAGCTGGGGCAATCGGGACGGCCGGATCGGTTGAGCCGTGTCTGGTGCGCGCGCGCTCAGTCCATGGCACTCTGCACTCACTCCCTTCTCCCATGCTCCGACGGGACCGGGTGAGCGAGTGCGAAACCTCCCTACCATTTGTGCCCCGACCGTTGCTGCCCGCACGTGCGCTCACATTGGGCAAACGTCCGGCCGTGCCCGATCACCGCCAAATGTGCACGGGGAGCCATCCGTCAAGTCGGCTCGTGCGGCCTCAGCGGTTGCCAAACGTGATTGAATCCCACCAACCATTCTGACCAACGCGCGCCAAAGCAGTCCATAGACTCCATACGGGCGCAAGCATAGTCGGCCGCCGGCTTGTCTCGTGCGACGGGTCGCCCGTCAGAAAGACGAGTAGTGTGGAATACGACCCGTTTTAGCTCCACCAGAAGAGCGCATCCTGCTCATTGCTCGTGGCTTTGGCGATGGGGTCCGTGTATGACCTGAGCCCCGGTCAAGGCCACCCGGAGGCGAGTGCGAAGTCGGAAGTGGTCCGGCTCGAGAGGCGAGGGCAGAGCCACTTCGTCATGGCGGTATTCGGACGGCAGTTGGATGGCGCCCCCGTCAGCATTGCACCTACCAAAAAATCGTTGTTGCTGCTCCTGTCGGTGGGCGCCTTGCTGCGACTATGGTGAGTGACATGGCCGGATCGAACGGCTCGGGAAACTGACATATCACCACGAGGAGGTTTTCTGAACCCAAGGGACGAGAGCTATCATTGACGAGCAGCTCACCCTGTGGCGTTTCCAAAGTTGGAACGCGAGTAAGAAATAGTTTTACAAGGGCTATTGTTGCCAAAATAAAACTGAAGTTTGGACGACGTAAACTCGTTACAAGCCAACGTCACATTGCCGAGAGGACGGAAGGGGCAAGGACCAAGACACAAGTATAAATAAGGGGTAGCGCAGTCGCGGGCCCGCCTCTCGAAATTCGGTCCTCATAAGTAAAACACTTTACTTGCAAACAGTACAGCAAAACCAGAACCATGCCTGCCCTTAGCATCCGTCAAGCCGTTGTGGCCGTCGTGGTCAGCCTCTTGGCGACGTCGGTCGTCGCCACGCCGCCCGCCGCCCTTGAGCGAAGGTTGAACTGTTGCCTCCGCACCGAGTGCCCCAGCGAATGTGGCAGCCACGTAGGTCTCTCCTTTGGATATCCGTACATGTATCCGACAACGAACTGCGCTGACTCCATGAAAGTGCTGGCTCTGCTAGGCGTCCTCATCAATTATTACGAAAAAGGCTTTGTGGCTCACTTAATGGACTGCAAAGTTAGACGGGATACACTCGCTGGATTCGTATACAAGTACTCATAGAGCCATTAATGCCCAAGCAACGCACACTCCCCTTTCCAGTCCCGCTCATGCTGAAGCCTTGACCTTTGCCTTGTGGTCCTCCTTGATGAGGTCCGCCGCCATCTCCGCGACGGCATACACGACGCTCTGGATGTTGCCCACCGGCACGAGCGGGAAGACACTGGCGTCCACAACACGCAGCCCCTTGGTGCCGTAGACACGCAGCCGCGTGTCCACCACGCCACCCTTGTCACGCGGCCTCATCGAGCAGCTGCCCGACGGGTGGTAGCAGCTGACCTGCCCACGGCGAACAACCTCCTTGGCGTCGTCGAGGCTCTCCGCGCGCATCTCGGGGATGCGCGCACCATCTGGCTTCAGAAGATCCGCGAAGCCGCCCGTCCGCGCGATCAGCATCTCGGCAAACTGGGCGTGGCGCGCCGAAATCTCCAGGTCCAGCGGGTTGCTGTTGAAGCCGGCGTCCCAGGCGGGCTTCTCGTGGACGTCGCCGCTCGTGATGTGCACGCTGCCGCGCGAGAAGGGGTGGTTGAGGAAGGACAGCACCGAGATGTAGTTCTCTGGCCGCGACGGGTGCAGGTACTCGGCCATGCTGCTGGGCTCTGCCATGGTGGTGTTGCCCTGGCCCCCGAGGAGAAGGTACTCGACCATGGGCTCGTCCGAGTTCTCGAGCAGGTCGCGCAGCAGCGGGCCATCGCCCGAGGTAGCGTGCTGCGCGTGCTCCGCGAAGAGCGCCTTCTTGGCGTCGGCGGAGGCCAGGCCCGAGCCGTCTGCGAGGGGCGCGTAGGCGACGCTGATGTTGCTCTCGCCGAGGGGCCCGGCTTGCGACTCCTGGTACATGGCGACGAGGGCGTTGAGGACGTTGGGGTCGCGCACGACGTCGGTCGAGGGCACGTCGGGCTTGACCTCGAACGACTGGCAGGTGAGGGGGTGGTCTTGCAGGTTCTCGCCCACCGACGGGTGGTCGATGACGACGGGGATGTCGAACTTGTCGAGCAGGGCCTTGGATCCGACGCCGGAGAGCTCGAGGAGCTGAGGCGTGTGAAACGCGCCGGCGGAGAGGATGACTTCGCTGCCGCTGATGGTCCGCACGGTTCCGTCAGACGCCAATGTCTCGATGCCCGTGGCGATAGGCTCCTCCGCGCTGGTGTCGAAGACGATGCGCTTGACGACCGTCTTGGTCAGCACCTTGAGGTTCGGCCGGGCCGCGACCTCGGGCGTGTAGTAGGCCGTGGCGGCGTAGCTTCTCGTCTTGGTCGCCGGGTCGATGCTCGCGGGCTGCTGGAACGCCCCGAGCGCCTCTTCACTGCGCGCGTCGACCTTCATCTCGAGGCCCAGCTTGCCAAACGTATCCATCCACGCCGTGTTGACGGGCCCGTAGCCGACACCAAAGGAGACCTGCACCGGGCCCTCGCCGACGAGCGACTCGTCGTGGTACGTCAGGCCGACGGCGTCACGCGCAGCCTGCGGCGGGCCGTGTACGGTCGCGAACTTGCGGAAGTATGGCGCCAGGGTGTCGTAGTCCCAGCCCGGGTTGCCGACGGCTTTCCAGGCGTCGAGGCTGCGGCGCGACGGGTAGAGCAGCATCATGAAGTTGAGAGCAGAGGAGCCGCCGAGCTGTTTGCCGCGAGGCGTGTTGACGCGGCGGTTGTTCAATCCGGCCTGCCAGCCGTCTCCGTCAGCATGTGCGGCTTCTCGTGTAAGTGCTACACTCCAATGGATGGCCGCATACCTGGGGCACAGAGTTAAAGTTCCAGTCGTAGTCGGGGTTGCCATATTGCGCGCCCATGAGGCCCGGCGTCAGCACCGCCGGGTCCTTGCTCTTGTCGTCGCCCGCCTCGACGACGAGGACCTTGACGGCCGGGTCCTCGGTGAGGCGGTTGGCGAGGACGAGGCCGGCGGTGCCGCCGCCAACGATGATGTAGTCGTAGTTGTCTACAGTCATTGTGCTGCTGTTGTAATGCGCGTCGAGGAAGAGGCGACAGTTCCAATCACAACGAAACAATCACAACGAAACAAGCGCCGGCTGGCGGACAGCAGATCGTTATGTAGATCCCATACACTGCAACGTCATACAAGCAGGAGCGCAGCGCGCGGCACATGCGACCCCCAATAGCCCAGAAGGAGTCGGGCGAACAACCGCTCAGACGCCGCGCCCCCAGCCGGTAACTCGGGCCTTTTTGGACATATGGCCCGCTCGCGAGTCTAGTTCCCGCCCGTCAACGTGTTGAGCCAAGGGATAACTAGTCCAACTCCACGGCCTGGCGTTGCGGGGAAACCGGGCACTTTCATGCAACCCCGCAGCGGTTACTTGGTGTCAACGTGAATGAGCCTCGGACAAAGACTCGTGGTGGCTTGTCACTGAGACACACGCGCCACACCTAAACGTCCTTTCGGGTCTCGATTATTTACGCGTATTGTTTGGCCCTAGCTAGCCCCGAGGCGAATGTCGTGCAAGTTGCGGATCTTGCTGACGACCCGATCCACGTTGCCCAAGTCAACCCATGTCCACTTTGCTCCACGGACCAGCTTGAGCGTCGCCCAGAGCGCCAGAAAGACGAATTGCTGACGGGAAAAGTCACCGGTAAGTGTTGTGCTTCATAAGCAGCGGAAATATTTGGGGGACATAGGGGGTGGAGAAGACTGGGAAAAGGGCTGTCGTACCAGGAGGAAGGTGGAGAGGAATGGCGTCGCATGAAAGCCGTTCCACAGCAATGCGCTGTTCGATACCACCAAGATGAAGATGCAGCCCGCCAGCGCCATGTACGCCAGCGCGGGCTGCATGTGGCTGCGGTACGGGTAATCGTTGGAGTCGTCTTGGTCCCAGCGCCGAACCTGTGAGACCTTCTGCATCTCGAGCGTCGCACGATGCCTCTTTATGCTGGAGGCGGCATTAAAACACAAAATCCCACCCAGACAAAGTCACGGAGAAGACGCAACGGCAAAGGCTTACCAATGGTAATATCGGATAAAAGCCCAGCACTCGCAGGCCCACACGATGATGACCCCGTCGGACCCCATGGTCGTCAGTATTTCGATAAACTGCATCGACCGGCGTCAGCAATGAGCCGCCACGAAAGGGGGGCCGGCACACGACCATCATGTTGGGGGGGGGGGGGGACACTTGCCATGGAGATGTTGCTCGAGTCCTCGTGCAGCTGCAGGAACGGGACCCAGCAGAACGCCAGCGCGGAAAAGATCATGGCGCGCATGGGCACCTTTCTCCGGTCCGTCTTGCCGAACCAGGCCAGCGCGCGCAGGAAAAGGGGCTGGTCGTCGGACCCGTCGAGGCGGGTCGTGAGGCCGAACAGGGACCTCGACGCGACGTAAAGGTTGGTGCACGCGCACGTCAGCGCGGTGAAGACGAGAAACACGTTGAAGACGTCGTTGAGCGACGGGATGCGGGACTCTTCGGCGATGGCGACGAACGCGGAGCTTGTCTTGCCGACGTCTGAGGACGAGGCTGGGCTGGCGCGCGGGTTCAGGGTGCACTGCTGTGAGTGGGAGCTGTCGGCCCAGCTGAGGCGCGGGAGGCGGCAGTCGTCGCGACGGATGTTGAAGCTTGCCAGCACGCCGGCGAGAATATACGCGATTGTGGCGAGGACGGGTATATAGACGGCTGAGAACTTGACGGTTTGCCCGATGAGCAGGTGATCTGCAGACCGGTCGGACATATCCGTGTTGTGCCTTTCGTTCTTGGGCCAGCGCGCCTCCAGGGCAGATGCAGCGACGACTTCGACGCCCACGTATGCGAACGTTGAGATGGATAAAGACATACTGATGCGGTCAGCGAGGTACCATCTGGGTGAAGCAGGATCTGGTGACATGCCACAAGCTGTTGAACCACCCATTCGCAGCAAGTGTATCGTACTCCGTCGGCTTGAGCCAGTCTGGAGACCATTTAGTCTCCAAGTTTCTGTTTACATCGGACTCGTGGGCTGTAACTCACATTTTGTGCCATGCGGCTCGTTTGTCGAATTCCCAGCTGCGTGGTCCACGTCAGATAATCCACACGTCCTAGGGGGCCCATCAGTGTGCTCAGTGCTTACCGCCCACGTTGATGGCGACCATGGTGCATATAATGACCAGCAGGAAGAACAGCTTGATGCTGCTGCTGACCACTTCGAACCAGCCGTATATCTGGTAGCGACATTATAAGCGGGCAGTAGTGTTGGGGACTTGGGCACGCCGACTTACATCCACACGAAGGCTGTTTACGCAAATTAGAATTAGCGGGATTAGAAAGTACACGACGCCTCCGTCAAATGCCTTGTTGCCGTTGATCCAGTAGTGTATTTCGGCGGCCGAAGTGGCGACCAGGGCGGAGAAGGAGACAGAGTACGTAAACCTGGGATCAAGTGTGAGCGTAGCCCCGTTCTTCTCTCGTCTGTGTCGCGGGTTTACGAACCAGTATGCCACGCCAACGGCGATGCCCAGCTCAACATCCACAAACTCGCTGACGTACAGCTGCATTGCTCCGGGAATGGGCCATATGCACAGCAGCTCCGTGATGCATTGCATGACGGCCCATGCCAGCATACCGGGCAGCAGAAAAGACAGCAGCACGCTGAGCGGCCCGCCGAGTTCGAGAATCTGGCCGCCTCGCCAGTATAGGCCGGTGCCGAGGGTCGCATTGACCGCAATCATCTAGAGTCTCTGCATCAGTGCCATAGCCTTCACATTTCCGCCAGCCTCTTGGCGAGTTGCGAGACATACCGACAAATGGATCCCTCTCAGCCTCCGATTGACGACACGGTCTGGCCTCGGCGTGACAATGACATTCTTTTCCGTCTTCGTCACGTTTGGCTGGTTCGTGACATATGTGCTCTCGGTATTGGCGCTGTCGTCCAAGGTCGACGCATCCCGGCTTGGTTCTCGTAAGCTCGAGCCATCAACGATGTCGACACGGCTCGAATCATGCGGGTTGGTAGCGCTGAATCGCTCAGTGTCTCCTGCGCCGGCTCCGGGACTTGCGGCCGAGGACGTCGGACGTCTGAGCGAGCTCGATGACGACGTTTGCGACAGCTGAATGGTCGGCACGGGTCGCGACGACTGTGGAGGCGATTGCGCAGCCCCGTCATCGTGGTCGGCACGTGGCGATGCGAAGGCAGCCTCGAGCCAGTCTGGCGCCCAAGGTGGCAGCCGTGGATTCGCCATGCCAACTTATCTCGTACTGAGACTTTGAGAACGGTTCGGGCCGCTCAGATCCACTGGCGACCATGACCAAAGGAAGGCGCAGGTGAAACAGTCGCATTCGAAGAACGAGTTCCGAGACAGAGGTCACCTTAAGAAATGGGGCTGATCGCGAGGCGTTCGAGAGGCGGCTTGCATGGCTCGTCCCGAACCGGCCCCCACGTTCCCCTTGTGTGCTCAACTTCCAGCACGTCCAGCCTGGGTTAAAGCCATGATGAGCCCGTTGAGATTGACCGGCGCTGAAGATAGCCAACACACTCTGGGGTGCGACATTGCCCGGCGGCTTGCAGGAGTAGCGTCACTTCCCCAGCAGCGCCAGCCTTCGCGAGACAGGATGCGGTTGCCGCGCCTGCTACCAAGAGCCCCTGGAGAAGGTGCCTGGTCAAAGACGCCATGCTGTCTCAAAACCTCTGACTGCGGACCGCTCCGTGGCGGAAACCACACTTGAGCAAGAGATCGCCACCTTGGTCTCCCCGTCAGACCCTGCCGTCGAGTGTCAGCCGCACAAGAAGCAGGGGGGCTGCCAACGCTTGATTCGCCTGGGACTGCACCGCCGCATCACACACATGCACACAAAGTGCATCGCCCCCTCTCTCACCTGGCCCAAGAAGGCGGCCGAGTTGCCTCGTCCACGAGTGAGGGGTTGCGTCTTTCCCCCCTGCGCCGTCGTCGTCCTACCACCGTCGGGCGCAGGCTAAAACGGTGGAAGCACCGCCTCCTACCCGCGCGCCCTTCTCACGACCTCTCGGAGAATTGGATCTTGTCATGTTTCGAACGTGGCACCATGGCTGAAGCTCAACAGGTCACGCAAAACGTCTGCCAGCGGTACCTGAAGAAGGATAGCCTGCAGACGGTTCTGGAACGCCTCTTCCCCGGCCAGACGGACTTTAGGATCCGCGTACGTTTGGATATTGCGCCGTTCTCTCAACAAGATACGAAGGCGTCGCTGACTCTGTGATAGTTGCGAGAAGACCAGTGGTGTTTCACTGCTCCGAGGACGGTCACGGAGGTGAGTACCAGACGTGTTTAGTTGGAGCCGGGCGAAGGCGACCTGCGCAACCACACTTGACGCTGATAATATTCCGTGTAAAGGCCGAGATCGAGTACGTCGTTGACACGGATGAATCTGGTACGCTGGCACGGTATTGACAAGCCATAACAGCTCGGTCAGAGCCCAGTGACTTCTGGGACACCCTGGGAGAGTACGCGCCCGGATCGGACGATGGCAGTGGCACAAGACGGTTGCATGTACTTCGTACCTGGCTTAGGCGCTAGCAAGGCATAATCATGGCTGACTGGCACGGCCCGACTCGTGGCTGTGACAAAAACTGCCGACAATATATACAAGTTGAAGCACATCCAGCGTCTGGTGCCGCCATCGTGCTCGTTGCCGAGGATTGATAGCAAGAAGCAGTGTCCGGTACGTTGCACACCAATCCATCACAAGATGGACCCCACCTCAGGCGATCGATGCCTTGTCGACGAGGTCCTCGAGCCCGTACAACTGCGAGACGTCGTTGTCGGCGACACCCCGCACATTCGGTCGCAGTCCTTCCGGGATGCCCCAAGCCTCGAGGCATATCTTGAAGATGACACAAACCAAGACTATTCGTGCCGTTTCATGTTAGATTCCCCTCAATGGCTTGCCATCTCGTCACTATGTGGCTGTGGCGTCGGCTAACTCTGTCCAAGTTCTGTGTGCCAGCGCAACTCATGGAGGCCGCTCCAAATCACGCGTGCCATGATGTCGGCCATGATCAACGCCCATGACCTGAGTCCATCGTTATGGAACGTCGCATCGTGCTTCTACACTCGCAATCTTGACCTGGAGGACGCCTTTTGCGTTCCGTTGACGCTTTCCACCACTGGACCATGGATTGGTATGTGGCTGCCTGACATCAGTCTTGCATTGATGTTGCGCTGCTGACGGACATGGTCTAGAAATTTCCTATACGATCCGCTACCCCGAGTTCAAAGAGGCCGACAAGGAGTGGACGATGCGACAGAGTGGCGTGTGTCACCGCGTCAACACGGAGACCCGACAGAGCGTCTTCATCTTGCTGAACCCAAAACCGAATGCCAAGGGCCAGTTGCTCATCGAGAAGCACCTCTCGTCACGAATTGATGGAAGAGCAACCGATGGACTTTTATCAATGCACCAGGTCCTGCTCAGCGGATATCTCCCCGCCTGGAGGCAGTACATTGCATCGTATGAAGCCCAGTTTCTTCCCATGGTAAGTGCACCGAACATGTTTGACCCGAATGACTCGAGGTGCGATTAGTGTAAACAGGCAAACAGCACATTCGCCACGTACATTGACGAGCCTCTACGCTTGGGGTACGACCATTTGATCAGCATGGTAAATCTCGAGAACCGCTTCAACAAGACCATAAGCCTACTCGCAGCTACCATCGGCCTTGTCTCAGACTTGCACGCGCTGCTCAATGTCCACGCCACAATACCTGCCTCGTCAGATGACAGCCACACCGGCATCGTGTTTGACAACCATGCGCGCCAGTGCGCGGCCTTCTCTCGCACGGCAACATATCTACAGCAACGCGTCCAGACAGCCGCCCAACTTCTCGCCAACACCCTGTCCTTTCGAGACCAGGTCATTGCCAAGGAGCAAAGCGGGAACATGCTTCAGCTGAACAAGTCAGCCGTGTTCATCACCACACTGACACTGATTTATGCGCCGGCTTCATTTGCTGCAGTCAGTATTATGCCTATCCTGATGCACATGTTCCGTGTGGCCACGACATGGACTGACCAAAGTCAGACATTTTTTGGCATGAACTTTTTCGCCATGGACCAACCCAACAGTCGCATCATCTGCACATCCATGATATGGATCTACCTCGTTGCCACCGTCGTCATCACCGGTCTCACAGTCGTCTTTTACTACTGGCTCATCCAACACGACGGCGTGCTCTTTTGGCGACTCGCTCCAAAGGTAAAGGTCAATGCCGACTGGAGGGCCCTGGCGCGGCGCCTCACCAAACTAGACCAAAACGTTGAGCTCAGGGACATGTATCGATCGGTGTAGAGACACTACCTCTCAACGGGCTACTACGTCGACTCTGCCGAAGAGAGCTTGACTTTGTAGATGACCCGCCGGCTCGCACCGGTCAAAGAGGCGACAATGACGCATGGATCAGACTTGTCGTCGGATAGAACCGCTGCAAAGTTATCTCCATATAGCAGACCAGGGAGGCTGGCGAGCTGCTGGACGTGGAGCTCGGAAGTATTGAGTTGTATCTCCAAAAGAACCATTTGGTGTTTGGCCGAGGGCGCCCCGATGGCGAGCAATTTGCCTTGTGGGCGGGGGCCGCTCGATAAAAGCTGAGAAATGCGATACTTCGGGACTTCCTTTTGCAGCTCCAGACTTTTGTCGGAGCCTTCGAACTTTTGTACGTGTAGTCGCTTTTCTCTGGTTACGACGGCGCACGTGTTTCTATCATGGAAAGGGCAGAACGCGGTGAAGAGACCAGCAAAGGCGCCCACATCATATCCCTGTCGGATGGTTAGAAGGCCCGGCAATAGGCGTTTGCTTGTGCACGCGAAGAAAAAAAAAAGATTGGCCAATATACCAGGGAAACGATGTTCAGTGTGTCCATGGTGACTGGGTGGCGATCGAGTGACATGTGCGTGATGGGAATCTTGTGCTCCCGACTCCTGGTAGTGAGCTCGGGTCTGACGACTAGATACGCATCACGGCTTTCCAGCAGCGCCAAGTGAATGACATCTGCGGCAGACCAGTCGAGAGGTATTGACTTGAAGCGATGTACGTCTGGCAACGTAGCAGCATTCTCATCTCGCGGTTTGTTGTTGAGGTTAGGTGTTCTTCACGAATAAGCTGAGCTCAGCCATCCACTTTATCGCTCTGAGGCTGGGAGAAACAGGAAAGGGATGAGCTTACCGGGGCGGGAGTTCTACGGCCTCAATCAGGTCGCGCACTGTTGCGTAGAAGAAAACTCCACGGTCTCGCGGGTTTGTGCTCGCTCTTGCCGTGAAAGCCACCCACACACTGTCCGACGAGATGGCAATCTTGGATATCGCAGGGAGCTGCAGAACGAGCCGATGAAGCTCGGAGAAATTGTAGTCCACGGAGTCTCCGCCGAGGAGGTAAAAGATGTACAGCTTGTGTGCCAGGTCGTCAGCCTTGATCTTGGATGCGCTACATGTAGAGAGGAGCTGCGAATGTGCGTGCTTACTCGGCTGCGACCTGCCGTTGAGGCAATAAGGTACTTGTCGGTCAAGCAGACATGTTTGAGGAAACAGTCGCAGTCAGTCTCGGGCAGCTTCCAGTCCGCGGCGTGCGAGACTGTATGCCCCTCTCGAGCTGCCAGTGACTGTGACGTGTACAGCATAATCTTGTTGTCGGTCCAGTACGCCAAAACATTCGCGTCGGGGGATATGGCGCACCCTTTAAAGTCTTGGGTTGCCCAGGGGTACCACTCGTCAACGCTGATGCCTGAGTTGTGTCCTGGCCTGTTATTGTTAGCATCGCTCAACGCCGTACGCGCCGAGGGTTCACTGGTGAAGCTTGCCTGGCCAGAAGTCTCGCGCCGAGAGGACTGTCAGAGACAGTCTGTAAGATGGAGCCCCGTCTCGGCTCTTCCGCGCTGCGGTATAATCTGTACGTCTCCTGCAGCTTCTTTTTGACGTCCTCTGCAGTGCACCTCTGGGCTACCCGAATGACGGACTGCTCCAAAAAGTCCAACATGCATGACATGGCATGGCCCTCGGTGAGGTTACGCTTTGTCGCCTTCTCCCTTAGCACTTTATGCCAAACTTTCACTTGCGGGTGGACATCCGGCTCCGTGAACCTAGTTCCACGCAGGAAGAAGCGATCGTATCCATCGGCGCGACGGTGGTCCATGCGAGCGTCCTGATAGTGGCGCACGCCCTCGGCGCCCGTCTCCAGGAACGTTAGCACGACGCTCAAGACGCATCCCAGCGCCCAGACGTCGCTGCTCGTCCGCATACTCGCCGTAGATGATATGGATTCGGGTGGCAGATATGTGCCCTCGCCTCGCCGGTTGAGGGTGGCAGACACGGACGGGTCGGGCACCTTCTTCCGTCGGACAAACAGGCTGTTGAAATCGTTCTCGCGATCTCCCGCGGCGGCGCGACGTCGCACTTTGACACGCGCCATGCCAAAGTCACTGAGCTTCCATATTCGGCGCATGCTTCCGTCGTTTGCCCTTTCTTGGAAGATGAGAATGTTGCTAGGATTTAGGTCCATGTGGTAGCACACCAGCTCGTCGAAATCGGCGGTTCGTATCCCGGTGTGAAGAAACTGCAGCCCGCTTGCCAGCCCCGCGGCGCAGTGTATGATCTCAGCTCGAGCCTCTTGGGTTCTAGGGGAGATGTGATGTCCCGACATCATGTATGTGCGAAGATCGCAGACAGCAAGGGGCATGAACAGGCTGTAATTCGTCCCAACCTCGAGCGCACCCAAGCTCTCGACAATGTTCTCGCAGTTGCGAGAGGTGGAACCGAGGATCTGTCGCATGACATCGTATTCTTCTCTTGCCTTGGACTTGTCGGCGACGATGTAGTCCTTGCGGGCCATGTCCATAGGCTCGACATTGTGGCCAAAGGCAGGACCCGCGTGTCGGTCGTGGAAGTGTCCCCGAGCGACTCGAACGCGAAAGACTTTGCCAAACGAGCCCTCACCAAGAGGCGTCTCCTCCAGATACGGCAGCCGCGGGGCATCCGTGCCGTCGATTCGGACCTCTTCTTTCTTGCGGAGCACAACAGCGCAGAAGCACCCCTGCTTCGAAATGAACCTGTCCGCGTCGGTCTCGCTACCAAGAAGCCGCTCGAGCTGCATTCGACTAGCGGGCAGTCGAACAATCGATCCATGAGGATCGTCAGAAGCGACAAGATGGCTCACGCAGGTCCTTGCAGCGCGAATGCTACATGTGGCGAAGACGAGCGTGCCGAGAAAGTCAAGTAGGCCTCTCTCATCCACCCTCTCCACGAACGCCGCCTCAGATAGCCCGAAGATTGCTCGGCTCGATTGATATGACGTCGCGAGGCTACGGAAGAAGCGTCGCAGGTTCCCATTGTCGTTCTGTTGGAAAATGTCCCTGCACGTCCCCCACGGCACGAACCTCAACGTCTCTTCTTCTCTGCGCTCCAATCTGCGGAATATGTCGCCGTAAAGTTCGTTGCACAGGTCGTCGTATGTCTCCGCCGCCATCGTGAAGGGTTCATCCTGGCTCGTAGCGGGATGCGGGGACTGGCAGGGCTCACAGGAGGCTGGCGGGGTCGCGGGACTGATCAGTTGCTGTGCTGATGAGGCTCTGCCTTCCTTCGTCCCGCTGGCCAATGCTCATGCAGGCTCTATAGCGATAAACAGGGCTATTCATCAGGTGCTTGCCACGGCAGCGATCAGGACTAATCCCCTGCCTCCAAGCCTATCGCTCCCCTGTCGTGGGGGCCATCAGCTGAAGCAGGAGCTGAACCACCACCAAGAAGGACAAACAAGGGCGACAATGGAGGTGCCTGGCTGGGCGGGCAGTGCACGATGGGTGTGCGACGCGGACGACGGATCGCAATATGCACAGGGAGCGGGACGCAACAGCCTCACTGAACAGCCTCATGATAACAGCCTCAAGAGAAGTTTGGCAGCACACTGAGGCGATATCTTTCCCCACTTGCAGCGCCGAGTTGCACAGGGCAGGCCTCGCGTAATCATTGATGGACCGTTGCCACCCGCTGCAGGGGCAATCCGCCATGGGCCACCGCATGCAGCCCTACAGCCCCAGTACTTCATACCAGGCACAGCAGCTCCTCCATGTCTCCACCGGGCCGCCACAGTAGTCTTGCAGCGGTAACATTCTTGGGAGATGTCAGTTGTCACGACCTGGACCAATCTGTCGCGCACGAATCTCGTGGACGCGCGTTGGAGACGCTCGACCACGTGGACGGATAGTCTTGCGACTTGGGACAGACGAGACGGCCGTTTTGCATGTGAATCGAGACTACGTAATGGACGGCGAGGCACTGGTCGGTGACAGCATCAGGGCGGACGTGGGACGGATCCAGTTTGTTCAGTCCGTTCCCGTTCCTATGGTTGAGCGTCACATCGGGGCATCAGGCGCCTTTAGACAATGACGCAAATCCCCCACAACATCAAATAAGCGACGCCATTTGAACCCAGGCTCCGCGCGGTCGGGTCCGGTACACGGCTCCAGTCAGAGAAGCCTGACAGCGGCACTTGTCAACCGTGGCAGCTGCACCCCGGACCCCGCCCCCCGGACGGACGACGACCTTCGGCCGAGCCTCCGGCCCCAACCCCACGATGATCGCGGCACCGTTAAATATCTTGTAGAGCAGTCCGCCCTAAGTAATCCCTCCGACTTTCTGCAATAGCTTTCGCGGAACCAATGACCGTGTTGCTATTGATCATGTATGTCCTCCAGCAGCGGTTCAGTGATTGCAGTGGCCCGCGGACTAACACCGACTTCCAGCCTGTAGCGGAATAGACCACGATGGCCGCCATCAGACACATGCCTTTGGGCTACATGGTAGGCATCAGCCTCCTTGGCTGTGCGCTGCCGAAGCTGCTTCACTTGTACGAGTCCAGTGGCCAGCCTCTCGAGATATTCCTGGCGCTCTTTGCGGCACAGATTGCCCTGTTCTCCTTCTATGCCATCCTCATCTACCCTTTTTTCCTGTCGCCACTACGCCATCTGCCGCAGGTTCCAGGCGGTGTGCCAATCTTTGGCCACGGAGTGGCGTTGAGAAAGTACGGGCCCGGACTTTTGGCGAAGAAATGGTTTGTAGCAGCCTGCTTCTCTGGAGTACAAGATGAGACCATGTGCTGACTCGCAACCCCAGGATTGCGGAGGTCCCCAATGACGGCCTCATTCGCATTCTTTGGCACTTCAACCAAGAAATGGTGATTGTCAACTCGCCTCAGGCCTTGTCGGAGATTCTCGTCACCAAGTGCTATAGTTTCGAAAAGCCTGAGTTCGCTCGCAAGTTCCTTGCATTCATCATCGGCTGGGGTCTCCTCACTGTAGAGGGGGACGAGCACAAGACGCAGAGACGAGATATGCTGCCTGCTTTCTCGTATCGCCACATCAAGAACCTCTACCCGACCTTTTGGGCAAAGTCTCGAGAGTCTGTACGAGCCATTACAGCGACGTGCGATGAGAAGGGCTTCGCGGAGATTGACATTGCGCCGTGGACGGCGAGGTGCGCTTTGGACATTATTGGCTTGGCTGGTGTCGGGGTCGACTTTGGCTCCATTCAGGATGCGAAAAGTCCGCTTGCGCAGAGCTACGAGCACCTTCAGCCATCGCCAGCCGACATGCCTCTGATTGGCCTTCGCGCGTTCTTGCCCGACTTCATCATGGACAACCTGCCGCTGCAGAGAGTCAGGAACGCGGCAAGGGCGTCGCAGCATATCCGAGGCGTTTCCCGTGACCTGATCCGCAAGAAGCGACAATTGCTGGACAACAACAAAGAGGCTGGAGTCGACATCCTCACGGTTGCCCTCGGCAGCCGTCTCTTCTCTGAAGATACCCTTGTTGACCAGATGATGACATTCCTGTCCGCCGGCCACGAGACCACTGCATCCTCACTGATCTGGTCCATCTACTTCATGGCCAAGTATCCCGATATGCAGGAGCGGCTGCGCAAGGAGGTGCGCGACAATCTGCCATCAGCCGACAGCGACGCCGAGATCACGAGCGCCGTCATTGACGGAATGCCCTACCTCAACGCGGTGTGCAGCGAGGTGCTGCGAACCAACAGCCCCGTCGCGCAATCCATCCGCGTCGCCAACCACGACATTACGATCCAGAACCAGTTCATTCCGAAAGACACACTCCTGGTGCTTGTGCCGTGGACCACCAATACAGACCCTAAGCTCTGGGGCCCCGACGCACACGAGTTCAAGCCCGAGCGATGGCTGACCCCCGAACAAGGAGGAACGAGCGCGACAAATGCTGGCAGTGGAGGAGCGACCAGCAACTACGCCTTCATGACCTTCCTCCATGGGCCGCACAGTTGCATTGGCGGCGCCTTTGCCAAGTCCGAGCTCGCTTGCCTCTTGGCTGCATGGATCGGAAGGTTCTCATTCGAATTAAAGGACAAGTCACTGCTGGATGAGCGGAATATCCACATTAACCCCAGCGTGGTTGCGAAGCCTGAGGGCGGGCTGGAGATGCTTGTCCGGGTGGTGGATGGCTGGTGATGGTGGAGTTTGAGAGGTTATGTAGTTACGACTTACAGTACAAGGTTGCTTTCCATGGACTCACTCTAGCGAACACGAATGTCATTGTCCTTTCATGCTTCCAGGCTCAATCGTCCCCACCTTTTACCCATCAGCAATTTGGAGAAAGCTATTTGACCGCTGTTATTTCAGGTTACCGTACTGCACTGTACAGTGCTGTAATGTAGATTTGCCATACGGCGATTATTGTCAAGGGCCGAGCCCAAGTACGAGACGAGGCCCGGCAATCTCAATCGGCAGGCCCAAAGCTATTGTGCTTCCGACTCGTGAGCGCGACTCCGCGGCACGGTTCGCATTTGACTTCTGCTCCGTCCAAATTGCAGGGGAGCCGCTGTTTGCTCGTCTCAAGGTAGAGGCCAAGGCCCTGGGCTTGTCACGTTCGGCCCGATCGTATGCACGACACAGTGGCAAGAACCTCGTAAACACAACGTGTGACGACAGTCGTGGGCGGTGGCGTGAGAATCGCGGCCAACAGTCGGCAGGATTACAGCCTATGACACAGCTTCACTTCACCTTCTTCGACAGCTTAGGTTGAAGAAAAGAGAAGCCCGGCTCCTTGGCTTTTCGCACGTCGTGAACACTGCCTCGAACGGCCGCGTACGCAGAGCAAGCGGTAAGCACAGTACAGAACGGAGTGCGGAGGGCAGACCCGCCGGTCGCCGTGGTCGTTGGCCACGGCCGGGATAATTCAGCCAATTTAAAGGCCGAGGCTCTCGACCAACGATGACTTCGCGTCCGTCGCAGACGGTTTGCATCAATAGACAGGTGCCTGCAGCGATTGGTTCCAACTCTGCTGTATCTCAATGTTGGTCACACGACACCTCAGAACCGAGATCCCCCAAGGTCGTTGGCGGGCGGAGGCGGGCGGACCAGCCCCGAGCGCCGAGTCCTATGAACTACAGAGGTTACGGTAGAGTACTGTACTGTACCGTAATACGCGAAGCCCGGTGAGTCTTTTTCTTGATTTGCGCAATCAGCATCCTCAAGGGGCTCGTCCCTCGTTTAGAAGCTCTTGCTCAAACTTCAACAGCGACTACCGCGGCGCGTACTGCTTATGGACGGATGTAGTCCGGACCTGTCCCTGCATCCTTGTCGTTTTTGCTGTCAACGTTGGTGGAGCATCAAACTGCGCTTGACAGCATGGGGCATTCGCACCAACTGACGAGTATTGTACGTCTCGGTCCCGATGTCGCCATTCGTCATGCGTGACAGAGGTCGGGGTTTGTGGCGGACCGTCTGTCGCGGCAAGATCTGTCAGAGCGGCCTGACGCCGTTGTCGAACCCTTGCTTCAGCAGATAGCTGGACCGATTTGGCCATGTCGATGAGCTGGATCTTTTGCGGTGTCTCGGACTGTGTAAAACGGCAGGCGTCCTATGACGCCCGTGTTCAATGTTACCTGCGCCGCACGTGGAAACTTCTGCCTGCCAGCACGCAAATGATATGTGAAGAGTACAAGTAAAACGGACGACATTAGCGGTAAGCGATATCAAGACACCGTTAGTAACAGGGGTAGGGGAGTCTCGGCACGGTGTTGAGCGGATGCCTGAAGCCTCGCATCGACAACACTCGGCGCTTTGGGCCTCCATCAAGAACTGGCCAATCGGGTCCAGTAAGGCACTGTTGCGACCGTACTCATGCGCGATCTGTGGTCGACATTCACCTGGCCATGTGTTCGCCATGTGAACGTGGGCGAGCTTTGACTCTGCAGTGCTGTCTGTACCACCAGGGCCAGTTGGTTGGGCCGTCGGTTGGTCGTGTCGTTACCGCGAACAATTGCCATGCGGAGCCATCAGTAAGTCATCTGCAAGGGCTATTAGGGGTGAAGCCGACCTGATGCAGACTCGAGTTCAGGCCCTCTGTGCCGTCCAAAGTGGCTTCTATAAGATGCCGAGGCCGGTGTCGCTTGAGCATCCAGGAGAGATTTGCGAAGGGCTCCAGGCAGAAAGCTAGCTCGAACATCTCTACCATGGGTCGAAGCGTTTTGCTCGCCCTCACGTGGGCGACTGTGCTGCTGCACGTCTTTGCAGGTACTGCTGTCAGGGGGACTGGAGCGCGGCTCGCACGTGTAGAAGGTGTAGTCGTCCGCGACGATGATCAAGTCCAACAAGTTCCGTCAGTCAATGTGGCGGCGGTGGAAATTGAAGCGGCTCGGGTCATCGTCGACAATGCCATCAAGGAGATGTCGAAACTGAACAAGGCGCGACTGGACAACCCCGCTCGGAACAAATACACTCTCAAGCCTTCAACCTTGGGCCGCAAGAGGGACGGCTCGACGGACTCGGCACCTCCCTTACTGGACATCACGTCGGAAATTGCTCGTGCCGCGGCGTTGATTGCCAATGTGGATGCTTCCAGCGACACATCGCCGTCATCAGTCACGGTCCCAAAGCGTGATGGCAGATTCTGGATGGAAGGTCTGGACCGAAAAGGAACGGTTCCTTGGGGCAACGATACCACCTACAAAGTATAGACCCCAAGAACTGACAGGCTTCGTTTGCCCATATGCTGACTAGAGGTGTGATTAGTTGTTTCGCAACGTCGTTACCGACTACGGCGCTGATCCCACAGGCAAAACGGTGAGTCTCTCACACTCAAGGGGCGGTGCCTTCTTGAGCTTCAATGACCAACATCTAGCTCAGGCTATTGTCAAGACAGCGCTGATATCAGTGTCAGGACTCAACTGCCGCCATCAAGAAAGCCATCACCGACGGTAAGCGTTGCGGAGCAAAGTGCAACGGCTCCACGACCAAGACCGCCATCGTATACTTCCCACCAGGCACATATCTCATTTCCAGCAGCATCGCAGTGCTCATTGGCACGCAAATCATTGGCGATGCGAATTTCTGGCCTGTCCTCAAGGCCGCCCCAAGCTTTGTTGGTCTCGGTGTCTTGTCCACGGATGTGTACGTCGGTGGCAAGGGGCCGGATGGCAACGACAATGAGTACTACATTAACACTTCGCGATTCTACGGTCAAATTCGCAATATCCGCATCGACATCACAGCAACGAACCCCACCGCATACATTTGTGCTGTCCACTATCAGGTCGCGCAGGCAACGACGATCCAGAATGTCGAGCTCATTGCGAAGACGGGGACGGTGAGTTGGGCACTCGCCCATAGCGCACTACGTATCTCTGACAGCTGCACAGACTCAACAGGGCATGTTTGCTGAGAATGGAAGCGGTGGTGTCATGTCCGATGTGACGTTTACAGGCGGAAATTTCGGGTTCTGTAAGTCCTGTCGCCTCTTGTCCAGCCGACCGGTTGGCTGACCTAGATGCCTCTTCCCCCTTACGCAGACGGTGGGAACCAGCAGTTCAGCGCTGCGCGAATGACGTTTAACGGCTGCAAAACGGCTGCCCAGATTACATGGGACTGGGGCTGGGTATGGAAGTCGGTGAAGGTGAACGGCGCCGATGTCGGCTTCCGGCTCGTTGGTGCCGACGGCAACAACCAGGTGGCATCCATTTCGTTTATCGACTCGACCTTTTCCAACATCAACACCTCGGCAATCATTGTCAAGGCGCCCTCGGAAGCACCCGGAGCGGGAGACGCTGGCCTTGTCCTCGACAACGTCCGACTAGACGGCAACATCGCCGATCATACGGGCAAGCAGCTGCTTGCGGCCGGCTACCACAGGAACGTGAGTAGAAGTCACTGCCGTGCTGAGTGACAAGAATATCCATCTCGGAAAGGCTGACATGAATCGTTTTTTCTCAGTGGGTAATTGGTCCCGTTTACCAGAATGGCACTCGGACTTGGACGATGGGCTCGGTAGAGTACCGTCGCAAGAAGGCGCTGCTCGGCGAGGCCGTGGAAGGCCTAGAAGTTGCCCCCTATTTCGAGCGTCTTAGGGCGCAATATGAAGACAAGACTGTCGCCGATTTCGTGCACCTCAAGGATGGCGGGGCGAAGGGAGACGGCACTACCGATGACACAGCTGCTGTACAGCAGACCTTCGACCAGTATGGCGACGGGAGTAAGGTCATCTTCGTCGACTCCGGCACTTACATCTTGACGGATACGGTAACTATACCGAAGAACGCCAAGGTCGTTGGCGAAGCATGGGCACAGTTTGCGGCCAATGGCGACAAGTTCTCTGATCCATCAAACCCGCGTCCGATGCTGAAAGTAGGCAACGTCGGTGATGTGGGCTCAGTTGAGATACAGGATCTCATCCTCACAACCAAGGGTGGCACTGCAGGAGCCGTCCTCATGCAATGGAACGTCAAGGCCAGCGGTCCCGGCGCCGCAGCCCTATGGGATGTCCATGCCCGCGTCGGCGGAGCGACCGGCACTGAGCTAACACCAAGAGAATGCCCGGCCATCAAAACCGGCACGAATCCGGATAGCTGCAAAGCTGCCAGTCTCTTGTTCCACTTGACTTCGAAAGCATCGGCGTATCTCGACAACATGTGGCTTTGGGTCGCCGACCACATGGCAGATGACGAGGACCTCAACTCGGCGGTCAACGACAACCCCCAGGTGTCCGTATACAGCGCCCGAGGCTTCCTTATTGAGAGTAAGGGACCAACCTGGCTATACGGCACAGCCTCCGAACATAGCGTCTACTATCAGTACAACTTTTACAAGGCAAGGAATGTTTTCACCACGATGATACAAACCGAAGCGCCGTATTACCAGCCGACCCCTCCACCTCCTGCGCCGTTCCAGAACGACGTCGGAAAGTTCCCCGGCGACCCAAGCTACGCCTGTAATGATACGGCAATCGGCGGGTGCGACGAGTCTTGGGCAGTCATGATGCAGGGCTGCCAGAACGTGCACATCGGCGGAGCAGGCACATACTCGTGGTTCAGCACGTACGGCCAGGAGTGTGTGTCCAAGCACACCTGTCAAAAGACTCTCTGGTGGCTCCACAGCAACTACGATAACAATCGCGTGCAGCACATCATTGGAATCGGCGCGGAGAACGTGTTGGTGACAGACGGCGAGGTGGTGCGTTCGGTGGATAACCTTGGGACGACCAGCGGCGTGCAGTGGGCGCAGATCTCCGTCTTCGATGTGCCGTCCAAAGGCAGAGCACCTGGTACCTGCCGTCAGCAGCTTGTATGAGGCTGCTCCGCGTCAAGGGTTGGGAATTTGGGATCGGTCTGGTAGCGCCTTGAGTAGTCATGCATCGTACGAGATCTGTCGAATTATTTGACAAGAACGCCAAGCAGGTAGTACTGGATCGTTCAAAAGGCGTGGGAGTGAGAGCACGTCTGTTCATGGCCAGTTGCTCATCAAAGGTGTGTTATGTAGAGGAAATCTCACGGTTTTGACTTTCAACATGGAAGTCACTGCACGCGCACCCCTGCTTCACGCCCCTGGCACGGGCATAAATAATGCCACCTCCGGCTTGTATCTTCCCCTCGCGCAGTGGGCCTTGTTCATCATCAGTGTCTCCCGCCAGACAAGCTACAGCGCCCAACCTTTGCTCGCGCCCTCTCGTCAGATTCATCGTGAACAATGGAGTCGAGACCGGACCATGGCTTCAATCCATTCTCATCCGAGGCAGGGTCCTATGGCGCGTACGACCTCCCCAATGATTTCATGAAGGGCCTCGACCTTTCTGATCCCTCTTCCCTTGGGAAATTATTCGGCATTCAGCCACCACCGCACAAGTCTCCAAAGGAGGTTCAATTGGAGGCCCGACGACGCCGCGACCACATATTCGCCCTCCACGACAAGCTGCGAGCCATCCTCGAGCGCCATGAGGCTACAATCCAGTCACGATGGTCCAAGAAGAAGAAAAAGCAGCGGCTCGAGGTCCTCGCCACCGCGTGGGGGCCGGCCATGGCGCCTACGCATCGACCGGACTTCGAAGCCTTCCGCCGAGAGACGGCCGAGCAGCGCAAGGCGGGGGGCACCAAGTTCAGAGACCACTTCATGTGGCCCTACATCAACCAAGAAGACTTGGTTAAGCCAAAGACCCTGCCGCTACTGCTTAATAGCAGGGGCCGCCATCCCCCTTCTGAGTTCGCTGGAACGGACTTCGACGCAGTGCACCTCGGCCTGGTGAGCCAAGCCGTCATGCCTGTGTTCCTCAATGGCCATACCATGATCATGTTCGTCAAGGCAACAGACAGGGCTAAATACGGCAAACTACTCCAGTGGGATGATCATCCCGACGCCTTTAACTGGTTTCACACCCGGACGCAGGCCCAGCCCGGCGAGGGCCTGCTCGTTCTTGAGACACAAGAAAGGCTGCTCGAATTCCTTGTTGCGTGCTGCCAGGCTGTTCTGCACGACATCCCAAGTGACAGCCTGACGACGAGCGCGTTCCCTCTTCTACCGGAGCCCCAACTGAAGAGCGAAAAAGATATTGACGGCTTCGAGTCGCTGGCAGTCATGGCAGCAGAAGCACCATATCGCGTCCCTGCGCAGCTGGATCTCGAGAGAATCGCGAATTTACTTCGAGCCAGGGCTTCTGCGGCGGAAGACCACTTGTGGGCTTTGCGAGAGGACCCAGGGTACTTTGCCGAGCACCTGGGCGAGCTCAAGGAGCACCGGCAGGAAATGATCAAGGACACAAAGGCTGACGTCCATCCGACACTCCGTCCCGGTAGAGAAAGCATCTTTTGGGTACGCATCATCGGCAATGTCGTCGTAAATGCCTACCTAGAGCTCGAGATATTTGCCGAGCTCCAGGCGCAGGCCGAGGCATTGCGGCCCATGTACGCCAAGTACGGTACGGCTTTGTCTCCCGCGGACGACTTGCCAGAGGAATTCTTCGCCGCGTTGCTCAGATTTCGGCATTATCTTACCAAGGCAGCCAAGGGCATGTTGGAAGTTCTGAAGGGATCTGTCATGGCTTCGCCGCCATGGCGTAGATTCTTCGTTCGTGAGCCGCCTGCATCTGTCGGGTCGACTGCCATGCGACTCATGTCGAAACCAGGTGTGAAGATGACCAAGGTTCAGGGGGAGCTGCTCTGGCTCCTCCGCACACTATGGGAGGATGGGAATGACTTGTTCTTGATCAGCATGCCCCTTGCTTTGGACGAGCTGGAGCGGCTACTTGAGACACAACCAGAGGCAAACGAGCTACTGACTGAATACCTCGCCAAGACTGTGGGCAGCCTGTCCATCGTGTCGCAGTGCTTGGCTCAACTGGAGCGATTTCAGCCATGGTCCCGATCCTTCGAGTCGGCCTTAGTGGAGAGAGATGAAGCCATCAAAAAGGAATATGCCAGGCGCACGGGACCCTGCGCTAGACTAATGGCGGGTCTGCGCGAAAACAATCTCAGTCGAGCCGCGAAGCTGGGTGACCCATCCGACAGGAAATTTGCTTATCCATCCGAGAAGCGGCGCACGCGGGAGAATACAGACATTTTGCGCCGGGCCGAACAAAACCTCGACACGTTTTGGTCAAACATTGACCAACTGATTTACAACTCGTGCGGAGACCTGGATGGGACCGCTGCAGGGAAATTGCTCTCGCAGGAGCGCAGTTTACAACGAACACAGGAGTGGGTTGACGAGCCCTCGACGACAGCAAAGGCACAAGGGCCATCCGGGTTCAGCGTGGGAGGCCATGCACCGATCTACAAGCCATTGTCAACTCTGTACTTCGGACTCCCAGGGAAGTCGGGAGTTACCGAAACAGACAGTCTCCCAAAGCAAAAGGTGAAAACGAGAGGGCCTGCGTCAAGCGCAAGAAAAGGTGACACACAGCCTGAACCTGTGGAGGAGGCGGCTGTGGCGGATCGCCCAACCATCTTTGTGGGCGCGCGAGACCTCAAGGTGTTCAAAACACTCTTCTTCGACCCTACCATGTCATCCCATCCCGGAGAGACGCCGTGGAACGACTTCCTTCACGCCATGACCTCGACAGGCCTCTTCACCGCAGAGAAACTGTACGGGTCCGTCTGGCAGTTCCAGCGAGTCAATGCATTCGATCAAAGTCGAATCCAGTTCCACGAGCCGCACCCACACGGCAAAATTCCGTTTGTGATGGCGAGGCGCTTTGGCAGGAGACTGAACAAGCACTACGGCTGGGCAAGGGACACCTTTGTTCTGAAGGACAAGTAGTGTACGACGTCTAAGTACAGCCTCCTCTTGTCTGTAGGTTGTTGAGGCACATACAGGGCCACTCGCAACTCTATGAGGCAATGGAGCCAGCTTGGCATTAAGCAGAAATTAGCAACACGCCTTGAGGAAAAGGCAGAGGTCAAAGGTAAAGGCAAAGCTAGCAGCAAAGGTCAGAGGCAGACGCTAGAGGTGGAGGCTCGTAAAAGAGCTACTATAAGCCGATGCCTAGCTTCGAGCACGAGCAGGACGCGACCTTGTCCCTCAAGTCTTCGAATAGCACGATCAGGCCAGCTCATGCGGCATTCCACTTGTATTCATCATGTTATTGAAACCGCCGCCAAGTAGTATTTTCGGATCGAGATCCGTGTCGACAAGAGGCAACAGACTCCGTACATGTAGCGGTATCCTTCAGGCTATAATGTTCCACCAATGGACAGCGAATAGTTCCTTCCGAGCCACTAGCAGTCCATCCCAGAAATCGACCCTTCGCATCGAGCCCCGAGCAATTTTAGTTCTCATCCTTGTCGTACCAGTCGTTCCATCCCATCGGAGTGACTGCATCAGATCCCGTGGTGATGTCTTTGGTGTCGCTCACGTCCTTAGGACCCGCGTTCGTCGGAGCAGCAATGCCCATGCCAGCGAAGGCGAGGAAAAGGGAGAAGAGTGTCTGAAGTTGCATTGTGAGTACCGTTGAGTAGCCGTGAAAGAGTTGTTGTAAAATGTTTCTGTGGACTTGCGGAAAAGTACGAGTTTTATGAGGATGATTCAGAAGCTAACCGGGATTTAGACCTGGGCCCACGCCATTTATGTGTGGTTAAGATGTCTCGTCAAATTCGGATAATCTATGCCTCCCTGCCAACGTTCATACGTAACTGGATGCCAAAGAAGCCGTGTTCCGACAATAGCACACAGACATTACGCGATGCGGATCCCACCGGCTCATCACATTCTTCATTGGGGATGATTATACGACCTGCAGGTGATAATTAAGGAAGCGACGGCAAAAGTTCCTTGACGATACAGAGGTACCCGCCGTTGATCTTGCTGGATACCGCCGTCGGCCACAGATTCAAGACTTCATAAAGACAGTATACTTGCCCGGGCTTTCACTCACACTAAGCCTCAACTGGAATCAAGGGCAAAATCCTCGGCGCAAAATCCGCCGGAGCTATCGGTTTTTTGCCCCGACTTTTTGCTAAGCTTTCAGCCTCCTAAGCTTGAGAGTCATAGTTGAGGTCAGCCGTTGACGGAAGACGGCACTTAGCCTACCATCGCCTCCTTCCGGTCCTCGTACACTGCCTCCCTCCGAAACTGATATAAGCAAGAGATTACAAGACGCTGGTAATCACGCCGCGGATGACGGGAAATTGCGGGATAGCGAGGCATGATCCTATGTCTCGCGTAGTTGCCAGTGGGACCTTGGTGAGTCCATGGGCAAGTGGCCATAGCGGGGTGGGTAAAGTGCACGTTTGTACTAAACCCTTCGATGAGATTCTACATGTCCCCCAAAATCATACGATCAGATGATTTTACTAGCAAGATAAGGAATTTCAGAGCATCCATGTCCTGCACACCAAGCCTTTAGGAACGAGGTCCTCGATGATCTTGACCTTGCACTGGCTCTGGCGCATTAACTGCTGACCTTGAGAGATCGACGCTAGCTCCGGCCTTGAGACCTAGGGTTTATCTCCGGCCCCGGCACGTGGCACCGACTCTCAGGGTTGCTCGCTAAATAATAGCACGGGTGAAGGGCAGTTCCGAGTTGGGCGTGCATCTCAAGTGGCGTGTCAGAAGGTATTTCGTTGCCTCCCAGGCCTTGCCGACTTGAGGAACGAATGCCGTCGCCCATGAAAATCCTTTTGGGGCTTCTCAAAGCAAACAGCTTCTTTTGTCCGCAGCCTGTTGAGTCACACACAGGGTCACTTTCACTCTATGGAGCACTGGAGCCAGCACGACGTCCAGGAAGAATTACCAAACTGCCAACTAGCGACGGTCGGATTGAAGACCGCACTAACTGGGCAGGAAGGTAAGAATGTAACCTGGCTGCAAGCGAGCCAATGAATAACAATGAACTGGTGGAGTCAGACCAGGAGACGATGCTGATTGCCGAGCACGATCACATTTTCCCACTAACGCGTTAGTCTGCGGTTCCAGAGCGAAATCTGGTTCTCAAGAACGGACATACCATTGCCGACGTTGCATACTCGCAACTGCGGGTGCCACCAGGGATCCTGATTCCTGACTCAGCGGAACTAGCTTGCCGCGCATTGGTACGATTGATTGGTGACAAGGGGCGGCGTTGTAAGGGCAAGTTGGGGCCGGCCGGGATGGTGGCTAAGCGAGGTGCATGCCGTCGCTACTGCAATCCGAACTGGTCTCAAATCATGCGGTTTCGAACGCTTTGTCCGGCCTCGGCCCATGTGTCTTGTTCCCTGAACAGGGGGTGCTGAGCTCGGTACCAAATGTGCATGATGATATGAGCATTCGTTGGCGTACAAGCTGGAGTTCCTCCCAGACCAGCATGTGCTATCCTGGCTCGGCTCCATATACACCTTGGGTTGTACGTTGTGACCAGGATAAGGGTAACGCATCCTCGCCGCGACATCGTATCGCAGCCATCTGTGCTACTTTTTGGACTGTGTGTTGAACTACTCATCTCTCTTCCAACCGCTTTCCTTTGGTCTGTCCAACTTATCCGTACCGAGAGTTGTTGAAACGAATATGTCAGCCATCAAAGGGAAAAGAAGAACAGAAAGTGTGTCTGTATGAAAGCCTGTCCAACTAATGTTTTCTGCGAGGAAGTGTCTAAACTTCGCAGCCATCAGGGTCGGAAACTTCTTATGCCCCATTGATCCATGATGATGTGGACTCAGTCGATAGTGGCAGGTACCTGCTGTACAGTGAGTGCGAGCCACGTCTGGACCTCAAGGGACGGGAACTGAGTACCATTTGTCGACCAGCTTCGAGGAAGTCGAGAATACTTGCAGTTTCCAGTACGGCGTTATTCTTGGCTTCTATGTGTTGCCTTGCTGGGGCCTTTCTCCTATACCAGAGGTCCCTTGAGGTCAGCGAGAGACAAGCCCTGAAGCTTACGACTTTCTCGTGTAGGTCTATCAACCGCGCCTTCTTGTTCGAGATAAATTAATCATACTAATGGAACTTTGGTTACAGCCCCGGCCATCGACTCATTCATACCAAAGTTGGCAGTCCAGGACTTCATAACGCACCCTATCGCTTCCAACGACTCTGTTTTCCGTCAAGACCCCAGCCCTATAGTTGAAGCGGCGTGGAGCCATGTTGCTGACCTGGGTGTTATTCCATTGACTCGCGAGCAAGTCGTGGAGCTGGGGAAGAATCCCTCTACTGTCGTGAAAGCGCCTACCGACTGGGGTGCTGGTGACGATACATACCTGGGCCAATTAGACGGGATACATCTCCTTCATTGCCTAGACACTATGCGCAAGAGCCTATATCACAACTTCCATCACTACCATCCACACGGCACTTCGGCTAGTTACCGCTCCCATCTATCACATTGCCAGGAGGCTCTAGCTCATTGGCTTATGTGTCGACCTAGTCTGGACATCATTACGTTCAACTGGGTTGAGAAGCATAAACCGCCATTTCCGGACTTCGACATAACCCGAAAATGCTGGGATTTTGATCAGCTAATGGCATGGCAAGATGACCAGCGCCTTCAAGAGATAAACAGTGAGCGATGGAAAGAGTTACACATCCCAGATGGCGTCGTACCCAATCCGTCACCGTTGTTGAATGAAGAGACACTGAATCACACTTGGCCGGATGTCAAAGGATGTTAATGGAGGGTCTGATAACACTTTAGACGTGAACAGACCCGAGGTCTGGCTGTATTTAGTTCCAGCCAGGAGTCTGTCTCGATGGAAATACACGGCAGGCCTTTAGAGGCAGGGTAACGCACCATTTATTGGACTAAAGAGGACGCTTTCGTGACTCCATTCATAAGTCACCTTTTTCACACGCATAGCGGTGTGGCATGCCTCGGAGACATTACCCAGGAAGCTGGGGTGTTTAGAAACCGTTCCTTCTTTCCCTTAAGTATAGAGAGGGGCGCAGGTTTCGGCAATTGTACCAATCGCCTTCATATCCCGTTCTTCAGTATTTGCTTACCATGTGTGTGCCCCTGACAACATCGTACCCAACCGTCAGTCAATCATGCAGGCATATCGTCAGACAACACCCTACTGGTCCTATACCTAGGTCTTGTTTTACTCAAGGAATTATTTATTGACTTGTTCCTGCTTCGTATGCTCAGACTGCTATCTAATATTGCCAATTTTTGTGCTCCCCGTGTTATCGGCGATGCTGTAGATCATGCACGCCCTTCGGGCCAAAAGGTAGAGAAGCGTTGGTTTGGCGTGGAGATGACGGGGTTGCCGTGGTAGTCGTCCACGTACACGTAGTCAATGCCGACCTTCTGGATAAGCCAGTCCCGAGGAATGGTGTAAACTTCGCCGTTTGGCCCTTCCGTAGCCTTGATGACCCACTGTCCATTCGTCTTCATGTCGTAGGCACCAGTTGGCGCGCCGTCTAGAATCCACTGCGTGAATCCCTTCCAAGAACCATCGGGAGACCAAACGAGGATACCCCCGTCACAGCCACGGATAAGAGAAACATCGGCCCAAGCAACATTGTTTTGGTCCCAACTTATCTCCAACCAAGAGCCAAGCAGCTGTGGCTGGCCATTGAGCATGCTGCTATCAACGCCACGCTGGACGCGACCCTCCCAACCAAAGGGTATGGAGACAAACTGGGTAGTCTTGCCAGCAATCCAGATGTACTTCCAAGGGATCGAATCGCAGGAGTTGTGGTAGAAGTAAAACCCTCTCCAGTCATTGGCGTCATTGTCGATGGTGATTCCTGGGCCGCCATTGTCCTGGTCGCCCCAGGTGAGTATCGGCGTCGTGCTGCAATCCCATCGCTTAGAGAGCTGAGAGTCTTGAGTGACGTTCTGGCGAACGAGGCCACCTGTGTGGTAGCTCTTGAAGCTACTCTGAGGGACGGACATGATGGCTATAGGATCCGCGTTGGGAAGACCGGGGGGCGCCTTGTTCTTTCCGGCTGGAGCGCCAGGAAGAGCAGCAACAGCTGCAACGAGTAGAGACAAGTTCATTATTAGGCGGACCATATTGAAAGAGACGTGAGATGAACTTCTTCCGTTCAACAAAGGGAGATTATGTTCAAGCGTAGATGCTTCTCTAGGGGATTCAATGTACTGCCATCTGATCACTATATATATATATAAGCCTCATGGAATGGAACTTCATGACCGGGTTCGGCACCTGACTGTCCACAGAACACTGTCCACTCAGTTCCGATGTAGATAGGCACCATGTCGGCCGCATTGACTGAAGATAGACTAGAACATTTGGTTGTTCATTACAGCACGGACGCACCGCGGTCCCTAGACCGAAGGCACACCAAGCTACCCGTAGCACGTGGACTAATCAGACGATATGTGAGGCATTTGCGATATTGGAAGGCCGATACTACACAAGAAGTGGTGGAACTACACAGACGTGGTTGAAGGATTTACCCCTAGATCCTTCACTGGCCCACATTGCCAAAAATGTCATTCGCATACTAATCCCGAGCAAGTATCTGAAAATCGGCACATGAATAGCGGATAACTAGTCTGGTTTTGATCTGGCCCTGGAGCCGCGTAATCCTAGAAGCAGCATTATGAGATGTGACATGGCCCACTAGACGAATTACCTGTTGTGGTAATTTTAATCTACGTACGGAGTAGCCGCCTGTTGAAGCCAAAACGGCAAATCGGTTCCCCCTGCGCCTTACCTCTTTGGCCATCTGACATGGACTTTCACGATCCTGTCGGCCTCATTCACAAAAAATATACCGCAGGTAACGTTGTGAGAGATGCAATTGTTCGCCCCAGCCACACCCGGCATCAAGACCCCTATTTGCATGGCGCATCTGTCGGCCAACTTCCGCAATCCTTCAAGGTGTATGCGACGGGAGATGCTACTCCGTGATAACGAAGATGGTGCTGTTCCCTGTGAGCCTTGATGGGTACGGGTCTGGATATACAACTAATCTCATAGGGGGTCCATGTCGATGAGGCCCCGAGTTTCCCGATATGAAAAGACAGCATCCCCCTGTTGCGAATTGCCTGTCACCGTAAGCTGGCCATACTCCCAGGAGGCTGTGACAGAAACAATTGGCCGAGTTGGCTTTGCAATTACTATGTTCAGAACAAGGAATCTTCACCTGGGCTTGGCCGCCTCTATTTTCATTGTCTCTGGGGCTGCCGACCAATGGCCAAAGCGCGGACTGGCTGCCAATGATGGCGTTTCTATCTGGCAGTTCGGCGGTTCATGGAACGGTCACGCTTCCCAAATCAACTGGCAATACAACTGGGACAGCACCACGAGCCAGAAGCAGAGCTTTGCCGAGTTTGTCCCTATGCTCTGGGGTACCGGGAGTGACCATACCAGTGGGTGGTTCGACCATGCTTGGGACTGGCTTCAGAATCGCGGCTCAGGCCACTTGCTCGCTTTCAATGAGCCGGAGCGTGGGGATCAATCCAACCTCAGCCCCCAACAGGCTGCCGACGCATGGCGACAGTATATGGAACCCTTTGTCGGCCATGCCCAGCTTGGTGCACCCGCTGTTTCGAACGATGGGTATGCATGGCTGCAGCAGTTTCTACAGGCTTGTAGTGGCTGCCACATCGACTTTATCCCAATTCACTGGTACAACGACCATACCCAGGCTTCAGATTTGGAGGATTGGGTCAATAAAATCTGCACCCTAACTGGCCGCCAAGTGTGGCTGACTGAGGTAAGATTGGACAATCTACGAGACAGTCCAGTGTTAACAGTTGTAAAGTTCCAAGCATATGGCTCCATCGACGAGCAGAGTACCTTCTTACGCTCCGCAATCCCGTTTCTAGACAACAATGCCTGTGTCTATCGATACGCATACTTTGGAACCGCGGACAACTCCAAAGTTCTCTTGGACAATGGAGGTCCCGCTCTATCGCCTTTGGGCGTACAGTATACTTTCAGTCCGTACGGAAACGGTGATGGACCAAACTAGGCTGCTTCGGTACTACGTGTCTTCGCAGCTTCAGGCCACCTTTGGAGTACTGAAGAAGCACACATGAACTATCGTGCAAAGTAATCTGGTACTGTGCGGGCCATCTGCATTGTCGCGGGAGCTTCCAATGGAAGCAGGCCTGGTCTAGCTGGGTCCGGGCCGTACATATACTATCAGCCAAACCAGTCGTCCGAGATTCCTTCTGTTAACGGGCACCTCAACACTAGAAATGGCCGCCATAGGATCACAAGAAGCTCAATTGATCTAGTCGTTGGTCGCTATTTCGGAGCCTCGGATGTGTCCTAAGGGCTCCTCTTGCTTTAGAGGTGGATGTAAGCTGTACTCATCGAGCCTCGGACTGCCTTCCGATCTCCGTCCCTGTCACTTGGGCAAAGCCGCCACAACATCCAGGCCCATGGGCGCTTTCTTGGGCAGCTCAAGTACTCTCATCGTTGCCCTGGCCGGCTTGTGGTCTCCAAGATACTCGGCGGAGACTTTGTTGAAGGCCTCAAACTGTTCGAAATCGGTCAAGTAGACGTTCTGCTTGATGATGTGATCTAGGGTAGTGCCGGATTCTTCGAGGATGATCTTGAGGTTGTCGAATATGCGGCGTAGCTGGGTTTCAGCACCTCCGTCGACGATCTTCATTGTCGCAGGATCGAGAGGAATGCACGCGGTTGTGAAGACGAGGCCGTCGTGCACCACGGCGTGGACGTACGGGCCAATGGTCCGAGGTGCTCGGTCCGGGCAAACGGCCTTCATGGTGTGAGATTGATGTAAGCGAAGTACGCGCCAGACAATGAGTAGTGTGACTGAGCTGGAAGCCCAAAGCGCGAGTTATTGTTGGCCCTATTTGGATCAAAACGCTCTGGTCATGTCTGCAGGGCCATGATCTTCTCAGATGGAGAGTGCGCCGTTCCGAAGAGCGGAACGGATATCCGACCGGCCAGCTCGGGCGGGCCATCCGCACCCCCTTTACATCCGCCTCAGAGACGGACCTTGTTCCCGCATTCGCAAGACGCCACAAAGCTCCTGTATCCGAGTTTGTATCCGCAGATATGCATTAAAATGATAGAGCCTGAAGTGATGGGAATTCTCACGGTTAGCAATGAGCCGGTAGGTCTTCCGTTCTTCCGCCCTGTCCTGTGTAGGCGCGGATAGCAGGCGCGGATAGCACATCCGCTCGCCCATTCACGGCGCCAGGACTCAAAACAACTAAGTCCTCAACCTGAGCGTGACCATATCGTCTTTGAACATCCGGGAAAGTCGTTCAAGACGAGCGTGCCGCTTACCATTCTCGTCGTTTGGATGGGGAGTCTTCAAGATGTTGTCCGCGATGAGACCAAGAACAGGCTCATCGTTTAGGATGAGCTTGAGAGCAGCGCACCAACATGCTTTTCGGTCTACCTCCACTCCTTGGCCATCCAAGGTCACGGCCAGATGGGGAAGTGCAGGCCCCAAAACGGCAGTTGCTCCCAAGAGGACAGAGAGAGCTTTTTACGCAGCGAGCGGCACGAGCATTGCTGTCCTCGGACTGCTTTGGTCAAATGCCCCCAGCGACGGCGACAACGTTGACTCTCGCGATGCAGCTGTGCTATCAAAGATGCCTCTAAGCAAGGTTGTCACAGGCTGGTTGTAAGTCTCGCTTCTTACGCGAAGATTGCCTGCCGCATGCATTGACTTCCACCGGGTAGGGCATATGCATTCTGTTCTTCGCCAACCTGGGTAGACATGAGCGAGACATTCTACAACATCGCCTCCAAAATCCCGCTGATATCTTCCATCACAAAATTTTTCGTCATGCGAGTATTCTTCGAGCAGTTCCTTGGCGGAGAGACAACCGAAGATTGCTCCCCGAAGATCCAGGCCCTGCGCCAGGAACAAATCGGAGTCCTCCTCGGATACAACATTGAAGCAGAGCTCAACGGCTCAAGAAAAGACCCAAGCCTCATCCTTGATCAAACGCAAAAGGTTTTAGAGTCAATCGAACTGCAAGCGAAGCTAGCTCGAGAGATTTGTCCCTCAACTGCGGCGACAGGCGGCGACAATCGCTTCTGGGTAAGAGTAAAGGTGACAGGTCTGTTGCCAGACCCTATTGCGCTCCTCCACGGTTCAATGGCAATCATTGAGGCGAGGCAGTCCAAGGGGCTAGACAAAGACGTGCCATATCCCGGTTTGCCTCACGACGGTGACTGGGAAGCGGCGCTGAGTGGCAAGCAAGTGACCGCGGCAGACCGCAGGCAACTCCTGGATCTTTATGCCACTCTCGATGCCATCATGACGAAGGGGCGCGACAATAACATACGCATTGTCATTGATGCTGAGCAGACCTGGTATCAGCCAGTTATTGACAGTCTCACCGATGAGTTCATGCAGAAATACAACACTATAGGTGGATCTGCAACCTGCATCGCTTCCTTCCAAGCTTATCTTCGAAGATATCCGCAGCTTATCGATCAACAAGTACTCCGCGCCCAGAGGAAGGGCTACAAGTTGCTTTTCAAGCAGGTTAGAGGGGCATACATCAAGACAGAGGCAGAGAGGTGGAGAAGAGAAGGCCGCGAGGGCCTAGGCCCTGTATGGGATACAAAGGCAGACACCGATGCAAGCTTCAACCACGGTCTGGAGAAGGCACTCAGTGTCATCCACCAACAGGTTCAAGCGACCGGCACGACGCAAATCGGCGCAATATTCGCCACCCACAACTCGCACAGCATTGACCTCGGGATTCAACTCCTTGAGAAGTATGGCCTGTCAAAGCGGATGGGTGAATCGGATAAGTTGATCGTTGCGAATGAGGTTGCTGGGAGCATTGCTTTCGGGCAGCTCTATGGTACGTCAAGATTTCACGTCCAGTGCCACTCAATCAGAAGATTACGAGCTTCTAACCTTGACTCTAGGGATGAAGGATGACCTCACAAATAGAATCGCAGGTTCTATCGAAACAGCGGACGGATTCCCGCTTGTCGTCAAGGTATGGGCTCTTTGTCGTGCCTGTTGTTAACGGCGGCGCTAATTCACACATGCGCGTGCAAAGTCAATGAGCTACGGCGACTTGGATGAATGCCTTCCATTCCTGTCTAGACGAGCCACAGAGAATCGGGCAATTCTGGAGGGAAGAGGAGGGGCTCGCGCAGAGAGAGTTCGGTTGGGGCGGGAACTCCGTCGACGACTGCTGAGCTGGTCTTAGAGCTCCACTGGGAGAAATTCGAGCATGATAGACAACGGGGTTGAGCTCTTCTGCTCCCACATAATATCGCAGTTTTTTTTAACCATAACCCTTGTGGTCTCGCAAGTGCTGTTTCTCCATACGTCTGCCACAAGGGCCTGAGAGTTGAACGCTACGACAGTAGTGAAGTACGAGCATTCGATGCGCCGTAATGCCGTCACAGGCAAAGTGACACAAATAGCGGGAACAAAACAAGGATCCACGCTATGTGTCTATGTCTCGTGGTGAGGTTGACTTATCGCACCGACGAATTGTCTCCGAGATCGGCTGCTGAGCAGCCCAGGGGCAGGCGACTCGTGTTTGATGAGCCACCTGCCAAACCAGTTTCCCCACCTTGCCCACCACGTTGGTCTGGGGATGTGGAGTCCGTGCACGGTGGTTCGGGAACCGTTGGCGTGGCATTGCGGAGACCCGGCGACGGATCCGCGGGGAAGATTGCGAAACATTGAACAGGGCTTGGCCGCGGCTATCCTTCCCGTCGTGAGCGGAACCCGTTGCCGCCTTCACCGTGCTGCTCGAGTATAACACTCAAATTTGAACTTCGGCGCGGACTCCCAGATGATGGCCTCAATATTGGCATTGGGCGGACAACAAAGTCCCCCATCGTGGAAGCGCCAACACTGTCTGTACCGCGAATTATACATTCGACGACTCCAAACTCCAGAGGCGAGTCAGGAGGGAGGCTTATCATCCGACCCTTCGATCACAGATTAGCCGGACGTCGCAATCTCTACAGCTCCGTAAAGGAGCTCCTCGTTACAGCACGCCATGGCAGCTAAAGCGGACGAAATCGCAGCGCCCGACCACTGCGACGGGAGTATCCAAATGTCTCGAGCGGGCGAGATGATGAAGATGGAGTCAGTCGAGGAACAACCACAAACTGAGCTCAAAAGAGGCTTCAAGAATCGGCACGTCAACATGTTTGCGATTGCGGGCTCTATTGGCACAGGTCTCATCATCGGCAGCGGCTCAGCCTTGGCGTCTGGGGGCCCCGGGAGCATCTTGATTGCCTACTGCATCATGGGCATGTGCGTGTACACGGTCATGACAGCTTTTGCCGAGATGGCCATCTTCGCGCCAATGAGCAAAGGCTTCAGCGGATATGCCACGCGATTCGTTGATCCTGCTCTAGGGTTCGTCCGCCATCCATCCGACGCGTGCAGTGGCATTGGAGCTGACGCGGTAGTCTAGCTTCGCGACGGGCTGGAACTACTTCTTCAAGTATTCCGTTCTTCTTGCCAACAATCTTACGGCGACCGGCCTTATCATCCGCTACTGGCGTCAGGATATAAACGTGGGCGTGTGGATTGCTGTTTTTGGCGCCTTTGTCGTTGCCCTGAATGTAAGAATGGCCATGTCCATGTCCGACTGTCGTGTGTAAGTAACCCAGACGCTAACAACCCATGAACCTACAGTTCTTGCCGGTGAGCAAGTTTGGCGAAACTGAGTTTGTCATGGCTATTGTCAAGGTCATAGTGCTCGTTGGCCTTATCCTAGGCTGCTTCATCATATCACTCGGCGGTTCGCCATCGGGAGAGCGCATTGGCTTTCGATATTGGAACAACCCAGGCGCCTTCGCTCCCTACCTTGCCCAGGGCGACTTGGGCAGGTTTTTGGGTTTCTGGTCCTGCATGGTTCAAGCTGCCTTTATGTTTATGGGCTGTGAAGTGGTAGGTATAACGTATGGTGAGGCCAAGAACCCCCGCAAGGCTATTCCTCGCGCAGTCCAGCAAACCATCATACGCATCGCAATCTTTTACATTGGCGGTGTTATTGTTCTCGGCATGACGGTTCCGTATACGAATGAGTTATTGCTGTCAGCCAACAAACAGCAAACAAGTGCTGGTGAGTGGCAGTCGTCCCCTTTTGCACGTCATAATCTCGAACGGGGGGCTGATGTCGACTGGATGTAAGCCGCCTCGCCTTTCGTCGTGGCCTTGAAATTGGCCGGAATACAGACGCTACCGGGGATCGTAAACGCTTGCTTCCTCATGTTCACGGTTAGCTTCGCAAACTCAGGTACGGCCAAGCCCGAAATTCGCGATCCCAAGTTCATTTGTCCATGGTCAGTGCCGCTAAGACGCCGCTGCAAGACATCTACATTGCTTCCCGCACTCTGTACGGCCTTGCCCGCGACCACCAAGCACCGGCCATCTTTGGAAAGACGAACAAATCGGGCGTACCCGTTTATGCGGTCGTGGCCGCCTCGCTTTTCTGCTGCCTAGCTTTCCTCAACGTGACGACGTCGTCCGGCAAAGTGTTTGGCTACTTTGTCTCGCTCTCTACCGTCCTTGGATTGATCAATTGGGTCAACATCATCGTCACGTATATTTGCTTCCAGAAGGGCATCCACGCCCAAGGCATCACCCGTGCGGGTCTACCGTGGAGGGGTCTCCTACAACCATACGCAGTCTACATCACGTTCATAATCACTGCGCTTATCATCATATTCAGCGGCTACACTGCCTTCATTGGGGGGTTCAAGGTTGACAAGTTCATCACTTCATACCTGGGTATTGTCCTGTATCTATTTAACATACTCGTTTTCAAGATTTGGAAACGCAGCAGCCGAGTCCGCCCCGCGGAGATGGATTTAGTCTCTGGCAGGCTGGTATATGATACAGATGGCGAAGAGGAGATATTAGCCAAGAAGGGGGTTCTTTGGAGGCTGGCAAGTGCGCTCTGGGGCAGGTAGACTGAGGAGGCAATGTGTAAATTGAAGTAGCTCATCCATGCTTGTCCTCTGATGTGTGACAATACGTTGACATGCGTGATGTACGCATCAAGAGCCAAATGTACAACAGAGTCGTACAGTAAGAAGAAGCGAAGGGCAGGCTATTCAACAGCATTGGCAACGTGCATGTGGGGTAGCTGGGTGATCGGGTAATAAGTTTGCTGCCCGCACAACCCCGCTCAACTTTCGGCAGGGTGGTCGATAAAAGAGTGACTGTAGCCGGGGGGAAAGCGGAAGTCGAACCGAGTCAAATCCGCACAGATGGATCAACGGCAGACGGTTCCGAGTCGTGGGGGAGCGGCCCCCAGCCGCAGTGGACAACGGGTGAGCAATGCGTACGACAACACCGCCATACGCACGCCCACGAAAGGGTCTGTGACACTAATTCCGTCCATTGAAGATGCCGCAATTGCAGGCAGAGGAAAATCCGATGCTCAGGCTCCCATCCCTGCATCGGCTGTACTCGCAGAGGCAAGCAGTGTGAGTTTGAAGATGGGGGACGAAAGGTCGTTGTATCTCAAAAGTAGGTCATGACAACACATTTTCTGGGCACTGGAAGTCTCACTCACAGAACCCTCCCCGTCTCAGGTACTTGAGACAGCTTCAGCGGCAGGCGGCATACCACGAGCCACTGGCGCCAATCGAAAGGTCAACCTCGATTGACGAGATTGTGCATGAATCGCCGCCGTCACCGGAGGACGACATTGGGCAAGCCAGGCAGAGTCAAGAAGAACGGCCGTTCTCGCTCCGGCGTCCATTCATCCAGACCCCTATATCAATCGAGTCAGCAAACAGTGTTCACCCTGAGGCGCCAAATCCGCTTGCATCTACATCAACTGCATACGTTTCCGATGACAGCGGCCGATTGCGTGAGTGCCTTTGGCCCGCGAACAGGACTGGAAGCCGCTGACTATGTCCCATGTGGAGGTTGCCTGGGCGAATCTTCGACATGGTCGTTCACGCAAAAGACACTAATGTTGATCCATGACCACTTACACGGCCAGGGCTTGCCGGTGATGGACATTGCCACGAATGAAGAGAGCCGCGCGTATCCGTTGAGCTGGGGGTCGTCTGGCTTTGATGACCCGGCAAACTTCACAGATCTTCCTTCCGCTGACCATGCTTTGTACCTGATCAACGGACTCAAGTTTCACGTGGGCCAGCTATACCACCTTTACGACGAGAGTCACTTCATGAAGCCTTTTCACGACTTCTACCGCGCTCCAGCCGAGGTAGCGAGGGAGAATAGGATCTGGTACGTCCAGTTCCTAACTCTGCTCGGACTGGCCAAGGCCCTCGTTGTTCAGCCTTCGCGTCAAGGGGCTGTTCTGCCAGGAACGGACCTGTTCCTCCGAGCCATGTCGCTGCTGCCTGATGCACCGTATTTGTTCTCTGACGCTCTGACGTCGGTCGAGACACTTTGTGCGATATCGATATATCTGCAGTGCGCCGACTTGCGCAACTCCGCGTACATTCACGTGAGTGTCCAGCATGCATACCGAGGCACCTTCTCTCTACGCCTTTGATAGGGGAGAATATCGCACTGACGGCCGCCAAGATTGGCACTGCATTGCGCGTTGCGGTGACATTTGGTCTGCACCGAGAACGTCCCACACAAGATTGGGGTCCCTCGATCACGGAGCGATGCCAACGCGTGTGGTGGACTGTCTATGTTCTGGATCGTACATTTTCATCATCCATGGGCGTTCCAATCTCCATACAAGACGCCGACATCACGACGACGATGCCCTCAAGAGACGGCGCGAGAGACAGCATGACTTTGTACGTTCACGTGAAGCTCTCCAACTTGATATCGGAAGTCGTCAATAGTAAGCCACCCATACATGCCCGAGGGCTTTATTCCTTTTTTTTTTATTCTTTTGCAGAGCCTGGTCCTGTGTACCTGACTGCTACGTCTAGAGGTCTACGGTGCCGAAGGTCGGCTCCGAAGCAGCTTCCTGCCTTGTGTCCACAAGGTTCTCGAAAGGATCGCTTCAATTGCCAGCGATCTGAATGCATGCTTTCCACTATCGTATGATGGCTCAGATGGCGGCATATCTAGAGTCTCCTCTCATCTGCATCTGTTCTACCATCAGGTGAGTGCATGCCTCGAAGTCAATTGCAACTTCTTATCCTTGATGCTCATGTTCTTAGACAATCCTCCTCACGATGTACCCGCTCCTTCTATACATTTTCCAGACCAGGCTGCAGAACAGACAGAGCGGGCCTGAAACGGCGCGGCAGTTCTCTGACACGACACGAGCTCTTCTCAAGACGTGTAAAGAGTCTTGTAGAAACATGATTGGGATACTTACCATCCTTCAGCAGCAAGGTCTGTTAGGTACGTTCTCACGCCCGACAAACATTCACATGATGCATCGATTTTGGCTAAACGAAGCCACACATCTAAATGTAGGAGGCGCCTTACCATTCGATCTCGAGAGAACCTTCTCCTCCGGCTTCGTATCCACGATGCTCACATTTGTCGACCCGCACGACGGGACCTACCGGTCTTTCCACGACCAGACATGCCATCTTTTGGACGAGTTCGTTGACCGCGGCTGTACGCCAGCGCGATTTCGCAAGTCGGAAGTCGAACTTCTGCGCGACATGATTCGGCAATGCGACGCGGCAGCAGAAGGGGACACCATGATCCGTGGCTCGACAAGGGTAGGACAGCGCCCGGAATCTCAACACCAAGCACCGTCACAAGAGAGACTTGGCGATGGTGAGACGCTGGGGAGTGACATTGGCGCAATGTATAACCTATCCCCGGGACAGATCCTTTCCTTGGCTCAGATGGTGGACGTGGAGGATTGTCGTGATGAGGACGAGTCAGGCTGGATGGACGGCTGGCTGTGGAACAACGCCGTCGACGATGGGCATGCGTGGTGATGACAAGAGTAAGGCGCCTTCGTGTGGCTAGGGCGGATTGCTGATAAGAGAGACGTTAGGTCCATGACGTCGGGCCATCTTGTTGGTACCTACTCTATGCCCAAAAGTGACCGAAGAATCTGACTACCAGCTCGTCATTGTGGCTTCAGGCGCGCGTGCCGTACATGCCCGAGCCGTGGCCCAAAAATCCACAGCGCCTGTCTGTCGCCCCCCGGGGGCCGTTGTTCGAGCCCCTGGCATTGGCATTGAGACGGGACCCGACTGGGCGGCGGGAGCGCACAATGGAATCGCCTCGTGTGCCGTTATTAGCGGGGGCCCAAGGGGGGGGCAGCCAGGGCAAGGGTCCCGTCGTCACTTGGGTACAAGCAGGTACATGCGACGCTGGGCTGCTCGGGCGTAGGAGGCAAGCCAAAGCGCGACCCGCGGAGAAGTACCGGTACTACCCCGCTTCCCGCGCCCCGCCTCAGCAAAATCCGATTTTGCTCCCATCGTCACCTCATCCTCGACCGGGCAGGCGGGCGGGCGGGCACCCACTACTGGCCACGGGCTGGGCTGCCAGCGGGCAGGGCAGCAGCCTGGCGGCGGCGGCGGCGGCGACTCCGGGCATTGGTGCTGGTGGTGGTGCCCATGCTGTGGTAGCAGGCGGTAGTGGTG